AGAAACAGCATTCCAAGGAGGACATGTTCCTTTCCTACCAATGGTCCAATGTAACACTTGACCCAAATGATCCTGTTCTTGATGATCATTCTCAGGGTTACCTTGCAGGTCACCCATTCAACATCCTTTCCAGTAAATGATGTGGTCTTGAACTTGTTCTTGACATGATACATTGGTATCTGGAGTTTCTGGACCATTCATTCCAATACAAGGGAGACTTCAGCTCCCGAGTCGATACAGGCCATAATTCCTGTGTTGAAGTCTGGTAGAACAACCCTTCCGAGTGGCAAACAGATTCACATGGTCAATTCGTCATCTATAGAGGTACATTTAGCAGACAACATAGATACAGGACTGACTGAAGCAGGAATTTCATCAGTCCTTTTTAAAAATCCAACCCAAACGTCTTTCTTTCATCCACTGTTGCCACACGATCTCCGACATAGGCAGTCTTCATGCTGTCCTCCCTGAGGACTATGCAGATTCCTGAAAGTTGCTTGATTTGGGCCTTGCATTCTCATTTGAAATGGCCTTCGACACCACAGTTGAAACAAACGACCTTTGATCTGGAACATCAGATGTTCTGTTTACATTTATCGACGTCCATCACATCAGGATCTCAGGAACCTCCATGGTAATGAATGAACTTTCTTTCATACCAAGATTCCTTCCCTTCTAGGATATGCTTCATCACAATCACAGTTCAAGCTTCTCCCGCACACTGTATCCACTCAATGACTGTGGAAGGCATGTGCCCAGAGTTAAGAACCCAGTCATGATACTCTTTGTTCAATCCTTTTCTGAAGAAGATCCCTGCTTCACACGATTCTTCCTTGAGTTGAGCCTTGTTCACAAGTCCGGTAAACTCGGCAATATAAGATTCCAATTCGCATTTGCCTTGAGAGATGTCCAAAAGGCAGAGAATTGCAAGGGCAGTTTGATCACCAGATTCGAAGGTAGCTTTGAGATGTTCCACGAACCTTTGGAAGGTGTCGGTGTAATAGATGGTGCTGTCAAGAAGCTTGTTTTTGTTTTGGTAATTTTCAGCAAAAGAAACTGCTGCACCTTTGGTCATATATGTAAGTGCAAAGGAGATCTTGAGTGATTCCATGTTGTACACATGCTTGTTCAGGTTCAAATAACCTTCGACCTGTGTAACCCAGGTCTGGAGCCCATTATGGCTTCCATCATATTCTCTGGGATGCCCAACATTAAACTCCCTACCTCCATTGGGTGGGTGGCAATCATACTGGTCATCAGGATCAGCTGGGGCCTGACCCTTACTGGACCCACTAATGGGGACCTCTGGGGGGATTACCTTTCCAAAGTTCCTGGCATACCATTCACATAATGCCAAGTCCATAGGCATTCCTGTTGGAAAGGGGTTGCTACTTTGGGCATGCATCGCCTTGCAAAGCTCTTCTGCCATAGCGAGCCATTGGTCTTCCAACTGTTGTCTCAGCTCCTCTTCGGAAATGTTCCTAGGAGGCATTTCAGGAGTGGATTCTCCGTGACCAAGGGTCATGGACATTTTGGGTAACTCACAGGCTTCTTGTTCTTCCTTGAGGACTGATCCAAATGAAGTATCAGACTTCTGATCGTCTTCTTCTTCTGAACTAAGCACAACTTCTGAATCCCTAAAGTGGGACAGATAAGATAAGTGAGGGTTTGTGGCAGTAGCTGAGGGGCCTAATCTTCCTAAGGGGATCAGGGGTAAAGGAGGATTCCTTCCAAGTCCGAGGGGGTTGGGACGAGGAGGGACTGGTGGTCTCGACTTGTTTGGGTTAGGCACTTTAACGAGAAGTGATAACAAAGGCTGAGGGAGGATTTATTTCTCGAAAGAAACCTGTCAGCATAGGGGCATTGGTGCATGAGTGGCTTTACATGTAGGGAGACACAAGTGCTGACTCTAGGGAGGTGATCTATTAAAGCCTAGTGGCTGCCTGTAGAGTGGTGGATTTGATTAAGGGTAGAGGGGTGCTTCTCAATTTTGTTAGCAGCTTTTTTTTGATGCATTGAGGAGCAGGGACAAAAGCAAGTTAGTCTTTGCACTGAGGGAGACCAACAAGCCTTTGGTTGAATGAAGATGGTTTGTTGAAGTTCAGTAACCAGGGATGAATAGACTTTCGTGAAGAGGTCAATGAGTCCCAAAAGCTGTGTTGAATTTTTCAATTTTGTTATGCCCAAGCACGGTGACTTCTTCAAATGGAATAGGCACGAAGCGTGCGAGGGGGAGACTATGGGCCGAACTTGTCATAACCCCTATGGCTCAGTTATCCCAAAAGTCCAACAAAGGTTTTGTCTGCTGGCGAGTCCCTAAGGTTGTTTGCACAGAGAGAAAACAAGGACGAGTGAGAAGGAAGTTAACTGAGTTGCAAGCTATTGAAAAACTGCAGATACAGGTCAAAGTACATATGTTTATATACCCCTAAGTACAAGTACTGTACCAGTTGTGACATGTATCCACAGTAGTCAACAGAACAATCAGTGAAATAAATAAGAGTCATATGGTGTCAATGATGGGGGTAGGGAGGCAACGAAGGCTATACTGGCTGGCACAATCAGTGCACAGTGAGGAGCCAGACACCAGATCTATAGTACAACATACGAGCAATAAAGGTGAGTCAAAGAATCAGGAATGTCACAAGTCATCCATCAGAGAGGGCAGTGGAACACTGGATCACAGTGGCAACATGGTCTCAACAGGTATTGGAAATACCTTGACAGCTGGAGATCTGAACATTCCCTGGAGCATTCAAGCCCCTAGGATGGCAACAATTATGAGAGATGTGACAAGGCATGTGACACACATGGCTGAGAGAAGTCAAAAAAGGAAAGACCCCTGATGGAAGCATAACAGTTGGTGGGGTGTACTGCACATTGCATCTTGGTATCTGCTGTAGTGTGAATCGTGAGCTGGGGGATGTCATTGAGGGCAAGGTTCTTGGCACAGTACAGGGCACTGCAACCTGCCTGATTGTGAGGCATTGTAGTTGTGCTGTGATGTCTGCTGTTGTTGCTCTTTTTGCCACTTCCAGCTTCTGTAGTAGCTTCTGGTCTCACTCCTCCTCTCTCTTCTTTCTCTCTTCTATCTCCTCACATTCCTGTTTCAGCTTCAATGTATTCAGCTTCTTGACATCATCCATGAACATTTTCCAATTCATGTATTCATCATCTAGTAGTTTCCTGATTGCTTGTGGGAGCTGCTTCTTGACCTGCCATATTAATGTGGACCCTCCCTCAATCTTTGCTAGTCTTGCAAGCTCCATGGCCTCATCCACCCACCTTACATGTGACCATACCTTCTGCTGGCCTACTGTCTGGATTATTCCAATGTCTTCTTCAAGCATTTTGTGTGACAGTAGTTCTGTTTGGTATTCCTCTGATGTTTGGGATGCGCTCTTCATTGTGGGCCATCTGTCATTGAACACCTTAGTCAGCCCATCCCAGCTAGCTAACTGTGTTGTTGTGAGGTCCTCATACCAATGCTCAGCTGGCAAGCCCATTCCAAGGTAGTTGGCTAGTGCTTTGATCTTCTGTGTGTCAGTTGAGAGCAGATTGAGGAATAGCATGCTGCAGTTGAATGCTTTGATGAAGTCACTTGGGTTTTCTGCCTCTGTGCAGTCCCCATAGAAGAGGGGAACTGCTTCTGCCATTGCTCTTGGGCATCCTGTCGATGGTGTTGGCTGTGGGACTGGTGGGGGTAACAAGGGTGGGGGTACTGCTGGTGATGGAGTTGGGAGTGTTGTTGGCATGTATGGTGGTGGTAGGGCTGGGACTGAGAGCACTCTCTCCCTTTGGCAGATTATCATTGCTGATGAAGTTGGTGGGGTTGGTAGCAGTAGTGTGGGGAACACTGTATAGGAGTCATCCTCTCCTGGGTACTCTGGGGAGTTTGTTCTGGTTGGAGGAATTCCATGGGTTGAGGCTTGTTCCTGGGGTGATGACAGTGTGTTTTCTGGTGTCTGTGGGACCAATGGAAGTGAGTAGTCACTGGTGAAGGGGGTTCCTATCAGTGACCACATTGGTGATACATCAGGCATGTGCAAAGTCACAAAGCAACCCCATGCATTGCATGGTTGGTTTCTGTTAGGCAGATTGGTAGTGGTGTGGTGGTTGTTTCTAAACTTGTTACTTAGCTCGTTCTTTTGTACTCTTCTACACATGTGCTCTGTGTGGTTGCCTTGCATCCATTTCATGGTAGTTTGTTGCTGTGTTTGTGTGGTATTGCAGTGCAGTGTTATGGTATGGTGTTGCAGTGCAGTGTTGTGGTGCAGTGTTATGGTGCTTGGGTTGAATCCACTCTCTTCACCACATGGAACAGTGTGGAACCCTGTTCATGCATCCTCATGTGTTCTGTTCTTGTACAGTGTTGTTCTAGCCTCACATCTCTACTGCCACTCCATGCCCACACCTTGTCCCTGCTGACCAATCATCTATGGCTGTGTCCTACACCCCTGTCCTGCCTCCCCTACTCCATCAGTCTGAGGGGAAATGCTCTTATGCACATCCCTAGTGAGGGGGGTAGTGTAGGGCTCCTGCACTGCCAAAAGTCCCCAGTGAGCAGGGGGTTATGGCAGCTTGATACCTTCTAAAACATCCAAGTTTGTGATCCAGTCCTCTGTCAGATCTGGGGAGGTTTGGAGGAATGAGGGATACCATGTCCTCTTCACTGTCTCTTGTGTGACTGGTTTTCTATTTCCACTTTGAAGTTATGTATCAGCCTAGAGAGAGTCAATGGTTAATCTTGTTGTACCATCATGTCTTCGCTGGCTCGTTTGTATGGAGTATTTCTTGTATAACTCGCTCGCAGCGGAGCAGCCAGATTAGGTGTGCAGATTCTGATAGTAATAGAGTCCGTAGCAGGCGCGATTTCCCAGGGTTCAGGCAGTTGTCATTCTGAGGGGCGGGTGGGGATACGGAACTGCAGCCTAGTATTGTTTCTAAGTGAGTTCTGGCCAGGCACCAAAATCGGTTGGCCATATTGATTTTGCAAGTGTCTAGATGCTGTTGGCCTGGCCCCGATGGCAGTCAAGGAGGATATGTTCTAAGGACTCAGTGGCTTCATTGCAGATGGAGCATCGTGCACGCCGTTCATAGAGAGGGATATTTTCCCAGAATTCCACGATCTTAAGGGAGGCATGGAGAGCTCTGAGGAGGAACGTCTGAATTGGCCGCCATACGTCAGGATGTCTGACATTGCGCCAGATGTTTTCGTCTCGTGGTGGAGAGTTGTCAGTTTGATACTTGAATTATAAAGACCAGACTCGGTAGCAATGTTGTTAATCATGAATTCTCGGATAATAGATATAGGCACTTCAGATGGTCACAGCCTTGGGTGAGAGTGGAAGGCACACATCTCCCCATTTTAGACCGCTGTGAAAAATATATAAAAGTAATACCAGGCGATCGGCTGTACTAAACCCTCTGGATTACTCCAATGCATCCTGCTGGAGCGAAGTCTAAAAGAAAGGGTCGAGGTACGCATGACATCGTGCCAGGTTTACCAGGGCCACCTTTGACTCACGTCTGCAATATGCTTTACAAGACCTTACCCATTGTGCTACTGGTCAGGATGCTGGCCACCGTAAACGACACCAGATATCAGGGCCACAGCATGAGCAAACTGCTGAGGGCGATATTCATGCCGCGGTAGAGCTAGAGAATGAGCTTCTGGCCACCGACTGCAGGTGTGACAACAGTCGGGAGAACGAGGTAGCCGGGGGAACTGATCCAGAGCATCGCCTCACGTCAGAACGTCTCCAGCAATGGGGCATGCATATGCACGTTGACCACGTCTTTGATCTCGTTCCATTCTGGCGCCAAGCGGTCGATGCAGCAGAGCGGGGTGAGGAACTTCGACTGGAGGAGTTTCTTGAGAAGATGGAGGGGGATGGGGGGTGGACACTTGCGAGCGATGTGTGGAATTTGCTAGCGGACCAGAGGAGATCGTCACGAAAGGCTGCTTCTGACTTAACTCCTATGGGCGAACAGGACAAGGGGTGGGGCATAGTGGAGGACTGGGCTATTCATGACTCCGACGGAAGAAGTAATAAGGATTGGGACACGGCGAAACACTGGACTACGGTAGCTCATGACCATCATGCAGAATGGAATGTCGCAGAGACCTGGGATATCACTGAACAGACCCCGGCCCCTCACTGGACCTACGACGATCCACACGACTTCGTTGATAGCATCGCGCGACAAGAAGCAGTGAGTGAGGAGCGACGAAAGCAGATGCATATGTTCTTTCAGGTCCGTCAAATCTTATTTTGTTGCATTGATGTTTCACTCACTCTCCGAATACTACCAATGTTAGATGCCAACTGAGCAAAAGATCCGGAAAATTCGAGAGATAATCAAGTCCCTACATACGCAACACCGGTACCCATGACTCGCTGCTGGGACAGCGTTTCGGTTCTTCCGTGGTTCTCCCAGGCTGACTTCTTCGTGCTGACCTTTTTGGGTACTGACACAATTACTGTGCGCGTTCGAGATCACTGATTTATCACGCAAGACAATTTCTTGGTTTGACTCTCATATCGAGATAGTTATTTCCCCAGCGCATAAAACCACGTGTGCATATATGTCCTTTCTTTACGTTGTTTGTCTGGACTGGCATGCCTGCAGCAAACAGTCTGTGTAGACAGTACGTTGGAGGAGTAGCAGCACCACCAGGTATAAAGGGAGGTCCGACGCCCTCCTCCATACTGTAGCGATCGCCTCGCCATGTCTAGGTTGCGGGCCAAGAGAGATTTTATCCCATCCGCCAGCGAATTTATTGGGTGGGGTTATTACTCCTATCCTCTCTGAATCGCTTGCACGGTCTGGGACATTCCTTCGAAGTTGAAGGCTGGAGCAGAGATAGGGCACGGACTGAAACGTCGGTGTTCAGTGTAACACGAGTGCCATAGGTCGAGTGCGTCATCAATAACGCTCATTTGAAGAACTTGAAAATTGTAGTGTGCTGTGCCGTGGGAACTATTGATTGACTGGTTGGACTACATCGACTGTTGCTAGTAGTCTGCCCCTGTGCAAGTACTGCTCGACGATGGCGTTCGCATTGCCCTCGTCTTTGAGTCCTCATGTATGCGTCGTCTCCTCACCAGACCTGGAGCAGCTTTTACAGGCCTCATTCCTCCCCCCACTGGAAGATATATTACAGTCTTTTTCGCCATTGCCACAAGGTGTGTCGCACTGTTGCCTCATAGACGATGTGAATACGAGCTCTTGGACAGTTACGACGCGAACGACTAGTCTCATTACTGTCCCTCACGACACCTTCGCTATCCGGTTTTCTAATCTAGTAGATGTGGAGAATGCGTGCATGGAGGATGAGGAGAAGCGATCCGCTAGAACTATCGACTGGATCGGTGAGCGGATTAACCAGCGATGCCCCAAATGGGTCGCAGATTTGGAGAAGGATTCCGCCAGAGACAGTAAGAGGCCACCATGGTGGGACGAACTTCGACGCTGTCTGGAAGGCGATAACATACCCTCGAAGACAGAGGGTTGGAATCATCCTGTGTCAAGTCAGTACCATGTTTTCATAGAAATCCATGCTGTTGAGCAGCCATCGTGCATCACAGTTATTTTGGCGGTATCTACCACAGCTCCAAACCCTCTCCAAGCAGTGACCACCCTGCATTCGCGTACCTTGGAATTCCCGTCGTGGGTAGACACCACTCACCTCGTGTGCACTCTCATCATACACCCCTCAACCTCGACCTTGTCTGACGAGGAGTACGTGATTTCGATTCTGTGTCGTGGCCGTGGAAAGACTGACCCGCTATTTCTGCAGAGCAACGGCGTTGTTTAACGCTGTCAAGAAACAGTATGGCGTACACGTGTATCTTCTTCCCTTCATTCTACCATCGCCACCACCACCACTAGTGCCGATCCCTCCTCTCCCACCGCAATTACCACCACCACCTGTTGACGTGGAACAACATGATATCCCTGGTAAACCGAAATCCACGCTCTCTAATACCCGAGAATTCCTCGATGCCAGACCCAATTCATTGAGAATGTCCGAAGGGGATATTCAACGAACAGTGCGGTTCATGCGGGAATTTGTGGTCATGAGTCTCGTGCCCTGGATGGAAAAATGTGTAATCGAATGGAATGAAGCCTATTCTTCCAGCAGGCGACTGCCCTCACGGCTGTTCTCATCAACTCGCCGGCTGTTTGGCTCTGGCACTTCCACTCCACAGACTCCTGTTCATGCTTCCTCTACCTCACTTTCATCCTTGCCAGTTCGTTCACACACCTACAGCACATCTCAGACTTCTTTATCCGGCCCGAGTTTCTTACTCCCTCCACCGTCGCAGCAGCGACGACTAGCTGAATTTGCCACAGTCCTGGGTGACCATAAGCTTGCAATAGGTGTTTGGGAGTCACTGCGAAAAGAGGGAAAGGGTGGTTCAGTAAGTTCATCGCCCGTCCTGCGTGATGATGATGTAGGTCGACTCTCAATAGGACATATTACCGATATTACTTTCACCTTCACCTGCAACAACACTGCACATCACTCACTCGCTTGCGGCTATATTTCCAACCGCTTCGGAGCTTCCCACACATGCTCAACTTCAAGCTCTGAGATACGCAATCCGTTGGGAAACGAGCATTTCTCCCAACGACTTTCTGAGCGACACCCTCGAAGGGGAACGATGGCTTGTGTGGGCAGCGGGTAACGTAAGTTTCCATCAGTTCTTTTTCTCCAGAGAGAAGAACTGATCGTGCTAGCAACCTGAAGTCAGAGGAAGCGCCGTCAGCCCTGCTTCTGGCACATGCTGCACTTCTGAGTGTTCGTAAGCAGTCCAAGCGGCGTGCTGCATTGTGGTATTTCTTTGCTGCCAGCAAACTGCAGAAATGTGGCATAGTAGGTGGCATATCAGTCACCTTGCAATGACCGGTCGAATCAACAGCTGTTAGAAACCACTGGCAATGTATTTCCTTCGTCGAGCACATGAGATACTCAGCGACAAGCCACGAAAGCTGTTATCTCCATCATTCTGGGAATCACAAGGAATTATCGCTTCAGAGAACGTGGGATTTAATGCGGCTGTATCTGGTGTAGAGCATCCGCTAGGTATGAGTTTTTCAATGTGCCATCGATGTCCACATGACTCTCATGCAGGCAGGTTGCTGTATGCCACGGGAGAGGTACAGGGTGCCATCAAGCTATTTCTAGGTCTTTTGCGCTTGTCTTCTGCGGTTTCAGACGGGGAAAACCGTTACGATGGCAACAGTGAAGAGTCTCTGGACTCTGACAAAAGTTATCTTGAGGACTTCACGGTTGCGCTATCGGTATGTGTCGATAGAGAAGTCCGCGACATGTGTATTCATGGTGTTATTGCCAGCATCTGAAGTCCATATCTAGCCAAGAGGTCTACTTGAATGATTTGATTATACCCATCAGATTTGCTGTGCCAGCGTCTTGTCGACTCATTTTGCGTAGAGATGTTGTCGGCGCGGGGGAGTTAGAATGGGTGCACATGGAGGAAACATGGAAATCATTCTGGAAGCCACGAGGGAAGGAAACGTTAGAGAGGAGCGGGAAGGCAGTGGTTGGAGGTAATCATAGCAAGGTCTACAACACAGGCTCAGACTAACTGATTTTCACAAGACAGCTTTTGGGTCGAGGTGGTTTTACACAACCCCCTTGACGCAGAAGTGACTCTCGCAAACCTGACGTTGATCGTAGAGGCTCAAGGTCATGATCGCGATTGGCTGTCGAGGAACATCCAAGTCGAAAACATCGATGAAATTACTCTTTGTGCGAAAGAGAGCCGCCCGGTGGGTGACTCACCAACAGTTGAGACATTGTCTTTCTCATGCGCCCTTGCAGGTTTCATTCGCTGTCAGGGCCTCGGAAGCGAGCACCCTTATTATTACTGACCTCAAATACGATTTTCTTGGCCTTTTGCCGACCAAGGAGTCGCTAGCGCGGCGCGGTCTGCGGCTACAAGATACATTGCAACAGCGACTGATCCCAACTTATGCTCCCGATATTCTTATTAAAGCTGAAATAGAGCACGATAATCTTGAGCTTGACGTGTCCTTCGCGACGGATGAGCCACTTTTGGTCCTGGAAGGTGAATACAGGTGGCTGGAAGTGAGGCTATCGAATGTAGGATCAAGGGCAATTGGCGAGGTCTGGTTGTTAGCTGGTCCTGAAGACCAGATTTCCCCTTATTGCCCACCAGGAGAAATATCACGCAAGTTCCTATTCTGTATTCCGCTTGGAGTGTTTGCCTTACTCTGAGACCAGGCGACCTTGCAGGTGTTCTCTTCACAGACAACAAACTCCCCCAGTGGACTCCTTATAACGTCCCTCTCGAAGAGGATCTGCAACCCTCTGTAGGAATCGGAACAACTCTGATTTGGCGACCAATTCGTAGTGTCAGCCAGCGCATTTGTTTGTTGTTCATTTATAGAGATGTAGGTCTGATTATTATCGTAACGTGCATCGCTAACATGGAGCTCACTTAGAGAGGGGGTTCCACATTCTACTGCACGAAAGCAACGAAGAACTACGAAATTAACTCATGCCTGACGGTTTCTGCGAAGACATATACCACTCCTCTCAAGTTCCATCCATTCCAGGTCAATGTCGAAATCTCCAATATATCGTCTACTGCACTGCGTCTTACCCAAGTCGTTACGATTAGTCCCATCTGGCAGTGTCGCCCACTCCATCTATCTTCTTCGTAAGTCTCCGGGTGAGTACTGGCTGAGAGAGTATTCACTTGTTGCAGGGCGCCCCTGGAGCTCGCCCAGTCCGTCAACTTGTCATTAGCTGCATTTCCTTCGGAAGACAAGGACTGCATAAGGAAGACGCTTGACTTTGTTGCAAGAACGCTAGGCGATGTCCTTAATGGTCGCAAGGTCGAGTCGGGTAACCCTCCGCCACTACGTCTGTCTTGCAACCATGCTTTCAATGTAGGTGGTCCGCCTCTCTGCGATTTATCCGTCAATTGTTTTTTGCTTTAGAGTGAAGATCATCTCCCGCTGCTAAACCCAGCAGTATCGCATCTGTATTTTTGTGGAAGAAGGAATGTCGTCGCTAGCTCGATAGCCCGTTCACACCCTCATATTCCTGAGGCGTCTCGTTCGAGCACCTTCCCGTTCTATAACCCACTTTCCCTCGATATCCTGGTGTTCTGGGAAATACCTTTAGAACAGCGGTGTGGTTTCACGCTACTTTCATCATTAACTCTTGGTTCAAGTCACGGCGGATTGCAAGAAATTATCAGTGACGTGGAGCAGGCCAAAATGAAGCGAAGCATGTACGCGGAAACCCAACGAGAGAAGATGGAGATGTTGGAGTCGATTCGAAACAGTGAATGGAACGCCGTGTCCAATCCCCTAGTCGTTTCAGTAGAGGACGGCCTCGTCATAGAGCATGACTTCGACAAAGGGTACCTATTCCCTCTTACTACCCTCGGAGGTGCTTTTGCTGACTTCGGATATGCAGGGGTTGTCTAGTTCATGTTACATTCACCCTAAGGAATTATTCATTGACACATCCCTTACGATACACACTAAAATTCAAACCCAGTCTCTCTAAGATTGCTGCTGTGGGCCCACTGTAAGCTCTCTTTGCAAAATAAATTCGAAACATGACGATCTAATCGACGTTCAGGAATCTACTTGCACCGCGCTATATAAGCCCGCTGACCATCCGCGGTACTTTACAGCCCTCCGAGTCATCATCAGTCGAGACGCGCCTCTGGGTCTCCTGCCCCGGAATGTATGCACTCTCCCGGTGGGAAGCCGAGGTGGAAGTCGGCGAATCTTGGTTGGACGGAAGTAAAACACTCTGGCAGACGAGACACTGTTACGTTCAAGGCCCACCAGCAGAATACTGTTCATGCTTCACCGTAAATAGTTCACACACCTAGTCTAGGGTAGAATCAACATAAACACAGGGATATAGCCTATAGCGCATAACGCCGACAGTCGTGATGTGCGAGTCCAAGTCAAAAACTCCGTGTCACCAAAGAATAAAGGAACCAATGGTCGACATCCAACTACGTGATGGTCAGGCTTCTGGTTTCATGAGTTAGCATTAATGGAGTATCCTATTCATCGTCTGAAGGCGGGTCCACAGTTTTTTTCGCTCTTTGACGATCCCGTTCTTCTGCCTCCTTCCTCGCTGCCGCAAGGCGCATCTTCTTTACCTTGATGTTGAACAGCGTCTACATAACCGATCGTAAGAAACATCAGATCGCAAAAACTGGTGGTAATCACTTACACCAAGAGTAAACTGTACCATATTGAAAAATGGCACCCACAGCTGCGAATCAAGGAGGTTGACTTGGTTAAGAAATCCCACAGATTATGAACGATAGGACGTACCTCCGTGGGGACGAATTGTTGCGCGAATATCATCGATAGTGGTGACACTATCCACGTCACCTTGATGAGGAGTAAAAATAGAGTTCATATGTCCACGATGACGGTTCCTACCCGTATTACAGCCCAGAATCCTCCCTTAACAGTGCGGATAACCTCGTCAAGTGATTTAGCACCATTAATGATAGCCATGGACGCAAGGAACACTGAAAAATAAAAAGTTGCACAGGTACTGGACGAAACAATGAATGAGAGATACTTGCCAGTCGTTTGGACAGGCGCAACAAGAAAGTTGCTCGCTACGAGTTGTGCTACTCTGTACTTGACTCCAACTTTGCCCGTGAACGCTTTCTGCAAGAGTCCCACCAAGTAGTGCCCTAGAGGTGCGGAGACGAAGAAGCCGTAGATGGCCATCTTTATAGCCTTGGCATCGATATGGTATCTCGCAAGGATTTTCGTGAGAGGGGAAGGATCTTTTGGTGTTGGAGTGGGCGGTAGACCAGCTGCGTTGGATCCGATAACCTCCTGCAGGAACGAGAGGGTCGCTAAACAGAATGTGAGTCTGGATCCGGAGTATGGTAAGGGTGAACCAAACCGGATGTTAGAGCTTTAGTTCGCAGAGGGTGAACCGCCAGCTGCAGGGCGTACTGTGCGAGCAGTGGGTGGAGCTTTGGTGAATGTGAAATAGGCGTGTTCATTGTCGATCGATACGGTGTGAAAGACAGAAGAGAAATGCTTGTATTTGCAACAGGAACAGAGCAATCTCGACGAATAACACGTTCACTCGTTGCACGCTGCCTTCAACGCTCTACCATTCAGGACATCGCGCTATGGCAGTGCTCAAACGATCAATGTCGATATATCATTCACCATCGAGGCACTGCTCGCTACTTGGAGGATCAATTTCATCAGTGCATCAGCGGTCAATGCGTCGCCGGTGTCTATGGTAGTCTGTTTGAGTTTCTACTGTACAATTGTACGGTGCAGACTGCCAGCGACAAGGAAACTGGAAATCATAAACGAGTTCTATTAGGCTCAACCGAAGATATCTCTATGGATATTAAATTATAAACCATGCTGTCTAAAATCCCTCATTGACGCCCCTTAACCCTGTGATCATTCAATCAGACGATAGACAGCTTGCCAATGTGGAGAACATACCAAGCCTTCACATAATCAGCAAAGGAGACCATGCACACGGTTTGCCAAATGCCGAGGCCTATACGTGGCGTTACACCACGATATAGACCCTTGATACCATTCTCCTTGTAGATGAAGGCGAGCGTATTGAAGACTGTGAGCTTCTGCGGACGATTGACGTTTTCGGTCGCCTTGGCCATAGACTGCATCTCGACGCGGACAACCTCGATGGGCTGGTTCCACGTCGCGAGTGCACCGCCGATAGTCGAAGCAAGGATTTTATCCATAGTACCCAGTTTTTCGTCCTCACCCTTGCCACGAGCCTTACGGATGGAATTTTCCGCCAGACGAGCGAAGCCCATACTATGGGGAAGGACCATAAACTCCGGAAGCCTGTTAGATACCCGATGAAAACTTACCGAGAGCCCCAGTTAGTGCACTGCCGCACGGCAACAGCATTGACTCCCTTGTTGACACCTCGGATTCCCTCCTTGCGGTATATGTCCATGAATACCTGGAATGTGGAGCGCTGCACACCAGCGGCAGCCTCCTTATGTCTAGTAATTTCGACAGTTTTCATGCAGGTCGTGAATCCTATCAAGTACGCCTCAGTACTTGCAATAAAATTACCCGAGACCAGCCCAGGACGGCATGGTCAAAACGCAAAAAGGCGGAGGGGAGCGAGCCCTCGTGTATGATTTTGCATTATATGCTCCATGGATATATTACCAACAAACTTACCCATAGTCGCGTAAGCCTGAGCAATCCCACCGCCGCAGCCACCTGCAAGGCCAGCAAAGAACGGATGGACGCCCATTCTTGCACAGGTATCCTCGATCTCGGAGGCGGTGAAAAGTAAGACTGCTCCCTTGGTTGATGCTTCGATCCACGCCTTGAGATAATGATTGTGTAAGTGTACTGAAAGCAGTCAAAATCAGACCCATACATACCCAAGGAATAAGGCCTTGGAAGAAGCCGGCGACACCGCCACGCGCCCATACAGACCTAGTAGCCTCGAGCATAGTCTGGCTCCGGTTGGCAGCCATCTGTGTTTTGAGGACCTCCAAAGGCTGACCAAGGGTAGTGACCTTTCGTAGCCATGGATGTAAGCTATTTCGGCAAGCGCGACACATCATGAGGACATACCTCCTGCAGGATGACCTAGGTCAGCAACGATTTGGAAAACCAGTAACACAGGACTTACGAACTAATACACGAAAGGAGCACACGGAAGCACCAGACGTGAGAATTGGTCCTATTGAAAATAACGTATACAGTACCATGTTCATAATAGCACCTTTGGGAGTTTTGTTAAGCATGGAGCAGTAAACAAACGGTATTAGAACTGACCGACGGCAATGTTAGACCAGTTGACGCCCTTTTGACCAGGTTCCTTTTGTATTGCCATCGTGTGCGGTCGTCGTGGCGAGGGGAGAAAGAACAAAAAAGAGAGGGAGAAGGAACAGAAAAAAGGGCAAGTTTCAACAAGCCGACAAGGAGCCTAATAAATAACCACTGGGGTAGTACGCGGGTAAGTTTCCATAAGAGGAAGTGCCTGTCGCTCGGCCTGTCACCGGAAGGCCGCGCTCCGTGTTAGTTACTACAGACTATCACGCTCATCCAACATGCCTCCGGGCGCGCCTCATAAGCCGAATCAACTCAGAATGGTTCTGAGAAATGTGCATTGGCGGGCTTTTGCAGGTATCTATTATTGGGCAAAACAACCTGAATCCTCTTACATAAACGATAGCTTCCGTGTCCTCGCTCTTTAACATTTGCATCTCTCAGTGCCCATCAGCTTTCCGTTCTTCGTCGGGCCCGAGACGGTTCCTGCCACCGAGGGTAGTATACCAGTCCGCAGAAACCGATCGGACGTCATCGAGTCACTGGTTAGTGACTCTCCAGACGTGATGAATCGCATCATATGGGCAAGGGAAAGTCCACCTTGGTCAGGTGGCCGTGCGGAGTTAAGTCTGTAGATTGCAGGGTAGCTCTATCATGCGGTGAATGACAATCGTAATGTTTCAAATAACATTTGCTATCTGTGGGAACATCTGGTCACTATTGGTCTCGCGAGGAGACGAGAGTTTCAGCAGCAGGGTTTCCGCCACAAAAGATAACTCACGGAACCTAAGGGCAGCCCATACCCGGGAAATCATTGCAGCAGCTCTGTTAGCGTGTCGTATTTTCCGTCGTTGACGCCGAATGGGCCAATTCTCGTTCTGTCTCGGGACTTTGGATGATCTTCTCCAGTTTGAAGCGCTTGCGAGCGGATATGGGGGGACAGTTGCGGATGATCACTCTGTCGTTCAGACGGAGTTCTTATGCAACGTCAGCTTATTCCAAATCTACCCTCAAAACGGACACGTACTGTTGCGCTCGTCATGAGTCAGAATTTTAGTACTTCTCTCGATACGCTGTGCATGAAAACTCAGGACAGAGGCCACCCTCAACGACGAAACCTACTTTTCCTGTCACTTTGTGGATCACGAATCGGGAGACAGTTACAGTCGCTGTCTTATTCATGCAACCGACTTTGGTCACCGTACCAGTGAACGCCATGGGCGACATTTTGTCAGAGCGTATTAAATGTGACGAAGAGCACAGTTGGTCAATTACATAATGCTTGCTTGCATGGTCCTTCGTATGCAAATCGTACACACAAACAAACAGATCTTTGATTAGCAGGGAACCTTGTCTTCTTTCGAGCTAGTTATTCAGACGTCGAGCTTTATTAGGTGCACGTATTGCCTGGTATGTACTATGTAATAAAAGATGTATAGGTGCTGTTATAATGTCCATCAAGTCAACAGGTTTCAAACCGGTGAACTCGCCCTCGAGATCGACTGGTCGGTTGGTGCATACCTGGACCTGACGCGCAGCGCAGGCCCATATCTTGACAACGCAAATGGAATCGGTGCCATAGCCAGAGCAACGAAACCCAATAATGAGGACGCCCATTGGGCTCCGAGTCTGTCGTACATTTGATTGGCGAACAACTGCGCGAGTGAACATGCGTACACATCGAGTGGGGCTATTGCACATACCGGAAAGACAGCGCCAAAGATACTGCGAATAACTGTGTTCGCTGCCAGCGCAGAGGCTGCAACGACCATGTAAGCATCGATGATATAGTTGAGAAGGGAGAGCTAAGGGGATGCTAAGTCGCCAGCGGTAATTACTCTGAAAGATACTCACGAAAATCCAGCATACACCACACCCCAACAACAATCCGGATGCTAACGGAACCCACAGGCTCACACTAGGGAACGATGTCCATCTGACCAAAGAGGTCAGAAGGGCGCTGGTATAAATCCGTTTCGACTTACGCAAACCAAAAGAATGAGATGGCAAAAAATGGACCCGCGAGCATGGCCATCTCCAGCCGGTACTCTGGAGGAACAGGCTTTGGTGCAAACTCTTTAATCTTGCGTTCGTATCGTGGGTTGAAGAAGGCAATATACTGCAATTGCATTTTAGGGTCAGAATGGCTTAAATGGACAAGGGAATCGACCTGCCACGAGCGTTGCGATAACTCCACCAATTGGCAACGGCAAAAAAGTCAATCCCGAAGGACCAGCCCCCATGTGGTGACCCTCTGTGAATACTATGGGGTACGCTTCAAACAGGAGGTAGATACAACCGTACACGAACTGAAAGATATATCGATATGACGAGAATGCTCACGATGCTGGAAATGGACTCACACTCATGTACAGTGTAATTGCAATGAGCATTGGCTCATTAAAAAGAATTTTGAAAGGACGAGCCAGTATATTCTCCATCTGTTGGGCAAAGGAGAGCTTTCGTGTTTCGAACGACGCGTAATATCTCTCATTACCCGTTTGCCTGCGCACTTTTTGTGCCTTCTTCACGAGTATGACAGGCCTATTTGAATCATATAAACATTTGACTATCCTTGCATAGAAAAAAAAACTTACTGGAAGGTTTCCGGCACTGTAAAGACGATCAGGAGGAGACATACTCCAGCCTATCATGGCATGAAGTTGTGGACATGTATGACAAGTGGGAGCTTCACTTACAAAGATGGTAAGAATCCAGAATAACCAACGCCATGATACTTCACTCTGCACCAAATACCCAGAAACGACCGGACCTATACCCGGGCCGGCGAAAGGAGCAACAGCAAAGATAGCCGATGCTATACCAAGCCTTTTCGCATCCCATATGTCACCTATCAAGGCCCTGACACCATGTCTGAATAAAGATAAAAAGACTGGGTAATACCTGCTTACCCAGAATTGGCGAGTGGACAGGATGCAAACGTGCCTCCAATGAAGCGGAAAACAAGTAATGATGCTATGTTCTTCGATAGCGCACATCCAATTTGAAAGCACTAGCATCAAAATGATTAGAGAATGTATTGATAATGATTCCTACAGGGGTCGTACCATGTAAACAAAAAAAGTTAAGATGAAGACCGGTCGACGGCCATACTGCTCGGACAGTGGGCCCCAGATGAGAGGTCCAACACAGTATCCGGCTACGAACAGGGAGACCATCAGATTGCCCACTTCTCGGGAAATACCAAATTCATCCATCAGCGTCGGAACCAAAGCTGATGGGGCACTACTTGCGAACGTCCTGAAAGTGACGTTATTGATTGAATGAACAAGTAGTAATGAAGGTATCCTTACGCATTGAGGACGAGGAGGCCTGCAATCCCTGTTAGGTACCATCGTTTGACTGACGACCAGTTCTACATATCAACTGTAAGGACTATCAACGGAAAGAAAGCACGCGTAGACACGCCTTTGGGTTATCGGGATCGCTCTCGGAGAAAGATACCATGAACGGATCGGCATCCTTATTTGGCTCGTCCGGCAGCGCCTTCAGGATTTTCGGTGGCACTACATGAGTAGTTGCAGCCGTCGAGTTGGTACGCACAGTTGTAAGGTCATGCATTGACAAAAGCCAACGAGGGGAGAGATACGCAAGTATAGGGTAGGACGTCAGAGGCCCGCATGGCGCGCATTTATAGTGATGAGCCGCACGCCGAACGATATGCCCGGAGAGGTCTCCGACGGATTACTACTAACCTCAGTCATCCAGTCTGCGATGTCGCAGCTGTGATTGCATTTCACCAAGTCTGTGTCAGCACCGATTGGCTCATACCCATTTGCCTAATTAGGACGATGTTATGTCATCAACGATGACGATCATCCGAAGTAGTATGTCACTACACACTCCACAGCAGATGGATTTCACTGAAGTTTACAGACAGACTGGTAATCTGGTGTACTTCAGCCCTGGCGCTCATTTTATCCTCAATGCTGCTGAAGACACTCTCGTCGTCCGTCGCACTGATACCCTCCAAGTAACCCGCACCTGGTCCATCGGCCCCCCCTCAGAAACCGTCGTTATCACATCTCATTCCAAGTCTCATGGGACAGCGACCTCCAATAGTCAGTGGATATCACAAGCGGGCTGGTCCTGCGACTCCGAGTACATCTTGGCTGCTTCTTCCAGGAGAGGTGTTGTCCATGTATTCAAACTCAGAGACGAAGACTGGAACGCCAGAATGGAGACAGGCGCAGAAGGCTTGGTAAAGGCAGAATGGGCACCGGACGGACGCCATATCCTCTGTTTCTCTGAATGGGGTGTAAGCCGGCGCATTGTCAATAATATTGCTGCATCAAGCATCTTTGACTCTTCCTTCAGCTTCGCGTTACCATATGGTCACTGTTGACAGCTAGTGCAACATATATACAATTTCCAATTCATCCCGATAGAGGTGGTTATAAGATGTTTTTTTATAGATATCTTGCAGTTGCTTATGAAGCATAGGATATGCCTTCCGTGCAGATGCACGATACTTCGTTTTGGCTGAACGTCACAAGTCGAAGGACACCATGGGTATCTATGATACCTCCAGCAATTACAGATTAGTGCGGGTACGTTACTATTCCTGCTTTGCTGGAAATGCTGGAAGCCAAGTGGAACTACACAGCACTTTCCATCCCCAACGACGAATCTATCTTCACTTGCTCTGTCCCCGTCCGGAAATTACCTTGCAGTATGGGAAAGCATCCTAGAGGCACGTTGATCTTGCAAGCCATTTTACAACCGTAACGCGTACACGTCTGCAGTACAAGTTACACATCCTTTCTCTTGCTGGTGACGTCCAAGGTACTTTTACTCCAACTCCCGACCCGGGTTTCGGCATTCGCCATGCAGCGTGGCATCCAACTGGAATGTTCATCGCCGTTGGAGGATGGGACGATAAGGTAAGTAGAGGGAAGTTGCCGGGACGATGTTTATATGTGCTGACACCTTTAGATTCACATACTTGACAGCCTCACATGGTCAGCGGCGTCAACCCTGGAGCTTTCTAGCAGAATACCTAATGGCGTCGTAAGGTGACCTCGATTTGTGTGACAGGCTGATCATTCAAGTAATGACAGGTGCTGTGGCGAGAGCCTGCTGACTGGCTTGAGTCAACGCAGGGCAGAGGGTTCATCTCATGTGAGTCGTTATCTCATGTTCGTGCAACGACTGACATATGAATTACCTAGATGAGCGCCTCAGGGGTCCTCAGAGCGTCAGTATATGCCGGGTGGATCTCACAAAACCAAATCAGAAATCAGGTGCAGTGCAGCTCGAATGGAATAAGACAGGGACTCTCTTATTAGTGCGATTTGGTAGCTCTGCTTCGTATAATTCACATAGTCAGCGCTGACGACCAACAGAGAACGTGCCAACTCTGGTGCATATCTACGATTTTCCGACGCCCTCTGAACCGTTTGTTCCGCGTCTGCGGTGCGTGCTGCAACACCAGAAACCTGTTCTAAGCGCACGATGGAATCCCGTGCGTAAGGGCAATTTAGCGATTTGTTGCGGCACGCAAAGTGTCTACACGTGGAGTGATGAGTGGCAAGGGGAAGGCGGCGAGGAGGAAGATATGGCCGAGTGCATTGGAGTGCCCACCAACAGTAAGTAGTTTATTGGCTCGTGGCTTCTTCGACACTACTTTCCCGTAGTGATGTACGAAACGAGGGACATTCGATGGGCACCGGATGGAAAGGGGCTGGTATTGATGGACAAAGATACTTTCTGCTGTGCCTTCGAAGTCGAGGACGATGTGATCAGTTGACGTGTACATATCTACATACGATAGGAATATGACCTTGCTTGCGACGACCGACGCGCACGCCATCGGCCCGGCGAGGTATTGCTGACTAATGCCGCCTCCGTTCCTCCAAGGCCTATTAGCAGTGCCTCCGTCAACCGTCAGCCCGAGTTGTTCCATCTACCATGTTATCGCGTTCTTTTCGTGTCGCTGGTCTTGCGGAACGTAGGCTGACCTCGCTGAACAGGTCCCGTCTATTGAGGTCGTTCGCTAGTTCCTCGAGTAATCACGAGCAGAGGGATCAGGTCCCGAAGCCGGGAACTGACGACGACAAAGGAAAGGCAAAGGCCGACGACGCAGATAACAAACGGGCGGAGGCCCCTCAGGAACTACCTAGAGGATTGGAGGGCTTTTTCCAGCGCTATCAGCAGTCCAAACAGAGGCAGCAATGGTCATCTAAGCAGTCGGATACACAGGAAGATGAACAACCTCGCGTTAAACCCCCACCCCAAGGCGGGAGCAACAACAACTTCAATCCTAATCAGCTAGCGCTCCTTGTTACTTCCGCCGTCATCTTTTATGCCCTCAGTGGTTCCTCGGGGTCGCAGTCGAGGGAGATTACTTGGCAAGAGTTCAGAACCGCGTTTCTCGACAAGGGTTTGGTCGAAAAACTCATAGTCGCCAATCGACAGAAAGTGCGGGTCAAATTACATTCAAACGCAGCGGGCAGTATGTACTCCCTAGGGGGTAGCGACTACTGGTTCTCCATCGGCAGCGTAGAGGCATTCGAGCACAAGCTCGAGGAAGCTCAGGATGAGCTCGGAATTCCCCCTAGCGAACGAATACCAGTCGCCTACCACGACGAGATCTCAACAGTTCATACCCTTCTCAATTTTGCTCCTACTCTCCTTTTTGCAGGCTTACTCTTCTACATGAGTCGCAGAGCTGGGTCGTCCGCCGGTGGTGGACCCGGAGGGATCTTCAGCATCGGTAAAAGTAGAGCCCGACTATTTAACCAGGATACGGACGTCAAGATCAAATTTAAAGACGTTGCTGGGATGGACGAAGCGAAGGAGGAGATTATGGAATTTGTGAAGTTCTTAAAGGAGCCTGGAAAGTACGAGAAGCTCGGTGCCAAAATTCCTCGTGGCGCAATACTTTCTGGCCCTCCGGGCACGGGGAAGACGCTATTGGCAAAAGCCACTGCCGGAGAAGCATCAGTTCCCTTCCTCTCTGTCTCTGGGTCCGAGTTCGTTGAAATGTTCGTTGGTGTCGGCTCCTCCCGCGTCCGTGACTTGTTTGCGTCTGCCAAGAAAAATGCTCCTTGTATCATCTTCATTGACGAAATCGACGCGATTGGAAAGTCGCGAGGGAAGTCGGCAAGCTTCGGAGGTAACGACGAGCGAGAGTCTACTCTCAACCAGTTGTTGGTTGAAATGGACGGATTTGGCACACAAGAACACATCGTAGTGCTGGCTGGCACCAACCGTCCTGATGTACTCGACCCTGCTCTTATGCGTCCTGGCCGCTTCGACCGGCACATCACCATTGATAGGCCAGACGTGTCGGGACGTAAGGGTATTTTCATGGTCCATCTCAAACCCTTACGCCTTGCTCCGGACATTTCGGACATGCCCGTTCTTGCCCAGAAGCTCGCTGTCCTCACACCTGGTTTTTCTGGTGCAGACATTGCAAACGTTTGTAACGAAGCTGCACTGCATGCCGCTCGGAAGGGCCACGAATACGTCACGGACGGGGATTTTGAGAGTGCCATTGAGCGGGTTATAGCTGGTCTCGAGCGGAAGAGTAGGGTGCTCAGTCCCGAAGAGAAGAAGATTGTTGCGTACCATGAGGCTGGACATGCCGTGTGTGGCTGGTTTTTACAACATGCGGACCCTCTCCTGAAAGTCAGCATCATCCCCCGTGGAGTAGGTGCATTGGGTTACGCACAGGTATATATTTCTTGATAGCATTGGAATACGTTGACCTGGCTTATACTGCTTACAGTACCTTCCTCCGGATCGCTACCTGCTTTCCACACCACAAATGATGGATCGTATTTGCATGACTCTAGGTGGACGAGTCTCAGAAGAAATTTTCTTTGGCGCCGGGAATATCACTACTGGCGCCCAAGATGATCTCCAGAAGATCACGCGAATGGCATTTGAGGCATGCGCCAACTACGGTATGAACAACATAATTGGCCCTGTCAGTTATGGTGGTCGAGAAGGGCAGAAGGAGAGTTGGACGAAGCCTTTCAGCGAGAAGACTGGCGAGATGTTGGACGCCGAAGTTCGGAAAATGATCATGTGCGTGTAGAGGCCTCATCGAAGAGTAGTGTTATTGATGTCGCCGTTCTGCAGAACTGCTCATCAACGGACTACAGAGCTCCTTACTCAACATCGTGAGGACGTTGAGAAGATTGCCAAGCGACTTTTGGAGAAAGAGGTCCTTACACGGTCAGTCACTCGGCACCATACTAGGTCGGCAACTCTGAACAGTTCGACAGGGAAGATATGATCGACCTTCTTGGGAAGCGCCCTTTTGCTAACCAAGCGGATGACATGGACAAATGGCTCGATCAACACCGTGGACATGAGCGTAGCGCTCCTCCTCCAATTGAGGAATCTGATTCAGCACCTGGAGATTCAGTGCCTTCGCCAGTCGTGACTTATACGAGGATAGGTGACTGCAGGCTCAGATAAAGATTCAACCTAACCACCTCAGTCTCGCGTTGCAGAGCCGCCATCTGCCTTAGATATCATCCGCAGTGAACATCGACACACTAAAACTCTATTGTAATTCGTGCCGAAAAAAAAAAACCGCTCCATTCAATTTCCCCTGGTCCTGCTCACCTAGTGCGCCTTGTCTGCCTGAACCCGCAAATCGTAACACCTGGGTATCTGGTGGGTTGACAGATGGTAACGACCTCGTCACGTTGATCCTTTGGAATGTTATCATCATATTCGCGGCGGAGAACCATGCCATGCAAGTGGAAGTTGACGTGTTATTTGAATATTTGGAGGTCTGATGTGGAGTGACTACGAGAATGCTTTGCGATATGTGTCGATGCCAACAACTTCTTCGAGGGGTTTGAGGGATTCACGTAGCCAATCTTTCACGTCCTCCGTCTCCAGTCCTGCTGCTCTTATTACGAAGGTATTTCCATCATCCACAGGGGTCATAGCCCACAGCACGCGTGGGGGTGCGGCCATGCTCAAGACGTAGCAAGATCTTAACTTGTCCTTCAACTGGGCAACGACACCGTGTACGAGGGGACCACAGACAATGAGCGTTGCATAGCATGAGTAAGGCTTGAGCCTGTCACTTAGCGAACGCCGTGACCTATTAGGCCGATGCGTGACAACGGCTGCATCGTCGTCGTGTAGAGGCTCTTCAAGTAGCATGACGTCCTTAGCGATGCGTCGCCCATTAACCGTGACTTCATTCACGCTGAAATAACGCGAAAATACCCATTCCTCTCCTAGTGACCTGCGACCCGACGTGAACCAATCCAGAAGGACCAACGAGGCACCATTTGAAAGGTGAAACCTCTGCACTTGGGTATATGACGCAGATCGAAAGCATGTCACAGGATCCGGGAGGAGGAAGACAGCACTTGTGGGTGCAACGTATATGTCCATCAGCTGCGTCGTCGTGGCATTGTTAAGTAGGTTGGCGTCAGTCGGCAAGTTCCCCAAACGAGCTGATGCCCGGTTGGCGGAACGCGCTTTAAAGACCTTGGTCGATCCCTGTTGGCTGGGGGTTGAGTTGTCTGCAATGGAGGTGGAGGGTAGAGCAACAAACCTGAGATAGCAATAGGAGTTTGCTTCCACCCTCCGCTCGTACCTGCAACTTGATGCGATCTCCGCAGACAAGACCGCCCCCATAGTTCATCACATACACTATGGCTACATCATTGTCGGCCACCCGGGGAGAAAGGAGCTTGAGAGGGTATGTCGACGACAGTTCTGAGAACACAACCGATACACCATTGAGAGAGCAGGTTATCTTCCCATGTCCAGGAGCAATGCGGTCGTCCACCGTTGGCACCATAATCACTAGCGGGCACGGTCTTAAGTTAATAAGTTAAGTTTCCCAAAAGGTTTTAACGAACATCAATTATTCCCTACAAGTCGCAATTTATGTGAACACGTAGTATTTCCATATCACATGCATGGCCCTAGACACGCCGAGTACGTGTCAGCAGAAACAAAAGAAACGAGCGAAGGTAACTGACAAGGATGTGACATGGAAGACAATAATATAAGATAGCAAGAACAAAGGATACAAAACGAGTGTGAATGTCGAGTCACCGAAGCTCTATACTGCGAACGAAAAAGTTCGGAAGGTCCACTTAAAGGACATGGATGAAGTTGAGAAGACAAGGTAGGAATTTACTAGTCAGTACTTCCTCGTTGCGAGTGCGCGGATCTCGTACAAAAATGACCTGTCAGGTTCAGCAAAAGGGTCAGTTTGTCGTGACGCCAGTGAACGCCAGCCCCTTATTTCTGAACGATGTCGATCTTCGGCGGAGCGGCAAACCTCCACGAAATCGTCCGCAACATCATAGACTATTGAGGCTCGCGAGCCTCGGTCACTTTCCGACTCGGAGGTTGTTCGAGTGCGGCTGCGCGCTGGACTTGGAGCAGTGACTACAATTGTTGATGAGCAAGGCACACTCGTATCGAGGGTTGCATGAGCTGCGGAACTCTGCTGGCTAGCACGTATCGTTCCTCCCTTGGTCTCCCATGCTTCCTCATCTTCATCATCAGCCAAGTCAGCAAAAACATCAGGCTCCTCCTCACCCGGAGGCAGCGTTGATATCCAGCACATCCGAGCAGGGTCGAAAATCATATTGCCAACTTTTCGCGCTCCAGAAGCGAAGGAACCTACGGGCGAGCCAATAGAAGAACCGGTAAGATGCGTTATTAAGGCCGGGCGGGTCGATGTGCCGACAACTGCATCAAAGTCCCGGAGCACTTGATCATTTCCCTCCCAACGAAGAGATGATGGATTCCATTTCATGCCACATACCACTAAGAAAGTACTTGAGCACCTATGGCCGGTAGCAACCACACCACATACCTTTTGGGCCACTGGGTATACCGAGATGTCGTATGAGCGTTGGTTTCCTTCTGGTATGACCGAGCACTGGGGATTGCGAAGAAGCATCCTTTTTCTTTCGAACAGGCTCCACGACTGGGGCACTGACTTTGGAAAGCTCGAAACAACCAGTACGCCTCAGAGTATTAGTAAAAGGTGTGAATGCGGCTGATGAATCTAAGTAGGAGGCATTGAGAATATGCTACGCCCCAATCGAGGAAGTACTGACCTGGAGTGGGACTGCGCCCATCTCTTCGCCCCTTTTTCCGCATTGTGCCCGTCTCTTTCTCCTTGTCAGAAGACTTCAGCACGCCGTTAACGACGCCTCGGCCCATGGCCTTGGGCTGTATTCGAAACTTGCATTCCTTCTCCCGATCGGTGGGGAGATCATCGAAACCGTCCAGCTCCGTACCGTCGCCATAGGTTCTTTGCCGCTTTGGGCGGCGTAGTAGTTTGGGTGCTATGGATGGGGTGATAGAAGGCATCTGAGTGGGTGCTACACCCTTTCGTAGCGAGGACGTTGACGGAGGACGGTGAGGAATAGGAGAAGTGGCACGATGCGCTGGATGGGGTGAGGGGTTGGGAGAAGAGCCTGGAAACACGGAGGACAGGGAGGGTCTCGATTTTACACGCAACGAGGTGGGCATAGTCAGACGTAAAGCAGCAGAATTTGATGAAGGAGTTGATGGTCGCGTGGGTGGTACCATAAAGTCAAGTGTGTGCATCCGACTCGTGGAACTTGTATGTGATTTAGCACGCGATGCAGCTGTAGGAGCATCGTACCTCGTAGGCTTCGCTACCGTCGAAGAGCCTGTTGTGTAAACTATCCCGGAGCCTGCTGCTTGGGATGTACTGGTTTCCATTAATGAGGACAACGAGGCTTTGCGAGTGAGTCCTCTGCGTTGGGATGGTGGTGTCAGAGGTTTGAGACCTGAATGTGATTTTTGTCCGCGTAAACTGCCAGGCTTTGGAGACAAAAGGGTATTTGTGGATGTCGGAGGTGCTGTGGTGAGGGCCTCCTTGTATGTACGTGTGGAAGTGGGGACTAGCGGAGGAGGGGATGAGGACAACTTGATACGCTGGAGCTGGCGAGCGGACGATACGGGAGGGTTGATTGGTGATTTGGCACGAGCTGTCCTCAGCCGAGAGGGAGGTCGTGCAGGGGGAGGAGCTCTGGCAGGAGCGCTCTTACTGCGAGTGGCGGGATGCTGCGTCTGCTTTGCGCTGACGAGCCTGCTGGGGTTAAAGTCGTCATCGTCTTCGATGACGAGCCCCATTTCAAAATCATCTTCAGGGTCTGGATACGCTGGTTTTACCCTGTGGTCGGCTATCTGGGTTTTCTTCTTTATCTCAAGCAACCTCTTGAGATGTTTTCCACTCTGTCCAGATTCAAATAAACCCAGCGGAATGACAAGACCTTCGAGCTCGCTTTCATTTTCCTCACAATCACTTTCCTCCGTCCCTGGTAAAGAGATCGAGGACGCTGAATTCGAGGAGCAAGCATCGGCAAAGCCAAGGGTAGAGTAGGCATCTGATGATTGTGAGGAAGAGGTTTGATCCCTGTCTCCCCATTCTAGGGAATTCTTTGATGATCGATGGCTCAGTGGTAGAGGGGCTAGAGAAAGTTGTGTAAGGTCGGACGGGAGAGCGAAAGCGGACTCAAAGTCCTCGTCGATGGGGGTGGGGGGCGGCTTGTTGACAGTGGTTCTCGGAAGATGGGCGACTTTGATGGTAGATACACCTTCATCCTCCTCCTCTTCCTCCTGACAAGTAAGGGGAGGTCGGATCGTGACCATGCCGCCTGAACTCAGTCTGGAGAGCTCATTCCGAGCGGCCAGGGCGGAGACAACAGCGTTAGCCTTTGCGCCACCCGTCTTCCCAAAGTCCAGTTCGGTGTCCCAGTCCATGCCTTCATCTTCATCTTCTTTGTCGGATTCAACTACGAGAGACCTTATGTGGTCTCCTTCAGGAAGGTCGAAGTCGGCGTCGGGCCATTCTTCCCCAGATTGGGGAGCGATCGGTGCTGGGACGGTGGTCATGTTAGACTAGTAGAGAGTGTAGTGTAGAAATGCCCCGTGCTGGGGGCGAGCGATGGTGAATTTTCAGGAGACTTGGTGGAGAGAATGGAAGTGGGGAATTGTAGGGAGGAGATCCGGTGCGAAATCGCTTTGAAGAGCGGACAATCGCACGGGAGACCCCCTACAAAGTACCCCTCCGGATAGTCAGAACAATAGCTACGATTGTCTTGACCTTGCGTTTGTTGGCCAACGTCGAGGCTTGGCTTGTCGGGCGTCTGTCGGGTTGAGTAAACGAAGTAAACGTGCTTGGATATGCTGGCCGCCACACCATTGTGACTGTCACGTCACGCGCTGGTGAATCGGTGCACAAACAATCTAACACAAACACTCCGTACACAAAAGTGACCGTGCTGCACTTAAGGTCAATACGGCATGAGTCGTCGCCGCTCCCTTGCATCCCTTTCAATCTCATCATCGCTTGCCTCTGAACCTCCTCTCGGGTCCTCTGACCCTCGTACCCCCCTGTAGTTCCGCGTGTAGTCCTCTAAACTTCTTCTCATCCGCAACCCCCTGTCTGCCATAACTTCAACAAAACCATGTAGTTCGTGAGGCTTGAATACTTGTCTTAAGGGTCCAAACGCTAGTAGATACAGTTCTGTGTCGCGTTATCAATCTTGGTCCAGAACCGAATTATAATGCCAGATACCAACCCTTTGAGAGAGGGCATTCACTAACAGCCCTATAAAGTAGATCCTTGGCTCTTTGCGTCTGGCCAGCACGGATCTCGAACTCCATGATGACACGCCAGATGATTGAGCTGTTCTTTGTCCTTTGGGAGCGTCAGTGCCGATCTAACAGTATTCAGCAAGCTTGAAATGTACCTTTCGCTCTCCGCCGCTGCGAACAATCCCGCTCTTGTCCGCTCGATTTCCCTTTCCCAACGGCCTTTCTCCCATCCCGCCGTCCATACCTCGGCAATCCTTCTCGTAATATCCTTTTCTTTGTTAACTTGGCCCATCTGATTCCTGACTCGTCCCCACAGACCGTGCCCCTTTTCAGCTTCAAGAAACATTCCAAGGATAATGGTGTTGTTGGGATACGTCTCCAGTGCGGTCTGCAATCGATCCCGCAAGAAGGCAGGTGGTGTAGAGTTACGGAGGGTGGATGAATGATTATACAACATCAACAACGACGCAACCGTTAAGCTCTCCTGCTGCTCAGCGGACATCCTCAAACCAGATGGGGGTGGTGCATCAAAAATTGCCAAAGCGGATGCTGGAGAGGACGCCGTCAAAAGCTCTACCACAGCTCTAAGCTTTATCCACGCCTCACGATCCTTCCATCGTTCGTGCGATGCGTTGGTGATATCCTCCAGATTGCGTTTCGCCCTCAGGACCATCATCCCCCCTGAGCCGTCAACATTGCCGGCACGCATTACCACGCGCAGAGCGACTTCTTGATCACCATTTAGCCATTCCATTTCCGCCCAATCCCACCATAATTGGCCAACGAATGCGTGGGTAGGCGGACGACGAACAGCAATGAGAGCCGTCTGATAAACTTTGCGTGCATCCTCGACGCGTCCACGTAGACGTTCAAGTCGGGCATGTGCAGCCCAGTGAGCAAGCGACTCACGAGCGGTCGAGAGGAATGATCGCGAGAGCTTCAGTGCGCTAAACGTGTGAAATTAATACCAGTCCAATAGTGACCGAGTAGCACCACTCACCGTTTCACGTTCACCGCAGCCTCAAAGGCTAACGCGTAGATATCCCACTCGTGATCCTCTGTCCCACACCGAAGCTGACTAAATATCGCTCTCACAAACTCCTGGTTGACACCTTCGACGTCTTTTTCTGTCCACATCCGCCAATGATCCTTCCCTACCCATTCAAGTGGCGCAATAACATTTAAACTCCACTCCTTTATGGGCCCAAAAGCACTCAAATACTCTCTTTCTTTACCGACCAGAACGCCAGAATAAGAGTCCGCAAGAAACTGTCGCGCAGATCCTCTTTCAGGGAATATGGACGACAAGCAAGCTGGGCTCGTGAAAAATGTATAGGACCACCGGTCCCACGCATCATCTGCCAGAGACCGCGAGAATCCTGGAACATGAAGCCCTAGAAAGGCCAGCCACAGAAGCCTAAAAATGCTTTTTGCTCGCTGTGTCGTAAGCGACAGCAGGAGTGGGCGGATATCTGAAAATAGTACAGTTGAGTATGGGTCAGACGCAGCTCGCTCTGTCATTGAACGTGTCGGGGCACGCAAGAGACGATCAGCTCGTGCTTCGTCGTTGTACCACGAAGAGAACGGATCCGCGGACGGCTTGATACCAACGTCCATTTGGATGCTTTCCTCGCTAATGGTGCCTATCTCTGGTCGGCCGGATGATGTCCACGCCGACCAGCCTTTGGCATCGACCTCCCCAACGCGCGGCGCTTCAGACTCCCAAAACTCTTCTAGTGCTTCCAGTTGCGTTTCAATCGGTAATCCATACAACGATTGGGGGACTTCGAACGTTCTTGAGAGCAGTCAGACTGAGCGTGCAGACGATTGAAATAGACCTCACAGTTCTGCCTGAGCTTGGAACAGTGCTGTTGCACGTTCATAGAAGCCTTTCGGGATAAGTGATCAGAGAAAAATCGCCAGACAGCTCTTGCCAGATGGACGTACCTGCCTCTTGAAATGTCACAGCAACGCGCCACACTACTCGTAGTTTGTCCACCTCGCTATCCGATGAATCACCCAGCGCGTGTAATGCACGTGTAGCATCGGTCACAACACTATCGATGCTTTCAGTCGATTTCCGGATCCGCCACTCTAGCCATTCCATCCAAATCTCAACACCACCCAATTTAAGTGCCTCTTCCCACTCGACTTGGAGTTTGCTTTCATACCAGACTTCCTCGCCTGCGCGGAGATATTTCAGTCGGAGGAGCCGCGATGTGCGATTGGAAGGGTGAGCCGCGAGAGCACGGTCGAGAACCGACAAAGTTATTTCAGCACGAACGGCTGACGCGTTCTTGGACGCTGGGGGAACAGTCGCTAGTGAACGAGTAACAAGGGATAACCATATTTCCACAGAAGACGGTTGAAGTGCGATTTTCTGTTCAAGGTCCTTGATAGCAAGTTGCTCCGACGGCAAAGCGAGTAGCCCTTCATCGTCATCAGAATTATCCTCTTTCCCTTCTGAAGACTCTGAGTCGGTGTCGGTTTCGTCCTGGAAAGAGCCGTAAAATTCCCCCGGCACGCGACCCCCGCGAGATGGGAGAGGAAGAAATCCGTTGACTTCTTGGTATTTGTAATTGCTGGCATTTGCAATCAGACGCCGGGCTGGAGTATTCAGAAGCGCCCTAGTGCCGGGGTCCGTCAATCCTAACTGCTGCAAAATGCAGCGCAGATCAGAATGACGAAAAGAACCTGAATCATTGCGCGCTTACTTTTCGACCCCCACCCAACACGATCTCTATCCCCTTTCCCGATTTGCGAGAGACGGACCAATTGCCAACGAGACCAAGGATATGCCTGCCCTCTTGTAAATCGTTAGTTGTCCAGTACAGCACAGAGGCTGTACTTACGGTTCACTGGACGATATTTGGGAAGGTCGCCTGCGTGTATGCTACCATAAGTGATGTTGAGGGGATCTCCCTTACGATCTGAGAAGAAAGACCATTGGGTGTGGTCCTGTACTGCAAAACGACGGTCTTCGTCCTGTTTGTTCCGCTCATCGTGATGGACTATGTCCTTGACCCAGCTACTATGACGTGTGGGCTCCGGGAAGTGTGAAATATGTTTCTCTCGTTTAGATTTCTTTTCCTTGTCTAGTCTACGATCCCACCAGTCGCTCCTGTCTTCTCTGTTCCTTTGGTAGGCCTCATTTGAGTGGTCTCGATGTACAATCGTGGTGTCGAACTGGTCGGGTGATCTGGTGCGCTTGCTTGGGCCAGGATCAGGTAGGACTGGGAAGGAAGAAAAGGAGGGGGTGAACGAGGGGAGCGAGGGAGCAGACATCGACTCGCTCGATCTGTTAACTGCTGGGAAAATACTGTTGGCCGTCTGACAGCTGCAGGCACGACGATGGGTCACCGTGACCGGCCTGGCGGTGAATCCGGACGGAGGCTTCTATATTTGGCACTGATCTTCCGGATTAATTATTTTATCGCACTTCTGCAGTTTCCCTTCACCGATTCCGACATGCGTCCCCTGACGGAGGAGGAGAGCAAGGCTGTATTCACAAAACTTGCAAATTACATTGTACTCTCAATTATCTTTTTGTGAAACTAACTGCACTGACAATGGTTCAAACAGGGCAAGAATCTGGTTCACCTCATCGATCGCAACGACGAACCGTATTGCTTCAGGCTACACAAGGACAAGGTTTACTATGCCTCAGAGGCAAACATGCGTCTGAGCATATCAGTTGCCAGACCAAATCTCATAAGTCTGGGCACTTGCTTCGGAAAATTCTCTAAAAGTGGCAAGTTCAAGCTACACGTTACTGCTCTCGACTACCTCGCCCAGTACGCTAAATACAAGGTCAGTGTTATTGTAACCCTGCTATTTTTCTCTCTGAGATGGGGCATCTTAGATTTGGATAAAACCTAATGGTGAAATGCCATTCTTGTACGGCAATCACGTCCTGAAAGCACACTTGGGCCGGATAACTGAAGATACCCCCGAACATCAAGGCGTCGTGGTGTTTAACATGAACGATATCCCATTGGTGAGAGGTTTAGACTATGGTTTTTCCGTTGGCACATTTTTTTCCAGGGATTCGGCGTGACTGCACGGTCAACAGTGGATACCCGAAAACTAGATCCTACAGCAATCATCGCATTCCACCAAGCGTGAGTGCAATGATGGTATTTACTTTTCCCTTGCATCTTAGACGTGCTTTCTAGGGATGTTGGAGAATATCTCCGAGACGAGGTCGAGCAAGTTTACCCCAGCAGTTTTGTGATAGCTGACGATCGACACAGGATACTCTCGTATGAAGTTGTATTCCGTCTGTTGACATTCTAAAATACAGTGCGTATCAAAATAATCCCAAACGGTCATCTTGGCCGACTCCTGTGCACTAGGTTGGCCCTCAGTTGGAAAACAAGGCACACTGGTGATATGGGCTGCCAGTCTCGCTCCAACTCCTGTTGTTGGCGAAACTTTCATTACAGTTATCCCAACCCATATGCAAACGATGAACGGGGCTGTCAAGAAAATGCATGGAAATTGTCGACAAGCAAATTCCGTGAATAAAAGTACTCAGAACTTGACATGAATATAGCCAGTTGAAGATTATGTAATACATTGCCATACACCTAATAGTGAAGCCAACCGGCGGGACGGCCATCTTACACATGCCCATCAAGGATGTCCGCACACCAACCTCACGCCCGCTGGCAGAACGTAGGGGACGACGAACTCACCGTGCACATCGTCCGCGACATTCTTAACGCCATCGACGACGATTTCTGGGTAGCCGCCGCTTGTGCGGACAGGCTTGTGAATGACGTCGATGTGCAGCGGGAGCTTTTGGAACTCGGTTTGAGTCGTACGTCCTCTGCTGTCGACAGGGCCAAAACTTCTCTGGTGCAAGGTCCTGAGTCTAGGACTTTGTGTACGAAGGGTGCCCTCAACGCGTACTTTGAGCAGGTCCCTGGCGACACTCAACTTTGCCAGCTCCGTGCCATTTTCCTGGACCGACTCGACAGACTATCTTCGTTCGTGGAAATTTACAGGATTGTGCAGCCTCAATCGGAGGGACCTGACGACATCGACTCTGAATGGGAGGATGACCCTTGGGGCGATGATCCCGACGAAACACACAAACTCAACCTTTCTTCCGCTGCCAGCTCGCATATCCCTCTATCGGAATTCCTGGTCATGGACATAGTGGACGTCGCCCGTTTCTTTGCGTCGCTGGAGCTTTACCCTGCAGTTTTCATTCTCATGACTCACCACTCATCTTCGTTATGGCCATTCCGTTTCGCTGTGCTGAACAGTATACCCACTCATGCTTTACCTTCGGAATATTCTGAGGTCTTACCTGCCTATGACGTCGGTCAAGGCGCAGAACATGTCCCTCGCTCACACAGTTGGAGAAGCGAAAGTGATTGGGTAGAGTCTGGGGAAGTCAGGGCTGCTCTTACAGGTTCGCAGGCGCCCCCTCACGCAGGACACATTACTCGCGCGGTGCCGTTGCCTGTAGACGACCCTCTGGATCCCCAGAAATTGACCGCATGGTATGCACGGCGTGCAGACGATGTCATCACCTCAACAGGTATGCTTGACGTAGCACTTGCTACGGTCCAGCATGGTGTTTCTTTGGGTGTGCCGGATCTAGACCAATTAGAAGAAGACCTTAGTCTCCTTGCGCGTTTGGTCTACGATGCTCCGCAGCCCAGCGGATCAAGCAACGTAGAAGATTGGACTCTCAGCCGCTGGAAGTCACTGGAACCCGCTCAAGTCGTCCAGGCTTATCTTGCATACTCAACCCGGGAAACAGTGGCAAGGGACATGATGCAGATTGTCATGCCGTACCTTTTCGTATTGGATGCTCGTGCAGAACGTGCTGGTCAGCCCGATTCCGATCTTACAACACACCTGCTCTATGACTACGTCCTTAGTGCCCCCCTACCAATGGCCGCTGCAATCTTTGAGGCATCAAAACCTACACTACCTTTATCGCAGAGGATAATTCGCAACGACGAAGATATGGCCAGGCTGGCTCTTGCTTGCCTCTACAGTAGCGATAGTCTCGACGCATGGCATACTATGAGTTCTATATTTGAGTGCCTCCCTGCATGGGATATTCAACCTGGTGCAATGGACGAAGCCGACGAAGCAGATGCGACCATCGCCTCACTTGGGGCATTCGTCACACCATCCACGACAAGTTCCCATTGCTCAGCCGCTGATTTACTTTTGTTCTTCAAGCCATTGCCCATTGTTTCTCTTTCACGTGCTTTGGACATCTTGGATGTCCATCTTATGTGTGGCGAGATACTCTCACGGTGGAATGTACCTGCACCCCTCCGCTGGTTCCCTCAAAGTGCAGGTGATGTTGTTGAGCAGCGCGCAAGGGCCAATCGGATGGCGCGACGCACTGGAAGCTCCCCCGGTGAGATGAAAAGTAAAGATGACTGGGAGTGGTTACTGGATGATATGTACAAGCTACGTGAAACGAGCAAGGCTGGAATTAAAGGAGCTTTTGGTCTCATGTCCGAAGTGGATATTTCCTCGATATTCCTCACTGGTCTGCTCAGCTCCGGCTGTGAGTCCTACCACCTTTCTGAGTCTGGATGCTGTTATTGACTGATTTCCTTAGTGTTTGATATTGCGCGTGAATTTCTGCATAAAAAGCCTAGCAAACTCTCTTTGCCGGTTTCTGTCGTAGAGGACATTTGTCTCTCTGTTTCACGGGAGTTTTATGATAACGCAAGTTCCACAAACTTCAAGATCGGTGACATGAAATTAGCCTACGACTGGTGAGTCTCGAAGTTCGGGCTGAGGGTCTAGAGCTGAGGGTTGTGCTAGCCTCGCCGTCTGGCAGCCATCAGAGCGCCTCTCTAGAGAGCGTGATTTCATCGAAGCTACTTCAAGGATCTCCTCCTACAATGTTTATTCGCGACCTGGTGTGAAGCTATCCCCCATCGAGATACGCCTTACCAAAGACCGTCTTTCCCTGATTTCGCGCATACTTTCCGGCACGGCTGATGCTTACAAGCACATGCAAGTCGTTCTCGATCTCCTTTACAAGCTAGGTTACAAAGGCGACGTGGTTGCAGAGGTCAAAACACTCGCCATGCTTTCTGATACCGCCCTTCAAGCAGAAGACTTTACACGGGCTTACGAGACGAGTCAGAGGATGATTGAAACGGTTTTAAGATTACGCGCGAAGGCTCCGGCTTCGTCAGACGATCCTGCCGTCCACGAGGCATGCGAAGTATGCTGGGTGGCATGTTATCAGCTCGGCAGACATCCAGAATTCAAAGATGTAGAGAAGAAGCTGGTGGTCTTAGGTCGCGCTCTTGAGCTTTGCCCGGAGGACAAGCTCGGTAATATTCTTACGTCATGGCACCGACTCCAGAGGGAGGATTTGGACACTCGTCGTGAATCCATTTCCAGTCGGTCGACTACACACCAGCGACGTCCCGTGGCAAGTCGGAAGCCTGTATCCTCTCTTCAAGCGAAACTCACAGACTTCCATCTACCAATGGCGCCTCTCATCAATGCAGAAGATGCAGCTGCGCTGGCGGGCAGAGCCTTCAACCGCGTTACTTCCACTCTTCCGTTTACGGTGGGTGGACGAAGCCGCTCGAATGCGTCAGGGGACGACACAAGAGCAGGAAGTAGTGATGGTAGTAGACTTGGGCTCAACGGTGAAGATGTCTCGGCCCACGCCAGTCGTGTCCTTCAGAGGGGGATAGGTTGGCTGCTTGGGGCAGATGAGAGCTAATGCCAAAGTAGCTGTAGTACTGTGCTCCTTCGACGGTTTTGTTCATTTCAAAGAACTTTTTGCATCCCGGACCGCGCTGAAACTCGGACGAAGCGAGCACTAACAGAGTGGGAGAAGGAAGGGTATCAAGTGTGGCAAGTACACGCAGTAGGGTGATCGAATAAAGATAAGCCGGTGATAAACTACAATATACTAGTCATAACAAAATATTCCGGAAAGGTGTTATCTCAGCTATAGTCAGGCAAAAACAACGTGACGAGTAAGGCAAATGGTCACTCGAATAGATACGAAGCAAATTACGCGATAATATGGCTCCTAGGTCGGCTGAAAGTGCCGAAGTTTTAGTGGGATTCATCGTCTTTAAGCCACTGCAGGGGGACAATCCGCCGACAGACTTCACAGTATCCTTTGTCGTCTGCAGCACGAAGTTCCTCCACTTTGGCTTGCAGATTTCTGACCTGTTGCTGCAAATCTTGAACCTGCCGTTGCCATGCTCTATTAGCGGATAACATTTGTTCCTGAAGAGCCTTGACAACAGATGGGTTTTCTCCAGATACTCCCACACCATGACGTGGTTCGTCATTACTCGGCCGGCTCGAAAGAGGAGTGAGTGGTGAAAGCACGGCTCCGGAATTGCTGGTAGGACTAGTTGTGGCTGAGTCCAGAGACGTGTCTGCATCAGAGCCGCCGACATATTCCGCAAAATGGGAGCTAAACAGCGAAGATACTGGACGCAACTGGAGAGCCTGGAAGTCCAACGCAGTGGAAGGAGCACTCTGAGGTACATTTAAGGGTAGCGACAATCCCGAGTGTGGATTGTTGTCATGTGGCCGGGATTGTACATCTGGACCAAAATTCGGGATAGAGGTAAAATGGCTGGACGTGCCGATGTCAATGTTAAGAGGTGGCGGCAGCAGCTTACTGGTGGTGTGGACAGTTCGTTCGCGTCCAGGATCTTGGTTTTCGTCCGGATGTAGTTCAGGGCTCCTGGATAGCGGCCCCTCGGGAAATTCCTCGGAGAGCTGGCCGCAGAGACTCTGCGGTACGTATGTGTCACGGAGTGAAGGCACTGGCGGCGGAGAAGGCTGATCCCCTTCGCCACGGCCACTGAATAATCGCAGAAAACCACTCTTTTTGTGCTTAAGAGCGCGACTCCCGGATGTTCCGCTTGACGAGAAACCTGGGTCTTGCCGTTCGGAGTGGGACGTAGTCCCCACTACGGAGTGTAAAGCAGTTTTCGCTCGGGCACTAGCACTTATCGACCGTGCCCTCCGCCTGACCGAATTTGACATGCGGCCCAGATTGTTCGGATTATTAGGTGTGGCGGTTAACTCGCCTGGATGCGACGAGGGGACATGTGACGTTGAATCCACCGCTTTCGAGTGCGCCGCCCCAGGATGAAGCGAAGCAGTGCGTGACTTCTCTCGCGCTTGGGCCTCCTCGAGGGAAATAAGGGCTACTGGAGGAGAGTGGTGATGAGCGATCCATCCAGGGCTCGCAGATCCGCGAAGTGGGGGATGAAGCGATAAAAACTTGGCGTCCCGATCCAAGTATGCAGGATTAATGTCGGTTCCATGAAGGATAATAGACGGAGAGGATATTTCCTTTTTACGTAGACGCTGACTGTTCTGAGCGTCCTTGGATATGGGGGAAACCTCTGACGAGTCCCTCGGTATCGCCGACGAGGTTGACTTGCTACTGATGGTGTCAGTCACTGTGGTAATCGAGTCGCTCCTTTTGAATTTGGATCGTTGGGAGGGGTTTGAGGAATAGGGAGCGATTAAGTTAGGGTTGGCATAAGGGTGCACGAAATCTTCACGGGGTAAGCACTCTTGAGATGAACGAGAGGAGCTGCGACTATAGGCGGAGATCGCATCCGTGGAGGAGTGGGAGACTTCAGAGCCATGATGGGTAGATGATGTTCCCCCGTGGCCTCGTGTAGTGCATGACGACCCGTCCTCCGTGCTAGAGTGGTAACTGGAAAGCGAGCCAGTTCCCTCGCCGTAGGGCTCAGTGTTGTGGGGGAGGGAAGGGGAGGGTATAGGTATTAATGGAAGTGTGCTTGATACCGGCATGTGGCCCGAGCCGTGGCTGAGTGAGCAGCAGTGCGTTAGAAGACCTGCACGGAGGGCCGAGAAGAAGACTAACCGCAATATTGCGCGATGTGGGCTACCGTCTGAGGAAAATTCCAGCGACGGTTTTGGACTCTCTTGTGAGTAGCCTGATTCCACACTTTGTCTACTTATGAGGGGAGACGCCCGAGCTAGAGTGCGCACAAGGCCGTCTGCCGTAGTGGACTTCCCCTTCGCCTTTGCGGCCAGTCTTGCCAGTGTATAGGTAGACTCTTCCCTTTCTTCAGTGTCACTTGTTTCCCAGGGAGCACGAGAATGAAATCGAATTGTTGGGCCTCGTACACTGATTCTGCAGGTGGAATCGATGTCCTCTACGTCTGAATCGGTGTCGCCCTCCGAGCCTAGGGAGCTGTTGGCAGAGGCGGCGTCGTCAGGTCCGAGTCGACTGTGGTGACCGGGATAAAATATTTGTTCGCAAGGATCGGCTTCGTCAAAAGGACCACGACTGTGATCGAGACCGACATGCCTCGACATGGTGGCTGGCAGACGGGGCGGGCAGATCCCGAGCACTCACGAAGGGGAGGGGACGGGAGGGAACGGAAATATTTGGATGTCTGCTGTCGGTCTTACACTTTTTCCCATCCTTACCCTTCCTTGTCATGAGCTAGTTCCTTTATCTCTGAGATATCATTACGACTTGATCTGATTCGAGAAGATACACGACTCGCAGTTCGTAGGGACATATCCTCGTGACGTTAGCAATAAATACCATGTGTAGTACTCGAGTGTGCCTTGGCCATACACACTCGACATCATCGAACCGCCGGCTTGTTCGCATCAACTAAACATCGCATGGCAGACCAACAAGCGGAGAACAATGTCATCCCCTTGGGGTCCTCATCAAACGGGAGAGCCTCAGGAAAGCAATGGAAGCCATTGAAAAAAGCCACTGTGTAAGCGAATTACTTTCCTTGTTATTACCCTATTGATGCACGGCACCGGTTCTCCACCAGTCGGTCACAATGCTCCAAGGATCAAAAGACAAAATGGGAGGAGCGAATGGAAAGGAATAAGAGGGGGAAGGCTATCAAAAAGCTAGAAAATGAGCTCAAGGAAGAAAGGCGGGCTGAACTGCAAAGGTCAGTGGTAGCACTAGGTTGAGATGCCCGAGGGACTCAGTTTCAGCGTAGACGGCGAGAGATCACCACGGAACGTAAAAAAGCAGCGGAAGAACGTTGCAGATTGGAAGAAGAAAAGGCAAAGGTAAGGCCTCTTTCCTCAATCTTCCGCCTTAGTTTTCACCGCTCCTAGATGAGTGCCCGAAAAGCGGCCAGACATCGTCGAAAAGCAGGGCGGTCGAAGAAAGTCAAGGGTTGATTCTCTCCCAATGTACTGTGCTACTGTAATCTACGCAGGTTATTCTGTATGCAATCCATGTCGATACTCACCATACTTGCGTCGATATTCGATGATCAAAAGAGGCTATTTACAATACCCACGTCGTGTCCATCTCTCCAGGGTCAACAAACGGCCTGTCCAATCCAGCAACGACACTCTCACACATGGGGCAACTGCTCGCGAGTATGTCGTCCAATTCAGCACGTAACCTTTCAGTTCGCTTCTCAGCATCCTTGTCGGATCCAGACTTCTTTCCTCCCGCAAGACCCATGCCAGGTATCCATCCAACCGGAGCCGTAGCTACAGCCGCAAGCGCATCAGGGATAATGAGGTCTCGTAACTTGTCCCCTGCAGATAGTATGTTGCGTCCGAGGGGGGCTACTGCTTTTGTACCGTTCTGGAAAGCAGGGCCCACGAAATTGGTTGATAGCAGCGTACGTTGCCGTACAGGTTGTCTCACTTGTTCATCAACGGTTCCTGTTGTGGAACGCTCGGTTGCGCCTGTCTGACTTTCTTTGACTAGTTCCGTTTGTAGTGCGAGAACACGCCTTAGAGCGTGAGTAGGTAGACACTCCCTAGCCTGCGTTAAAATAGTGCCGTTAGTGGCGCTGTTTCTCGGGTAATGTCGCACCAGCCAGCTCACCAAACCAACCAAGCAATCCGTGTGGAAAGTGTGCTGGCAGGGAAAAACATAAAATTGTCTGGTCAACAACAGCTGCGCGCAGACAGAACACGCTTCCTCGGCGGCGATGGTGACAAACCGGCCGCGCAACTCGGCTATATCTTCCTTGATGGATTCTGCCGTGCGCGTTGCTTCGTCCATTTCCCTCTTTAGTTCGTCGATGTGAGCCGAGTAACCTTCCAAAGCATGGGCGATCTCTTCTTTGAAGTCGTCAATGACAACGAAATCAGGGAAAAAGGGCAAGATATCCTCTATCTTCAACAAGTCCGTGTCTTCCAAGAAGCGCATAGCCCTGTACAAACAACGTCACCATTTACATTTCACCTTAATGGCAAGACTTACGACTTAATATCTTTCTTATCCTGTACGACGTACCGCGCGATTTTCAACCACAACTTCTTGCGCAGTGGAAGGTCATTTTCCGGCATGTCGGCATTGACCTTGGCCAACTCTAGGTCGCCTTTCTGAAGTGCGAGATCCACACTGTTCTCGTAAAGCTCCATCTTCGCGTAGATGTGTACACAGGCTTGGATGCGGCCTGCCCCTTTGCATAACCGCAGAGCATAGTCCAAGTCATAATATGGCTTTCCCGTCAACGGGTCACAAGGAGCCGTAGTCAGGAATCGAAGAAGTGGACCGTCATCGCTGGGAGCCGGGGAGAGTATTGCATGGAAGGTTACCAGAAGGTTGTGAATGATGGAGGAAGTGTTCGATTGTTGGAATACGACATGGTTAAGGTATCTGACAGCCTGATTCGACGACAACGCATCCCTTGGGGCGTGCTGCAGCTGTAGGAGGGAGGGTATAAGTCGCAGGGGGTCAAGAGCTGGTTGCCGAAGCCAAGCATCCACCATTTCCTTAGGTGCGTGTCTCGTGAGAACAGTACCGAATCGATAGTACGACTCGAGGTCTGACTGCCGTTGGTAATTAAACTTGCTGGTTAACGCAACCGTGAAACTCACCTGACGGTTGAGAGCATCAATTGCCTTCGACCATTCCTCCTCGAGTACCCAATGCTGGATGACGTACTCATGGTCACCAACGATCGTCGCGAAGAAGAGTAACATATCTGTTCGTCCATGACCTTGGATTAGCTCGTATACGGTATCGCGGTCAAGGTTTGACTATGAATGAGTTAACATGAGCCGGGTGAACGACGAGATGCATCAGCTCACTTTGTATGCTTCGAAGAAGTGCCGTAGGTCTTCTTCAAGGATAATCCGTTCCGTTTCCACATTTTGCACGTCGCTAGTTGCTGTCTCCGCTGCACAAAAGTCATCGAGCTCGTCGCACTTGCTAAGATAGAACTCGACAAGCCACGTTGCTAGCATCATCCGCTGGGTCAAGTCCTGACAAGGCATTAGCAGGCCTTGTGACATAACTACCAAGAGGGTGCACGCACCGTCTTTTTTGTTCGCTTCCAGTCGCGAAATGAGATACGAACGCAGGGCATCACGTTCGCCAGCGTCCAAAAATCTGAGCAGCGACCTCTTCAAAGGGGACTGAACATTGTGCGTAGTATTGCGCTGCCTGGAAAAATCGCCCTTCGTCGAAGAAAGTTCTCGCCTGTACAGAGAGCACTTGATCCCGTTGCAAGGCAGTCTGGTAGAAGTAGATAAGGTTGTATCTCCTTGTATAGTCTCTTACTAACCTGAACATATTGAAGCGCAACGTCAAACTTTTGCTGTCCTAAAAATATTTGCCAGATGTCTCGGCTCTCATTTCTGACTATAAGTTCGAATATGGATTGGTCTGTATAAACCCAGTATGTCTTTCGCACCGGATCTGCGGCTATTCCTCGGACCACTTCATTTGGTCTCTGCGAAACCATCAGATCAAGACAACAGGGCAAGGTGGCTACCTTACCAGAGGACACAGTGTCCTCGTAGTTCTGCTTGCCATTAAGCGTGCATATACCCGTGAGACGGTCTTTGTATAGTAAGACCAGGTGGAATTCTGTGAGTGCAATCGATAGCGGCACTTGCGGCGGGGGTGGTGATGCTGTCGACGTCGAATGTTGTGACAACGATGGATAAGGGAACAACTGTGTAGAATCGATGTGATCGTCAACGTTCTGTTCGAAATTAAGTGTGCCATAATATATTCCTGGGGCTAGATGGGTAGTCATGAGCATATGATGGACACCATTTGATGCCCCTCACCAGTCAACCATGCAAGGGACTTGGGCAAGGAGAACGCTTGGTCGCTTGGCCTAAAAAAGTGCAGTTCCGAATAGATTAAATTTCCAGGCAACTCGGAAATCTCTTTTCTTTGTGAGCACAAAAACCTGGGACAATTTGATATAACTCACTGGGTACGGTTTCTTTGTATGCGGAGAACAAGGTTAAGAACATGCGCCCACTTTCTTCTGGACGTCGGTCTGGGGAACCAACAAATTGGTATATCCGCGTAGGAGTCGTTACGATGATTAAGGCAGTTTTTGGATCTGGTGGTGGGAACACGTCAAGCCTAATCCCAGTTATTGGAGTTTTCTCGGGCAATGTGAAAAGCAAATGTAAGTAACGTTCTTGAGATTTGAAGAAGTCCTCCGCTGCGTCGAGGACAGCTTCATATATCCCGCCGTTTCGAGCACCAACTAATAATTCCCTCGTCGACGTGGAATGAGGGGAAGAGAGGAGTGCGGACTCGTTCCAAGCGATGCTCTCGATAACCATCTTGAAGGACTTGAGCTGTTTAGGCTTCCTCCACCCACGAAAAAGGTACCAATTCTCTCCCTGGTGTGATGTAATGACGAGATGTCTACCGGAGGGATCCAGGAATATCTTGTACAGTGACATCTCCGTCGGCTTACGGGGAATGGGTATCTGAAGAATCTGTTCCGGGTGGGCAAGCTCAATGAGTACTATGACGTTGGAAGCAAGACCCATAGCCATTTTATCCGACGATACGGCAAGGGAAACTAGCGGTGCAGGGAGTGTGTACTGGACTGGACAGAGGTCGAATATCGGCTGGCCGGCGGACTCGGAGTTAGGGAAGTGACCGTCGTCCTGCAGTCATTCAGTGGCAAGTAACGAGACTGTACAACGACGCTCACCGCGCTCCCTAGACCGTGTGCCTCGACGAGGGCGTCGTCATCAGAGGGGGAAAGCTCAAAGCCTTCGTAATGGACTTGGGGCAACTTTGCATGCGAGAATCCGGTCGCTGGCGCGACGTGCTCGACAACTGCGACATTGACACTGAGCGCGACACGACGAAACAAGACTTACTTACATTCGTCGAACATGGTCAAAGGTAAGTAGATGACCTGACCATTATGTAATGAAGTGGCTGGTACTTCTATGATCGATGACGTTTTACTCCTGGCTCGCACTATCAAACAGTCCGAAATGGCGCGTGCTGTCCCCCAGATTGTTTCTCGTTCGTCATGGTAAGTCTATTACATTCACCAGTTAACAGGCACTCGACCTCTGCCCAGGCGAGACTGAATGGTCTCGCAACGGGTTAGTTCTTTCGCTGGCTTTCACGTGCGCCTTTCTCATGGATCTGCCCTAGACGCCACGTAAGATCCATGCATTATTGTAACCACAACTGGATCCCGACTAAGTTACTGTAGACTGGGAGAACTGACATCTGTTTGACACCCCACGGAGAGGCGCAGGTAAGAGCGCAAGCGGCAGTCCTTGTGGGAGAAGGACGTGAGTGACGTCCGTCAGTGGTCATCGAGATAATTCGTGCTATGGCTTTTTAGGACCCCATAGATCCGAAGAATATTTGCACTGCTATAGTTTCACCCAGAATCCGCGCACATAGAACTTTTCACCTCCTATTCGAGCATTTGCCCAAGTTCCCAGACCATCAGATCACAGAAGATGTTCGCGAGTGGGACTACGGGGAATACGAAGGCCTCGTGAGGCAGGAAATTGTAGTCAAGAAGCCCTGGATGGGACATTTGGAAATCTGGGTGGGTATGAATTTTGTTGGGTGAGGTCATTCTCAAACAACGCCAGTTGTCCCGGAGGGGAATCCGTCGAGGAGATGCAGACCCGTGTTGATCGTGTAATTGCCAAGGTTTGAGGGTGGTTTTCAGACCCGTCGTTTTACTGACGGTAGCCAGGTCCGCGATTATCACCGCAAATGGGTTGAAGAAGGAGAAGGCAGCCGTGACGTCCTCATCGTTGCGCACGGGCACTTTAACCGTGCCATGATCGCCCGATGGAACAATTTTGATCTTGCACTTGGTATCGTGCGATCCATGTACTGTCCCAAACAGCGGCTGATTTGCGATTCAGGGAATCACTTCAATGTCGGGCCGGGAGGGGTAAGGCCGCTTGCTATTCTTGAAAGCAGTTGACTGATGGTGAGATAGGTTGCAGTCATGTCATACAATCATCATTCTCTTGATGAGCCTGTCTTGGATGCATTGAATCTGTACGCACACGAAGCATAGGGTGTGTAGATACTTGTGTAAATTTAAGTACATAAGGGTTGGACGGAGTGCGCCGGTTAAAAAGGTCAATCCTCGGCTACGCCTGTCCTTTTTTATTTTCCTCTGTAGTGTCTCTTTGATCCAGTACTTGTGATCATGGCCGACAACGCAGAGCTCCAGTCCCCCACGACAGACGTCGAAGGCTCCTTAGGAGCTATATCCGAAGCTGACGCCCCACCTCACAGTCAACACGAGGCGTCTGGCACGGTGGACGACCATGAGGACGCACAGGATGACCTCGTTAATCATGTCCAGCCTGATACCACGTTGGATGATAATGTGAAAGACAATGCTGATGACGCACAAACACATGTCGAAATGCCGACTCAGACCGCACAAGTTACCGCTACGACCAAGAAACCTACCGGTGCTGCTGCCAAGGTTTCAACAGCAATTGGTAAGGACAAGCCTACCAAGGGTTCTCCCGTCAAACCAAGTCCACTTTCGCCGACTGTGAAAAAGGTGTGTAACGCAGTACACCCTCCAGCAGTTTTTTCATTTCGGCCATGCACACGTTTAGGTTGCAAGTTCAAATGTCACGGCAAAGACAGCCCCTTCTAGCAAGGCCGCCACTACATCTATCACATCCGCTCTTTCTAAGTCGACTTCTACTACACCCTCAACAGTAAAGAAGGTAACACCCGCTTCCCCAACGAATCCTTCCTCCAAGACCACAACCATGTCGTCCAGACCCGCTCCCCCGCAGCCGAGTAGGCGGTCATCTATGCTGCCGCCCAGAGCCCCCTCTGCTACGGGTTCTCCGTTGCCTCCCAAGTCTAGAACATCCACATTGTTTTCTGGGTGGGCGAGTTCGGCGTCATCTAAGCCTGCGCCTAGCGATGCCAATGCATCTCGTCCTTCGGTCGTTTCTCCCTCGGGTTCGACTACGTCTATTAAATCTGCAGCAGCACCTGCTCCGGCTCGTCCACGTGCCTCGGTCTCTGAAGCTGTCAAGAGAACACCATCCACATCGTCCAAGCAAGCTCCTCCAAGTACGGGGGGTGGCGTTCCGACGCGGGCCATGCGCACCGTTGGATCGATATCTTCAATTCGGGAGGCCCATGACGACAAGGCCCTTGTAGATGTCCAAGAGAAGGTCCGCAACCTCACTCTATTTCTATAGATAGCACTAACCAGGTCATATAGCTAAAGGAGGCAAATGAAAGCCTTCTGGAAAAGACGGAGGCCTATATCCCAACTGGAAAAACAAAAATCAGAATTGCGATCATCTCTTGGACACCGCGTTGGCAGATGCCAAGGCCAAAAGTTCGGCTGTTGAGCAGCTCGAACAAGAGAAGCAGTCTGCAGAGGCAGCTCTTGCTACTGCTAGAGCTAGCTTGCAACGCCTGGACAACGAGCATGCCCGTGACCTGAACCAACTCAACGCTCTCAAACAACAAGTACGTGTTTGTATCTTTCCATTGCGAAATGTCTCAGCAGTCTCGCGCAGCTCGAAATTACGAAACAGGCCGGCGATGACCAAACTAGCGCTCATTGAAAAGCTTCAGGGACAAGTTGACACTCTCACTTCCGAGATAGCGGTTGCTGAGAAGAATTTCGAGTCCCTCCGTGTGACAAGCGATCAGTCCTCAACAGAAGCCGCGGCAGCCGCTCAGGCGGAACGTGAATCTTTCCTCCGTGCCAAGGCCGACCTTGACGCAGTGCATGCAGAGATGGAGGCTCTCAGAACAACTGCACGATATTGCTCTCCAAGATGCAGCTATCCAACTGACCGAAGCGCAACAGCGTGCATCCGAAGTGGCATCTTTGACTGCTTTGATCGAGGCCCTCAAGGCCGAACGGGAGGAGAATGCCCATAGAATCTCCGAACTGGAGGTCGAAGTTCTCGAGCTGAAAGAGAGTCAAGAAAATGCTGAAGACGAACGCAATAAGCTTATCACCAGTCTCAAGAAGGCGGAGGCGGACCTTGGACAGGCTCATTCAGCGTTGGAGGGACAAATCCAGGACGCCAATGCGAAGGAAGAAGAAAGTGCTAGGGAAATCGCCGATCTCCAACAAGCGTACGAGGAGAAGATAGCGTTACTCGAGGATGATTTGGCGAGTGCAATCGCAGAGATCGCGGACGTGAAGAATCAACTCGCAGCTGTCAATGTCTCCTATGAGGAGATGAAAAAGGAGACCGAAACTGCTGCTGAAGAGCACGAGCGACAACTGGAGGAGTCTGAGCGATCGTATCTTTCGAAGCATATAGAATTCTCGGAGGAGATCAAGAGGCTCAGTGCGGAGCTTGAGGTGCGTTGACGACTTAATTTCATGTGCATTGACTGAAGACGACCGTGCTCAGCAACAGGAGGCGAAGTACAACGAAAAAGTGGAGGCTGTGAAGGCTGAACACGATACACATCTCCAGGAGGCGTTTGAACGGGCGAAAGTGTGTCCTCTGCTATACAGACTTTTGGAATACAGGCTTACGCGATGGTGTGTAGGGGGAAGCTGCAGAGCTCCATGGCCAAGAACTTCAGGCTCTGCGAGCTGAATCGCAGGCTGCGATCGAACAGCTTCGTAACGCGCACCAGTCGTTTGTTAACGATCTCGAGGCTGAGCACCAAACTACCCTCGATTCGCAGAGTAGTGCTCTGGAGCAGAAGCTTAACAATCAAGGCCTCGAGCTTCGTGCCACCCAAGACGACCTTACCAAGGCTAAATCTGCCTTGGAGGCTGCGCGCTCAGAGTGCGACAATCTCAAAGCCCAAGTTGAAGATGCTCGGGCTGCCGCTATCGTAGCATCCTCCAATGCAGACCAAGCAGCTGAGCTCGAGCGACTCTCCAAGCAGTTGGCTAGCGTGCGTGACGAAAACGCCATGCTGAACGATGTCCTCGCAGTGACCAAAGAGTCTCTCTCGGAGATGTCGGTAAATCACAGTAAAGAACTTGAGGAGGCTGCAAAGGCCCGCGTGGAGGAAGTAACTAGACTCGGTACCGAGCACGAGAAAGAAATCAGCACGCTCGCTGCACAAAAGTCAGAGTTATCGCGCTCACTTGGTGACCTGGAAAACGAGATCGCAATGCTCAAGGCTCGCCTTGCTGCCGCGGAATCAGCGGCCGCTCCAAGGAGCAATGGAGCTGTCCTCCCCTCCACAACTAATGTGACCAGGGAGGAGCTCCAGAAGACCCACGAAGCGCACAATCTAAAGCTCCACGACCTGCAGGCGGAGCATGAACGTGTCGTCAGAGGGGTGAAACTCGAGTTGGAGACAGTTCAGAACCGCTTGGAGGAGGTACAGTCAGATCTCGCTCGGAGGAACATGGAGATCCAGTATCTCGAACAAGAACAAGAAGAAAGTCAAGACTCTATTACTCGGTATGTGAAGGTTTTTGGACTTCAAAGTTTGTTCGGTGTAGTTATCGCGTTGGCCGTGATATTTGACTTCATTTGAATACTTTTCGTGTATTATTACATGCACCGTCTTCGTTAACTTATGGCCCTTCTGTTTCATTCACGATTTTTTTTTACTAACTTTGGGCATCCATCTCTGGCCTTGTATTGTGATTTTTACGCGTTTTCCCTGCAGCTTAAAGGCCGAACTCGATCGATCACGCGATGCCAGCTCCTCAGCATGAATTCCGACCTCGCTTAACTCGATCTAACGAAAGCCCTCCCGCTGGACCAAAGCCTCGCGGAAAACGCGCGGCATCCACACCTTCACGCTACGACCCATGTTCATTTGCGCTGTGAATCTCCAACGCCTCGTTGTACTTGGTCCCCCGTTCGATTCTGAGTGTCCCGATTTGGAGGGATCGCCCTTTCCTGGTATTTCCGTTCCTTCACATATGTTGCCATTGCGGCATTTTTATACAGTATCTTTTCACCTTATCGTATACCCGGTCATTGTTTTGAAGAAGTTATGCATGCATATACAACTCGGAGGACTTCTAATCATGAGCAGACAGGCCTTTATAATCTGACGTACTTCTCGCCGTTGCACCACTGACTGGCAGCTTACACCTAAGGGTGGATAGAACAGTAGGTGGTGTTTAGATGGTCGAGGCTACTCTTTCAACCGCCCATCCCTATCATTCTTGGGTATGCCAACTCGGAACCAACGATATATTTAGTGTATGTGAATTATACTTCAGTACTGACATGTGACACGCCGCTCGTCGTTATTTCACGGCAAACGGGGACGATAGTCGCAGTGAACCACTGGCCCGGTGATTATTTCCCACAGCGATTGTAAACTAATAACCTTCTGGCGAGAGGACGGTCGAGTGAACTCTGTTCGACAGTTCTAACGCTCCAGTCGCTCCGGTGGTCAAGTGCAAGTGCATCCATCGGGTCTCGGACACTGCGCTCGGCATCGTAAGTGATATGTCCGCAGAGCGGATCTCAAACTACTGGGCAATCTGAAGTTCATCCATACGAGTTTCTGGTATAAATATGTATTAAAGCAGCGTTGCTCTACATGTAGTGAATTACAATCGTACATTACTAGCTACCAGTGAGTATTGGGAAGGGCGGGGAGGACGATTTCAGTAATTTACGTGCCAAACAGCTGGTGCAATTCCTCCATCCGCCGCTGTAATAGCTCAGCTTTGCTGACGGTCTGACCTAAAGTCATGTTGGCCAATTCTGTTTTCTTCCTTTGAACTTCCAAAAGCCGGTCTTCGATTGAATTTTCTATGATAAGCTTGACGGTGGTGACAGGCCGCGTTTGTCCGAGTCGATGCTAGAAAAGTTGAAGCAGTCAGGAAGTGCAGGTAATTTTCAAGGCAGCGAATGGTTCACAATGCGGTCCACAGCTTGGTTCTCTACAGCTGGGTTCCTGCAAAACAATGAGTATCGGCCTATAAAGAGGTTCTGTGGCGCGCACCAATAAGGGTCCATCAAGTAAACACGCTGCGCAGCAGTAAGGTTGAGGCCGACGCCACCGGCTTTCAAGCTAACTAAAAGAACTTCACAAGTTGGATCATACTTCAGGGCATCCATTGCTCGTGTTCGTTCGTCACGTTTCATGGTTCCGTCTAGTCGGTCATACCGAATGCTTGCCGCCTCTAGGGCGTCTTCCACTCTGAAGCATAATGGGTTAAGTTGGAACCAGACACGAAGAGCGGATACGTACTTGTCCAACATTGAGGTCCACTGAGAGCTATGCAAGCAGTGATTCGCATAATTCAGCAACAAGGCAAAGGATGACTTACAATACGACCGTTTTTGTCACATAATCATCCACACGCTTTCCGTCGCCATCCACCATTTGTACTTCGATGGACTCTGGGTCATAATTTGCAGAATAGGGGTTCATCTTCGAAAACTGGATGAGATCCCCAAGTAGTGCTCTAACTTTGGTAGACGGCTGAAACTTCTCTATGCCAATACTCTTCTGTCTCTTTTCCCGTTTTACTGTTTTCTTCCTCGGTGCAGGGTCTTGTGGCGAGCAGTCTGGACGAACCTGAATAACATCTTGAGGCGACAGTTCTGTTTGACAGGCAGAGCAACCGTGGTACGCATCAGGTGGGACGTCGGGCCAGCCAGGCCATATACATTGCCGGAAGCATGACAAACAGAACAGGTGTAGACAGCGGGTTAAGACCAGACACGGTGTTGAAGGACTGCTGGGTCTTGTAGGAGCACGGGATAGGACACCTCTGGCTTTCTTGCCGCGCTTCGGTGCTGAGGGACCATCGACGTCCATGCCCATCCCTCCATCGGTCATCTGTTCACGTTCCCCATGGGTACAAAGTTCCTCTCCGCATTCGACACATTGCGATGTCCCAGCCTCGCGGAGTAGCATTACGATCGCTGCTGCATAATGTGAATTCAGCCCATCACGTTCAATGGCGGCAACGATGTCCTCATAATTGCCAGGATCAGCTGACGCAACTTCTCCAAGTCCCTTGCCCTCTACAAGCTCGAAGTGGTCGCAAATCTGCCGCAGCCTCAGGATCTTCTGGAGAATACCAACGTAGTTTTTCATCACTTCGTTCTTGCTTGAGAGTTCGTTGAATTCTGCCTTGGATTCCCTGAAGAACTGGTCATAAATGACCTGTTCATGAGGCTCGAATTTCAGGTAACGAAGTTCGTCGCGCCGAGGTGGGAGGCTGAGGATTTTCTTCCCGTCAGAAGCTTTGGAGTCCTTTGTACGACGAAGTGTGATGCACTTCATGATAGTTTGCAGTCGTACGACTCCCAGTGACTGGCCGTACTTCACCGGAGTACCGATATACTCCGTCCAGACATTCTTGTCATCGAGCGGGTCTAAGCGCAGAAACTTGATCAAAGCAAACACATCATCGAGCTTGTTCTGAACTGGTGTACCAGTCAAACAGAGGCGACGTTGAGCCATTAAATCGCACGAGGCACGGCTGCCAACAGTTGCTGTTTCTTTGATGGAACTGCAAGGCTATTATTATACGAGAACAGTAGATGAAATGATGCGCGTACTGAGCTTCATCAAGAACAACTCTGAACCAGTGAATCATCTGCAATGGACTGGTGGCTTCAGTCGATCCACCTAAAGTAAAGCATGATTTCTTCCGTTTCATGCCTGCCCTCTTGGGCTTAGCTCGCGTGACGCCAGGGTCGGTGTCATTGCCTCCAAGACCCCCATCGCTACTTCCGTCATCGTCGTCATCTGCTTCAGTAGAGACGGTCTTACGGTTTTGTCTTGAGTATTCCGAAGCCAGGGTAGCATATGTCGTGATAACAGCGTCGAAATCCGCGAGGAAAGCAATATCAGGCCGACGAGCATTTCCATGATATATGTACACCCGTAACGGCCTCCCCTCCCGCAGACGATGACATTTTGCGCTGCCAGTCATTTCAAACTGCGTGGAAGGCGTTTGGGATGCAGGTGGTGTCGAACTCCCCGAGGCAGACACTGACACAGCCGCTGAACAGCTCACTCCGCCTCCGCCAACAACAAATACATCCCCTCGCCAATGCTCTCTGAACTGGTCTTCCCAGTTTGAGACCGTAGATAGTGGGCAAATTATAAGTGTAGCGCGACTTTTCGCTTTGATGCGACAAGCTCGCGCGTACTCGGCTTCAGCCTTATCCTGTTCCTTCACTGCTTTCGCCTTTCCCTTGGAAGAAGTTACAGTGATGGTTTCGGGAATATCGGGCATACCCCAAACGCTGCCGGCAAAATGGGCCACGGACAGTATGTCCTCGTTCCGATTGCGCTCTGGGGGAGGTGGGGGAACCTCCAATGGTGAAGAGGCAAATGCATCGGCAGAATCTAATGTGGCAGCGATCAAGGAGACACAAGTTATTGTCTTCCCTAGGCCCATCTGCACCAAGTTCTTAGTAAAATCGAAAACCCCAAGGTAGACGACCGTACGTCATCAGCTAAGATAGCACTTCTAGCTTCCACTGGTTCTTGAAAAACCTCTTTTTGGGTGACAATGTGGAACCAGGACTGCTGTCCAGCGTGGGAATCAAATCTGGGCTGCCACAGGGACGAGTACCGTCCGTCGGAACAACACCTCTCCCGTTCGCGCTCAAGAAGAAAGGTAAGCGCTTTCTTCTGGTGGGGATAGAGTGGAGTGCCGACTTCGAACGCTAATTTTGGGCATAGATAAGTTTGAAAAGAGCACCGGGAAAAAGGGAGGTGGCAAAATTTACCGGGTTCAGTTTCAGCGAGTTCGTCGCCACTTTTTAAATTCTTGAACAACTCGTCGACCTGGCTTCTTTGAATTTCCAATGTCTTTCCCGACGCTGCCGGAGTACCCCAGCGTGAACTACTACCACCAGGACCTGCGTAATGGACACGCCCAGACACGGGCGATTGGCGGAATCCTCCGAGCGGCGGGTTATGCGGATTGTAATAATGACAGTTGGCCAGCTTTGAGGGGTCTGAGGGATGATCAAGGTACAGGCCGCATTGGGACAGAAAATTGCCAACGGCGGTAATATTTCCTTTCGGTGTGTAAATGAGCATCTGCAAGGGCAATATAGGGGGCTGGTCGGTAGAAAATTAAGTGGTGCCACGTAATAAGATTATGTTACACTCACATTACCGTAGTCGCGGCGCACTTTGGCATCCAGTCGGATGAGGCCTTTGCCTAGCATTGGGCCAAGCTGGGATGCAACCCTTTGTTCGACGACAGCGAAACCTTCTCCCTGGGGTGCTTCGCTTGAACCTCTGATATGCGGAGTCTTGATATGGATGGTTTCGGAAGCCGGAGCCTTTTGTGGGTTGTATTCGTACTGTAAACGAACACTTGCCCAATCACCTTCAGTTCGGGCTGGGTCCTGCAGCTGAATATAAGGCACTGGATAAAGGACCAGGGCTGTAACGGTAAGCTGTCCGATGCAAACAGGGGTCTTGGGCGGAAGATCATCAGACAATGCGGTGCACAAGGATGGATGCAGGCGCGGGGACAAAGGAGGAGAAGGAGAGTTTGTAAGGTCGATGATGTGATCATTAGGTTGCGTGAAGGGCGGCGGTCGACTAGGAACATTGTTTAACAATGCGGGCGGTGTCGGCGGAGAAAAATACGATGGAGGAAAGAGGCCCTGTGAGCGTGGAGCATGAGAAGTAAAGGAGTGCGAGGCCGAAGGGCCTGCAAAGCTCGGTCGGAATGGGGTCGATGGATGCCCCGAAGGGTACGACTGAGTAGGTTGCTGTGATGGGTGGGATGTGGACGGTGACACAGGAAACTTGGGGGTGTGGAAAGGCGTATGCTGGTGGTACTGCTGCTGGACTGCAGAGCGTATCGGGTCAAAGAACGTAGTCTGCCTGGGTGACAAAGCGGTAGAATCTTGTCTGTGCAACGAAGAACCCTGCGTTCCAGCAGCAGAATGGCGCGGATCATCGTCATCTAGTGTCAAGTCTATGTGATTGGATTGGTTGAAAGGCGACAAGTTGGATATGGACGCCGAATGCGAAGCTGCGTCGGTAGCCATTGCTCATGGATGGTGGGGCGAACTAGCGGTAGCTGGTCTTGCAGTGGTGTCAGCGCTAATGACGAGGCCGACTTCTTACCTGCTTCAACAACTTTGTACCAAGTCCAGCATAAACGACACCCGTATAAGTGTAATTACCGGATGTCCTCGACCCAGCCGCATCTGAGTCAGCAGACTACATACACGGATCATGCGTTCACAGCAACTCTACGTATGTATATACACTGTACAGCAAATTACTAGTAAAATGCCTTCCCTGTGAAATCCTCCCGCTACTAGTAACTGTGCTTCAACAGACTCATCCGTGAATGTCAGAAACCTTCCTTTCGCACAGTGGTGCTTTCCAGGTATTCCGCAGTCACATTCCCTGTGTGAGAGAGAACGAGACTGCGAAGCACTCGGAGAGAACTAATATGGGAACCTCCCGGCATCTAAACACTCACACATAGGCTCATCCTCATCCCCGCCGTCAACCTCCTTATGCCATGCGGATAAGTACTATCTCGTAGATAGAATCACTAGTACGCACGGGGTGCCCAGCCCATTGCAAAGTATGCCGTTCTAGCAGCTTGCTCTTTCGCAAGCTGCTTACTAGACCCAGTTCCCTTGCCCTTTTCTATCCCGTTCACTTCGTGGATCGGTCACTTTGAGAACCACAAACTCGATCTGAGGTGTAACTAGCTTACCTTTACAAATCACATGCCATCTTCCTGCGTGGGGAGGACCAGCAAACGTGGCGGGATATTCAACGCTCATCCCCCGCTGTGCGGCTGTTTGGTTAAACAATGGTAAGAATGCCAGACTCGGTTGGGCAGGTGCAAGAGGATTTGGGGGGAAAGGTGGCATAGAGGGTATAGGAGGCGGCGGCGGCGGCGGTATCGGCGGTGGAGCACTGGAAGGCGGGGCAGGTTGACTAGAATAAGGATTATATATGGATTTCATTGGGATGTCGACACTTGATTTGCCAAGAGGAGCAAAATTCGGTGAAAAGCTAAAAGGCCCCTGTGGAGCTCCTTCGACTTTCATTCGTTTTCCAGCTTGCTCTTCAGAAGCATCATATCCAAAATCAATGGCTGGAAATTCGTCCATTACGTTAGCGGTGACTTGGAAAAGCATCCTGATCCACTTCTGAACGTCGGGGAGTCCATGTTCTTCAAAAGCAGCAGCGAGATACGCAAGAAATAACGTTCGTCCATGCTTAATACCGGTATCATGTTCCGTAACTTAATCCTTGTGATGATTATGGTGAGATGCTCACCTCAGGCTCATCCACCGAGGATCGGAAGGAAGGATCGTACCGCAACTCATCTCGTAAGCGGTATAACCTCGACCAAAAATCGATGACCTGGTCGGATAGCAACGTTCGTCTCAAGACCTTCTAAGAATTACCAAGCCAGCCCCCCATGCTTAACGACACCTCGACTCACCTCGATGTTTTCATTCTTGAGTTTTGGTTTCCTGGAGAACAACAAATGTGTGGTGACCATGTCCAGAACATGTTGTCCTAAGATAGTCAGACGCTCGTTGTCGTCGTACGTCGCGTGGCAGGCGAGTCGAAGTGATTTATGCGTAAACACCGCGAGCACGGGCATGCCGGAGAGTTTGGGCAGCGGTGGGAGCCCCGGAAAGCCATCATAGGTTACGGAGTGGTGTCGCTTGCGGGAAATGTAGCTCACGTTGGGCTCTGAAGACATATCGGTTTCCACAGTTGATGGATCGGCGATATGACTTCGGAGTCGGGGTGTGAGTACCATCAAGACAATGAGGCGCGGAACTACTTCTGCGCAAGTCTTGAGAGAACTCCACCTATATATTGGCATATTTGTCAACCACCTGCTATATTTCAAAAGCAGTGACTCGCTTATTGACGCCTGTAATTAATAACATGCAGTACGCTATGTCTGGTGCTCTATATTACACTGGAGTCAAGACTGGGGTGAGCCGTCCCTTTCCTAGAGAGGTTTATTATCGTCTTTGCTTCTCTAGAAGGTGCCTAAGAACACTGACAGTGTGCCCGTGAGTCGGGTCTTCAGATAACCGCACTATCTGCCTCGCAATGCTTGATGGAATGAGATCTTGCTAGCACACCTACGTAGTAACATACCTTGTCGGGCCCTCGGCGACCACTGGACAATCCTTAACCAAATGATAAGGTCCTCGGCATACCACACACCGGACTGATGTGGCTGGTTTGGGCTTCTTTGGGACCATCCCTACTTCGGCGTGAGGCGACCTTTCGCGCTTTGACGGAAGAGTGGAAGAATCAGGATGGGAGTTGCTTAGCATTTGGAAACGGTCAGCTCCCTTCCCTTGTTTGTTCTGGTAGGGAATCAGGGTAGATGGTTTGCTCGCAAACAGCGGTGGTTGGAGTCGGGGTACGGGGGCTCGTACGTCAGTGGCAGGAGCGGACGGTGGCACTGCAACAGGAGGAAACTTGCGGGGTTGGGATGACAGACCACCCAGAGTATGGGACGAGGACACCGCAAGCGGGGGATTCGAAGCCCATTTCTGTGTTGTCTTCTTCTTAGCGGTCGTCTTTGTAGGTCTTGGCATTTGACCAACTATCAAATGCCATTGTCCACGTCGTTGAAGCTCTTGGTCTATCGCTTCGATTGCGGCATTCTACAGGCGATGTCATGAAGGAGACAGGTATGCAGTGGGCACGTCTACCTACCCTTGTTTCTGCTGGCTCATCATTTGAATGAAGCAGCATCGCGCGATATTCCACCAGATTTATTGAGTTTTCGGTCATCGTGCATGTGCCGGCATGAACACTATCGCAGAGGCCACACTTCTGGCCAACGTCGCGTTGGATAGTCTGGACACCTGTTGTCAATCCGTGGATTTCGCGCCTCTTACGCTTCATGGAGGGGTCTGGTTCCGCATTCATGGATACCACAGAAGAGTCAGAATCTTCAGCATGATTGGATGCAGCCCATGCATCAGAATCCGAAGATGTGCCAGGTTTGGACGAACGGTCCTTCTTCCATCTCTTCTTGCTCGCCTGGGGGCTATCTTCCAAACCCTCTATATGATCCAGCCGTTGCTGAAATAGAGTAAATCAACAAGTAATGCCATTATGAAGCCAAAAACGCACCTGAGGGAAAGACGCCGCTGCCTTGCGACGAACTCCGCGGCCCGTCGCTTCGTGTACTTGGGATGTATTCTTCGCCACCGCTATGCGTTGTAAAGTTTGGGCCCATGAATCATCGTGAGGTTCCGGTGTCTCATTGCCAATATCCTCGAACGTGCCCTTATTTGCGGCCCATACCTTTGCAAAACTGAACTTCAAGCCCCCGTCCTTTGTAACTTCTTCTTGTTCCCCTTCAACCTCAGTCTTCTCGATGAGTTTATCAAGGTCATTGTCGGTATCTGGGCGAGGTCGGAGCGGTGTTACGACAGGAAAATAAAGCAGTGCTTACACACTATGTCACGCGCATTTTGGTCGTTTTCTTCGAAAAGCTCCTTTGCACCAAAAGTTAGTATTGACTCCAAATCCCCTGCGCCATTCTCATCGTCATCCATCTTCTGGACGATCAGGTGGTCGAGGACAAGCTTCTTCTTCCCAGCTTGCATTATTTTTTCTGTGGAATATGATGTCCGATTCCGTGAGATTCCGTGCGATGGTGGAATAACTTACCCTCAGCAGAGTCTTTGACCATGAGTTTGAAAACAAGACAAGTCTTCTGTTGACCATACCGATGCGAACGGGAAATTGCCTAGAAGCTGCGTATAAGCGCATTGACAAAATCGATCAAATGTTCTCAACTTGCAAATCCTGCACATATGCATTCATTAATGACATGGGACATAAGGTGGGACTGTATAAGGAGACCCACCTGGTGGGGGTTGAAGTCCGGGTCAAATATGATCACAGTATCTGCCGTGTAGAGATTGATGCCGACACCTCCGGCACGTGTAGTGAGGATATATATGAAGACGTCGGAGTCAGGCTGATTGAATTCGTCCATGCCTTTCTGCCTAACGCTTTGCTTCGTGTCCCCGTCCTAGAAGTGAAAGAAAAAAAATCGCACAATGTACAAAATGTAGTGAGTTGTGACATACCAGTCTTAAAAACTTGTAGCCTTCTCCTGTCAAGAAGTCCTCCACAATATCGAGCACCAGGACAAACTTGGAGGGGTTCATAAGGCAAGGTTAAGTAAGATTAAGAATCGAGCCCACCTGACTAAATAACAAGACGCGATGACCGCGTGCTTTCAGCTTGGGTAACAAGCACTTTAGCAGTCGAAGTTTAGCGCTTGCGCTAATCAATCTCTCGTGAGCCTCAGCAAGGGGTAGACCTGCGGGTTCTATGGTATCTGAGATAAGATACGGGTGTTGCAGGCATCTGCGTAACGGGCTCAGTGGAGTGGAAGACGTGAAGTTTTGCATTTTGAACGCTAACTTTCGCAGTTGCATCAATAGGTTGTTCAAATTGGCCTTGATCGACAGCGACCGGCCATGCTGCACGGCTGCAGACGAGGATCGTACGAGGTTACTGAGGATTTGCAGGTTTTGGCCTAAAACAATCAGTCAGTCTTGCGCGTTGACGTGGACAGGGGTCGTACTTAGGATAGAACGGTAAACCTCTTTCTGTAACGGACTCATCGAGACTGGGACAATAACCTCGTTCTAAGCAACAATAAGTAAATGTGGCCGAGTCCTAGAACCGGGCACAAACCTTTGGAGGAAGTTGGAGGACATCACTCTTGATACGGCGCAAAAAGTATGGCTTCAGTCTTGCGTGGAGTTGCCGGACAAGGTCTTCGTTGAGGACCTCGTACTCCTTAGCAAGGGTTTCGAGGTCGTTCCATTGATTTGGATCGAGGAAATTCATTAAGTTGAAAAGTTCCCGGATGTTGTTGTTCAACGGGGTCTTCAGGGCGGTGTGAGGAAGTATGTGGTCCAGCATACGGGGTTACTCACTCCTGTCATGATGACGCGGTGCACGACATTTAGCTCGTTGAGCTTCCGGAACAACAAACTCGTGTCGCTCTTGACTGCAAGGGACCGTATTTAGGACGTTTCTTGTTGATGAGGTGGGAAAGAATCCACTTACGTCGTTGACCTTCATCCACCACCAGAACTTCCCAGCGAGGGATATTTCTGAAAACGACAGCAAAATCACGGTTACTGGTTACAGTCTCATAGGTCGTGATCAGCACGTGGTATTTCGGATTCGCTGCTCCACGTTTGGTCGAACCATGGAACAGTTCGTACTGAATGACCACGTCCCTCGACTTAGCTTCGCCATAAAATGGTACCACTCTGAGTCTCGGCGCCCAACGAGAGAACTCCCGGACCCAATTAGTAATCGTGCTGTTGGGAACGACAACCAAAGCCGGAGCAGCTTTGAATTCGCCGACCAGCCTCCCTAGAAAAGTTACTATTTGCACTGTTTTTCCCTCAAACAAAACATCAGCTAGAGGCGTGTAGCACGGAGCGACTTCACTCACGAGTCCCATTTCGTCGGCTAATATGCATGGCTGCCGAATCCACCAGTTATCACAGAGCCAGTTTAGCCCATCGATCTAGTGCGAGATATTCGCGAGCTGTCAACAACTCACGGCAGAGGGTTCACATACCTGGAATTTCATCAGTTTCAACTGATCACTCTGTCCCAACTTTGGCTGTTCTTCTGTTGTTGAATCGATAACATGCGACGCATAACCATCACGGCGTCGATTATCAAGTCTCTGCATTTCCTTTGGGGATTTAAGGACGGAAATAGTACGAGACTCAAGGAAGGATACGAAAGCCCGTTCAAATGCGGAATATCCTGGCTCGCCGGGACGGGGCGGCGAGTCCCAGGTCACTGTGAAAGAGTGAGACGATCCGCACAACTTAATCATTCAACAACTCACCTTCCTCGTACCCGAGATCCTCCCATTTGATAAATGCCCATACAACTTGATTGATGTCTTCCTTGTCTAACTTGCGTTTGGTCCTGGTCTCCCACTCGTCGACAGATTCCAGTAAAGCGTTGTCCGGCTGCTCGCCGTCGTTGAAGGCACGCTCCCATTGCAATTGAAGACCCTTAGGCATGGTGACCGTATCGTCATCATCGCTAGTTGCAATATACTGACGCTGACGGCGGCGCATTTCCATCGCAGCGGGCGGATGCCAGAGTTGCACATCCAAAACACGGTCGACTGTCTTCCACACTGGTGGAATTCGAAGTTCCGCGTCCTTTAGTGGTTGAGGTGCGAAATGATCTAGTTTAGTTCGGCGTTGAACTTTCGGCGCTGTAACAATCCCAGGCTCAAAGGTGGTTTTGTCAGTCTCAGTATCCCCAGAAGTCATGACAGGGTCTTCTAGTAGCTCAACTTTAGGGCCACTGGCCAGAAAGTTTTTGAGCTTTGCGAAATGGGTAGAGACAAGCCACATGTGAGGGACCCATTGAACTCTGCGGTAACTCCTTTCTGACCATTTCACCAAGTATTCCCTAGGCAGAGAAGCCTTGATGTCCGGCGTATAGTCCACTGACTTGGGTTCCGTCGCATCTGGCGGAAAGAAACGCCAAGCAAGTATCTTGTCCAAAGGATAAACGAAGGATGCGCAATCGGCACACTGCCAGTCGTTGTTCGACTGGTAGTGCTCTGCCCGTTCTGCATCTGAGTACGATGGTTCGTCATTGTCAGGATCGGGTAAGTGCTGATAATGGGCAAGCCTCTTGCATGAGACGCAACGAAATAGAAGCTCTCTTGAGGGCTTCAGTGCGCCAGAAGCTGTAGCATGATTGCTATCAATAGGCTTCTCAACTTCAGCGGTGACATCGACGACCAGTTGCGCTGAAGGACTAGATTCCTTCGGTGCAATCGGATCGCCAATATGTTGCCGAGGTTCCAAAGCTACTTCGCCGCATCCCATGCATATGCCACCTTTCATGCAAGCACCACAGATGAACTCGGTGGTTTGGTCGATACCAAGCTCCTTTCTATCTGGCAATCCATTTGCAGCAGATATATCCTGTATGTGCTCGTGATCTTTTCTCTCCTTATCACGAGAATGAGCAGCTCTCGTAATCTCATCCCTTTGGGTGCTCGCCAGGCATCGCCAGTGAGCGGCCACAGGGCACTTGAGGCTGTAATGCGTATTAGAAAGAATATAAACAACTGTAGTATGACCATACCATCGAACCCAGCCACCCAGGTGCCGAATCTGCTCTTCCTCGTTCTCTTCCAGGTCAGCGTCACTGTTCCTCCTGTGGCGACCCCTTTTGGGCTTCATTGCTGCTCTCAGCAACTCATGAGCAGGGCCTTCGTGGCATTTCTCACAGACTTCCCTATGTGCACGAAGAGAAGCAGTGTCTTCGTCGTCATATGGATCAAAGTCAAGGTCATTAATGTCTCGAAAATGACCGTAAGCTGGGTGAGATGGGACGGGACGCCGCTTCTTAGGCTTCTTCGTAGCATCTAACTTGGCAAACCTGCGGTCCGAACCTTCCTCGTCATCTGTACTCATGGTTTCATTATCAAAGTCGTCATTGAGGTTCAAACGTGCAGCCTTCCTAGCACGAGTCGATGGTCTCGTGGGGACCATCTCAACATCGCTATAGCCTCCAAGCTCGTCCTCCGAATCGGAAACTGTCTGTGATGACCGGAGTGGCCTTCTTAACTTTCTGGGGCTGAAAGGTAGTTTGCTCTGTTTGAGGGCCTTGGTGCTTCTTGTAGTAGGGAGACGGTAAGTGGGCTCGCTAAAATCGTCGTCGTTTTCGTCGTCCGAATCATCCGTTTCTGTCAGCGGAGAAAGTTCAGAGTCTGAAAGTTGAGGTATGCTGCCGGTGAACGTCTTTGATGTGACAGAGTGTCCGTTTATTGTGACTATATGCTTGATTCGCGAGTCCTTGTGAACAGTGCTCGAGGAGGGATCAAATGCCTCAAGAGAACCCTCCAACTTGTTCCGCTCTGAACAGCTAAGTGAGCTTCATTTCATCCGCACGATTGTGGACCCACCATATTCGTTAACGAGATCCTCGTACTGAGCTTTGAATGCAGCCGCAGGAAGCTGCACGGTTTTACCGTAAGAAGCTACAGTAGGAATTCCGATGTCGTAACCCACCTTGTGTGCAAGACCATCTGAGAAGCGCACATAATAATACAAGGCCCTGCCCTCGCGCCATTCACCTGCTATAGCTTTGAGATCGTCACGACCAAACGAGACTCCGTCGTTGAAGCTATCTGGGACGGGTTCGTATAGGTCTCTCTCAAAGGAAGGTGGCTTGGATATTTCGATGAAAAAAGTAGGTTTTCCATGAACCGCCACTTCGGCGGGCAGGGGTGGGGTAGTGGACCTGGGTGGTGAATCCGAAGGCTTAGGGGAGGTACTGAGTAGTATTGGATCTGGGCTTGCTGGTGCATTCATTTCAGCAACGCCACGACTCTGATACCCCCCAGAACGCGTCGAGGCTGGACAGACACGGTCGCGGATGAAAGTCCCCAAGCGTGTTTTCGGGCTGGTCACGCTTTGTCAGTATGGTCACGTGCTCATTAGCCCCTGAAAGGTACTACTTTCCTGATTTGGTCACACCTGCACACTGCCAAGTCCAGTTCGGCGAGTCCTGCCATACAAACCAGACATGTCCCGCGTGCCCCCTGACCCCCAGCGACGAAATCGCGCACCGTCCGTGTCAAATTCAAACGGAAGTCCCCCAGTATTGTCGCTGCCTTCAACCAGGCCTCTCCTGATTACCCGTCCGCCCTCTCGCCCAGTCACCCCAAGTAACAACACCTTCGCACCCTCGTCCCCCAAAGGTTCCATCTTCTCCTCGCCAAAGGGCCCCGTTCGTCCCCAACGGTCGGAACTGAGATCTCGGCAGCCATCTGACTACTCCACCGCCGAACGAGCCTCCACGTCTTCTTCGCGCCTCGCTCATGACTACAACGGAAGAGACCGTAGGGACAGCTCCAGTACCATACGTTCCGATGCATCCGCATCCCAGCGATACCATAATGGGTCTCTCGCCGACAGCAGGCCTCGACTGGACCTTTCCCGTAGTTCGATGGATGATGTGCGGACGACGTCGCCAACTTCTATCGCCACATCCCCTGCGCTTTCTGCCTGTCATGGCCGCTTTTAAAGATGCTGGTGCTAGGAAACGTGGCATGACGAACGAGGGAAACGAGGAATATGAGAGGGATAGGAAAGCAGAGATAGAGCGACAAAAGTCCAGACAGGAACGCATCAGGGAACGTATGCCTGGACGTAGGCCTACCGGTAAGGCCAAAGCTGGCGATATCGACGGTGAGTATCTTATAGCCAAGAACCACAAAGCCTCCGACAGCGGCGCCATCTGGGTATGAGTGTGTCACTGAGTCCGGTCACAGCGATCCTGGATGAAATCAAAGACGAATGGGAGTTTGTTATCGACCCTGATGTATGAACGGCATCTTTTCTTTTCTTCCCCCTAATGTACTCAAACCATTTCCCCAGTTTAACAACGTAGATTTGGTACTAGCTCTCCTAGATGGACCATCTACCGGCAAAAGCCTGGATTCATTCAAACGGACCAAGGCTACACTATCCCAAGCGCTGAAAGGATCTGTGGACAGTTAGTAACACAACCGTCTCATCGCTTTGCAACGTCGCTCATGCATTGATCACAAAGAACACTACAAAGCTTTCGCAGACGCATTGCCACACCACGCTGCCATTTTGAGCCACCTGGGACTTGCCCAAACGCAAGTCAAGGGAACGCGGAGTTCCTTACAAGAAGCAAAAGACGCCCTTGGCAGCAGACGCGCAGATCTAGTTCAGCTATGGTCGCGGGGTCAAATGCTTGAAGAAATGATCCGCTTGTTGGATGACATGTAAGTATTTTATTCCCATTTCAGTGAAGATGTGGCTGAACCACTCAAAGTGAACACCTCAAGTCCATCCCTGACGCGTTGGAGACTCTCATATCAGAAAAACGATTGATACAAGCAGCTGCTTTGTTGATACGGAGCCTTAAATTGATCAACAAACCAGACATGCAGGAGATTGGTGCTGTTGGTGACTTGCGAAGTTATCTCACTGGCCAAGAGAATGTGGGGGTCATATATCTTTTCGTGTCACGCGCCGTTGAATGTTGCATAGGCTCTTCGGGAAATTCTTGTCGATGAGTTGCATAACCACCTTTATCTCAAATCCTTCTTTTGTGAGACGCGTTGGGCCGCATACACTCCAAATCAAAGGACACGTATGTATCCGTGCCTATTGCTTTACATCGCTGACAAACGTAACCAGTTGCAAAGGTTCCTTTTGAAGACGAATCCGCCCGTCCGGATATGCCGACCGTGGCTCGCCCTGTCGCAACATCCTTTCCTCAGAACTCTCAAACTAGTCGTCTGTCGAGGTATCTCAATAGTCTGGCTTCGCGACCCAACGACCCTCCCGATGACCTTAATGGGGCGAACCTCGTTAGCCATGGTGCGGCCCGGGAAACTTCGATGTCAATATCTTCCACAACATTCCAAGCGGTGCAGGCAAATATCGACCCGGAAGCGGATTCCTTTGCATATATCGAAATGCTATTGGAGTCGCTTGCCATCTTAGGCAAGCTTGGCAATACTCTGGATACAGTCATGCAGCGTCTACCTGGCGAAATTTATGCCTTGGTTGAAGCAACAGTCAACGAGGTAGAGGAACGAGCAGAACAATCCAAGAGAAACTCCCTCATTCTCAGCACCAGTGTGGGAAGTAAGTCGGAAGGTGGATACATCTTTACTTGTAGCGCCCCGCCCGCCATGCACTCAGCCTGCTTGCATCCTGCTGTGGGTGCGCCGGCTATGTTGGTATCTTCATTACGCCTCGCCGCACTGGAATTACCAGCGAAACAAGCCGATCACGAAATTTTGAGGGACCTCTTTTGGACAGTATTTTCGAAACTTGATGCTGTCACTCAGGGTCTCTGCGTTGTTTTTGAGGTTTCAAACCGTATTGGAACGGTACGCTGAAAGTGCTTCACATGGCCGTTGATATTCTTGATTTTTTTATTTAGCGTCGCGACTTCAAGGACTCCTCAGGTGCTAAAACTGGTGCACTTTTCCCTATTGCCGATGTCTGGGGTTTGGTACAGGCCGAAGTACCTGATAACGCATAATGTCTCCCGGTTCTGCTCTAATGCCCTGATAGGTTCGGACACTTCTGCATGATTACCTAACCGACGAAGAGCAGAGCTCCGTGGCAGGACGAAACCCAATCGCTTCCATCAATGAAGTGCTTCGAGAAGGACGCTTCACGCGAGACAAACTGAAGGTCGATCTTGTGCTTTACGTCTATCTTGTTTTTCTTCTTCTGATTGCTGGTGACATCTGCAGGTTATCTTTCGATTTTCCGATTCCGATATCAGGTCATCCACAAAAGTTCTTAGAAGACATGAAAGCGAACTCTTACATTCTCTTCGCGACACCATGCCTGGATTAGCTCAAAGCTCCTCGGAAAGCACTATTCAGACAACACTTTCTACTGTTACAGCCGACGACCATGCGGCTGGCCCGGGCCAGCACCATCGGTTGCTCATTAAACCGGACGCATTCCATGTCAGCGTGTTATTCCAGCCCACGTTGACATTCTTGAATCGAATAGCGGATGTCCTTCCCAATGACGTGGATAATGCCCGCTCAATGGCTGAGCTATTGGATGATTTCGTGCTCAAGGTATACTTGCCACAGCTAGAAGAGAAAGTATCTTTATTGTTCCACCACGCAATCTCGAGTATGATATTCTCTCCTCCTCTTTCATGTTTGTCTAAGAGCTGACTGCGATCAGGCCCCGATGCATTCCAACCCGACATCCTGTCAACTCGCTTCAGTCCTCAACCACTACTAAAGGTACTTGTGGATTGTCATCTCCGTATATTCATCCTCATATTTTCCAGGTGACCACGCAGATCATGGCACTCATAAATTCACTGTGTATAATGCTTCGCACTACTCCATTTCACCAAGAGAATTATTCCCGCCTGATCATCGGGGTTATCATTCAACTATACCAACGTTGTAGTGATCGGCTACAGGCCCTCGTATCCACAGAGCGACATGGAGATATTCCGCGAGTGTCACTAGCGGCTCAGTGGGCCCAAAGACCAGAGTTGAACGCGTGTTTGTCGGAATTTTCTATGTCAACTGTACGTAATACGAGATTTCTTCAGGCGTGTATTCTCCAACTTATTATTCGTGCTACTAGGATGGCTCGGTTAGACGATCACTCTGCAGACAAGAAATCCATCTCGAAATGAGTCTGCTGGGTCAGGGGACTGTAAGCAAAGAGGACTTGGTTGTCTCTATACGCGGTATTGCGGCGCTTTGCAGTCTGCATAGGAGCGTTGTGAGTGGCATATTATATTTCATTTCACTTCGCCAACGTCTCCCGCAGGCGTGGATAACCGAGCAATTAAGCAATCTGAAGTCAGCACGGGACGGTGTTCTGTCCCCAGGAACCGCACCACGCTCGGAATTACCCAACGTTTTTGCACCGTTCACACCGTCACCATTCCTCCCCGTCTTCCCGTCCGTTTCTGAACAAAACGAAGTAAACTTGCCGCTCTCCAGAGAGATGGCAATGTAAGCGTTTCACGTCTCTCGGTGTACATCTTATTTATGAAAAAATGCAGGCGATTCAGCGCACTTCAGAAGACATATACTCAGTTGGCTGAGATGATCCTTCATACTATCAGAATAGAAGTTCGTTGTCGGACAATGTATCATCTTGATGCAGCCTTCCGCCTTGTAAGTTCCGCTCCCATGGCATTCATGACTTCCCCACCATTTCTTCAGGGAAACTATCAAATTGATCACGAGGTCGGGGAACCGGATCCTTACATTGTTGACTTGAACACAGAACTCAGCAAAATTGACGAATGCGTGCTCTCCACATTACTCAAAGAAGAACAAGAGTCTGTCCATTCTCTCTTACCAGGTATTTCTTTAATAACCAATATGAGATAGCTTTGTCTTCTGTGGTTTGGAAGATCTTGTGGAACATCTCTTGGTCGCAAACGCCAGGCTCATACGATCAGCCAACAACCTTGGGACCACGAAGGTAATACGGAACATCCTGGCGTTACAGCAAGGTATAAGGTCAGTTGGGGGTGGTAGACAAGGCGCACAGTTGGAGAGGGCTAGATTGTATTATTCGCTCTTTTACTTGGGCCCACAGGTAGGGGATAATTCTCCTTCACGACTCATATTGTAACCACATTCCAGGGCTTGCTCGATAGCGTCCGCTCCAAGAACGTATTCTCCTTCGACGAATACAAAGTGATGCTGGATCTCCAGTGTGGAGTGGACCAGAGCCTGGGGGATGCAGCTGCAGCAAAAGCCAACGACCCAAACCACGGGATGTATACCATCGAATTGCACGGCTTGGAGCTCGAGAACTCTGCTGAGACCGAGACGAACTATTAGCACATGACCGTAAGGCGCCGTGTGGTCGCACGGCTGTCTTACACACACCATACGCCCAGCGTTCAGCCCCTCACGAGATACCTGCCGAGTAGGTAGTTTCTGTAGTATAAGCAGTCCCGAGCATAATTTAATGTTGTCTATCGTGAGGTTATGTCTCGTAGCCATGCAAGGTCTTCTCCATCGACGAAACGCAGTCGCGACGTCTGCAACTTTCCTCCCATCAGCGCATTCCTGGGTATAGATACCGTGTAGCTGTGAGATTCGCTTTTGGCAGGATGGTAAGTTAAGATAGGAAGACGTCCCAGAAGCTCCCGGTAACGCCGCCGGAGCCAACGAACTGGTAGTTTACCGTCAAAGGGATTGCTAGAGCGTTCTGGGGTAGTGCCAGGACCACGTTGCCACCTAATAGTAGGCGATGGTGAAATGCAGGGGTATCCTGCTAAGTCGAATACTTGCTGGAGGAGGTTAGTTTCCTCAAAACCGAAACACCGGGGCTGCGTCGCATCGCCATTCGTGCCGCTGTCAGACGACGGAGGTTCGACTGAGATTTGAAGGGGCGGAAGGACTTTGTTCACTTCTGTGGTGAAAAAGCGCCATCGCGTGTTCACTTCGCGCCGTTTACTCAAGGGACCTAAGAGCTTAGCTTCTTCAGAGCCGGGTCTGGCACGCTCGGGTAATGTGGGAGGAAATGCAAGGTCTTTATCCTTCAGAGGGTTTTTGCGAGAATAAGCGGATGTGAGAAGAGCTTTGAGCTCCGTGGAGTAGACAGGCGGCCGTGATTTCTCATTCCCCGGTATGATGGGAGGAGGACGTGTGGCACGAGGGTCAGAGAGCAGCGGCTTCACAAGGTTACATGAGGTTCAGAGGGTGGCACGCTAAAACTAGCCGCATACCTCTAACAATTCGTATCGTAGCTTCCCAACCCTCCCATAGGCCACATCGAGCATGCGGTTAAACGCAATGTGATTGCCCGTATTTGCCAGTTGCAGCCGTCGTAGGCCCTGAATATTGCCAGTAGCAGAGTAGCTCGATTTATAGCTACTATTATTTTTACCTTCAATATTCTTTTGAGCTTCGTGCGTCTCATGCCCTCGGGCTCGGTCTGAAGGACGCGTCGGAAGGTATCCGAACCCTGGATCTGGTAGAACTGGCTGCGGTGTATCAGTGAAAATGCGACATTCTTGGGGTAATGCTTCAAACCGAAGGTAGATGTGCGGAAGCCTTCTGACTTCGCGAATATATTTGCGGTAGATCGAGAATATCGCTCCAGGAGACATGTCTAACATCGTTGGAGCCGGAAGTACTGCGCTGTTGGGAGTGGCCGCAGACAGACAGCCCCTGACTGAGGCTGAAGTTGAATCGCTTCTAACTGCTTTGATCGGCTACAACCATGTCCGAGTACTGGGTCTCTCACAAACGCTACCACTGCAAGTACTGCAACATCTACATTGCCGACGACAAACCCTCGCGCACTCAGCATGAAAATGGTCTTCGTCACAAGGGCAATGTCGAGCGGTTCATAAGAGGGCTCTACAAGGAGGGAGAGAAGCGCGTCCGGGACTAGAGAAGAGGAGAAAGGCATCATGGCTGGCGTCAAGAAGGTTAGTATTCAACATGTTCCTCCTAGCCCCATCCGTAGTCGACAATCTCGTCCTGCATAGCCGTTTACCGTAACGATTCTTCTAGGCAGCGGAAGTGGCTTATGCACTTGACGTAGCATCCGGTCGCGCCCCCGTATCACATTCGTCTTCAATCGCATCATCCTCCCGCTCGGCCCCACCCCCGTCTACTAGAGTCAAGCCGACGAATCCCTTCGCCAACTACACCACAGCGGCTCAGTTGGGGATCACTGATCCTGATGCAGAAGAAGCGGAACGGAGGAAGGGGATGGGAATCCCCGGAGAATGGACATGGTCCAACAACACAGAGGCCAAGCCCACTACTGAGGAAACGATGGCTTCTTCTGGGAGTGTGGAGGAACGAAAGAGGCCAGCACCTGCCTCTGCCATTGAGGCTGAAGATGGTGATGTTCGTGCATTTAAGTTGCGGAAGAAAGTCGTGGGGTTGGGGCTCGGAGAGATATACGATCCGGGGGTTATACCCATTAAGTTGAAGTCAAAGAAAGAAAATGAAGAGGGAGAAAAAGTAAGCATGTCTTTCCATCTTTGAATGATTCTGGCTCATGAAACCAGGTAAAACTCGAAGAAGGAGATACGCTAGACGCATCGAATCCCGGTTCACTACCTAAATGGACAAAAGTGCAATGGAAAAAAATAGATGCCGATGATGTTAAACTGGAACCCTCTAAAATCGGGGCAGAAACTGGACCTAGGTCCACCAGCACACCTGAGTCCGACGAGCCACCCAAACCTAGTTGTACCAGCGCTTCGGACGTTGTACCGGACGCTGTCGACACCATTAAACCTGACCCTGACGCTGAACCTTCTCCGTCCTCATTCATAGAAGCTTCCCCCGACCTCCATGACGGGTCTCTTCCGCAAGCGGAAGCCACGACGGGCATAAGCCCTCACACCAACTTCCTCGACACACTCCACATCTACCCGGATATGCGCGCTCTTCGCGCACCCCCTTGAATTCTTCGGGGATGTCGTCGTTGAAGTCGAATATGCGATCGATAAAGTCTTGCGGGTAGCGGTCGGCGTTGGAGATATAATAATATCCAGCACCATTTTCGGGTGCAATGAAATTATATACGAGTAAATCAGCACAGACACGACAAGGAAATGCACGATGTAGTGGTAGATTATAAGAAAATATAAACGTACCTTACTTCTACAAATGCTTGTTAGGTTTTCGCTGTGATCGGTGATGTCAACATTTTGGTGACGCACCGAAATCTTATAATCTTATCATCACACCACAACCAGTTTTCACCGGGACTCTACGATGGTGAGCTCCTTGTTATTCCTAACACAAGCTATCTTGATACGCGGATTTATGTCAGGCTCCAAAGCAGAAAAATCTAAATCCATCAGGCCTCGGGCGAGCCATCATCAATCGCAGGGTCAAAGATACTCGTGAACGTCAGGAATCTGGGCTTGTGAGTAGTACTTTATGTCTCACCGATTCTTTCTCAATGGCCATTTACTTCTCATGTAGTATACGACGGACACTGATCCAACTTCCCGGCTCAGATCCGTCACCCAGGAGAAAGACTTGGACGAATTCCTAAACACCGCGCAGTTGGCAGGTATGGAATTTACAGCGGGTGCGCTTCTTTCTCTTCCATTTCACAACTCTATGACGTATGTTCCGACGTTTGATTTCCCTCAGAGCGGCGAAACATAAAGATCATCCAGTCGCCTGCTGGCTCATCTCATAACCCGTTCCTACTCAGTGATCAAGAGGAACGGTCCACGCTTGTCAAACACCAAGAAAACAAGTCCAGGTTAAGGGTCCCACGTCGGCCGCCCTGGACCAAGTTGATCACTACTGCCCAGCTGGACAGGCAAGAGAAAGACGCATTTCTAGAATGGAGAAGAGGACTAGCAAGGTGAGTACGACTTGTGTGCACCGACATAATTAGGGTGTTTATATTCACGGATTAAGACTACAGGAGGGCGAAAAATTCTTACTTACCCCGTTCGAGCGCAACATCGAAGTATGGCGTCAGCTGTGGAGAGTCATTGAACGATCCCATCTGGTGGTCCAGATTGTTGACGCCCGAAATCCCCTCCGCTTCCGTTGTGAAGATCTCGAGGCGTACGTGAGGGATGTAGAGGGCCCCGAAGGCGAAGCCGGAACTGGAAAAAATCTGCGAAAAAATCTGCTATTAATTAATAAGGCAGACTTGTTAACGGCGACACAACGGTGAGTTGATGCGTTGGATTTTGCAACAATTCCGTACCCGCAAACCTTATGATTGATGGTGCTATGCTAAAGCTGATGCAAAGACGGATATGGGCAGATCACTTTGACTCGCAACGCATTCAATATGCATTTTTCTCTGCCGCCAACGCTGCTGCCCTACAGAAATTACGGCGCGACGTACCTTCACAGCCTGACACTCAGCACGTTGAGACGAAGCAAGCTTTAGATGAAGACACTGAATCCTCTACCGGGGATCAGCATGCACCTCACGACAATGGCAGCGCGGATGGATCAGATAGCGAGGCCGATCTTCCCGACCTAGAGGAGCATGACGCCTCAGATGATGAGTACGGGTATGTACATACAGAAGAAGATACACCAGATGGAAGGGACCCAAGAACGAAGGTGTTATCTGTGTTAGAACTAGAAGAGTTGTTCCTCAGTTCTGCGCCAGACCCCTCATGTAAGCTTTGCGATCAAGGGTTGTCGGCGTCATCTAATTTTCGTTCGTAGTATTTACTGGTTCCTCTGGTTCCCCGCCAACGAAGCTGGTCGTTGGCCTTGTGGGGTATCCGAACGTCGGGAAATCGAGCACGATTAATGCACTTCTAGGCGAGAAGAAGGTCAGCGTGTCGTCCACTCCGGGAAGGACCAAGCATTTCCAGACGATCCACCTCTCTTCTACGATAGTCCTTTGTGACTGCCCTGGGTTGGTCTTCCCCCAATTTGCCACTACAAAAGCGGCCTTGGTGTGCGACGGCGTCCTACCAATAGATCAAATGCGGGAATACACGGGGCCTGTTGCCCTTGTCGTAAAGAGGATTCCAAAGGAGGTATTGGAGGCGACGTACGGGCTAAGCATTAAACTCAGACTTGAAGAGGAGGGCGGAGATGGCAAAATCACGGCAGAGGACCTCCTTATCGTATACGCTAGTGCGTTACCATCTTCTCCACTACGAAAGGATCTCTAACGAACCGCGCCATGCAGTTGCTCGCGGGTTTATGCGCTCGGGACAAGGAAATCCAGATGAAGCTCGTGCTGCCCGATACATTCTCAAAGACTATGTCAGCGGCAAGCTACTATTCTGCCACCCTCCGCCAGGTGTATCTGAGGACACGTTCAATATGCACACGCACGAGCTTTCACAAAAGCGGATGGCGGGAAAAAAACGCGCGCCGCTGACTCGGGTTGGCAAGGGTGCTGATACCTTCGTTCCGCCCTCCTTACCAACAGCACCTGGGTCGGATGTTTCAACTAATCTGGGGTCATCTTTGAAATCATTGAGCCTAGACCGAGAATTCTTTGCAGAAGATGACCTAATGCGCTCGCGTCCATTCGTTCAGAGTGCGGGGAAGCACGGCCAGCCGTTCACGCGGAATCGAATGTACCCGCACCAGAACATGGTCGGGGATGATGGACGTTTGCTACCACCGGGGGCAAGGGGTGTTGGCACAGGTGCAAGGGAGATAAATGGGAAGAAGAACCATAAGAAAATGAAAAGGGTAAAACAGAGAAGTGGAAAAGGTTACGACTAGTTACTTTACAGATACTTGGGATGTCCATTGGCCCGTGCACGCTGAATCATTCAATGATGGGCAAAGACTTCAGCACGTGTCCTATGCCTCACAATTACTCGTTCCAGGTGAGGATGTCGCGGTCATCCCCAGAGTCGTGGTCGCGTTTGCGATGAAGCATGACGCGGTCACGAGAAGGAAAGAGTCGGTTGCAGTCTGAGAGTCGACACGCATTGCAATGAATCGTACACGTGTGACAGAACGAAGTTACCTTGAAATGCGCAGATGTAAATAGGCGTCCTAGTGTGCGACGAAGCCGATTTAGAGATGCGCATCGACAGGGGGATGGGGACATACTCTTCGGGAAACGTGACTCGTCCATGACCAGTGTTTATCTGGTCAATGGTGCTTGTCGCTGCGCTGGACATCAACGAGGTGTGCAGGGGGTGTCCATGTCAGGTTTCTTACTGTCTTGCATTGCAGGAGCAGATTTGAGGATGGAAGGCAGTCGGGGACCGTCCATTGGAGAGAGATTGGATCACAGCCACCGAGAACGGCTCTAACCCTGACTCTGGATGGGTGGATGGAACGCCCGTCGCTGTTCGATGCGACGCAGAAGTCACTCTCAGATCGAGTCGAGTCGGTATTCTCGACCACCCAGCCACAGACTGGCATTAGTGCTGCAGCTGCGCAGGTGGACATGCTGGGGATGGACCGCTCCACACGTGCAGTCATGAAGCGAACGAGGGTGCCACGACTGCCCCCATCGACGTTCTCTCAGATGCCCTCAACGCCTCTCGTGCGATGGAACAATGCTGGCAGTCGTTGCCAGTCCGAAGGTCAGCTTCTTCTGTCTTCGTCATCGCGGCCGCCCACGCCCGTCATTGCCGCTCTCAACGAGGCCCTCTCGGAATGCATCCTTCCTTGTCCTCCACCGCCCGCAAGACTTCCCCTTGCCTTTTCACCTTCTCGTGTCTTGTCACGACCTCCTCTGCTGACCGCAGTCCGCCCTACTCATCCCACCGCATCCCTCTCGCCTGCACACGACTCCCCGCTCGTCCCTAGCTCGTCGCACACGACACCCGCAAGGCCCACCTCCCCAACGCGCACTTCTCTGGATGCTCTTCGTTCGATACACACGTCCACATCAACACAATTCACTACATCTCAATCCGTCTCAAGGTGGTGGTTCCAGACTGATTGGGATTCCGCCAGCAAGGAGAGAGCCGCAAGCGTATTGGATGAAGAAGATAGTAAAGAGGACATCGCCAAGAATTGTAGGTTACGATTCATCTTCCCAGGAACGCGTCATAACAATCTCTCACTAGTCCGTGCACCAAAGGCTCCTCTGGTGTTCTGTCACGGTCTCATGGGCTTCGACTCAGTCACCATTGGCCCCGCTATCGCTCCCCTACAAATATCACATTGGCGTGGCATCAAGGAAGTACTGCAAGACAATGGGTGCGAAGTCCTTATCACTCGTGTACCCGCAACGAGCTCGCCGGTCGACCGTGCCAAAGTCCTGGAGAAAACGATATCTGAAACTTACCCTGGCCGTGCTGTTCACCTCATTGGTGTGCATTTCCTGTACTTGTTCTGTGTCCTGCGCTAAACAGTTTCACACGCAACAGGACACAGTATGGTGCGTCTACTGTCTATTACTTGACCTGCGTCCTCAAATTCCCACTTCCTAGGGCGGTATTGACTGCCGACATCTTATCACCCATCTTACCCAGCGTTCTTTTTCCGTCCTTTCGCTCACTACCATCGCTACTCCTCATCGTGGATCCACCTTTGCAAACCATTTCCTTTCCTTGGCCAGTGCCCATCTTCCGGCTGTCCTCGCACTCCTCGAACTTCTTCCAAACGGAGGAGGCGATGGCAAGGCATTTGAGTGTCTGACACTGGAAGCTATGGCAGAGTTCAACGAAAACACACCCGACATTGAAGGCGTGCGCTATTTCAGTTGGGGTGCAGATTATGAACCAGGACTATTTGATACGTGGAAGTGAGTTCGTTGCCTCTGTGCTTTTGTCACACCATTCACCCATCTCGGCAAAGATATCCGCATTCCGTCATATACGCCAAGGAGGGTCCAAATGACGGACTCGTCTCCGTGCGGTCAGCGCGGTGGGGTACCTACCTCGGTACACTGAAGGACGTGAACCACCTCGATCTCGTCGGCTGGACAGATGGTATCGCGGGTGGGCTTGGTCTCCCTACGCTAAACATCCGGGGAATGCGAGCAGCGGTCCGCGGGAAGGAGGTCGGATTCAGCCCTGGGCGGTTTTATCTGGGTGTAGCAGATTTGTTAGCAGGGGTCGAAGAGGAAGAGGGCTATGTTAAGGATGGTGTTTGGGTCGGGTTGAGAGGGAGGGCCACTCTCATAGACAAGTTCCGAGAACGAGAAGCACCCATAGTTGAGGGCACACCCATCCAACGGAGTTCATCGGATAAGGCCAGAGCCAGGATGGAGGAAGTATTGCGCCGAACACCCTCCCCTTCCGAATCCAAAGATGGCGAAGGTGAAGAGATGGATGAAGCTGAAGGTTCTCAGCCAATGCTTAAAGCCACCCCATCGCTTGCCGAAGTCTAACGGACGATCGGACACATAACACGCGCAAGTTCTCCCGTTCTGCGCCAAGCTCAAGCCTGCTTGCTTGTTAGCTTAGGGTATGATACTGGTTGCGCTGCCCAACGCAACATTCGCTGGCATGTAGTACGCACTCTCCCTTGTTTCGCGAAGCTTATCCGGTGGCCAGAGTGCGTGTACCTGGGCAAGCGGCTTCACACGTCACCTCCTCACATCACTATGTACATGCACTATTCACGACTTACTCGCGGCATCCACTAACAGTCAAGGCATACGTGGGCTTTCGCGCCCACATGGATCGGCGAAACGACTGATATGATTTACCATACAGTACACAATGTATGTATATAAATGCTTCGTCCGCACCACACTAGAGAGGAGTCACACTACATAGTATCTTCTAATACGAAACTTGCCTCAGACATGTCCGGTCATCAAACTAATCCCCCATTGCAATTTGTAATACTGGAAAGGGGCATGCCGAGTTGCCAAATATGAGATGGAGCGTCTCTGATAAGATTGGTCATGGGAGGCTGCCGGGCGCCCTCTGTGCTACTGCACCGCTCCCGCACTTTTCATATCTCCACGGTCAACTAGAAGTTGAACATGGCCAAGTTGGAGCAGCTATCGTGCTCGAAGCATTTCGGCGGTAAGCTAACCAAGTACAAGTTCAGAGTGCGTAATAAGTATGATGTGAACTGATCCCCGAGGCGTACTGAAACACTACGTTTGCTACAGTCCACTGCTCTCGGCGACCTTGACGCCAGGCTCAACATCTTCCTACCCGGTAACTCTGTTCATGGCAAAGTACAGGTACTGATGTACCTCGGAGGATTGACGTGCACCGAGGACAATGCGTACGTCCCCTTTGACCTAGTACTATGCGTGCGATCACCAAACATATTACCATTCTCTTGATCTTGATGAAATACAACTCAATTTTTTTCCCAGCGCACAAAAGGGTGGTTTCATGCGCGACGCAGCTGCGGAAGGCATTGCAATAATCTTTCCAGACACATCACCGCGAGGTGCCGGAATCCAAGGAGAAGACGATCACTGGGACTTTGGGACAGGTAATTCATCCCGCCTCGTTGATATCGAGTCGTCGCTCACATTCTGTTACCACCGATCATAACCGTGAACTTCAGGCGCTGGCTGGTACGTTGACGCCACCCACCCGCAGTGGGCCAAGCACTACAGGATGTTCACGCATGTGACGCAAGAATTGCCACAGGTCATCGAGGCGTCGGGACTTCCGATTGTGCGTTTATCTCTCCCGATTTTGTCGTAGATATTCTTGATTTACCTTGGGTTCGCACATGATTTTGGAATTCCGACTGTCATATCTTCCAGGACTTCTCTCGGCAGTCCATACTCGGACACTCGATGGGAGGACACGGTGCCCTTGTGCTATACCTTACATCCATTCTTTCTGGAAGGAATACGTATCGCTCTTGTTCGGCGTTCTCGCCCGTCTGTGCGCCCTCTGTCGTGCCTTGGGGTATTAAGGGTTTCAATGGGTACCTCGCTGGCGGCGTTGAAGAAGGACGAGACAAGTACGATGCGACTACGCTCATTGGAAAAGTCAAGGGTCCCGTCAATATATTGATCGATTATGTGAGTTTTCTCTCTCTCTCTCTCTCTCTCTCCTCATGGACCTTGAGCGTTGACGGCTTCCGCTTGTGCCCGACAGGGTACTGCAGATGAATTCAAGCACCAGTTAATGCCGGACCTGTTCGCTGACGCTGCGCGCAAAGCCGGATTCGACGAGTCGCAAGTGCGGGTTCGCGGCCAAGATGACTATGATCACGGTTACTACTTTGTGTGTTGTGCTTCGAGCTACTTGGTCTATGCTGACTCGGTTCACGGCAGGTCTCTACATTCGCTTCAGAACACGTGAAGTGTGAGAGGTGTCTTGCTTCATAACCCTGGAAAGGGAACTAACTGTACCCGCGACACAGTTCATGCCGGATTCCTTAAGGCGTAGAAGGTTCGTGTAATACACGATAGTAGTACAAACAAGAGTGCCGTACTATTAAACCTGTCGTCAAAACACGTACGGGAAAGTGAATGTGGGAAAGTCCGGCGCATCTGACGGAACTGTATATTACGAGGGCATCCCGCGAATGCGTTCCCTGTAAGCACGTTCGAGTTCTTCGAGGTCGGAGCAAATCCAGCAGCTTTTTAATGCTTCGTAGACCGTTGCTCGCTTCCGAGGGTCGGGAACAAGGAGGTCGCAAACAAGACGTTTGGCTACAGTTTTCCCGAGAGTTTGAAAGAAAGACCGGGTGTCGATGAATCATAGCGTCATGTCATAGATTCGCGAGATACAATAACACATAGTGCATCGCCGGGACAAGTGTGTACCCACCATCTTTTAAAGGGTCCCATATGACCTCGCAAAAGGTAATGTTTCCCTCGAGAATTCGTTGCTTTGTTCGTTCGTCGCGAATGTGCGAACCCTGTGACCAGCCGGTGCCAAGGCCGTCCGAACCTACCTCTTCCGAAAACGAGGAGTCTTCGGTACCATATAGAGAACCCTCAAAATCAAATGGATGACTGCCTCTGGAAAGAACACAGGTCAGCACGGGGTAGAGTGGAACAAGTGCGCTTGGTCGAAACGAGAGGACCCACGAAAGCATAGCGAAGATCACGACGCCTGTGCTCCAGCAGTCTGCAGGCATTCCCACGTAGCCAAGATCAGGGCAGTCCAGTGCACGGACAGCCTCTGGAGGCAAGTAGGAAATTGTGCCGCAGACATGCAGGGTCTCCTGGAATGCCTTTGGACGTGCTAGACCAAAGTCCGCGATTTGTATGCGCGGGTATGGACCGGGGGTATGAAGAAGAATGTTTTCCGGCTAGACGTAAAAAGATGGCTCAGGAGCAAGGTATATGTAGTAGCCGGACTGACTTTTAGGTCTGCGAACGGAGGGAAGTGAGCAAGGTATAAGACGTGGGAGACGCGTGCATACCCCGATGCGAGATCATCCGATCATGCAGGTACTTTAAGGCCTTGAGTAGCTGATACGTAATATACTTGCTTTCGCCTTCGCAAAGGCGGTGCCGGACATGAGTAGTAATGTAGGTAAATAAATCACCACCGGTGGAGAGTTGGAGCATGATGTATAAGAATTCCGAGTCGGATTCAACCGCATATACCCTATTAATGTTCGGCTGTCGTAATGAATTTGAATGGATGTGTGGGGTGGGAGGGGATAGCTGTGCGACGTACGTGATGCAATGCCATTAGCATGGTAGCCTCCTTCATGTCTTTCTTGAGATCGGAACCTTCTTTCCTCCTAATGATCTTACACGCAGCCTGCCGATGCGCAGATGTATCGATGGCGAGATGAACAGTGGCGTAACTACCCGTCCCGAGGCAATGTGGTGTGATAAGATATCGACCCATGTTCTAAGGGACTCCATCGAAGATTTTTGCCTGGCATGGTTAGTCAGTTGCAACGTACCTTGATTGAATGAGGTGAGGGGACAAGGAGGGTCGTACGCCTGTCTGGGAGACACCTCCATTTTTGGACGCACTGGAAAGCTAACGTTACGTCAGGCAAATGGACTAGGTCGTATTTGCTGGTCTACTTAGTGAGGCTGGGATTTTGATCGTGTCTCCGTGCATGACGATAGCGGAGGTCTTGCGAATTTTATAACCGTTGATGACGACGCCGTTAGTCGACATGTCCTGTCATGCATGGTTGTACGGCATAATGGAGGAAGCTGAGAGAATGGTACCTGGCACGAAATGAGAATTGCTCCCGCGCTCGATTGAATGCTGGGAAGAATGAGCACCCTATGGGTGAGACTGAACAAATACTGACGCATATATTTTGCAATGCAGGCTGGAGACGACTATGTCTGGGATGACGTACGAGCTAGCGGCGGCGATCAAGAGTAGTATGTCAGTTAATATGCACGTCCTTGCTAGTGATGATGCATGGCAACCAGATGTTCGGATTCCTGCCTATGAGGATAGGTTTTCCAACACTCAGGAGAAGTGCTTTGTGGAAATGCATCAGTACGGGGCTCGGTAAATGCGGTGTTTTGGACACCTTCTGTACGTCCGTCACTGGTGGTGGTGATGAACTTGGCGCATACATCTGGGGATGTCAGAGCACGAGCAGAGGAGGAAGGAACAGATGGAACTGGTTGGGTTGGGTTGTCGAGGATGGCGTCTGTGCTCTGTTTCATTGTCGTGTCTCGACACGGTCGCTGGACTTGGCGCGCTCAGCGATATGAAGAGAACGCGTCGCAGGTCACGTGCTGCTCTATGGATCATGACACGGTACGGTACTCTGTCCAGGTAAATCCGCAAGTGAAACGACGTGTACTGTCGTGATGGACGTCGTGGAAGAATTCTGCACTGCCCCAGGGTTGATGAAACCTTGGAGGTCGGAGCGAGGGGAAGAAGTGTTCAGGCTACTTTCCCATATGTCCTGACGAGGGGAATGTGAGACCCGCTTGGCTGCGCTGCATGAGATGAGGATGGTTGAATCGAGTTCACGAGGACGGCACGCGAGCACTGGCTAGCGACAACGTTCGTTTGATGAGATTCGATACAGATATTGATATTCGTGCAGGGAGTGTCGCTGTGTGACGAGACGCCGAGCGGGGCAAACAGTGATAAAGCAAGTGAATCGGACTGCTCCAGAGCAGTGTGCATCGACACTCTCGACTGCATCGACGCCCTCCCAGCCATTCTACTTTATTCCATAGCATTTCGTTTTTTTCTCCCCTCAAAGCCTCTCTGAACAAACTTGGAACGTCTACTCAATCCGATAGCCGTCCCCAGCTCACATTCGTCGCTGTTTTGAGAAAAAAAACACGCCCTGCGCTGTCCAACACTACCCTACGTAGCCAGCCATACCGTCCATCCTCGGAACTAGAACTCGTAGAATGTCCTTCTTCTCGAGGAAGAAGCATCCGAGTGCTTCACAACTTGTCTCCAATGTGACCGTTGCTCAGACTCCCTCCCAGGCTCTTGCTCAACTCGCTGCCAAAGATACTTCCCAGCAGGGCAGTTCACCCCGCGAAAACGATGCGTGAGTGGTAGTATTATATTCAGTTCTCTAGTCGTTGCTGAGCCTCACATCATCCGTTGTTCACTCCGTTCAATGTCTAGAACTGCCAGCGGACCTGCTTCCTTGGCGCCACAGCAACGCCAGCAACAAAATCGGAACGGCAGCCCTAGTATCATCCCTCAACCATCTCAACCCCATCCGCAACAGCAAGGAACACCTCCCTCCCAGCAGCCCCAATCCACCCAACAACAACCCCAACAACAGCCCCAACCTCAGCAGCCCCAACAACGCCCTGCCTACCCGTGGTCTGTACGCCGTCTCCACCTCCCACCGCCCGTGGTCCTTCCCAAACCAGGCGTCGCGCCCCCAACTACGCCTTCCCCTCCTCCGTTCCCGCGCTACGGTCACGCTCTTCCGGCGACCGCCACTGCTGCCGGTGAACTGTACCTCTTTGGCGGCCTTGTGCGTGAAGCCGCCCGTAACGACTTGTACCTCTTTTCCACGCGTGATCTGAGCGCAACTCTGGTACAAACCACCGGTGAAATTCCCACTCCCAGAGTAGGCCATGCAAGCGCAATTGTGAGCAGTGTATTAATCGTCTGGGGCGGGGACACCAAGACAGACCCGACGACTAACTCGGCGGAGAAACAAGATGATGGGTTATATCTGCTTAATCTTGGTAAGTGCCGATATCACCGACTTTCGATGTCTTATGTGATGGCTGGTTGACCGAACTAACCACACCGTGCAGTTTCGAAGGAGTGGACAAGAGTAACAATGTGCGGTCCATCACCAGCTGGCAGGTACGGCCATGCTGTTACCATGGTTGGAACCAGGTTTTTTGTTTTTGGAGGTCAAGTGGATGGAGAGTTCCTCAATGACTTGTGGTCATTTGATCTCAACACTCGTAAGCTTCGACCGGTTCCTGTGCTGTTCGAAGAACTCAATTTCTTTTGGTTATACTAACCTGAAAAATCCGCTCTTTGCCCGCTGGATAAGTGAGATCCCAGACACAGTGGGAGCTTTGTCAGCCTGCGGGCTCCGAAAAACCTGCTCCGCGGACAGGTCATATCTGCGTGACGCATGGTGACCGAATTATCGTGTAGGTTGTCTTCTCCTGCGGTTATCTGGTCTCCGACCTGTCCCCTCTTTAGGTTCGGTGGGACTGATGGTCAATATCACTACAACGATACTTGGGCGTATGATGTTAACTCACGCCGCTGGACGGAGCTCCAGTGCATAGGATTCATTCCGTCACCGCGAGAGGGCCATGCAGCCGCCGTAGTGGATGATGTGATATACATATTTGGTGGGCGGGGCGTCGACGGTAAAGACTTGGGGGATTTAGCCGCATTCAAGATGAGCAGTGAGTTGACCATTGTAGTTTCGCAGTCGAGATGAGGCGCTATGCGGGCTTCTGGGGGTGAGTCCACAGAGCTGACAAGGTTTCTGCAGATCAGAGATGGTACATGTTTCAGAACATGGGGCCCGCTCCCACTGCCAGGTCTGGTCATGCCATGGCCTCGATGGGGAGCAGGGTGTTTGTTTTGGGCGGAGAATCATTCACCCCCGCAAGGGGCGACGACCATGGAATCGTTCACGTACTTGATACCAGTGGGTCTTCGTTGTTCTCGTTTCAGGCACGTTCCTGACGAATGTTGGTTGCAAAATATTTTACTATTCATCACTGCGACATCCAGAACATATCAAATATCCTGACGCCAATAAACCCCCCGCGAATCCCAGCCTCATTGCTGCCGTTGCTCGCAAAACAGCGGTCTCCCAACAACCACCCACCCAGCCTCCAGTACAACCGCAGTCCCAAGTACAACACCATGTTGCTAATGGCTCTCGTGCTATGTCACCAACGGGGCCTGGGACCGCAGACGTTGATGATTTACGTACTGCTGTTTCACCACTTGGCGTTCGTCCTGGGACTCGTACCCCGAATGGAAGTATAATTCAGGGTACTCCCGGGGTAACTAGCATGGCCGTGAATGGAAAGGTCAAGGCACCGACGAGGCCGCGTCGCGATGATGACGATGTTACAGGAACGGACGATGGGCATGGGACGGATACAGGCACCGCCTCCGATCTCGGCGTTTCTACTGCGCGTGCGCCATCGCCGACGGAGCCTCAACGCGCGCGGAGTCCCACGTTGCTCAGTACCACTGGACGCGCGATGTCGCCAGTGAGTGGAGGTGCCTATCCACAGCAGCGACAGGCACATCAGGCCGCCCCATCCATGACGAGTGTTGCCATGAATTTGACCGCTGGTCTCTCGGCACGTAGCCCATCTCCAGTTGTGGACAGAAGCAAGTCGCCCCCGGACGGCCTGATCCAACCCCCGCCATCCGGCTCTTCGCACGCGAACGGTTACGCCCATCCCCATCATACTCACGGAGGGTCCAAACTCGGCTCCACGGGGAATGTCGCAGCTGACCTCATCCGCGACTACAAGGCCAAAGAGATCGAAGTAGAGGTGTTGCGTAAGCGGGAGGCGTGGATGAAGACCGCCCTCCTGAAGGCACACAGGAATGGGTTTGTCCAATTTGATGAAGAGTCGATTGAGGCGGAGGGACTCGGCCTTGGTGAAGATACCAGCGATGACCAGCGTAAACTGGCAGATATGATATTGAATTTCAAGCATTTCAAGACGCAGATGCAGGTACAGTCCGCTTGTTCTTCGCTTCCGCGGGCCTGCTAACTTGAGGTTCACCAGATGCTTCTCGCAACTCAGGCGAGAGAGGCTTCTGACCGTGTGGCAGATGCGGAGCGGATGAAGACCGGTGCAACTCAAGAAGCTGCATATTACCGTGCAAAGCTTACCGCCTGGGAAGCGAATGCGCCAACTGACGTAGCTCGCGTCGAGCGGGAGCGCGTTGCTGACCTTGAACGACATCTAGCTACGCTCTTGTCTGAGCAGAATGTCCTGCGTCGCAAGGTGGTTGAAGCCACTGATTCGTTGGCTTTGCAGACAACATTGCTTGAACAGGCGGAGGCGCGCGCGGTGGATGCAAATAAACGTGCTGACACTTTGGAAGAATCTCATGAACGACATACTCGTGCTCATGCAGAGCTCCAGGATCGTCAGGTGCTTTTAGAAGCGGCTCTTCGGGAGCACGCGGATCGCCTCGCCTCGCAGACATCACTCTTAGAACAGAAAGAAGCTGAATGCTCGCAGGCCAAGAGTCATGTCCAGGAGCTTACGCAGTTCCAAGATCAACATATTCGTGCATTGGAGCAAGCCCGCGCTGCCGTTCAAACTGCCATGTCCCGTTCAGATGAAGTGGATAGCAATCATCAACGCTCCCGCGAACGAATCGCCCAACTTGAGACGGACCTGGTCGAAGTGAAAGGCGACCTGGAGGCCCGTACGTTGGAAGTCGAGTCATTGCGAGCCCGTTTGGCGGAGGTGGAGAATTCGTGGGCCAAGTCCCGCGAGGAGGCAGATGCCTTCAGAGCTCTAACGACTGGTAGCCTCGGCGAACTTCTCGACTCCCATCGCGACCTAAAGACTGATGAGGACCGTCATGCTCGTGGCTACGCAGAGAAAACCGAGGCCATGGAGACGGAAGCTGCGTCACTGCGTAGGATCCTCAAAGAGGCATCCCAGAGGGTGGAGGACGTACAAGCAGAACTCAGTGAAGAGCGTCGCCGAGTACGAGAAACAGAGTCCGAGCAATTATTCCTCCGTTCGCAAATTGTCGGACTTCGTGGGCAGCTATCCAACTCCCTCTCTGATAACGGGCGTTTGCGAAAGGAGTATACAGACAAGGAGGCGGAGCTTTCGGAGGCACTGAAGGAAGCTGCAGACGCCAATGTTCGACTGGCGATGCTTCGCAACTATCTCGCGGAAAATGGAATCAGCCCTGACCAAGATGCTCCAGGCTCAATCAGTGATAACTCGGCTAAGGTAGCTGAGCTTGAAAAGCAGCTGGAAGAACGTATCCGCCTTCACGAGAATTCGGAACGGGAGCTAGCTCAGGCGGTACGCCGGACACGCGATGCAGAAGCTCAACTCAGTGCTCTTACGTCACAACTAGACCGTACGCATTCCTCTCCGCAAAACTCCATGGTAGAGAACGATTCCGCGATCGCTCGTGCTACTGAAGCAGAGCGCAAATTGGAGGAAACCGAGCGAAGCTACAAAACAAGGATGCAGCAGATGGAAGAGGACTATCAGCTTGCTGTCCACTATTTGAAGTGAGTTCGATACACTCTGAAATGCATGCGTTGTCTTACTGGTTGTCCAACAGGGGCACCGAGAAAATGATGCGGAGGATGAAAGATGAACTGACGAAGCAGAAGGCCGCGAATTCTACTCTTCAGGCAGAGCTAGACGCTGCACGAGGTCGATCAAGTACGGAGCCTGGTTCTCGAGCGCGTGTCAACGGCCGGACCACACCGTCGGACGACAGCCATGATCTCCGCTCCCAACTTTCCGAGGCTCAACAGTATTCCCAGCGATTGTCAACTGAGAATAAGGAACTGCGACAACGCATAGAGTTGCTAGAGAAGGATCTTGTCTCGATGAGGGAAAGCTTTATGATGTCTCAAAGAGAGTCGGATGACCGGTACTCGCGCGTCGAAGAACTGGAACATGAGATAGAAAGGCTTAATGCCACATTGGCGATATACCGGAAGGGTTCGGACGAAACAGCCGTGGAGCAGCTCACCATGGAGAACACGAACCTGAAGAGGGAGAATGAGCAACTTTCGCACAAAATACATCTGCTCTTGGAGGTCGACCAACCGCCGTTCAACAGACCATCAAGTATGTCCAGTTCAGAGAATTTCGAACACCTCTCGAACGAGTTAGATGATTGGCAACGACAACTCGCCAGTTCCATGAGTACGCGCCGACCCTTGAGTGGAATCGAGTCGCCACCCCATGGACACAGTCGGATAAACTCTCGATCATAACATCATTATAGTCCTAGGTGATACTATACTCGGTTTGTCTATATATCTGTTATACCCACACTGCTTAGTTTCCTCATCATTGCACGCTCGTTTGGATTTCGTTCTCATGCTCGTCTTGTTCGTGGTTGACCTTTACTAATATATATATTTATACGAGCAATAAGTCATCGTCAAGTTGAGGTATTACTATGATGCTGCCGCAGCTCGCTGTGTCCACTCAATTGCTCTCTGTTTCACGGTAGCAGCACCCTCGTCGTCACCTATCTTGTGCTCGAGGTTTAACCACTTCTTGAAGAAGGACCTTGGTGAAGTTAGCACGAGATGGAAGATCAACCCAAAGAAATACGTACTTGGCCTTGTGGCTCGTCATCTTGATGGCGAGAACACGGCCGAAGATGTTCCTATGTTCAATTTAGTAACGTCATTTTCAGCTTCAAGATGCACCAAGTACCGCAAGTGTTGGATATCCTCTTGTTTTGCTTCCATGTCCATGTAGATAGACCAAAGATCCCACCGTTTGGGGTGCGAATCCACGATACCTTCGAAGATGGTCCTACCACGCTCGGGATCCCCGAGCTTATATTCCATTTGCGCGAATTTTGATATTGTTTTGATATCTGATATGCGAGAGTATGAGCAAGGTGACTGGAATATCGGTCCCTCTACCTACGTTTCTGCTTTTCTAAACTTTGCAAGGAACGCGGGAGCAATTTGCGAGCCTCTTCGAGTTGTCCGCGTCGCAGGTAGTGCTCAGCGAATAATGTCCACGCTTTAGAGCTTTGCCCAAATTTCTTGCACGTCCGCTTGTATTGCTCCTCAGCTTTCTGTGTAAAGGTAAGCAAGCAAGTTCCGCGCACAAATTTCTGATAGCAAACCTCGTATCTTTGGCTATCTTCGAAAATGACCGCAAGTCGAAGATGGACCGTTTTCGAGTCGTTATGTCGCGCTGCATCCTTGAAGACTGCTTCCATCGTCGTGTCTGAACCGTAAGTGTTCTCTATATTGAGTAAAGCTATCCAAACGTTGAGCCTCTCCTGTTCCTCGCGGAAGTTAATAGTCTGGACTGCACGTCTGCCGATTGCCCGAGCCTTGTCTATCTCGGACATCTGCAGGTAGAAGGACATGTATTGGATCCACAGGTAAGAGGAATTGGGAGACCCCAATAACAGCCTTTCAAAATCAGCGGAGGATTCGGGAACCTTGGTGTGCATATCTGTGGTCAAGTCTTGTTGGATTTCTTTCCGCTTCCTTCGTTTCTTCTTCCTTGACTCGGTTTCGTCCTCACTACAGCTTCCAGGCCCGGAGTCCTCTGATATCACATCCCCGGAAAACCACTGGAATCCTTCGAGTTTGAGAGGGACCTGCCTCTTCTGACTCAAAACGGACAGTTCCTCGGGTTGATTCTCGATACCGATACCCCGCTGATCGTCCTCGCCATCGTCTTCAGTGGCCTCTTCCAAGTTCTCTTCCGTAGATTGGTCGGACATGTGGCTAGGGTCGTCCTCTTCTTCTATCTCAGCTTCACTTGCAGAACTGCCATCCCCTTTCAAGCTTTGATCATCTTTGACCTCTATATCCTCATCCCCCGCGAAATAAGATGGCTTTAGGCCCAGCGACAATTGCTTCTTTTCTGAGTCGCGGGAAAGGATGATGGCCCTGACTCTATCGCCTTCCCTGAAAGTACGCAGCGCAATAGTTACATCCGCATCCTTGTTGTCAGATAGCTGTCAAAAGTGTTGGCGGACGTCGATGGCAAACACAGCCAGAACACACCTGCGACTTGTGGCAGAGTCCCGTAACCTTGGAACCATCGATCACGATGAAAAGGCCATATTGCTCAATACGCTTCACCTTACCCATCACCTTCTGACCTTCTTGTAGATCATTGAAAGTTATCATCTTTGAGTGGCTCCTTGCTAAATCACCCGATTTAAACGTCATTTCAACTTTCTTGTTATCGACGTCGACGCTGGAAAACCATGAGTTCTTCGAGGGGTCGGTTCATCAAACACACGTACCTAAGTATCCGGCCCTTAACCAATTGGTTGGCGACAAAACGACTTTTCCAATCTTTGATGTACTGCAAATGCGTCAGACACGCGTGTACTTCAGTCCGTATAAGCTATTTACCTCATCAAAAAGCTCCCTGATTTGAACCCTTGCATCGATGCCACGACCAATCGTAACGAAGAGGCCATGTTCAGACACGCTCTTAATGAAACCTCTGATGGTGTCGCCCATCTTCAAGTCTTCAAAACAACTTAGCTCGCGGTCCACTGGTGGATTGGCCGAGTCTGGAGAAATTTTCGACGGTCGGGTGGATAGTGTCAGATGATTGGCGCTTTCATCAATACCTATGACTACCGCTTGCAAAACAGAGCCCACGGCGGGGAAAGGATTTCCAACTTCATAATCATCGCAAGCATCCGTAGGGTGGAAGGAGCCAGTGATGCGTGCCAATAATTTAACCGTAGTTCCAGAACGGCCATGCCCAGTCACCCTTCCGCGAACGATTTGGCCAATGGCAACTGTACCCATGGACAAACTGGTTTTGGGTTTTGTTAACGACCCCGGCTTGCCGCCGACAACAACAAAACCTTCTTCCACCGACGTGACCACAAGGGAATCTATAATAGTGCCCGGCTTCAATGATGTTCTAAGTTCCGGGACGGTGGTTCCGCGGATATTCGCCAGTGTAACAAAAGAAAGATGAGCACGAGCTTCAGATGGCTGTAGACTTAGTATGATGTTGGCTTTTTGAAGTTCTACGATAGCGCCTTGAACGGTGTCGCCGACAGAAAGACTAGAAACGTCGGTGACGGCTGGGCTAAAGGCAGACGTTGCTTGTCGTATGCTTGCGACAATACGCCGAGTATCCTTGCGGACGGCAATGATACGCACTCTCGTAACTTTTCCAGGGGTAAAGGCGTCTGTCAACTTCGCGCCAGTTTCACTGCACGTACGAATGCTTGAGTTAAGCTCAATGTTCGTGATCGCTAGAACTAACCTTGCCTCGCGGGTGGGAATTGTAGCCTTGACGTTGTTGAAGAATTCCACCTTCAGTCCCTTTTCTGAAACTGCGAAGATGACCCCATGGGTAACAGCGCCAATTTTGGCATCTTCATAGGAAGTCAGGATTGGTTGGGTAGTATCCAAAAGCGTCCTTTTAGTCGTCAAAATAACGCGGTTCCGCTCCGGTTCAACAGTAAGTACCTGAGACACACATAGGTGTTGGTTGGTAATATATACATCATAAGACTTCATGAGACTTACCCGGCATTTGATACTCGCTCCAACCTTGAATTTCTTCGCGGGATATTTGAGCGGTACGTCTGCGTAGTGGTTAGGCCATATAACGCCATCCAACCTCTCGGATATTGATACGAAAACGGCGGAATCTGTCAAACTTTTCACTGTCCCCTTGATAACTTCCCCGACTCGAATATCCCCAACCTGTAGGAACTTCTGCAAGAAGACCGATGGCCGAAGAGAAAGTTGGAGGATCCCGTCAAACATGTGGTGACCAATCACTCTTGCCTTGTGCAGAGTGGCGATTTTCCAATGGCCTGAGGTCCCAGAAAGGGTAGGCGTATGTTCATCTGACACTTGGGATATCTACAGCTTGTTCGGTCAGAATATCAAAGAGACGAGGGTCGTGGCTCACGTGTACGAAAACCATCCACGGTGGGTTGTACCTCCACGAGTAAACCCTGCTCGGGCTCCACATGTCTGACTTTCACTGAGTCCAAAGTAGTGCCGATCGGGAAAGCATCAACCAAAGAATACCCATCCAAGTCAACTGCAGCGGATTTTACCCCGAGAGCAAGATGATGATCGGAGAGTGTAACGGAAAATCGGGGCGGCGACGTCCCGGGAATGTTATATAGTATCCTGGCTTTTACTCTTTGGCCCACCTTGGGTGTTTTCTGTGTCCGCGACTGGTGATATTCATCGGCAGTTGCATCGAAGAACCCCAGAATTTGTAAGCCAAGACCGTTGGCTGTTACTGCAGTAACCAAAGATTGAACCAGCATTCCTGGCAGCACCGAGGTTACATCGCTAACCTCCGACACCTAAATCGCATCAACAATACCGGTCACGATGAAGATATGCCTGTGCACACCGATGTAGCAACTAGTGTCTTTGAGTCAGTGGTGACATTGCATGTTCTTCCATTGGCAGACAAGCGGAGCACAACGATATCGATAAGACAGCCGATCCGGAATCTTTCGACAGAACCCTCCTTGTGTGCATCCCTAAAGGATAAGAATCCTGACACCCCAGAGATGCCAAGGTCTAAGATATATCCATGGTCCTCGGTGCTTTGAACCGCAGCGGACATGGTCTAACAACTGTCATGATTAAGCGGCTTTCGTCAGAGACTCCTGTCACATACGTAGCCATCCTTCAAGTCCGACTTGCGAACCCCAGCATTAACCTCCTCGGGAACAAGACTGAGCTCCACTCGACGACTCGCCCTGACAACCTCGTCGCGCGAACGCGCGAGCCCCGTTAGGTCTGTAGTTCCAGGTGGGTGCGCATTTGTTACCACGCAGCGTACATACTGTCCTGGATGGAACAGCTCGGATAAATCTGGCACATTGTCGGCTACCACGTCATTATCTGATTCGCCAGAAGCATCACTTCGTACATCCATTGACTCTAGCAGTCGACTAAGCTGCGACGTGATTTTTGTAATGGGAACGTGGGCGACGAGTTGGTTGGGTAAAGAGACCACAAGCGCAAGGGGTTGGACGGAGACAACCTGTCCGAGAATTTTCGTGCCTGGCACCATACGCTACGAACTCAATGTCAACCCACGTCAGGCGGGAAGAGAAGTTCTACTACCTTGTAATTGAGATGTTCAATGCGTAGGCCTTCCTTCTTGGAACCTTCAGGTTTGAGCTCGAGTTGGGACTTACTCTTCCTCCGATTCACTTTGGGCTTCTTCGCGTTATGAATTCGCCACGGTTCGACAAAGTATATCATCTGTTTCACTCACAGAAAGTAGTCCCTTGTCTACCCCTTTAATAGCCTCCGCCCGAATCTCCTTCTCCTCAAGAGCGGTCAAGTTAGTTCCCCCACCACGAGGGAAATCCACCTCCTCCGCCATCACCGTGGAATCCACTGGAAACGAATCCTCGCCTGGATATTTTTCATGCGACTTTCCTGACGATCCTTTGGCTTTCTTAGCTTTCCGACTAGAGGTGCCGTCTTCTAGTGCGCGTTTTTTCCCTGCCATGTTGATGGTATGGTGCCAAGGAGTGCAGGTCCTAATATCAAGCCCAAACTTTTTCTGACGGCCTGCTGCGTTCCAAATCGGGAAGCTGAAAACTCCGTATTATGTAACAAGTATCCTGGGGTGCCCTCTTGTCCTGCAACTTCTCTGTCTGAAAGACGATATGGGTGAGTCTGCCGTTCCATTTCTACTACTCGTGTCGTTTACGCATCTCCCAAGATTACCAGGTTGGATAATACTGTCCTAGTCACTCTTTTCCCCATTAAATCTGAGTTTTCTTCCAGAATCGCGTTGGTTCCAAGTTTGGCGGCGGTGGTGTGGCAGGTGCTTCAGAGACTAACGTGGACAGGAGGGAGCGTCTGAGGAAGCTCGCCCTAGAAACGATAGACCTTGCAAAGGTATGTGATCCCCGCGATGCAACAACAAAACTTATGTATTTCTCATGTGTCCACAGGACCCATACATTCTACGCAATCACCTCGGTTCCCTCGAATGCCGACTCTGCTTGACGCTTCACACCAATGAAGGTTCCTACTTGGCTCATACCCAAGGTAAAAAACATCAGACCAACCTTGCCAGGCGTGCTGCCCGGGATGCTAAGGAGACGCAGCTCATGGTTGCACCCACTCAAAGCAGTGTCCAGCGAAAAGTCTTCCTCAAAATCGGTCGCCCGGGCTATCGGGTGACTAAGGTCCGCGACAGAGACACTGGTAAAGAAGGCATGATGGTGCAAGTACACCTTCCCCAAATAAAGCCTGGTGTTATCCCCCGACGGCGATTCATGAGCGCATGGGAACAAAAGAGGGAACCCCCCAATAAAGCCTACCAATACTTGATCGTAAGGCTAGCCAATGTCTCTACTGTGAACGTTGCTCATCCTTTCGCGAAGGTCGCAGCGGAGCCGTATGAGACTATCGCATTCCGTATTCCAGCTCGAGAGATCGAAGACGAGGCAGATGACGCTGGATACTGGAACTGGTCACATTGGGACCCAGACACTAAGCAGTACAGTTTCCAGTTTATGTTCCGTCTCTCTTACTAAGTTGTACTTCATGGAGCTGCCAGTTCTCATGTAATACGTAAGTAGGTTTATACTCCATGTTGCACTCAACAAATCCGTCATGCTTAGATGCTCTGGTGTAAGACACGCTGATAACTTCTCAGGGATGCCGTGTGACTATTAACTTGGAGATTTCTCACCACAAAGGTCTCCCGACGAGTCGTAAATGACACGGTCTGGTTCAAGCGTGCCTCCAGTATACACATACCCTTACTCCAGAGGATATTCGAAGAATTCCCTACTGCACGAGAGGAAGGGGAAATCCTACAACGCTTGGTTAGTCATGGCAACTCTTGGACCTATGACGTTGTGCCTCGTAGTCTTTGTACCAGTGAGGTATTCCCTATTGACCTTGTGTCTCTCGAAGTGTACAGCATTTATGCAACTTACCCCGCACCGCCACTCTCGGCCTGAGAGACGGCGTTATAGATGTCTGTAGAAGTGTAGTCATTGCTACCGCAAGCACAACCCCCGGGTTGCCGGTCCACCAAAGCGGATGCCGCGACTACTGCCAGTAGCAGAACGAGCACACGAGAATGCATGGGGATTGGCTCCTGGAAGTACTACCAGGTGAATTTATTAGACAACCCCTCTTGACAGCATGAGAACTATTCCCTCGAGTCTCCTCTCCCTCGGCAAAGGGGGGAGTACGGTATCCGTCTTCCTGGACACACGTGCGTGGTTCAGCCAAGTCGTACCTGGTAAAAACTGGCAAGAGCTGCACGCGTAACTGGGTTGACAGGTTTTCTGACGGCCCGTACATGCGGCAGGCCTAATAGGGAAGACATTGTGAGTATGTGCAGGGGAGCCGCGCACCAGCGCATTCGCATGGAAACGATTAGCTGTGATCCCATCGATCTCTGGCAACCATGTGCTCTTTGAGTTTGTCGTGCTAGCCCCCGACCCACCGTTGTTGAAGACGAATAGATAAGCTAGATTCATAATGGAAGAAGCGTAACGCATTCCTTTTTACCAGGACACCCACTTATACATGACCCCCCTCTTAACACCTCTTGAGAGAATCTCCGCGGTTCAATTGGGAGAGCAATTCACAAACAGCCGTTCACCGGCGGGCTGAGCCCTGTTCCTCTCCTTCTCCAGTTTCATGTCACAGTTAAGGACCAAGTGAGCCACGTACTCGACGGGACTACAAGTTTGAATGTAATACATACGATGTGTAATGAGTTTGTACTACATGCTGCACTCAACAAATCCGTCATATGTAGATGTTCCAGTGTGGGTATGACACGCTGGTAACTCGGTCAGGGATGGTGTTACTGTTGAAATGAAGATCTCTCACCGCAAAAGTCTCCCGAAGAGTCGTAAATGACGCGATCTGCTCCAGGCGAACCTCCGGTATAAACATACCCTTGCTCCAAAGGATACTCAAAGAATTCCCCGGTGCACGACGGAAAGGAGAAACCCTACAAAGCTTAGTCAGTCATGGAGCTTCTTGGGCCTGTGTATGACGTTGTAACCTCATAGTCTTCATACTGGTGGGGATAGTCCCTATTGGTCTTGTGAGTCTCTCATAACCTCATGCAGCAGGTTACCTTACCCTCCACCACCACTCTCAGCTTGGGAGATGGCGTCATAGATGTTCGTAGAGGTGTAATAATTGTTACCGCAAGTACAACCACCAGATCGGCGGTGCACCAAAGCGGTTGCCACGACTGCGGTCAATAGTAGAACGAACACACGAGAATGCATGGGGGTCTGACTCCTGAGAGCACCACCACCATGGTGACTTCATAGGACAAAACCCTTTGTAGCATGGGAACTACTCGCTGAAGTCTTCTTCCTTGGAAAATGGTTGTGAGTGTGGTATTCGTCTTCCTGGACGCACGTGGGTGGTTCAGCCAAGTCGCACTCGATGAAAAATGGCAAGAGTTGCACCCGCGACTGCGTTGACAAATTTTCTGGCAGTCCATACATGCGGTGATCAGAAGGAAGACACACAGCACATGCAGAGAAGCCGCATAACAGGGCATTTGCATCGACACGATCAACATCGGTCACTCCCATCGGTCACTCCCATCGGTCTCTTGCGACCATGTACTCGTTGAAGTTGTCGTGCCCAGCCACCGGCATCAGCTTGTGCAACCCTGACTTTCGGTTATTTCACGCCGAGGAAAATAAATAGATAAGCTAGATCATAATGGAATAAGAGCAGGGTAGCTCTTTTTACCAGGACACCTACTTATACGTAACCTCCTCCCCTCTTAGCACTTCTTGAACAGAATTTCCGCGGTTCGGTTGGGAGAGCAATTCACGAACAGCCACTCATCTGGGGGCCGAACCCCGTCCTCTAGTTTCATGTCATAGTTGAGAACCAAGTAGGCCATCATGGCTGTCATCGTCGTTGTGGCGAAAGACCGCCCTGGGCTGCACCAAATGGTCAGACTCATATCTCCAGACGTCTGTCAGGCTACATACCATGCTCGTTTGCCTTGGCCAAAATTAAGGGCAGGCAAACGCATGGAGAAACGTTCAGACTTTGTCATTGCCCCCTGATGCATTGCGTAAAACCTGAATGGTTCAAACTCATCGGGGTTTGGGTAGTATTGATCGTCGAGAGACATGGTCGTTGGAGACATGGCTAAGTGAGTGCCTGCTGGGATTCTAGTCCCATCCGAAAATATGATGTCTTCCATGGCCTTTCGTACCACCGGCGCTGGCAATACAAATGTTAGTCGGGTACAGGGAATAATGAGGCTATAATCGTACTTAAGCAGGTGCAGCTCACCCTCTGACTTTCCTTCAAAAAACTATCTACTTTCGGTAGCTGTGACATGGAGTCCTGCGTCCAACCGTACTGACCAACCACACCCTTCACCTCTTCCCTTAGAGGCTCTATGTACTGCGGGTGGGCTGCAAGGTTAAATAATGCATGGGCAAAGCTCTAGAACGGACATGTGGGATTATCTAAACGTGGCATGTATGCACACTCACCTGCGCTGATGTATGTAAGGATGCAAAATTTAGCACCAAAATACGCAGCGCAATACTACGGAGGTTGCGGTCTTCTGGGGAGGAGACATCGATGAGCCAGCTGAGCATATCGTTCTGCTCCGAAATAGCCGAGTTTGATATGTTATCAGGCGCGTCATCTCCACACACGTACCGGTCTTCCGGGCCAATTATTTCCAAAGAACTTCTCTTTCTTCAAGCGCTCGTCTACGATAGGTCGAAGCACTTCCATGCAGTGCCTTAGGCTGCTGGGTGTGTTGGTCAACAAACGACCAATAACTCTGCGAGGTATGTCTGCACGATTGCGTTGTCGTTGAAGCTGATACACCTACGGACGAAGTAGCTTGGGGAAGATATTGATTACAGTGGCCCGCGTTGCCACTTGTAAAGCAAATTTCAATTGGATTTTTTCAAATTCGGGCGACTGGCCTGCAAACTTCGCTCAACACGTGTGCGGTGCGAGGGTGCTGATAAACCATACAGATTGGGAACCCAACAAAGACGCGGTTGCTTGCACGGCACGTTGCTTTCATTGCCGCGGAGTATGCTCCTACCCTTACCCAACCTGCGGATGGGTTAACAAGAGCTTTTTGTGATGCCGAACATGTGATCGCTTACCGTGCTCTTGAAAAGGAACAAGTTCGTCGAAGACAAGGCGTATCTCTTCAAATATTCTGGGGAAGAGTTCCTCAAAGTTGCGTTTGAGGTGCTCCCGTACTACCTGAACATGATACGGATGTTCTTGTGCTTCGAGACCGAACGTGTACTTCACTTGCAGGATCTGGACCACAGTTACGAATCATGTTAGCTACAGTCGGGCATGCCAACGTACGTCCTGCATAGCATGATCAAAGGACAGCTTTTCGTCGGGAATTTTGCAAAGTTCGTCCACAAAACGTGGACCTGATACCACTACCATCCATCGGTCTATCATTGGAACCTTGAAGAATCCTTCCTTGTTCTGATACATGTTCAGGGGCACCAAAGAATGTGATGATGAAGAGGACGTGACCCACCTGCTCGTATCCTTTCCGTATCATATGTTTTGCATGCAGAATAAACCTGACAGCTCCGTAGTACGAGGTGAGGTGTCCAGAGGGCCCGACGGAGGGTATGTAGTCCAGCTGCGAAGAGAGGCATTGACGACGGAAAGGGACTCAGAGACGAAACACGACATGCCTTTGACCAACGCGTGCGATCGATCCCCACTACAATGGCCAGGGCGACTGCGAGAGCGCAAGCGGAGAGAGTTATCCCGTCCATGAGCTGTGAGCAACGGTACAAGAGGTTCATTTCAGAAGGGGCTTCGTGAAGTTAAATATTTATGTCGGAGAATTGAAAGCGATAACGTCGATTTAGAGTTGGAGTGCGTTCAGTCCCCGGCTAGCCACATTAAGTTTCTCGTATGTAAATTAAACCCGAGCAGTGGCGCTGGGGATGTTGGCCGTCGGGATTGTTTTGGTCGTGAGGGTAATTGGCAAAGGACATCTCTTTTTTCGGGGTACAAGAAGTAGCATGGCGATCGCCTATGACTACCAGTTACTACTGACCAAACACCGAGGAAAACTGAGGAACAAACGGGATTAGGTTCATCAGTCAACACGTTTCAGATTTTGGAGCGTGCGCCGGGCAGACGACCAGAGGCCTGTGCGAAATCAATCACCCACCAGGAGGGAAATGAAGGCGGTTCTGACGTCGTCAGATCAGAGAGGCAGCACATTTCCGCGTTTTTGGGATGACTGAGGCGATAAATGTCCGCACCTGACGAACGGATCACAGGGCCCACATCCGCATGTCGCAATCTCTGGCAAATCGAGGCTGTTTGCGTGAACGTTCCGTTTTCCGCCTCGCACTCCTTATGGAACGGAAGTGAAAGCGCACTATCTAGTTGGAGCAATTACTTTCTCGATGTGCGGCCAGATGAGTAGTACAACAAATGAAAAAACCACACGAGAGAACTTTTCGCTAGGTATGCGGCTTGACATGGGCCACGCCCTGACTATTGTTATCCCGTGGAAATCTTCCGGATCTCAGTCGACTGCGTTGACTTAGCCACTTCAAGGTGATATGATATGTACATATGTATCTGATATGTGACTCAGTTCTATAATGCATTTAATGATGGAGAAGACCGCTGCTTAATAATCTGGCCAGTCAATTTCCGCCCTGAAGAAGTGATAAAATTCTCCCCCTCAGACGTCAAATTTTCGCTTACTGAGCCGTCGGCGACGTGGCTCTTGATGGATTCCTTGCCCCTTAACGGCTGCATTTGCCAAATTCTTGACGATCGTCTGACCAACGTCAGGCTGGTATGTGGATGGCCGCAAAGGAAGCGGAACACTACTAGGGAAGGTAGCGGACTTCTTCCGCCGCAACTTTTGCGTTTGGTTGGTCCTTGATGGCACTGAAACAGGGTTGATAGCAGTTCGACCGTCCGGATTAGGAAAGGGTCGTCGGGAGGGCTGCTCTGAGGCTTGCGGAATGTGTAGAGGTGCCGGCATAACTAGACGTTTCGGAAGGTGCTGTACTCGCGGAGGCTTACCATGACCGCACGGCGTTCGAGCAGGAGCGCTATGAGACACGTCCGAAGAAGAAGCGCTCTTGGGCAACGTGGAATGTAGAGGTTGCAAATCAGCTACTGGTCTCCCTCCGTCAGACTGAGCTGGTTGAGAAGCCATATGGTTTGTGTTCGGCAGTCGTTTGGGGGATCGCGGCGGTGATGGGTTGTGCGGAACAGATTCGTGAGAATAGGTCGTTAATTGCGGCTTTTCAGGGACATAGGGCGCAGGAGGGGGATTTATATAAGGTGTCTGTTTACCAGGTATGCGAGGTATGATATCACCAAAATGGTGCACCCGAGGAGCAGGTATGGGCGGCGGACTTTGGTTTACGACGGGGTACAATTGGGGAGGATGAACCGTCTGATTAGGGAGCGGCTGAAGCCTGGTATAGTCAGACTGAATTGACTTTGTGGTGGTTTCTCGGGGAACGGCGGACATTGTCCCGACTTGGACTTCATGAGTCGAAATCTCATCCGCTGTTCTGCCGGTATCAACTGATGTTTGATTTCCCAGAGAAGGCTGTGTTGCAAATACATCTATGAACAAAAATACAAAGAACGAGTCATTGTACCCACCTCGGTGTCCAAACGCGGAGGTTGAGCAGCTTTAGTAGTATCGCTCTACGCCACTCTCATTAAGTATGTCCTTACGGAGGCAGCTTCCGACATGCTGCCTACCTCAAACTTTGAATTATTCCTCCGGCCAGTGAACTTGTCTGTAAGATTGTGCGAAAGTGGGGAAGTTTCCTCGGCAAGATTGCTGGCTATTGCTTCGTAAGGACCGCTATGGTGGAAACCAATCCCGAAAGGATCCGTCTCATCCAACTCGTCGATACGGTCAAGATGGTGGCGTGTGGTAAGTCGTCGGACAAGGTTTTTAATCCGGCCTTTGCTGGCGGAGATTCTCGCAAAGTTTGATTTTGTGTCTGCACGTGCGGGAGTGACTTTGGGTCGTGGTTTCACTCGCGCTTGGAATATTTTCGAGGGCGTAGTGTAGGACATGGGGGGACGGACCGTTCCTGGGGTGGGAGCGCCAGAACTCTCGTTGTGATTGGATGGATATTTATTATATGGGGGTGGGTCGGAAGAGGTTGACGTTCGTGATACAGAAGGTATAGTAGTGCGACTACCTTGAGTCTGCACAAGTGGAGGTCTAATCGTGGTGATTGATGATACAGTGGACGGCGTGGAAGCAACGGACTTCGGTGCGTGGAATTCATGTTCTAGTGATACAGGGAGTGCAGGTGGGAATGGACGTTTTGCTGTTTTCGCAGGAGCTGGTGTAATGGGATACTTTATACTTTGTTGCGTCGTGGGCTCATTTAATGTGGGGGCAGGAAGGACGGTGCTGCGGGGGGACTTGGCGGGCAACGCTTTGTATGATCGGGCATCGGTAAAGGGGAAATGCGGATGAGAGCGAGGGTCTGCAGAGAAAGCTGGATCATTAAGTACTGCCTCTGACAACGGTGTTCTGAAGTGGGGAAGAACTGGCTTCTGCGGGGGGTGCTGTGGAGTGTAGTTGGCAGATGAGACGGGATAAGAGTAGTATTCCTTGACGAAACCGCCGGGCTGCTGGTGACTGCTGACGGGGATGGCAGGGCTGCCTTCCCAAGTTGAGCCTTGTGGACGATAGAAGACACCCCAGGCCATCTTACCACTGGGAGATGAGAGAATGAAATGAAAGGCCGCAGTGCCATCGAGGCTGGCTGCTTGTCCTGTGGGGGGTTGCTTGACTTGCCACTTGTTTGTCTCTCGGAAGTCACCACACTGTCGCTGTACATGGCTGAACTGGCTGCTGTCCGTGCGCAGATTAAGGCTTGGGAACGCGACTTCAGGTCTGCCCGGGGCAGAGACCCTTCGATCCAAGACATAAGAGACCAACCTCACATCGGTAGGTAAGCCTTTTGCTCGTCGCGTCCTGCCCGTGTCATCGAGTCGCGTCACAGCCGACAAGTACAAGCTATACAAGAAGCTGTCCAAGTCGGCCACCACGTCGTCTTCGTTCTCCAGTCGTCTCACATCATCTGCATCCAAGAATCCTTCTACCCTTCCTCGCACTCCTCCGTCCCCATCGCGAACCTCAGCTGCCATACCAGAATCCCGCAAGGCAGAAGCTGTCCCTCCACTGCCCGGCTTTAATCCATTCTCCCCTATCAAGAACAAAGGAAAAGATAGTGATACTTTGCATATATCCAGGCCGCCCAACAATCCTTTCACCACCCCTACCAAGCAAAAGGCCAGTCATACGCATCCTCGCACGCCTTCCCCAGATCCCTTTCCATCCATCGTACAGACCCACATAAACACTTCTCCCCATGACCAACCAGCCAACCCAGCGGTGTCGCGCGCCCGCAAGCGTTTGCGAGGCGAACCTGTTTCACCCTCTCCTAACAAACAGAAACGTCAACGTATCGGTCTTCAGGTTCCCACCCTTAAACCGGAAGTGTCTTCAGATAGTGACAACGACCTAGATGTCGCAGCAGGTGTTGGTGACCTGAACGTTTCTTCTGTCGATGATTCCCCTGTCAAGGCTCCTGCCGGGGGAAGGTCTTTCAAGCTGTTGTTCGACGATACACTACCAGCGTTGAGTGTACCTAAGAAAGTTGACGAGTCAGTGCCTCCCCCTCACAATAAACCAACCACGCTAGGTACGCGCTCTGCGCGTGATTCTCGAGATCTTTTCACGCAAGGGAGCTCGAAAAGAGGATGGCTCGACAGCACAAAATCCCCTTCCACTGCTTCGATTTCGGCTCGTCGATTAAATAAAGCTTTCTCCTCAATGCCGTCTCAAGATCGTGACAATGACGCTGTTGCTGAGAGAACGGAATGTACACTCTCGCCTAATGCGAACCACTTGGAGTCGGGTCGGGCGAGGTCGACGACAAAGCGTGCTTTGCAAGAGAACGAGCCGAAGGGTAGCACTCGGCCGGTTACTCACTACTCTTTGGTTCCTCCCTCCCCGCCTCCTGAAGACTTGACCGGTCCGGGAAGGCTGAAAGGCGGATCTGGCTCGAGTCGCAAAAAACCGAGAGTTGTGCTTCAGCCGGGCGATGATGAAGATGATAGCTCAGATGGCATCACTGTCAAGGTGATTGCTCAAAGCAACGGCAGACTACTGCAACAGAATGACGATGACCTCGATTTCGATCCAATATTGAATATCCATGCCCGAGACCACGATCCAATTACCATGGTTCACCTTGAAGCAGATCGTCACGAGTCTGGCGCGTTCAGCGTGGACTTGCCTGACACGCTCCGCCATGTGTTGGCTATATCACCATCACAAGATCTAAACAGAAGGGAGGAACGTGTTGTTCGTGGCCTGTTGTACGGTGAGCGGGTTGACCACTACGACCCTTCTAGAGGGGGCGAAGTATGGGATGCCGGAGAGTGGGACGACGGTGTGCGTGATGCAGACACCGAGGATGATTGGGAAGGCGCACCTGTGCCCTGGGAAGTCGGAGAATTGTAACTTGATAGTTTTGTCTTTGGCACGTCCACATTTCCGGTGCTTCAACTCACTGTATTTCACACAATATTTACCCCTGCCTTTTGCAGAATGAGCCCCGGAAGCACCGCCGGAATGAACTCGGCACGTATACCACGTGGTTGATGGGGTAATTCTCCAGTGCGTCGGCTGTCCGACACTCTCAATCCTTAGCAATTATCACTGCTGATGAGCAACCCCGACATGTCTCAGCGCGTAAGTGCAGCTTGAACAACGATTCGATAGAGTCTTGGGGCATGGTCTAGGCGTCTTCCACTCGCTTCTGTGCCTCACTTGGAGCGCACCACCTGTGCGTGTTTGACTCCGTGTCTCGATGCAGGAGCGTGGCTCGATTCTCCAACGGCCCATGGCCCACACATGATTGGTTGTTCCAGCCAGCCCTGTTCCTCCTGCTTGCACAGGTCCAGATTGCGTGGCGTGAACGCAGCAAGTGGGTGGTGCCTACTATTTAACCATCCACGCACGCCTGCAATCTATTGCATCCCGACGTCCTGACCTCTATCCACCGTTACTTCCTCGAATTCGTAAACTCAGTAGCTGCACAGGCAAAAGCATTCTCACATTCCCCTACGTTGATTAGCCAGTACAAATGCTTGCTACCATCCTCCGTGATCCAGACGCAGCAAAGAAGCTGCTCGACACCATCGCTGAATCTCCAAGTGGGCGCCGTTCCATTTCTAGGCTTGCTCGAACTTGCAAGGCCATATGCGAACCAGCCTTGGATGTTCTATGGAAGGAATTAGACTCACTTCTCCCACTCGTTGGGTTGTTCCCGAACCACCTATTGAAACGAACCCGTCGCCCTGGGCTTGGCTTGGCGAGTCGTTCCTCCTCGTAAAACCTTTGGGTGCTGACCATTCTTTACAACAGGCCAAGGCTCCAAACCCCGAGGACTGGGACCGGCTCCTTGAGTACGGTCAACGTGTTCGCCGTATTACATATTCCGAGACGTCTCCCGCCATCTCTCCTGCTATATTCGCGACGATCAACGACCACAGTCCCGTGACCTATATCTTGCCCAACTTGCAGGAGCTTGTCTGGAAGGTTGAAACTGCTGCCGGATTGGAAGCCTCTATCCTTTTCATGAACCCCGAATTGCAGAGTTTGGTGCTGGAAGTCGGGAACAGGATTCCAAAGCTCGACGCATACCTGTCCAAGGTCTGCAGTCTCACCCAGCTCACCGCCTTCTCGTTCACGTCGCCTACCACGCTGCCCCAAAACTTCACTGACTTGCTGCGTTCTCAAAATACTTTGGAAAAACTGTGCTTGGTCGCCCCCGGGGCGTTGTCATCTCAAGTTGGACAGTGGGCAGCTTCGCTCCCTGCCCTCCATTCGCTCGAGCTTGACCTCACCGGCCGCTCAATGACTGCGGTAGAAGGCTTCTTCGACGATATCATTCCGTCAGGGGCTAATACTCCCAGCGACACAACATCCAACAGCAGCATACACTCTGGTGATGAGATTGACTTCACAGAAATCCGCAAATCTTCGCTTCGTCTCACGGGGGACCTACGCAGTGGTGGTATCTTTGTCGGCCTCCGGCATGTAGAGTTGACAGGTGAAACCTCTAACATTGCGGTGTTCCTGAAGCACCTTACCAGTCAACTCACTTCTCTGGAACTCGTCATCGAAGACCCCCCTGAAATGGCTGACTGGCGGGATCTCTCGCTTATTATCTGCGACCGCTTCAGCCAGTCGTTACGTTCTCTGCGGATAACAGCGACCGGGTCGTCACGTTTCTCCGAACTTGTCAGATCGACTTCTCGTGGTGGCGACCCAACGTCCCGTCATCTCCCTCTCCGGTACCTCACCTCCCTCCCCTGCTTGGTCCGCCTAGAGATAGACCTGCCAGAGTCAACCATTTTCCGGGACGAGGATTTGCAATGCCTCGCGAAAGCCTGCCCGAACATCGAGATGGTGAGGCTGTGCCCAATGGCACGCTTTTCAGGAACCTCGGGCCCCGGTCTCACCCTAGAAGGTGTTTCCGTCCTCACGACGAACTGCAGGCGGCTTCACACTCTTGCACTCGTAATAGATGCGCGTAGGGGTTCCGAAGAGACCTTGTCTTCCCTTGAAGTGTCCTCGAGGTCGCTTCTCCGGTTACACGTGGGTCATTCGGCAATTAGCGATCCGCTGCACGCCTCCATTCTTCTCAGCCATCTTGCGCCTCATCTAGAGATATTGAAGTGGTTCCACGAGAAAAACCGTCCCGGCTTCGTGGAAGCCAATGCCCTCGGATGGCAGAGAGTGTCGGATTGGCTGCCACACCTCCAAGGCGTTCGCCTCATGGAGAGGGGCAGAGTTGCCGCAATGAAGAAGCCAGAAGTGGTGATGAAAGACCAGAGTGTGGATGCTACAGACAAGCGTACATATGTGAACAAGTTTGCACACGTTCGGCCAAAGACCAGCGAGAGGGCCGTCCAGTCGACACCATCCCTCGTCGATAGGATGACACAAGTCAAGCCTGACTTGCTTTCCGTCTTTGTTGATGCCACACCGCGATGCGTCGAGACCCAGGTCGACGCCACGCCACAAGTATGCCACAAGTCAGTAGGGGTAGAGCCTGATGAAAGTTGAGGCAGGGATTGATGCGACGCCTCCTCCGACGGAGAAACGCCAAGAGGATATACACTATGACGAAAAATCGGGCCTCTTCTTCCACAGATATGACCTCCATGCAATCCCTTCTGTTCTCCCCGCAGTCTTCACCGGGCTGGTGGCCCTCGCATACCGCCTTTTCCTTACGTATCCCCTCACGATTCCCAAAGATATGTTCGACAGGTCATTTTCTATGCTTCATGCAGAAAAAGCAGCGAATGGTGATGAGCCTTCGCGTGAAAACCATGAACTTCAAGAATCACCATCATGCTCGACGACGACGGAACTTCTGGACCATGATATCCCTCCTGTTTGTCTATGATCTCTACTTCGCAATGGACTTTTTTACTCATATAGTACACTGGTGCCGGCACTTGTTGTAGGGGTATTTTCACGAATATTACTATAACGCAGATTGGAAAGGAAAGCAGTGGACTGATGAACCTCAGACTCGACCCTCTGAATGCAGTGAAGTTGACGACACCCAGTGCGATGGTGGCAGCGCTCAGTCCACACAGGGGCATTCCAAAGAAGGAAGGTGTGAAGGGAAAATAGAACCAAACATTTTTGTGGGGACGCGTCAGTTCACGCCAAAGCCAGACAGGCCATATTCACGGTTACACTACAGTCAAGCGATGGCGGAGGTGAAGAAACAAGAGAAAGACTTCTCGCCAGAGGTAGATACGCTGATTCCGGAAGCAACAGAGCTTGGGAAGGTGCGTACTCGTCTCGTGCACCCACCCAACATGTTGGCCTGATTGGACCTACGTAGGCGGGCAAGCTTTCGGAAGCATTGGAGAAGCTGTTTGCCCTCGAGAAACAGACCAGAAACGTATGGTGAAATATCTTTAGAGGATACTTGTACTGACACGTGTCGTTCAGGCCTCCGACCTTTCCTCCACGACGCGACTTGCAAAGACAATATTGGATCTATGTTACGAAGCACGAGACTATACGCAGCTGAATGCCACGATTCACCTCCTGTCTAAGAAACACTGGCCAACTCAAAGGCGTAATACAGGCATTCGTCGAGCAGGTCGCAGAGTGGCTCCTGGAGATTCGACGACTGTGAGGGCGATCAAATATGGCTGGAACTGGCGGAAACCCTGCGAACAGTTACAGAGGGCAAGGCAGGTCCAGGTCGTCACGTTGGATGGCCATTCGCGCTAAATTATTATACCAGATCTTCCTGGAAACGCCTCGTGCGCGCGTCACCCTCGTGTTATCGCAGTACCATGAAGCACTTGCGAAGCAACCGACAGCGTCACCCTCGAGTAGCAAGGAATCGCTGCAGACCGCGTGTGACTTGCTTGTCTGACTTGCAGGTAGAAACATACTCTTCCATGGAGCGGCGGGAGAAGACAGAGTTTATCTTGGAACAAATCCGGTTATTGATCGCACTTGCGCGTTTGAAAGATGCTGAAGTGACGAAAACAAAGGGGAAGGAGGGGAAAATTGGCCTCGGTGATGGGGAACCTGAATGGGTAAAGGCAAGAGTTGGGGGTCGTAAGATCAATGAAACTTTCCTCAAGGAGAAAGAGAACGAGGTAGGACATTCTCCAGGCCATCACCCTGTGAAATGCGCGTCTGAACCGTGCACTTCAGGATCTCAAACTCAAGTTCTATGAGCTGATGATTCAACTGGCCTTGCACCGATCCGCGTACTTAGATGTCGCGAAACATTACGAGAAAGTATGGGACACACCGTCTATCAAAGAAGACGAGGGCAAAAATCGAGCAGTAAGCACTTTTAGCCTCTTGCAACAGAGCATTGTAATCACACAATTATAGGCCTTGGAGCACATCGTCTACTATGTTGTCCTCGCACCCCATGACAACGAGCAGTCAGATATGTTGCATCATTTGTTCGTGAACCCTGCTCTTGAGAAGCTCGAACTTCACTAGTGCGTCCGAAATTCACCTCTGAGAACATTCACTGACTCCACCCAAGCAACCTTGTAAAATCATTTGTGACGCGCGAGTTGATGAGATGGCCGGGCATTGAAGCGTTGTATGGACCCTTCCTGCGAGTGACCCCTGTCTTTTCTGTTGCAAAACAATGGGAAGACCTCCATACCCGTGTGATAGAACATGTGAGTACGGGAGCAACTGATCAAATGGTCTGTTGACGATTCCTGCAGAATATTCGCGTCGTAGCATACTACTATACTCGCATCACCTTGTCTCGTCTAACGACCCTGCTTGATCTTACCCCACAGCAGACAGAAGAAACCCTTGCCCGCTTAGTGGTCTCGAAAACTATCTGGGCCCGGATAGACCGACCAGCCGGTATTGTCAACTTCAAGAGCAAGCGGACAACGGAGGATGTTATGAATGATTGGAGCTCAGATATGCAGAGGTTATTGGGACTGGCCGAGAAGACTTGGATGGGCATGAATGCCGCATTGGCAGCCCAGTCACGGGTAAAGGCATAGCGACTATTTACTATCTGTAGAGTAGTGTATTCGTGGAATTCGTCTAGACCCGACTTGCAATCCTGCAGACCCTGTGGCCACCTGAGCATCTATCATCCGCCTATAATATTCGCAAAAAATCTGGGTTAGCAGATTGTGAATCTGTTGCTGGTGATGCGATTTCCTGTTGTAGCGACGATGGATTCGATAACTTGTCAAGGTATGTGTGCCTCGGGCGTATGCCCTGATCTTGTAGTTTGGCATATTCGTGACCCCTACTCCAGGTGTTGCCCATGCCGCTGTCAATGCTGAGGATGGCTCTCCAGCGTTTGCGAGCGAGAAGAGCACCCTCATCGAGGGCTCGTTTGCGTTCTGGGGCCTTATAAACCATATCTTCCTTCTGGAACGTCCTGTCGACTTCTGAGGGGAAAACCGCGCCATAGGCCTCAGCTTCCATCCGAGAAAAGGAGCTGGCAATATCGTGCTCCGCTCGGAGGGCACGGAACTCCGCGACGGCCCGAGTATATGCGACAGTCAACGACACTTTGTGATGTTTGTGGAGGTTGACTGCGAACCGCACCGCGCTAGACCGAGAATTGAGTACACGAAAGGACGCAAGAGGATAGCCTCACTCTTCCGGAGAAGGACACCTGCCCCGCTGGCTCAGTCGTATCCAATCCTTGCCCTGAACCGGGTGTTCTTCCGTGACGACGCCACCCTCTACGATTGACACTGGTCTGAACGCCTCAAAGGGGTGGTCACGAAAGAACTGCCGCCGAACCTCGTCCTCCAGATAAGCGATGTTGACGGGCTTGTGTTTTGGAGGCACGAGTTTGGAATGACGGGCACCGTCCTGACGGAATGGCGGTGACTTTGGGGGGAGGGGGAGAGGGGGGAACTGGAGGACAGCCTGGTACCAGACAGGCTCGTCCTTGATGTAGTTGACGCGCATCAGACGCGACACTTGCTTGTGCACCTGCGACGCGATACGGCGTACCATCTTGGGGGACAAGGGAAAACAGTTTATTTTTATTTTTATTTTTATTTTATTTTCCTTTCCTTTTCTCTTATCCACACAAAATAATTAAAATGGAATATTCTCTTCCCCTGCATGGACGAAGCGGAAGAGTCAGAGTTGAGGAATCCGTTCCCCTCACCGCCGTCGCACTATGTCAAGTACACGTCCCACAACTTGAAACTCTTGGAGACACTCAAAGATCGCGTCAAAGACACCACAGACATTGCCAGCGTCGACCAGCACGAAATCCTTTCAGATCTCGCTGATATCCCACCATGGCCCCTGACTCAGTTGGACAAACCTAGGGTTGACTGGATTCTCGAAGAGGGCCACTACAGTGTATTCGGGGACACGTGGTTTGTATGAATCATGTCTTCGCTGCTCGAGCCGAGTCCTCTTACACCCCGACTCCAAGGTCAAGGAAACCATCCCATCCTTAGCCGAGCTTGGTGGTCATCAACTCTACCCACCAGATCCCAGTGTAGGTAGGATAGCCATCTTGCTCTTCCCTTTGTGTGGCTCGTCCACATTTCGGTTGCTCAGATCGACGTCCCGCACTTCTGTCCATCGTACGTTCACTCTTGGTCACCTACTCTAATCTCATCGGGGCTATCGTCGCCCCACCGCCTCCTCCATTTTCACAAGTTCCACCGGAGTGGCATCGATATGTGGAGTGGATCACCGTTCTGGCACAAAATTTGATGGCGGCTGCAAACGATTTACGCCCGGTCCAGGTATATTGCCCCGGTTTTTGGCATTGTCTCGTTGCTAATGTGGGTAACGCAGGCGAGGGGGAACCTTGAGCGTATGATGCAACGTCAGCTTGACCTGCGCCGAGAAGAAACGAGAGCCATTCACGTGTCAGTCGTTTTGAATATATCACACTTCTTTTTGACGGAGTCCCCTCAAGGAAATGCGACGAACTTGAATCTCGCTTGCAAGGTCTTCGTACAACTGCTCTGGAGATGGTGCCAAAGCAGAATACGGGCACTCTACATGAGACTTCGGTACGCATGTTGAACAGGTGGTTCCTAACTTTGGTTGACTCGGTCAGACATCGGGAGCGACCATAACTACTGACGAAGTGCTACGATGGGCGGAGGAAGTGATTTAAAGACGCAACACGAGTCATAGCTTCCCGCATCACAGGCCACACATAACCGTTGGGCTTTTTGGTGTCCAGACCCTTACCTTGTAGATATAGCAATTATTTACGATCGAATGCACCCTTGCATCAGCGTAACGACAGTTGTTAAGCATCAATTGCCTGCCATGTTATGAGAGGAATTACAGAGAATTGCGATAATAATATCCGTGACTTGGTCAGCCAGTTACGTCTGAATGCGACGGCGCAGGGTTCACCGGTTCGGAGAACGGGTCGCCATTACCGTCTATCAACGCGCCACCCAAGAGCGCATCATCGCCTGTCATTTGATTCAGATTGTCTACATTCGCAAACGCTGGTCCGTCAGGACCTAACATCCCCATGTCCAAACCTCCGACATCTGCTGAGTTCGCATCCCCGCCATCGACATTCATAGATCCACCTAGTACTGACAACGAGACATCAAGCATGTCAGCACCTTCGAGTGATGTTAACGAAGGGCCGGCTTGATCAAGTGAGAGGGTTGGCGGCGTTGGCGAAGGGGGCTTGGTCTGGGGTTCTGATTGCAACACGGAGTTGGTTTCCGTTGCATTTAACGTCGGAGGTTCAGTTTCGGGGGGTACGGATGCCGCCGGTTCATCCTGATCCATGTCCTCGTCACCCTCTATGACTTCCGGTTCATCAGGCAAGGGGGCAAGGGGCTCATCGGCACCCTCTTCATCATCGCTGAATTGCTTTCGTGAATCAAAACAGCTGTCCAAATGACCACTTTCAAGCTAATAGCACCAACCTGCTTCTTCTCCGTCTTGACCCATTTGTATATCCGCATCGTCGAACTTGGGGCATGCTCTGGTGTGACCCAGGCCTTTTCCCAGCATACGACTGGCTGCATCAACTGGCGCCTTGCCGCCTCGGTCGTTGCAACGCGAACTCCAATCCGTCTTCTGGTAGCCATGCGCGCGTTCCAGTACTTGGTGGAGGCTATAAAAGGAGCAAGTTTGGGACTCCGCCCGTATACCACGCATATATACCAGCCCTCCAAGTTGTTCCCATCTCCCACCTCACCAGGTGCCCATCATGGTCGTGTCCAGTGTCCAGAACTTGATGCTCAACGAGTATCCTACTCCGTTCTTCTCTGTCTTGGAGTGTGCACTATCCACTCTTGCGCTGGGACCTGTCCCCCGCTTCATTCCTCTCGTATTACTTATATCAGTGCTGCGTATTCATGGACAAAGGATTGCCTACCGCCATACGAGGGGTAGGGAATTGTTTTGCTCATGGATAGGTATAACTATCGGGTCCACGGTCGCTCATCGCCATGCAACATCAGCTGCTCTGTCCAGTCCGGCCCAGTCTTTTTCCGCTATCGTCATCCTGTCGTCGATCACATATCTCTTTGCGGTTGCAGCCATCTATCTAGACATTCACGTCAAGAGACAGTGGCGATCTGCTTCTTTTTGGAGCCAGATTACTCTGTTTCCTTTCTTATGGGCTATCACTTGGAGTGTCATCTCCCATGTCTCACCGGTCGGCCGCCTGCTCAATTGGAGTCCTGCTTCTGCCTCTCATTCGTATAATTGGGTCACACCTTTCATGGGGCCAACTGCCATAGATTGGCTCGTCGCAGCATGGGCAAGTCTCCTCTCAGAGATGTTTGCACTGTGGCTCATGGGTTTCGAAAACTACGAGCCACTCGACACATCAAAGAGTTCGTATAGGGGTTCCGCTTTCTTTAGCCTCGGAACGCTACTCCTCGCCCTCATGCTTCCATCATTTGCACACGACAACCTACCCCTTCGTACTGATGTATATATGCAAGCAACGTCCCTGAAAGTTGGATGCGTGTTGCCGCATCCGCTGGATCACGGTCATCCATCGCTGGATGATTTCGTCAAGGAAACAGCGAAAATGACGGGTGCCAAATTTCTTCTATGGCCCGAGAGCGCAGTTATCTTCAATTCTGAAAAGGAACGTGAATCGGCCTTTGAGAGAGTGCGCAAGCAATCAAATGGAGCCTATGTTGGAGTTGCTTTTGAGCAGTATGTTGCAGATGACACAGTTCCTTCCTCGGGTTCTCGCACGATGAATGGGCTTGCCATAATCCACCACAAGCAAAGTCCGGGAGAAGAGGTGGTTCAGTATTATAAGCAGAGGCTAGTGCCTCGTAAGTCGTTACTATTTGTATAATTGCCATCACTGACGGAGAGAACAGTGACCGAATCATTTTCCAAGATACCTTCAGTCGATCCCCCGAGAATACATCACTTGGAATTGTCGCATCCCAAAGGCGTGACAGCCCCCGAATGGGCACCAGCGCCCAACTTCACGCGATCGGTCCCATTCACAACCTCAATTTGTTTAGACCTTGCATCCCCGACAGCATTCACAAGTTTGGAATCTCGCCCGGCCCTCATACTCGCCCCCGCACGCACTTGGGAGACCACAGTGAGCCTTGCCATGTGGGAGCAAGCAAAGATGCGTGCGGCAGAACAAGGAAGTATGGTTTTATGGTGTGATGGTGGAACTACTGGTGTTAGTGGTGTCGGAGGCCAGGGAATCGAGGAGATCATGCAAGTCGGCGCGGGCTCGTGGGAGAGGACTATTGGAACTCCTTGGCCATTCAATGAGAGGCGAACCATCTATGCAAGTGTGGGAGAGTTTTTTGTTCTTGTAGTCTTGGCTGCTGCGATGGGTAGCAACGTTGCTGCTCGCTATCTGGTCACCAACGTTGGCAAGCGCGCGACTGTGGTGCTAACCAGCGGCACGTTCCTATTTGACAAGATCCCATTGCTCCGACGAGCACTAACTACGTCCGGCGTGGATGGACATCATGCGGATGAAAATACAGAGCGTCAATGTCTATTGGGATAGGCTGCATCAGAGGCACAGGGAATGACGAAATCGCGGTCACGACCAGCCAGTGACAGGTTTAAACCATTTAATATTCGCTTCCTGATGGAACTGTGACATCTCTTGGTGTATGTTAGCAACTTGCTGTTGTGTCCGCTGTGTATTGGATGTACATACGTGATTCTATTGTTGAAGTCTTGAAATCGAGGTTGAACTAGCAAGTCGAACCCCCCGAGCCGGCTGCAAATGAGACTGTCCCAGTATCCTGCGTGGCCGCTCTCAAGGAGGCTGCATGGCACAATATTCAAACGTTCATGGCTACAATTGGACCCTGTTCTTCGTGAACGCTTGTCTCCCTTTCCATCTCCTTGATGGCCCTGACGACGATCTTGATGGTAGGTTTGCCGGGGATGTGCTGCAGGTTGCAGGGCAGTCACATGCTGACTTCGACGATTCCGGCTACAAGTCGACATTCTCAGAATACCGATGAGCGTGCGACAACCCTGACAGGCTATTTCGACCCTGTGTTATTACGGGGATATCGGCCGTTTGTGTCGTGTAGGTTATTCATCATCAATACCGAGTCGGGCGTCCACCAGTTTCGGTGAGGCACTCGTATGATTTGCGGCACAACATGAAGCGCATCTGCACTGACTCGAAGGAGGCATTGACCATGTCTATTAGAGTTGACAATCCTCGGCCAGTGAGCAAGATTAAAATTGGCCCCTGATATCGACACACATACGACTATGTATGTATTCATTCAACTCGCTCGGAGCACATGCGGACGCCACCATCTTGCTGACCAGTACATCCATGTGCCTGTACGCCTGCAGGAAGTCGCCAGATACCACATTGCCAGGTGTTCAGCGCCTCTAGTGGCTTCCTGGATATCTGCACAGAAAGCCACGAGTCGCGGGGGAAGGGTGAGTAGACGGCTCACAAGTTCTGAAGCGGGGATCACTTCATGTCCGTATACACATGGTCATTGCGTGCAGCGCATGTATGTGAGGCGTACTCACCCAGGATCCACACCAATCCCCTGAAGGAGTTGCATGATCGTTCAGAGAGTCGACTGGGGTCACGCAAAGACATCGAGGGAATGGCACCTTCTAGGCTATTGATGGCAAATGAAGGAAATGTGCCACCTGATCACTTCGCGCAACGTGTCCCCCAGGATGTAGGACGAATATGCCGTTGTACGTGCGCAAGTTGCCACGGAACCGGAAAAAATTACTGCCATTTAATGATACTATAGTAAACTGGTAATGCTGTTCCGTCCTTACGTCGCTATCGGGTGTTAAGTACGCAGGAAAGCATCACTCGGTAGAGGTTTCCGCGCCTAACATCACGCATGCCGCTGCTTGGGAGATAGCAAGTGGCGTCTTCCATGTGGACGGAGATCTCATACTTGCCTATGGGCATTGATAGAAGCAGATGGCCTGGTGTGAAGCATGACGACGAATGCTTATGCAGACGACCCAAAAAGGGAGTGGTCGATCACATATTGAAGGTTTGCCTCGAGGGAGACACACAAAAAACGAACGAGTTCCGAGACACGAGGTCAGTGAATTCGACCTCGTCATTATCACCGCATTTCTGGCTGTCACGCTCTCGTCACGCCGTGCAGCGCCCGATTTCACTCAAAGGTCGCAGCTTGTGTGCATTTCCCTTCTTCACAAGTCCGTGTTTTGAAGGACTTGCGAAGACACAACGTCGTCAGCACACAACTTTTTGCAGTCGAGACTACCTCGCGGCCTTCGTGGCTCCCTGCGCAGCTCGACTCAACCCGCCCGCCTCCTTGCACGGGCTTTCGCTCGTCCGTCCAGGACAGGTCTTTTCGGCAAGAAACAGACCCAACCTGAACGACAGGACTTGCCCCCGCCTGACCAAGGCTCCGAAGATTTCGAGCTCATCGGTCACGACGAGGCTTCTTTACAACCGGAGGAGAACTTAACGGACCGTAGAGGTACACTCCCTGACACCGCTTGCAGCCAGGAAGATTGCCCTCCTCTCACGTATACCGCCCCGTCAGCGCCGACCGTTTCCTACACTAAGTCTTCTTTATTCCGGTCGAAGAATTTTTCCAAGGCCTCCATCCATCTCTCTGTTGCAACCGATCCTTCCTCCTGCCCGACCGGGACCACAACCGAAGAATCAGATTTATACCTCGCGTTTCCACAACCACCTACCCACATTCCTGTAGCATCAGTATACGTTGCTGCGCCGCCCAGTACATCGACACAGGGAGATTCTCCGTCGCGCGACCTTACTTCATCTTGTTCACTTCCGGGGTCAAACCCCTTAACGACGAACTCTGCTTGCCATCGGGATTCCTTCGTTGCACCTCCGGGTCCAGAACCCACACGCGACTCTACTGTGACAGCCCATCCGCCGGTCGTTTCCTCTCAACTTTTGGGAAATCCCGTGAAGCCTCGCCACAGATTCGTGGAATCCTTCAGACGGTTCAAAACATTCTCGCAGATTCTTCGCGAATCATTTATATCCCACTCGACTGAGGCATTGCCTAACACTGCTGTAGTAGAGGAAGCGCACGCTCACAACAGTGACCTCAACTCGGAGCCGTTTCCAACCGAGTCTACGGTTTGTGCTGCCTCATCTCGCTCCCACCCATCCTCGCGTATCACATCTACGTCTATATCTCCTGTGGTTGTTCACACAGTCAACAGCAACGCTTCTACCACTGCAACTTCCATACAAGGGTCGCCTTCACCTGTTGCACCACCAATATCAGTATCCCCCCCGCTGCGCAGGACATCATCTGCTCCTGTGCGGTATACTCAACCCTACCAAGTACGAATTTGTCAATCCATCACAGCTTACTGCATCTCCATCACCGTTGGTGGAAAGTCTCCTCATACATTCGACCAGATCCTCGTTCATTCTCCCGTCCCCATCTTGGCTTGGGCGAAACGTTCGACACCTCGACCCGAGCGATTCTGAAACTCAGCTGGCTTGCCCTCCCTCCAGTATTTCAGCTTTAAGTGAATCGGGACATTTGCTTGTTCCCGAAAGTGTTAAATTCTTCCCGTCAGCGCTCTTTGCTCCCGATTCACCTCGAGCGTTACCTATTCCACCACCTCTTGTCCCGGTTCCACCACCGCACTCACGTCGTTTTCACCCCTCACCGTACAGGCCATCTCTACAGCGTCTTGTGACTGATATTCGACCGGCAAGCCCAGAGACGGACACGGATTCGTTCGTCACTTCGCCTACGCCAGCTGAGAGCACGCTCTATTCCTCGCACTCTAGCACAACACCAACGACCGTCTTTGCGACTGCCTTCCCCTCGCCTTCACAAGCACCACATCGCCGACTAATTAGTTTCGATCGGATTAACGTCGAACGTCATCGCAATTCGATAGCACGCGCGAAGAAGGCTCGTCTTGCCACACCTCGTACTCGACGACGCTCTTTTACCGAGAACAGGCCATCTCTAAATCCGGTATTTAAGGTAATGAGGTTCTTTGTCAGCCAACAGTCACGGCTATATATATATGACATGCCTGCAGGATATCTGCTCCCGCAAGTCACCCTGTGGCGGTGCAAAGGTCCATCTTGTCAAAGTTCCACCATCTCCGTTAACCGGGTATGTTCCTGCTACTCTGTGATCTAAAGTTCACGCTCGCTTATTCTACGCCCAAAGCGACAGCTCATCAGACGACCGAACGATATTCATTCCTTCCCGCCAAACGAGAGATTCTCCCATAGTCAAACCATCACCCTTACCGAAAGACCTTGCATCACTGCTTGAAGGATACTTTATTCAGTCGGGTATTATAGACTCCTTTTCACGTTCCGCAATGGATTACACTGCAAAGAACTTTGACGCCGTTGATTTCGGCGGCGAAGTAGACTACTCCAGTTACCAATGGTTCCAAGAGCCTCCACCACGACCAGAGGTAGGCCAGCCAGTCTCTGAGTGATCAATATCCTGACTGACCATTTGGGGTAGCCTCAGCCGGTTGTCCAACCATACGTGCCATCTGAGGGGGTTATTAGGCAAAATGAGGCCTTTGACTTTGCTCTGAAGGCCGCGCCGAACGTGCTGTACGGGCGCTTCAAGCAGTATGGCCAGGTACGTGTTTCTCTTTCATTTCCATGAGGTAAATTTGAAATCCTCTATAGCTTGGTGTACTGGCGTGGTGCTCGGAATTTGGAGAAATGATTGATAGTCTCAAAGAGCTCGGCTTTTCAGGAAACATGTTTGTAGCAACACGAGTTCAGGCTCTCAAGACCTGCGAGGATATACTCAAGCTGAAGCTCGATATCAAGATGCAGATAATACTCATGTATTTGTCTTCGCAGGTCGCCAGGCTGCGTCGCTTCCTTGATGGGGGCGAGCGACAGTGGAACGACTATCCTGTTCCCGAGTTTCCTCTGGATTATCGCGCATATGGCACATCATGATAGCTTTCCACATCCTTTTCTTTTGGACTGCGTTCATCAGGTTCTTTTGTGTACCACTGGCCCCCCCGTCTCATCAGTTACCGCATTATGGTGCATTGTGATGCAAACAACGTATACCTTGTATTATGGTTTTACTGTAGTTACTCAGATCATCGTTGCGACCGTGCGAGACGGCTGGTGTGCTGTGATATCTGTCAGTGCCCGCTCGGAAACGTTCGCTAGGCTTCTGCTGTTTTCTTCCACGTGGTGTATCTTCTCGTCAAGACGCCGTTCAGACCCAACTAGTGAGAGCTTCAACATTTACGGAATGCAAGGAATAAAAGGCCAAATTGCCTTTGCTCATATTATCGAAGCGTGTACAAGAACGGTCCAAAGTCCACAGGTTTATGGATGTAGAAGACACCAGTGCGGAAGCGCAAGGCCCCAAGATGAAGAACATGAAGGGAATGTGCATGACAAAAGTTCTACTAAGGTCAATATGCGGTCTGCTACACACCATTGTTTCACACCAATGCATAGGTAAAGAAAACCGGGTATTTATATATAAAATCAATGCAGGGGTACGCTAGTGCATTTGGTCCAATATTCTGAAGCAGATCCACTGCTTTGGCCTGGTAAGGCTGGAAAAGGTGCTGGCTGGTAACTCGACTCTCGTGGAGGTGGGGGGAGTGGGTTGGATGGAAGACTAGGAGGATCAGATGTGTCCTGAGACTGGAAGGAGAAATCAGGTAGAGACCGAAATGTTTTGTAATCGCGGGAGCGGTGAGGAACCTGTCCATACGGCGAGGTAGAAGCGTAGATAATCGGTGGAGGTGCGGAGGGCATGTTGGCGTAGAAGACACTGGCAGGGACTGGATGAGCTTGCAGTGGTTGAACGACGTATGATGTGCGACTGGAGCCGTGAGTTACACCGTGCGAAGGTACAACGTCCTGCTGAGAAGGCTCGACCTTCGCTGGTTTGGGCTCTTTCTTCGACGTCGAAATAGAGTGAGTGGGAATGAAAGTTGTCTCTGGGTGCCCGTGATACATGCTCCTTCCTTTCCACAAACGATCCATGTCCCAAGCCTCACGAGCTTTGAGAGAGTTGATGTCGGCAGAGGGCGTTAGTTCCGACGTTGGTCGGGAAGAGCCAGATGGTACACGCTCCATTCGTGCAACGGCTACGATAGAGCTTGGACCGGCGCGAGTAGACTTAGAGTGACCAGAGTCGCGCCGCCTATCGTCACTTTTCCGAGCTCGGGGGGGCTGGTCTTGAAGAGTGAAGACCATAGGCTGGATTAGGACTGGTCGCTGCACCCCATCGAGGCTAAGGGCCCGCGAAGGGCGCACGGACATGTGACTGTTGTCACCTTGATTGACTGGCTGCGACTTCACCTTGGCGTGACTGGTAGCCCGTTGCCGACTATCACTCGTCTCGCCCTTGTCTTGCTTGCCCTGACTTCTTCTAGTCTCCCGGTCTCTGGAACGCGACGAAACTTTCTCTGTCCTCTCAGGCTTGGTGCCCTTCTCCTCTTTGTCTCTGGTGCGCCTGCGGCGCAGAGCATCCTCAGCATTGACTAGTAGCCATTGCTCACCCTCCGCTATTATCGACTCCGATATTGACTTCTTTTCCGATGGACTTCTTACCAACCTAAAAGTCTCTGTCTGCCGACTAGTGGTCGAGTTTGACTTCGTTAAGGGGACCGCCTCAGTAGTTGACTTCGCTGGAGAGGGATCACGTGATGATACCTTCTCCGCATGTGGACCCTTCGATTGTTTCGGCTGTTCCTTAGGTGTCGGTAGTCTGGCGCGGGACTCATCAGGATTGCAAGGTGTCGGGGGATTGACCAACACGGAAGCCCGAGAAAGGGGAGAATCGTCAATTTGATGCAAAGTCAAGTACGGTAAGATGGGACGAGCCAACTCAGATGAGGGTCTTAACGGACTGGGAAAGGAATACGGGAGCGCTTGTTGATAATGTAGGGTCAGACACCGACTCCTTCGCAGAGGGGGACTCCTTCCTCGTAACGAAATGCGCCGATGAATTAGCAGGGTCCAGTTGCGGAGGTGAGGGGGATGGAGGAGGAACGGTGAGGGGACTTAGTAGGCCCTTAACAGGTGATGACCTCCCGGCCGCTAGTGGGGCGGGAGCAGAAATGTGCGGCACCGAAAGTCGCTTACCGACTTGTGACTGGGTCGCCCGGAGTCGTTTGCAGTAATTCAGGATGATGCCCGTTATTCTGTGTCTGACAATCGGGTTTAGGGAAGATGATCCTTTGGATGCTCGGACGGCAGAGAGAGGGTAACTCCTATGGGAGTCGTACCTCCAGAGTTCGGAAGATCCGGGTTAGTTATCGTCAACTTGCCTAGAGGAGAGAATAACACGTCGCCAGAGAGAGATGACCTGTGATCGTTGATCTCGCGCTCAAGCTCAGGAGGAGACGCCCCCGCTATTTTCGGCTAGTGTCAACAACTCCGAGTCTATCCTTGGAGGGGGAACGCGTTTGGACGGATCAAAATGCCGTTTCTCTGCCGCCAGGCTTCTCAGGTGACGGGGGCCTCTGAGAAAAGAAGGAGCGTCGCGAGGCTCCTTCCTCACCAGCTGGGGGTGCATTGTCACGCTTCTCATTCTCGATGGATTCGCTGATAGTAGCACCGGGATCTTGAGTACCCCGTCTCAAGACACTGAACCTCCTCACCAGGCGGCCAAGGACACTTCCGCGTTTCTCGTTCTTGTTGGCTGTGTGAGTTGATAGAGCCACTGAGGACACATTAAGTGGCATAGACACAGGCGAGAGGGAAGAATGACGTCTTGCACCCGTACTGAATTGCAGGCTACTCGGTACGAGAGACGAACGATTCGCGGCTGATGATGCGCTGGGAGACATGGCAGAGGTCGGCTCGTCTTGGGTGGTTCCCTTATCGTGGGGACCAAATAGGCCAACTAAGCCAGGTTTGCGTCGTTTGCTTAACTTGCGTGTTACTTGAGGCTCTGGCGCCTGCAAGTGAACGGCCGACGTTGACTGTGAAAGCGGCGAGGGGTTTACGGTCTTGTGGCGGGGTTGTCCAGCATTCAGGCTGGAGAGGCGAGATCGACTGCGCGGGGTAGTCTGCGTGTCCATGAGAGGTTGGTGAGAGACGGGAAAGTGAGGGACACACACCTCTGGGTGATCTACGGATACGGGGCTACTATTAGTACCTGCATCATACGGGGACTCGTGATGCCAGTGGGTGCCCCACGGGTCGCTGAGATCCATCAAGTCGACGTTGTCTTGGGAGGTCTTTCGACTACGTGGTTTGCCACCGGTTTCCGGTATGCGCACCTGAGACGAGCTTGGGGTTGGCAAAGGAGTGCCAGAGGGACTCCGGCTCGGGCCAGGAGGGCGCGTCGAATCTTCCGAACGATCGTGGAGGGAGGCTGCCATCGGGGGGAAAAGAAGGGGAGAAAAACGAAGGGGGAGGATTGAGAGCGGACGGAGGGATTAAGTGGTGGTTTTTGTACCAGCGAGGACCTTGTGGATTGTGCAACGGGAACTTTATTCTGAATGTCGAGACGTTCGCGGCAGCCATGTCGTTCTCTTTCTTGGACCAGGCTGGAAGTTCGCCGAGAGGGTCTGGGATGATAGAATGGGAAAAAAGGATAGATAATTGGTCGTCGGCGTCGTCTTGGGAGGGTCTAGCAGCGTCGTTGACGCCGTTAGAGTCCATGTTGACGAGGGAGTGCGTGCTGTCGGCGTTGAGGGCGGAAGAATGGTTTCGCGTGGCAGTGGCTCCCTCGGTTGCCTTCTTGAAGGACGGTCTGTGCCATAATGACCTGCCCCCACCGGTGTTCTTTGGGCTCCGTCTCGACAGTTTACGCTGACCTACAGGTCTTTCGTCCGACATCTGAGCGTATTCACCTCCCAGCACATCTGGCGACGGGCTCGTTCCTAGGCTCTGCAGAACAAAAAAAAAAAAAGCAACACAAAGCCGGACAAACCAACAGTGGTTGCTCGCGTATCAACACACTGCGCGCAGCAAATGTCACGACAGCGCGGGAGATTTACTCGCCTCCTGAAACGGCTCAAGCATGCTCTGGAATAACGGACTGCCCAAACTAGCCATGGCTCTCTTCACCCCTTCACTTCGAAACAGTAGCAGAGCTTGATACCGCTTGCCGCAGCTGGCAGTACGTCTTCTGCACTAGCAACTTGTTGGTGGTGACTTGCTGTGGATGACGCTGAGACGAAGCAACTGCCCCTCTTTTTGCAATTCGATGATCAGATCACGCGCACCACAACGAGCCTACCAAGCTAACCCATTGATTAGCCCCTGCACCAGCTGCTGTATATGGCTCTGATCCCACTCCGCCCGCAGCAGGCGTAATAGGCTACAGGGATCTAATCATGGAACACAGTTACTAGGATGAGGTTGCTCTGGCATCGTAGCTTCACTAGGTTGCATCTGACAGGGGGTCGGTGGGCGGGGTCCTGATGGGCCCCCCGACTGATTATCTTATCTATTCCTCCTCTACAATCTTTTCTTCATCTAGTAGCAAATACTGCTCGCACATGGGTGCAAAAATCCTCGTATTAGGGAGTGGAGGTAGGGAACATGCACTCGCGTGGAAACTTGCACAGTCAGACCTCGTCGAACACATCTACGTCTGCCCTGGCAACGGTGGAACCGCCACTAACCCCAAGACCACAAACCTCAGCCTCTCCCTCACACCACCGTATCAGGATTTAGTATGCTTTGCCGTTCAGAACGAGGTTCGCATGTTCCCTTCGTGGAACTCAGCTCTACATTCCAGAAAATTTCTAGATAAACCTAGTCCTACCGGGTCCTGAGGAGCCGCTCGTGCTTGGTGTTGAGAAGCACTTCCGAAAAGGTCCGTCACTCCGTAACCCGTCGCAGTGCAGAGCACTAAACCTATTACGCAGTGGGGATCCCTGTTTTTGGTCCCTCTGAGCTCGCTGCGAGGATGGAGGGCAGCAAGGCATTTTCCAAAGAATTTATGGAGCGTCACAACATACCCACTGCAAAATTCCGGACTTTCTCGTCGGCGCAGTTGGGCGACGCCGTAGACTACGTTCGCAATTGTGGTTTTCGTGTGGTATTGAAAGCGAGTGGCCTCGCTGCAGGGAAGGGTGTCCTGATTCCCAGTAACGTCGACGAGGCTGTAGAGGGTCTGAAGCAGATAATGGTAGCGAACACCTTTGGTGCCGCAGGTTCGTCACTCACCTGGATTCTGTGTTGTTTCATAAACGAGGATCTGCCTTAGGTGATCAAGTTGTGATCGAGGAGCTTCTTGAGGGGCCAGAGATATCGGTTCTCGCATTCTCCGATGGTTACACTATCGTCCCGCTCCCTGCGGCTCAAGATCACAAACGTGTTGGCGAAGGTGACACCGGTCCTAACACCGGTGGAATGGGTGCTTATGCTCCCGCACCTGTGGCTAATCCGGTTACTATGAATCGCATCATGAGGGAGACTCTTCGACCCACCATAGACGGGATGAGGAAAGAAGGTTTGTGATCTTCCACTTCCCACAGCAGACGATATTACTCACCCTCCACGGACAGGTTTCCCATTCGTTGGCCTCCTATTCGCTGGCTTCATGCTTACCGATGCTGGACCAAAGGTGCTGGAGTACAATGTTAGGTTCGGCGATCCTGAGACGGAAGCACTCATGCTTCTTCTCGGCGATGATGTTGATCTTGCTGCGATTCTCCTGGTATGAGACGCGTCTACGATTGGATCCACGCTCCTGACCACATGGTTACATTTGTCAGGCTTGTGCAGAGCGTAGACTAGACTCCGTCCAGATAAGTACTCGTCAAGCATTTTCGGTGTCAGTTGTCTTGGTTTCGGGGGGTTACCCAGGCCCTTATCCGAAGGGTAAACATATCGAGATCGGCGATATACCCTCAGGTACGCACGGCTCTCACTTTCTATATCTCGTGTGCTGACCAGGTAGCTAGGCGTAGTCGTGTTCCACTGCGGAACGGCTCTAAAGGGCAACCTGCTTGTTACTTCTGGTGGTCGTGTGATGGCAGTGACGGCTACTGCCCCAGCACTTAAGGACGCGCTGACGCTGGCTTACACTGCCTGTGACAAAATATCTTTTGAGGGAATGACTTATCGCCGCGATATAGCTCACAGGTCAGTTCTCATCCCCACGCCAACTTACGGTGTTCATTCTATTTTAGGGCTTTGACTGCCTCAAAAAAAACTGCGCAAGGGCTGACATACGCAGACGCTGGCGTATCTGTGGATGCTGGCAATGCCCTAGTAACTGCCATCAAGCCATATGTACATTCCACAAGGCGCCCTGGGTCCGATGCCGAGATCGGTGGTTTTGGAGGCATATTCGACTTGAAGGCCACTGGATACGATGACCCAGTCCTTGTCGGCGGTACCGATGGTGTTGGTACCAAGCTCCACATCGCAATTGAGGTTGGGCTTCATGACACCGTAGGTCAGCAGGCAGGCTATTCTGACAGACAAATGGATCGGTTTCAATAACGTTTCAGGAATCGACCTTGTGGCTATGTCTGTCAATGACTTACTGGTGCAGGGGGCTGAGCCCCTCTTTTTCCTCGATTACTACGGATGTAGCAAGTTGGACGTCACTACCGCAGCCGAGGTGGTCAAGGGCATTGCGCAAGGTTGTCGAGAGGCAGGATGCGCTCTCATCGGAGGGGAGACAGCAGAGATGCCAGGCATGTATCGTGAAGGTAAGAGAACCCATTCAGAAATAGCATTACCCTGCCCAGCTACTGATACATCCGTCAGGCGACTACGATCTTGCCGGCTTCGCCGTGGGTGCTGTTGAAAGGCATTTGATACTTCCTCGTCAGGATATTGTCCCTGGAGACGTTTTGCTTGGAATAGCCTCCTCGGGTTTGCATTCCAACGGGTTCTCCCTCGTGCGTAAGATCGTGTCCATATCCGGCCTCAGTTACTCCTCTCCATGTCCTTGGGACGAGAATATTTCGCTGGGAAAGCACCTCCTGGAGCCAACGCGCATCTATATTAAGCAGGTCCTCCCAGCTGTTAAAACGGGTCTCCTCAAGGGCATGTCCCACATTACGGGTGGAGGGTTTATTGAGAACATTCCCCGTGTCCTACCCAAGCGGCTTGGCTGTTACATCGACGCATCGACTTGGCCGCTACCACCCGTCTTCCGCTTCCTTATGGAGCATGGAAGTGTTGAACCTTTGCAAATGGCACGTACCTTCAACAATGGCATTGGGCTCATTGCTATCGTGGCCAAGGACCAAGTAGAAAGGACGCTGGACCTTCTACGCCAGGGCAGTAATGCGCCTGTTTACATAGTCGGGGAGGTAACAGACAAGAGTGGAGTTGAGATGAAGAATCTCGAGTACTGGGCAACAAACTAAAATCTAGATGTCTATGTATATGATAGATAGCACTAGCATCTCCAAGTCCGGCAACCTGGGGGAAGTACTACATATTTTGTTTTTGTTTTTTTCGGAACGCATCGTCCATATGCAGTGGCTATTATGCTATGCAGGAAAACATTGCGCGCACTAGTGAACAAGACAGAGAGCTGAAATGGTTGAGTAATAGGAGGGTGTAAAATAGTAGGTGTACCGGCGTTGGACATGACGCCTTGAAGCGGAACAAACATGGAAGACCAAGCTGCAGAAGCGCACAGTGTATATATGATGACCGACCAAGAAAAAAAGAAGAAAGAGGAGCTAATTTGTGGTGTATGCAGGGAGCACGAACTAGCAGTATAAATGAAACCGGAAGTCACAAGGAAATAGAAAGACAGAGAAAGAAGACCGATGTAATATGCCTACAATGCAGATACGACTTCCAATATCAAGCAGGAACAGACACTTCCTTTGCTAAATCAGCAATGCCAGTGGTGGCGGCCGCAAAGGAGACCGGAAACTTGGATGCAGTGGAGTTGATGATCCCATTAGATTGAATGCCGTTGCATTCAGCTGGTCGGTTCTCCTACAGAAGGAAAGTTAGTGAACGTGTCTTGTTACATGCGAAGGCTCGGGCGCACTTACTACTTGAGTCTTCACCTGACGTTCCTCAGGAGAGGCGCTGCGAGTAGTGGACTCTTTTGTAGGGTCTTTACGGGCAGGCGGAGGAGCTTGCAGTACCTGCGCCGCAGTTGGGCCTGCAGACCCGTTCGTAGCTGGACCGCCGTTGACTAGATTTTTGGAAGATGTCAAACCACCGAGCACCGGAAAGTCATCGGCATTCGGCACTCTCTGTTGCTTCACGCTAGGTTTTCTATCAGCTTTGTTCCACATAGGTTTGTTGCCTCGTGAGCGGGCACCAGCATCGGTGGACTGTGAACGGCTAGAGTTGGTAGTGCCATTTTTGCGTGGTTGATTCTCCTTTCATGTTAACGTAAGAAATGGCAGCAAGCCAGAAAGGACATTTCTACTTACTTCTCTAACGGTCATGGAAGCGAATTGTTCTTCAATCGTATTGATACCATTGGGACCGTCTCGTGGACGTGGTGCGCGTCCACCTGCATGGTGCTGACCCGACAGATCAGGTATAACATGAGGGAAGCGGCAATCGTCACTGGGCAAGTACGTCAGACGCCAAATCGCATTAGACCATGACAGACCTACCCATTTCTACACCTGCCAGCAGGATAGAAGAGGCACGCAGGAGCATGTTTCCTGCTTCCTGCGAAAGGCCCTCTGCGCATGCTTCCCCGACGATGGTGATATGTACCCTGTCGGAACGCAGGAGGACCATAGTTGTCGGCTTGTAGGTGCGTACGAGGAGATTTGGGATTTCCGTTTATCTCGGAGAATACGTGTGCACTTTGGGGGGGATACGGCGAGGGATCTTGACGGACGGAGAATGGAGGAGCAGATGTCGGCCCGTTGGGATAAGCAGACTGGGGTGATTGAGGGCCATGCCCAGTGGTTGGTTGATGGGAAGAGGGAAGTGAGGGAATAGAAAGTGGCAGAGGCTGAGGAGGAGGGGGAGGATAAGAAACAGGAGACATGGCAGGATACGGTGCAGGAGGGGCACTAGGAGGACTGAAGGGTGTTTGTACAGGGGACAATGCCTCTGAACCAGACCTTGTGTGGATCATCGGGGGATGAGGGGAAGTGTGAGTAGGACCTGAAGTGGGCGATACTGGGTTCATGTGAGGAACAGGCACGGGGGGATATGTTGGGGGTGGCGGTGGCGGCGGGTAGTAACTGTGAGCGTACTGCTGTTGGGTCATGGGATCGAAACGGGCAGGATATTGTGCAGGAGGAGGCGGCCCGGGGTAGTAAGGTCCCTGCGGGTGAGCGAAAATACATGACGAGCCGTAGCGACAGGCTGGATAATACCGGCAGGGGATATACCTCGCGACCTCGGGAGGGGGGAGATTTCCGAAACCGTTGTTCTCGCCTACTGGCACTGGGGGACCCTGGTAGTATGCCGGGGATCCATCTGGAAGGGTCGCCACAGGCGGGTAGTACCCGTACGTAGGGTGTGTGGCGACAGGGTAGTAAGGTTTTGACGGATCAGCATTAGGATCCTGAGGATAGGTTTGTTCTTGGACTTGAGCCTCTTCCGAAGCTGTTTTTGCAGAGGCATTGTTAAGAAGATGGATGATCTCGGGATTACAAGTGTGCGCTTCGGGACCACTTTGAGCAGCAACGACAGAGGGGTCGGCACCTTGAGGTGAGGAAGATGAGATCGTAGGATCACACAAGTGAATAGAGGAGATCGGATGAGTACCTTTGGCTAGGAGTGCCTTCACCACGTCAAGATGGCCCTTTTTCACTGCCTCGAGGAGAGGTGTGGCACCGGTGTGATCTGGGATGAGTGCATGAGGTGAGCAGGAGGCCATGAGGGACATAAAAGCAGCAGAAAGGCTAATGAAATAGAATTCTGCCAACCCACCTTTGATCTCGATATCGACCGGAGATGCCTGGCTGAGTAAACCGAGGACGGCTTCGATGTTCCCCTCAGAGCACGCAGACCAGAGCGGGGAGACCATGACTTGAATTCTTTAAGAAACAGAGAAAACAAGGGCACAAGGCAGGCAACAACAATAAAAAGAACAAGCGGACACCCAGCGAGAACGTCACTCAAAATGAAAAGCGAAAAGAAAACCCGGCAGAGCCCAGACGGTCCCGTCGGAATTCGGATGCAGCACGAAAAAAAAGGCGTGGGAAAGATGAGGTGGATGATTATGTAACGCATAATGACCATTATGTAATGTCGGATTTTAAGCATCAAGGCACCGGGCACTCATGTCCATATTGGGAAGTATGTTTTACGATATCCCCATTAATGCTAGTATCCAAGCCCAGCTTCTTCAGCAGACCCTTTGCGTGTTCGCCCGTCTTCTCTGGCAGATCCAGTTCGCGTGAAGGCGGTCGACTCATAAGCTCCTGCACGCTTGTTTTGACGTCCTTGCCTGGTACATGAATGAGCATCTCCACACACACACGCCCCCTCCATCAATAACGCACCTTCATAAAGCACTTGATATATCTAGGGCACGGGTTACCATCGGGAACATCCGCCGGGAAGACATACTCACCTCGGTCGCAATGGAGGCGTTCACGTCCATCTCATCTATGATCTTCTTCAGTCCCTTGGCCGTCGTAACGCCTTCCGCCACGCTACCAAGCGTCCTGATAATATCTTCCAGCGCTTCGCCTTTCCCAAGCCGATAGCCCACAGTGTAATTCCGACTGCTAGGTGAGCTACACGTGAGGAACAAATCTCCCACACCAGCGAGACCCAGGAACGTCAGTGGAGATGCACCATAAGCAGTCCCGATCTTCGTCATCTCCGCCAAGCCCCGGGTGATCAACACTTAAGTAATTTAGCGCCCGAAAAACCCCTATCAGACTTGACATGTACTCAACTTGCTCGCGTATTGTTTTCAAAGCCTAAACCATCCGCCATCCCAGCGGCAATGGCATACACGTTCTTCAAAGCCCCCGCCAGCTCCAGTCCTATTGGATCCCGCCCTGTATAACTGAAAACACGATCGTTCAAAATAAAAAGGTAGACGGCATTGACAAGCCTTACCAGCGAAACCAAGGTTGATGGAATACCTCTGAAGCCTTTTCAGCTCGAGACTCCGTCAAGGAAGCAACGGAAACAGAAGTAGGCTGTCTGCGAACGACTGACCAGACGAGTGAGCTAGTCTGCGGCAAAGAGTGGACTACGGGATGCACTGACTTTCCTTTGCGAAGGAAGGGCCTGACTGCGTGCCATGAGCATTTTCAATCCCAAGGGCAGTAGGAAGCAACTCACGATAAAGGTTGCCTCGCGAGCTACTCTACTTCCGCATGTATCCGCAATGATTTCGAGAGTAAGAGCCTGCGTGCCGGTCTCGATACCTTTGTTGACGAAAATCATCAAGGGTAACTTTTCCCCAGTGAGGCTTGGCTGGAGCTTTGTGAGAGTTTCTCTAGATGATGGCGATGACGGCTTGGTCAGAGGAGTCGAGGATAGTTTGCATACCTGATTCCTTGGGTGGGTATCGCAAAGAGGAGGACCTCCATCTGCTGCACCGTCTCCTTGTTTGGTATTTCGGGCCCCAATGCATGAATGTTGGTGGAGAATGCATGGTCTTTGAGGTAGTTGGGGTTGCGATGGTGAACGTTGAAGTACTCTACGAAGCCGGGGTCGCGAGACCAGAGAAATACCTCGTGTTCACAGTCGCCGAGATGATCTGCAAGGCAGCTTCCAAAGTTGCCTGCCCCGAGGACAAGAACTCTGGATTTGGGTGTGGGAGAAGAAGACATGCGGGACGACAGAGGACGAGAGAACAGTCCTGGTGTCCTGGTCGGAATAAATACCGACCGATAGAGCGACAAAGCCGATGGATGACAGTGGCCAGGGATGCAGAGTCGCGTGACCAGCATGCAAGGCCGAGTGGAGAGGCAGACTATTTAAGATTCTGCCTATGATATCACTGCTTACCGCAAACGCGTCGACCGTCGCGTGCGCCGGGTCACTTTCTATATTAGGCAGTACTTCCCGGCCGGTGCTCCGTCCGCTGCGCAACCACCGCTAACACACCTGCCAGAGTGTACTTACCACCTTCCCCTCCATGGCAATACAGGACCGGACAAACGAATTTCGCACATGTGTCGACTCAATTCGCAACAGGTCTGCCCCGCTGCCCCATCCGGCTGAGGCAAAACAACGCCTGCTGCAATCCCATGCAAAGGGCACCCCAAAGAGCGAATTCTCGCGTATGGCATCTGCAATTGCCAAGGACATCAGCACCACTACCGTCAAACTAGGGAAACTTGCTCAACGTAGGTGTCTGTACCAATACCGCTGTTGTGTTCACCCAGCTAATCACCTCCGCAAGTTGCGAAACGCAAAACGCTCTTCGATGACAGACCTGTGGAGATCAGCGTGCGTGTCCTTCCCACCGCTCGTTCTGCGTATCCTAACTTCATGTGTTAGGAATTGACCTTTATCATCAAACAAGACATCGCTAGCATCAACCGTCAAATAGCCGCCCTCCAGTCCTTCGTGAAGCAGCGCAATGCACAAGGAGGCTCGACAGAAGGGAAGCAAATTGACGAGCACAACCACAACGTCGTCATGATGCTCCAAAGTAAACTAGCCAACACTAGCATGACATTCAAGGACGTACTAGAAGTTCGAACCCAAGTAAGGACCCGCTCTTCTACATGAGAACGCCACGCTCGAACCCTGTCAATAGAACATGAAGGAGACGAAAGACCGAACAGAGCAGTTCATGCACTCTACGGCTGCCGCCGCCCATCAAGCACCACAGAGTACATCCCCGTCGTATCACCACTTACTGTTACTGAACTTACTGCTTTGTTAGATTCCGTGTTATTAAACGGCCGTTTCGATCCCATGGGTGACGGTAGTGGCAGTCGCCCGAGTTCAAAGGGTAAAGGGAGGGCACCTCAAACTGGAGACGTGCTTGCCATGGACCTAGATTTGGCAGAGGGCGGTCTCGCTGCAAATGGTGGAGGTGCTTTTATGCAAATGCAACTGGTGGAACAGCAGGCATGTATTAGCTTCTTGCGTCACGCTTTTAATATTTATTGGTCTCTAGGACTCCTACATTCAATCACGCTCTACAGCAATCGAATCCATTGAGTCCACGATAGCAGAGTTAGGACAAATATTCAATCAATTAGCACACATGGTCGCGGAGCAGCGGGAAACAGTGCAGCGCATTGACGCAGACACTATGGACATTGCATCAAACGTCAGTGGAGCACAGAGAGAACTATTGAAGTACTACGCTAGTATATCCAGCAACCGTTGGTTAATGCTCAAAGTATTTGGCATCTTAATCGTTTTTGTAAGTGACATCCCCTCAAGTTGCAACCACGTTGACCAGTCGCTCTCGTAGTTCCTTGTATTTATTCTGGTATCCTGATACGGACCATTGATATTTGGGCACTGTTTTCGAGCTATCGTCATCATCACTACTGGGCATGGCGTTTCAGAACATAGATAGATCGAATCTCACGACCGTCGCAGATACTACCCTACTCGTATGGCATTGACACCAGTCCCAAAACTCTTGGCTTTGCGTCCCTGGCCGTCCTTTGCATGCTTCTTACCGCCACGATGCTTCTCGGTTTCTACTACGTCACCAACGCTCCAAGTCCGCTTCTTAACTTGAACTTGCTCCGCCCCAGAAGTCGCGGAGAAAGCGCTGTGTGCCTTGAGTTTGATCACTTGTCGTGATATCGGTGCGAGCCTGCCCCCCTTGTTTTTTACGCTTCGATACATCGTCAAGTTCGAGTCAAGAGAACTGAGGCGAAGTACACATACTCGCTGCCCATCCAATCCCTTGTTACGATCTTTGAGCTTCTTTAAACGGGCTTCTCCTTTACCTCCGCCTCCTGCGGTCAATTCTACGTTAATTTTGCGACCCTCCAGCTCAGAGTGATGCAGCTTAAGAGCCCGTTGAAGGGCATGCTTATTCTCAAACTCGAGAAAAGCACATCCTTTTGATTTCGTGATAAGTTTTGTCGGAGGTTTGCTCGTTGATAGTTTGGGTGTAAGTAATCGTACAGTGGGTGGTGGATCTTGCACTGGAGTTGAACATCTCCGACAAGCCAATTGGAATTCCTGACGTACCACATGCGGAGAAATGTCCTCGAATGGTTTCCGCCGTCGTGGTATACTTGAGATTACCTAGGAGGACAACATAAGACCCTGGGGGTGCAACCAATTGCGAATGGACCGCCATACCGAGAAAAAGAATGAACCGTTGATTCGACTTCCCCGACTCCTCACCACTCTCCTCGCCTTCTACAGCTTGTTCCACATCGACGACAGGCTCCCCATCAGGCCCTTTCCGCCTCTTGCGTTTTGGCCTGTCGGGCTGCTCTCCTGTTCCTTGCGTTTCTTCACCAGTTTCGCCCTTCCTCTTCTTCGACCCCACCACCCTTGTTGCTCCCGCCTTGGGGTTCCCTGTTCTGTGGTCGACCACAAACCCCGCGCCCGGTTCATCGCCCTCTTCACATTGCGGTATACCAATCCCGCTCTCAGCAAGAATTTGATCTTCGAGGACAGGAGACATCGTTATCTGCCAATTCCAACTCTGCGCTTTTCTGTCCCTTCTTGCCCTGCCTCCGGTCGCGAAAAGCGATACTCTTCTTTTCTCGCTTTGTGAGCTTCCGCATAGGACGACATTTATAGGGCTCGGTAACTCAACATCCCCGGGCCTGTGTGTGTGGAAGAAGCCTCCATCACGAGTGTGTACATCACATATATCATCACGTGATGGCATCTTCCAAACTTCCTTCTCGTTACTTACGCTAGGCCTCATGTGTCCATCTTGCTCTTGAATTTTTTCTCCTTAAATACGTGGCTTACGCCTCCTTGCTGGCACCAATACCTGAGCTACTCATCAAGGTGTATGGCTACATCTAAGTCAATTTCAAGCTACACATGCCCTGCCACCGGACGGGAGTCATACAGCCCAGGTTTTGCTACCTAGGCATATCCATATTACAGTATCACATACGGCAACGACCGCCGGCCATTGTGTACCAAACGAGGATAAGCCGGAATCGAGTAGCCATCATCGTGTGTGGCATACTCCGGCATCCTTGTTCACATCCACAGGGTCATCTCATCTTGAACAGGTACTCCATAACAAGGAGAGCCCTATCCCAGCCTATCCCTAACTGAGGGTGAGACCGTTCACACCTTCATTGGCACCTTCGACGTCCCTCTCGTCGCCATCTATCCCACGCCTATTTCTAGCGAGCGGTCGGAGAATCGGACTTGCAAGGCCTAGAGTTGGCCGTAGAATCGGGCTAGATGAAACGCTCATCGATCCGAGTCCTACTTGTCGAGAAGTTGTGTAAATAGGCATGTTGTAGCTAGTCACTGTGGGAGACGAGTTCGCCGATCCGCCGTTCGAGATCGGTATCGCCAGGGGGTTTGGAAATGAGGGTCTCCCATTTGGCGTCCGGGGGTAAGACAGAGAAGGGTGTACCTCTCTCAGGTAAGATATCGATGGCGAAACCGCTCGGCGCTTTGCAGCAGTAGGATATGGATCGTAACGATCATCGACTGTGAAAGAAGGGGACACGTGAATGACTGATCACCAACTAGACAGATATGCACTCTATACACACGTTTCCGCTTGTTGGAGCGAACAGCACTGGCCGTTGGAGGTGGTGTGTATCGCCATTGGACAGCAGGTGTGGAAGTTACCAATGGTGAGGTCAGCGGCTGGTGACAACCATCAGCCCCAAGTAAATTACGGCCACAAGATACGCACTGGATCCACATCCATAGCTACTACCATAGGACTTCCGGAGGTACATGTTGCAAAATCATCACCGTTCACGCTTTGCGCAGGCGTACAAGGTTTGGTTGTGGCCGACTCGCTAGGAGGGTCAAAAGCGAAAATGCCATCCACATCGTCTTCGTCACTCGGCGTATCCTCTCGGTCAAAGTCTTCATCAACTGCTTCCTCCGGGTAACGCCCTTTGTTTGAAGGTGCACGAGGAGTGCGGGGTCGCACCGGAAGCTCTGAGTACGATGCTATTAGACGTTGAAATGCAGCCTCCGACTTCACCTCGTCATCCTCGGGGCGGGTTGACTCGGCTAATATGTTAAGGATGCGAGCAAGCTTGAGCTGTGGACGCGCTGGTCCTCAGCTACACGTCGTGTCTCCTGTTCCACTGTATACTTACCGGGTATGTTGGACGCCTTGAGTTGACCACGGCGGGACTGTAGAGGGGTGCCGGTGCCAAGACACTAATGTTGTGATTTGGTGGAGTCGATGGGTTCAACGTATCTTCACTGCTCTCGTCCCCAAGTCTTTCAGCGTCTTTGGAAGCCGGCACGGAAATAGGAGGCGTTGGGTTGCCTGAGCTGTTGGACGGCGAGCTCTCGGTGCACATCCGTTCTCGGTCACTCTCTGATTCTTCACCGCCAACACTTCTATATCTACGTGTGGGTATTGAGAACGATATGGCCAGTGGGCTGCTTGTGTGTTTATCAGCATAGGCGGTAGTAGGCCTCGGGAGAAGTGATGGGCGTCGGAAACGTAGAAACAGAGGACTGGGCGAGCCTTCGGGGGAGGTTACTAGAGTCGAGCTCAATGGCAGAGCAAAATCTTGCGATGAAGAGGGAAACGATAGACGGCGTGGAGAGCGCGACATCACCACATGTGCTGATCGGAAGCCTGGCGCTTGGCAGTGATCGTTGTGTTTGGATGGAGAACGCTGACGCATCCATCCATTCACCCCCATTCCTGAACGGAATAATACTAAAGGTCCAGAGCCGAACAGCAGACAACGAAGTAAACTCCTCTTTACTCCGGAGGCTGCAGTGAAATTAGTACTGAGTGGTGCGTTCTAGACAACGACGAATGTCATATGGAATTTGGATTCGATCGTACAATAGTAAGTATAGACTAAGTCGGGCACTACTTCCAAGCTAAAACATCGCTATCCAAACCCCCAAGCGGTAATAGGTTTCCACCACTGATGATCGGCCTCACAAAGAAAGGAAGAGCTGGTAAGCGGAATAGGTCGCCCCCAAAAGAAGACCTGTTTCAAAGAAGTGTCAATGCAGATTGTGCAGCATCTCGATCATGGGGCTCACCTGTTGCAGCACCATTGCTGATTATACCGCCGGGAAGACGCTGTGGACAAGGTTACGACGCTCGATATCAAACGCTTTCCATTTCATACCTTGGCTGGATCGCCAGTCTTGTATCCGTAGGTGTATAAGACCCGCCCGACAGAGAATGCGCTACCTAAAGCAGTAGCAAGGAGGGGGCACTTGAAACCAGTAACCAATGTTCTGTCCAACCGTGTCAATTGATCCCTGCAGGTGGGTACACCAGGACCTCATTTGATACTTACCCGATAACGACAATAGGGACGAACTCCAAGGTGTTCTGGTGAGCACCTAAAATGACACGTCGATCAACAAGTCTCGTGCAGGCAACTCTGAATCGACTAACGCTGAGTACAGTTAAATTTCAACGCAGCAGGATTCGCCTTGCATTCAGCCTGCTCGGCATACACTGTAATGAACAGGTTAGGCCGAGGCTACAACCGAAGACATTTACTTGCTTTGAGGGTATGTTATCCCCGACCGTCTGCGAGCCCGACCTACGAGCAACGCCTGCCAGAACAGCACCCAGCCCAGCGATACCAGAGGGCCTGCGACATACTTGTATCTAATGTGTAAACCATTAGTCGAAGTCAGCCACTGACGGACCAACACCCACTCTTCTGGGAGCAGGGATAGGTGACATATTACGATAGATGGGAAAAATGTGTGCGCTTTCAAGTAGGATATTGAGCAATTCGAAGCTCGTCACCTTGTGGTACTTATAGTCGCAGACCTGAGATCTGTATCATCTATTAGCATTCGCACGTGCCGAAGGGAGGCGTCATCATGAATGAGACCCTGGCAACCCAAGCATTCTAGTACATTCCTTACGCACAGCGAGACAGTCTGCAGCAGTAAGCAGCCGAGGGGGCAACGTAGGCCTGTATCACTAATTTAATAACTTGATTCAAATGACTGCGACGCGTGTGCATGCGTAAGCTACTGTTGACGTGTAGGCTGATGCATACAGGAAAAAGGGCACAGCGTACTATGGTCGAATCTTAACCCATCCGAGCTTGGGACGATCGGATAGAGACCGAGGACGCACTTTGCAAGCAACATCGACTACAGCTGCCACCTGGTAACTTTTCGATGGTAATAGCCAGATAGTAGCTTTTCAATGGGTAATAGCCAGATGGATCCGTTTCCAGGGCACCTACCACAAATGGCAATGATATCTCGATTATAATTGATGCACAGTCGTTCTTGCTCGAATCGCTGTGCAACAGCGGCTTCTTACGCCGTACCGAAAAAAAATGTCAAAACGATCAGCAGCGGACAGTCAAACAGAAGGCCAGGCATATACAAAAGTATCCGGAAATGCATCCAGACGCAACGATGCAACCGCTGATGAGATGGGCGAATTTGAAGATGCATGGGAGGACGAGATCGAGTCTGAAGGAGAGGCAGTAGATGCTGATGCTGACGGAGGAGTGGACGGTACGAGGACACAGGTGCACATCTTTCACAGGTTGTAACGTACTTTGTTTAGGCATGGATGTTGACGAGGTTATGCCTGCTATCGAGGAGTCTGAAGAAAAACCGTCAGAACCAGAGGCATTCATACCCGGCACCCATGTTCTCGGGAAAGACGAAGTACTGGAACCTGACGACACGGTATATATTATGCGCCATTCAATGAACGTATCCTGGCCTTGTCTTTCATTTGACGTCCTACGAGACAATCTGGGTGATGAACGACAGAGATATCCCGCAGTTGCCTACATCGTGGCTGGAACGCAGGCGGACAGAGGGAGCAACAACGAGGTCTCTGTTTATAAGATGAGCTCGCTCTATCGCACGCAAAAAAACGGAGGTATGTCTCTTGTCTGCTTGGCCGATGTGGTATATTGAATCCCTACTACAGAAGACTCCGACTCTGACGGCGAGGATAACGAAGACGACCTCGATGAAGACCCTGTACTAGAGTACAGGTCGGTTCCACACGACGGTGGAGTGAATCGGGTTCGGGCGCAACCTTTGCCGCCATCTTCTGGTCTCCCCCCTGTGTCCCAACCGTACTATGCCGCAACGTGGGCAGAAACAGGGAAGGTACACATTTGGGATATACGTCCGCTCATAGAATCACTCGACACGCCTGGATACTCCCTTGAAAAGACAAGGACCAACAAACCGACCTTCTCCATCAACTCACATGGTCACGCGGAAGGTTTTGCCATGGATTGGGCATCGTCAGGTGGAGCCAATCCGTCCGCCCTCCGTCTTCTCACTGGAGATATCCACTCGAAAATTTACCTAACGATAACCACACCGTCTGGTTTTAATCCCCTTTCTCAGCCATTCGTGTCGCATACATCCAGTGTTGAAGACATCCAATGGAGCCCAACCGAACCCACTGTCTTTGCGTCGTGTTCTGCAGACTGTAGTGTACAAATATGGGACGTACGCACCAGAGGTCGTCAAAGTGCGACCGGCATCGACCATGCTCATGAGAGCGACGTGAATGTCATCAGCTGGAATAGAAACACGACTTACTTGATGTTGAGTGGTGGAGACGAAGGCGGAATCAAGGTATGGGATTTGCGAAGCGTGAAAAAGCGAGGGTATGTTTCTCCGAGTTCCTTCCACCCTCTCGACTTAGTATGCCTGCAGTTCATCTGGGGGCGTCTCTAGCCCCGTTGCCGCCTTCACATGGCACAAGGCACCGATCACATCCATCGAGTGGCATTCAACAGATGATTCGGTCTTCGTCGCTTCTGGTGCTGATGATCAAGTCACCTTATGGGACCTCGGAGTAGAGCAAGACGATGAAGACGTGGGTACTGCAATGAACGTAACGCCCGACGGCGACCAAGAAGTCCCCCCTCAGCTGCTCTTTATCCACCAAGGACAAAAGGATGTCAAGGAGGTCCATTGGCATCCGCAGATCCCCGGCACTGTCATCACCACTGCGCTGGATGGTTTCAACATATTTAAAACTATATCAGTTTAGAATTAGACCGCTGCGTATGCCGTCGGAGAACAAAAGTACCCTAAGGAATATATACTTTGGCGTCCCAGCACGGATTTTATCTACACGTTGAAGGAGCGCGTTAATATTCTACGCCCGGTCAGTAAAGCCCCGCGCGATTGTTGCCTCTTGGCGAACGTATCTATGGGTATTGGGCAGTTAGATTTGCACACTTCATATTTCAACGAATCCCAAGGGCCCACCTTGGCCATGTTCTTGTGAAGTATGTCAGTTATAACCGCATATATATTGCGGATGTCGATGAGATTTTGGCGTGCGAAGAACAGTTGCTTTTCGTCGTGCTCCCGTAGTGCAAGCTACAGATATTAAAATCATGCTTGCAACTGCAATCAATTGTCTTACAGCATAATCCTCGACGTTTGGATACTTGATCAGCTTAGAGCATATTTTCGCGCGAGCAAGATGATGTTGTCGAACGCTATCACGGATGTTATAGGCACTTTCTTGTGAGCGAAGCAGCTCGCTTAGAAGCCTCTGATAATTCCGTGAACGTCGAGTGCCTGAAACAGAGTCTTGAAACACAAGGATATACCTTCCTGAATCTGAACCCCTTTTATCGTCGCGGTTAGCCATTGAGCCGGGGATGAGATGAGTAACAATACCAAAATTGTCACCACTTGAAAAAATACGTTGAGAAACAATCAAGCAGGTCAAGCACAACGACGTACTCTTCGATCCTAAGTTACCACGTAAACAAACGGAGCAAGGATGAGCAGGAGAGCACGCACTTGGGCATTGTAAGATTGACCCATAACTTGACTTTGTCCTGGACGGAAGAACTTTAGCTAAAGGAAGAAAAGCTGAATAGTTATTCCTCACGCAACAGTCAGACAGTTGTGTACACTCCGACTTAGTGGTTTCGGACAATTTCAGGATATGTTTGTTCGCGTGCACAAGGTCAGGGTACCGTGCATTGGGGATGTCGCTGTTGGAGAGTGATGGCACACTGCCGTCCTCTGTTCGCTTACGCTTTGCTGGACCATTTGAGTCCACGTAGTCACTTGGAGCTGGATACACCCGGGCGTCCGTTAGAGTGGACGCATGGGCTATATTGAACGGCGAGTCCGGCGCCTTAGTAGATTCGATCAAAGTTGTCAGCTCACTGCAAGCCAAATCAGCGAGAGCAGCGGAACCGCATAGATTACTCGTACATAATCTGTGTCACTAGCGGTTAGAAGCCCGATATATAATCTTCGAAGAGACGATAATCTTACTTTGGCTGGGAAGAGACGGAATACGATGTCACTTGCAACAGATGCTGTCTTGGTGCGAAATGTCTGCAATTCCACTCAGCAACTCTATAAGCCCACAAAGCGCCGGCCACCTTACCTCCAACTTCTCTGAGTCCTCTTTGGACAACGACATGATGTAGTGCTACGGTTAGAGGGTACGTAGTCGACTAATAAAGGGGAAGTGTATTTGTCAGCAAGACAATTGCTCAAGCTTGTCTCAGTGACGTTCGTGACAGAGCTTGGGCCGGAATGGACAACCAGGTGCGTGCCACGTCCATCACCAAGCAAACGATAGTCAAGCAGTTTGTAGGAAGAAACCGATGTCATATCCACTCTGACAGGGTTTTCTCTGAGCAACGTCCTCGCGGATCTGTCTCTACCTGCAGCTTCTGGTCTTTCTAGCACCCTCGGTCTCTCCGGTTTGCCTGCAATAGATGCCTCACAGATCTATAACGACAAGTGGGATGACGAAGGAGCTGTTGGAGCAGATGAGGGAGAAGATTTTGAAGATGAGGTCGACAGGGAGCTTGAGCAGGAGATGGCTGGCGACGGTGTGGTCAAACTAGAAGTCCAGTCCCCGACTGCTGTGCAACCCCCGCGAAAGCGCGTCAGGACTGTGAAGCGAATGATCGAGAGACCAAAGAGCGTCTACGAACGCTTTCCAGCTTTCGAGAAGGACAAGGTTCTGGACTTCTCAGAGTTGTTCAAGGGTTACATATCCAAGAAGTCTCGCATAGCTAAACGTCCCCTTGCCGGTGAGTCGATTCGTTTGCATTTGACTAGAATGCCGAGTTTTGCAGCTGAGAGCGTCTATCCCCGCAAGAGGGAGACCGCCAGAGCTTTCCTCGATGCAATTGTCGGTGACGCCAAACGCCAGAATGAGAACAGACGTGTTGAAGAGGCTATGTCTGCTGGCAGTATAGAGAACGATCTTATACGAGCCATCGAGGTAACGCATACTCCGCTATTCATCAAACTGTGACTCACAAGGAGCAGGAACGCGAGAAATCTGCACTTCCAGTTACGCTTCCCTTGCATGACAGAAGTTTCGACCTAGTGTTATTGTCGAATTGGGAGGATAAGATTGTTTACGAATCCAAGGATACAACAGCATTCCCACCTCCCGAGTCTGACAGTCTGACTACCCCTGTGAACAAGGCACTAGAGTCTGGGGCATGGACACAAAGCATCATATGGGGTTTCGGACAACCGTTCCGCCATTTTACTCAGCTCGAGCTTAGCGAGGACGATTTTGCCCACGAGGAACGCCCTCAGAGTAGGTCTTTTGCCTTCATCGACATACACGCCTTTATCTTGTGTCAGCCGAGACTGTCAGACCACGCAAGCGCATGAGGGCTGACACTACGCAACCTCGTGATAAATTCAATCTATCCAACGACCACCTCTATGAGGTAGCCAAGGAAGGAGGCCGCCACCGAGTACGCCAGACGTTCGGCCAACTGGTTGTGGAACATGCATACCCTGCACAAAAGCTTCAGCTGCCATTTGTGAGCATTCAAGTAGTCCGATTATGAGAGCTACTGAAACAGTGACCACATCAGTACAAAACTCGCCTTTCCAAGCACGAAGCGCGCTCGTTCCATCGGCCAGCCTTACAGTTTCCTACGAATATTGAATTTCGCTTCAGCAAAGTACGTACGGCGAAGAAGAAGAAGAAAGATAAGGCTGGGAGAAAGCTTGGAAAAGGCGGGAATGTTGGTGAAGGATTGCAGTAGGACTGGTGACCTGACCTTAAAGGACACGAGCAATTTTGTCCTTTGGGAATATTCTGTACGCACATTTCGTTCTGTCTATAATGAAATCTCACAGTATGCGGCAGGAAGAACACCCCCCAATCATTCCGAACTTCGGCATGGGTAGTATCCTCGTCAATTACTACCGCAAGAAAGACGAAAAAGACGACTATATGCCTAAGGTGGGGTTCGCTATCTACAGCCCCACATCGCAGTGACTCGACCCTTTGCAGCTTGATCTTGGTGTGCCCTTTGTACTAGAACCTCAAGATGAGTCACCGTTCATGAAGTTCGGTTATGTATACCCCGGACAGACGTTTCCGGCGCTGTACAATAATCTAGTCCGAGCACCTCTTTTCCGTCACAAGCCATATCTGACAGACTTTCTTGTTGTGAAGTGCGGAAGTTCCCTGGATGCTGCTTTTGATATTACTGACGAGCGCAAACAGAAGCACTAACAAGGGGGAGAGCAAGTATTATTTGAGAGAGATCAAGAACCTCTTCGTGATAGGTCAAACTTATCCGGTTACTGAGGTCCCAGGGCCCCACTCCCGAAAAATCACAAGCACTATTAAACACAGGCTCCAGATCATCGCGTTCAAGTTACTTAAGAAAAGCCGAGACGAGCGTCTTAAGATTTCACGCCTGATGAAGTATTTCCCAGATCAAAACGAGTTGCAAATGCGACAAAGGCTGAAGGAATTTATGGAGTATCATAGGAGAGGACCTCATCAAGGCTTCTGGCGGCTCAAATCTACGACAATAGTACCGAGTGAATCGGATATGCTCAAAATGGTTGGTCCAGAGCAGGTTGTGCTCATGGAGAGTATGCAGGTTGGACAGCGCCACTTGCAGGATTCGGGCTACACTCAGACCGCAGATGTGGATGGTGATGAGGAGGGCGAAAGCAAACTCTCGATCGAACAGCAGCTTGCACCGTGGATTACGACGAAAAATTTCCTGTTCGCGACACAGGCAAAGGCAATGCTCCGACTTCACGGAGAAGGAGATCCAACTGGGCGAGGGGGAGGCATTTAGTTTCATTCGCATATCGATGAAAGACATATTTGTCAAGGCTGGAGAAGACTATGAACAGAAGCTAGGTAATGGTGATAATTCCTAACGCTGTATACTTCAGCAAACTGACTTGGTCCTATCAGCCGAGGCTGAAAATCGGCCAAAGTCAGCTCACAGATATAATGTCGCTGAGCAACAGCAGATTTACAAGTCTGAGATCGAGCGAATCTGGAAAGCTCAATATTGATTCTCTAAGCAGGAAGGACGAACCCGAACTTTCGCCGGATGACGAGGTGCCTCCTGAGCCGAAAAAACTTCAAAGACAAGGATCTTATCGGTTCGACACGCCCCTTTCTCCCGCTGCGGTGTCACCAGCCCCTGTTGGCCCTTCTTCTCCCGCATTCAGTCGTGGGTCCTCGCTAGACCGGGACCGAGAAATGAGCATGGGCCCTGACGGGAGCCGCAAGGTACTGCGGATAAAGCGTCTGGTGGGCTATTCTGAGTGAATGAGCGGGCGCTGTTTCTGATGGAAGCCCTCGTAACAGGTAGATGGTGACTGGCGGACGGAGATTATTCGTGATCCCGCCGTAATCCGTGCCTACGTGCGTGCGCGGCAACAAATTGAGGAGGAGACGACTCTGGCCGATAACTTGGCGCCCACTGGCGATGCGGACACCGACAAACGGTACAAGAAGAGGTATGGGACCATGTTCTTAATGTTGCATGCCGGATGTCATTTAACCTGCCATACCCCCCAAAAAAAATAAAAATAAAATAAAATAACAGACTGGAAGAACGGATAGCCAGAATGAAGAAGAACCAGGAACGCCGTCTGCATCGCAAGAATGCCAAGCTTGTCAAGGAGGGAGGTGCGCCGATGCAAATTGACAGACCACTTAAGCCAGATACGACGGTGAGGCCTTTTTTCCGACACGTTCTTTGGACACGTTTCGTCCGTGTGGAGGAAATATAAATTTATGTTGGGAAAACTTGTTGCGCTAATATTCTCTTCCCATACAGAGGCGCTGTGGACATTGCGGGCAGATGGGTCACATGAGTATGTTATCATCCCACCTGTACGATGATCGGGCGACCCACTGACCCGGTCAATGGAACTACAGAGACGAACCGGAAATGTCCCCGTTGGGCCGAATTCAACAGCGGAACTCCGCCTCTTCCCGTGCCTCCCAACTCTGCCACAAACCCAACGGCTGTGACACCTGGCATGCCCAGTTTTAGTGGGTTTAACCGACCAACGCAAAATGCTGGTTTCACGTTTGGCGCTGCCGTTCCTTCGCCCTTGGCGACCAGTCCGCCGCTGTCAGCGATGGAGGACCGTGATGTTGAAACGCCGTCAAGTTCAGCGCCGAAGATAAAATTAACTCTGAAGCGTTCATGATTTTCACGTTTCTTTTTAGTTCGCGCTTTTGTCTTACTTAGAATACTGTAACCATATTTACAAGGCAAAGAACACTATTTGCATGATTGATTCACATATGCGCAGGAGCCAGCCATCTGATGAAAAACAAACTACAAAAAAGAAGGAAAAAAAAAAGCGGCAAATAATCACGCAATGGCCATCTCAACGTCCCGAAGCCGCGGAGAATCTATCGGCTCCCGCTTAACTACTGTGGTCAAGCGTGGCGTGCCATACTGCTGCTTGTAGTCGACATTAATTTTTACAAGCAGATTGCGAATAAGTTCTGCGTGCTTTCTCCGCTGCTCGATTGTGATTTCCTTGCCCGGATTGTAATGGTCAAGCTCGATTCCACCTACTTTGCGTGCCAGTTCGTGCTCGTCGCTGCTCCCCTCGGAAGTCTCGGTGATGGAGCGAAGGCTGGGCAGGACGGTGTGCGATGCCGTAGGCGAAGACCGTGATGAGCTCGGGGTCGTTCCACGGGACATGTCCGGAGAGCAAGGAGGTGGCGATCGGGGAGGGTACATCGTCGTAATGGGTGGGAGTCTGCACGGCCCGGCTTCCTGCTGGTGCTTGAGGGAGGGGAGTTTAAGATCGGAGTCCTCGGGAAGCAAGCGAGGATAAAGTTTATTCAATGAAGACAGCGTGACCTTGGGTGCCGTAAGAGGGCTCAGCTTGGCAGGACGAGCAGAGCCAGGGCCGTTCAGCTTGGGCTCCATCGGCTCTGGAGCACTTCGCGAGGCGGTCTTCAGCGGAACCATCGTGTGCAATGCTTTCCTCGTGAAGTCGGGTGCTTCCAGGTGGACGGGGGGTTGGGCACCGCGAGAAGGTCGAGAGTAATCGAACTGGAAGGAGTCTGCAATGGTCGAATAATGGGGAGGGGTAGCATTCGAAGGCGTCGAGCTAGATGAATATGGTGAGGTGGGATCTAGCGGTGGGGTCGGGTGATGATAACTGGCAGTAGGGTGATAAAGGGACGACGTCGTGTACGACGAAGGATTGATGGGGTGGTCTTGGGTTACAGCAGCAACGGTGCGTTGCTGCGAAGGTGCAAATGCGTCCGCTTGAGAAGGCTGCACTGTGTACACCTGTCCATATTGGTTCTGCTGAACAGACGGATAAGAGGACCTGCCAAGAGCAGGGGGAGATGGATAAGAGCTCGACATGGAGTACGGAGTGGACGTCTGGGTGTACCCTTGGTCTTGGCCAAACGAACCCATCGGGGTTGGGAGGCCTGGCATGCCAGCAAGGCCTAATTGATTGAGGCCATCGGGGTCAAAGTAGGAAGATGGAGAAAGGCGTTCTGGAACGAGGGGATGTGCCTGGCCACGGTGACTGACGCCAGTAACGTCGCGTCCGAGAGCAACGAGGAATTCGTTGACTGCGGCGAGCTCATCCGGCGTCCGGATATCCAAGGATATCGATCGAGGGTTGAAAGAATCCTCGTGGTGAGGGACATGGCCGTAGGCGAGGGTATTCAGCCGGTGTGCCATGTCTGCGACGGAAGACTTTAATTTCTGGATTGTCATCGTTAGACAAATGAAAAAAAACACTTACCGGAGTCATAGGAAGGACTGACCTTCCTTTTCTTCATGTCAGAGAAGAAATCATTTACGCTGTACTCCATGGGACGCTTATTGCGTGCAGGGACGGAGGGAGTCTTGATGTCATCCCACGATGTATGATTCGAAGAGAAGGAATCATAAGCAGAGACGTGGCGCGAGAGGTGAACGTCGCGGTCCAACTCAGGGGACGGAGTAGGAAGGATAGCATAATGGGGTGCTGTTATCAGGCAGTCAATGTGGGCCGGCGGGAAAATGTCGGCTAAGGACGTACCATCAGAAGGTGGTTTAGTGCGAGCAAACGGAGTCTTTGCAGGTGTGGTCGTGTTTACTGCTGCGGATGAAGGCTTCGTGGATAAGGGTTTGTTGAGGATGCCTCTCGCGTGCTCGCCACGAATACGAGTGAGATAAGCTGGATCGCTGACGGTGATTGCCTTTGAGTGTTTGTGCTGAGCATGATGTTCTTCAGTGTGAATTTTTTCGTGTTTCTTGAGGTCCTGCGGGCGTTTGAAGGACTTTTTGCAGATCTAAGCAAGGGTTAGCAGACGGACGAAAGGTGATGTGGGGGGGATGTGAGGTACCTCGCAAACATGAGGTTTCAGAGGGGTGTGAACTGAAACGGGGGGGAAGATGAGCAATGCATGAGCGGGAGAGGGGGGGGGAGGAATATACATGCCTCTGAGATGGCTAGTGATGTGATCGCGCTTTGCACAAGACGTGTTGCAGTCTTTCCACTTGCAAGTGAGACAAAGGTTGTTGGTGCTCTTTCTGCCGATGTGCTCGTTGCAGAGATGGTTGTAGAGCAACTCGGGATCGTTGAATGCGGAGGTGCAGTCGAGCCATTGGCAAGGAAATGAATCCTGCTTGTCGTTGTCTTGGGTGGGGGATGGCTGTCGTTCCATGGTGGAAGGGGTAATACTCCAAGCTTTGACCGGTGTGGTCGAATTTAACTCGTCACTTGCAATGGTCTCCCGTCCTTGGCCAAGACTTGGCACTCTCTTGCCCAGCCAAGACATTTCCTTTTATGGGAAAATCGCCAAGCACTCCCACGATGACATTTTAGAAGTACTGAGACTATCTTGGCAATCCCTTGGCTCTGTTGGGGGCTAAGGAGGTCCTCTTCCACGTGGTCCCTCCGTGACTTCGCTCTGCTGACTAATTCCCGCCGGCCACATCGTTCCTGGGTGACCAACACACAAGGAACTCAAGTACATAGCTGTCTGTGGATAGGTGATAGGTGATAGCGGCTGTGTGGTGGTGCAGATGGGCAATACTACAGTTTCTGCTGCGGAATTCACTTGGGCTGCTTCTTGGCACAGCGTGGAAAACCCAACTTCCAAATCAGGCCATCCTTCAATATAGCTCATGCGCGTTCGATTCCAAGCAGAATATGTCGTCAAAATACCCGGACCACCTCTCTGCAGGCCCGGTATCGCCTCGCCACTCCAAATCGCGTGCAAGACGCGAAGCTTCGGGCGTATTCTCTCTCTTCCAGGCCCCCCAGATCCAACAATTCAAGGAAGCCTTTCAACTCATCGACCATGACAAGGACGGCTGGGTGACCGAATCAGATCTCAAGGAAGTCTTTGCAAGTCTAGGTGTGTGCCTTCCCTGCAAGAAACACCCTCCCCCTCACCAGTCTAGGGATATCCCCGACGAAGAAAATGCTGGACGAGTTGCTCAGTGCACGTCCTGGTGGCACAGCCACCCCTCATACGCGCCCCACACTGTCACCACAGGACCACGTCCCCTCCGCTGTCGATAGAGGAATAAACTTTACCATGTTCCTGACCATGATGAGCGAACGACTGTTTGAATTTGACCCGGAGGCGGAATTAAAAGAGGCATTCGAATGCTTCGACGAAGGTGACACAGGTATGGTCAAGGTAGACGAAATGCGAAAATGGATGGGAGAGGTCGGCGAGAGAATGGATCAGCAAGAGGCAAGCCCTTTCCTGTCTCCGTCACGTCCTGTATCCAATTCCCCTCTTAGATCGACAAGTTCCTCAAAGGCTCGTTCACCGACCGACAAGGCAACTTCAACTATAGGGAATGGATAAAGGTGTTGCGTGTAAACGACGAGGGAGACGCTGAACCCCAATCATGATCAACACCAGATACCGTATCCACGTCCTGATGTATGTATAACAGGAGAAAAATAGTTTCGCATACCCCCATATCCTCCAGGACTGCTGCACGAGCAAAAATAACAGGATTTCGCAGTCAAATCCATTTCCCTTCAATCGGTTCCGCGGGGAAATGATCCTTTTCGATCGCGAGTTCTCTGAATATCTCTTCAGTGGGCTCCTGTGATTCTGTCTCTCCAACTGTCTTCAAAGCTGCGTGTAGAGAACGATCAGTACCGCTAAAAATATTGCGAGTGCTACCAACCTTCGCCCCTGTTCTCACCTAGGCTCTCGTCAGTTCCTTCTGTCCCTGACCGTGCCGCAATAAGTAACAGCTCCGCCCCTTCGTAATCCAACAAGTCGATGCATTTGCAAGGAGTGAAACGTAGTCCGAACGACCTTCCCCTTGTCTCCTTCTCAAAGACATACTTTAAAATCCCCTCGGGGTAGCTTGCCCGTCTCCCAGCAGGAAGCCCAACGCGCTGTCCAAATGAAGTGGGTTCCGCCTCCGGGTTCTTAACCTGAAGCACAAAGGATGACGCAGTGTGGATCCCCAGCTCTAACTGGACTTCCCCTGCTTCCGACGGGTGCGAGAGATGGTACCCGAGATGGGTCACGTTCCTAGAGACTGTCTTGCCTCGAGTGTTCACGATCGCATAGACTCCGCGCCCCGCAAGACGTACCGGGCCTTCATGGCGTTCTCCTGGTCGTGCTGTCAATTTTGTCTTGTTTGTCTTACATGGATAAATGTGTACCTCGTGTCTTGGTTTGGTACGACCGCTCCCCAAGCCCCTTCTCGAGGCTATGGAGATCGTCTCCTACCGCAGTTACACTCGCCCAATAGACTCCCTTGCCACTGGGAACATCAGGATCGGGTAGGCGCTTCTTACCGATGGTGATGAGCCGAAAGTGTGTCTTCAGTTGGTCTTTAGGCGACGGAGCCGGGACGACGTCTGCCCCTTCAGCGATAGTGGACATTTCATCGCTGTCTTGATTGTCTGTTTTCACTTCAGATGGATGTTGGCCCTCGGTATGCACACTGAATTCCGGTGGGCGAGGAATGAGGAGCATGTGAAAGTTCTTGACATCGTCAATATCTTGAACCTCCTCATGCTGAACTTTCGGTCGGTAGAAAAAGTAGATGTGACCCCGTTCGATAGCCCCTAGCGAATGAAAGGATGAGAGTAACAGTAACAAGATGGGAGTATGCAAACCTTCTTGAAAGGAATACCTCTTTGCCTCATCCTCGTCTGTTCTTGCTTTCTTCGCCTGAGCTTCCCCCGTCCCTGTTTCCTCCTCGTCGTCCCTGGGTTCTACCTCCTCCTGGGCCTCTCGCTTGTCGCCGACCTGTTGCTGTTCCTCAGTGTGTTTCGTTGATTCGGCTGTCGCGGCCCGTCTCCTCCTCCCCCTGCGAGGGCTGACTTCGGCCTTCTCGTGGGGGGCACTCGTACTCCTGTGACCTCCACTGCGTGTCTGCACTGGCATCGTTGATCTGGATGATGTCCACAGTGCAAGAAGGAGATAAGTTGGAGAGGGAGGTTGTTTGTAGTGTATTTGTGTGACGTCATGAGCGCGTCTCTTTTGCAAATGGAGCTTTCCTTGCTATCCGCTCGCATTGGCGGTGTGCCGTTCTCTGCGTGCGCAACTGATTTACGGCCTTGGTGCTGTTCCCCCTGAGACATGCATTTACCCCAAGTCCTGTGACGTCACACGAGCCCAGTGTGCCTTCCATAAATGGACGAAATCAGCATGGGTTATCTCAGGTTATCTCCGAGTCGGGTGTGATAAGACAGCGCCGAGAGTTTGCTGCTGGCCGACGACCTCTGCCAATGTTCACCAAAGAGAAGAAACCGCATGTAAGTGGCAGGATATCCCTGACACGGGTAATTGGGACATGCCGAAATATATGACCGTCGCATCCAGTCCTCAATCACACAGCTGGTCAACCTCCTGACCGGGCAGGACCACGCAAAAGAATCGTATGACGAGTACGTCCAGTCGTGGCGCCCCCATCTGACAGACACTCATATGAACCATCCATCATAGCCTACCAGAACTTGCCAGCTCGATATCTTTGCAATCTAAAGGCCTACAGTCCACCGGGTGAGCAAACAGTGAAAATCGCCCTCCCTCAGGCGCCCGCTGGCTGAGCACATGAAAACAGACCAGCTGAGGCGTCCAGGGCACTAAGAAAGAAAATCAAACACGGAGATTCACACCAGAAGTACAGAGCCCTGTTCGTGCGTCCCCTCGCCACTGTCAAGGATCTCTTGCCCTCTACTGACAGAAATCCTTCGGGTAACGTGATTACGTGCTCCTTGTCCCACATAATATCCCGTGTGACCAGATACTGGACGCCTTGATGGCAAACGGAGATCAGACATTTCGAAGTAAGGATTCCGCCATGAACCACAATGATCTCAATGACACCACTACATGGTCATAGCCAAATGCATGGACCACCAACTCGTCGATGCCCTCAAGCAGCTCGCCTCTGACCCTTACGCAGACAGCGAAGTCCGCAGGAAGCTCGCAAAAGTTCTTTCGGGCTGGAGTGTCCAGTACAAGGGCGAACCTTTCCTGTCACACATCGCGAGTGTGTATGCACAATACGAGGATCTTCATCGCCCGTCGCAGCAGCAGGCTCCAGGAGGGAACAGGACGGAGGTCGATAAGATGTTGCACAATGCTTGGTTGTCCTCCGACGGTGCAGAACAGAAAAAGAAGGATAAGGAGGTAAAGGAAGCCAAAGAAGAAGCGAAGCGCAAAGCTAAACAGGAGAAGGCAGAGGCGAAACGTAGGGCGGAAGAGGAAGCTCGGAGATCGAAAGACCGGTCGCGAAGGCGCTTTGACTTTGACAAAGTACGAGGACCCTGACGGTTCATCGGAACAGTGATGACTAGACGCCTTCCTGTGACAGGAAAAACCCCAAATTATCAACTCCATTGCCAATGCCAGTCAAGCGAGTAGTAATCTCATCAACGCCATGAAACTCGTCAACTTGGATAAGGAAAGTGTCGCAACTAATTCCCACGTGAAAGATTGTCTGGAGAAGGCGAAAGCGGCACGCAAGACTATTGTGCGGTATATCCAAGTATGGTTCCTTCCGGTGATATGTTTTACCGTTCCGATGTCCTTTCCAGCTCGTTGAAAACGAGGAGATGATCGGAACGCTTATCACTGCAAACGAACAAGTTATCGCCGCTATCCAAATGCATGATGACGTTCGTCGGTCTACACTTTCGCACGTTGCAAATGGAGAGCTAACGGGAGCCCCGCAGCTCGTTGCAGCAGGAGCTCCTTCGAAGGATCGTTCTGCTGACATACAATCTGGGGTAGAAGCTATGTCGCTCCACCCCGGCGGCCGCTCGAGGCTTCAGGGACAGAATGAACGAGAAATTAACAGTTACGAAGACGAACGAAATGGCAGCACTATCCACCCTGATCTGCAGGACCTGTCCTTTGGTTCTCTGGGAGATGAACAAGGGTCGCTGCCACCGCCAATGAGACCCTCTACACGGCACGGATCTTCCGACGACGAGTGGGATCAGCAACGCGCAAATCTTTCTGAATTCAGCGATTTTGAAAGCGAGGATCTGCATGAAAATTATCGTGCAGGACCAAGTTCGAATACCCACGGGCATGAAGAGTCGGAAAATGTGGAAGATCCATTTGCCGACCCTTTTGCAGACTGATGACCTTGGGGTATTTATTTCCATTACCCATGTACACCTACGAAGCTCTGAATCCATAATTCGAATGTAAGTCAAGTCACTGGCAGATTACAATAGGCTACATATTGGTAGGATGGGACTGGCCAAAGAGGTGGAGAAGTGAGACGGCAAGAAATTCGACACCCAATAGTTTCTCAGTCCATATCATAATGATGCATAGGTCGGAAAGAAGGCGAAAGGTGCGATTCAACCGGTTTCTATGCCGGTCTCAATTTCGGCACTCGGTTGTTGCTCCCCTGTACTCGGGGTGCCAACCATGGTAGTCTGAGAGTGCGAATCTTGGACATGGGGCTGCTGCGTCTGCGTCGGCTGCTGTGGGACCGGACAGGGTCCATGCATGCCGGCAGCGAGCCCAACACCACCCCCTACGACACCTACCGGACTCTCAAGGTACAGACGAATGAGCACGCTCTCAAGGGCGACGGCGCTCGCGACAGGGTAATCGTATGTTCGGGCGTGTTCGCGGATGGCACTGAAAAGCACACTCATGCGGTCCCACTGTTCTTGTACCGTGTGCGCCTGTGGGCCGGTTGCTATCACGGATAGCGGGGGGTAGGACGGTGTGACGCCTGGCGCAGCGTAGTGTGGAAAAGGATGCGGTAGGTTGGGTAGGGGGGTCGCTGCAGGGAAGCCGGGCATGGGTGGCTGTTGCGAAGGAGGCCCGGGGGCGGAAACAGGCGCGGCGCTCGTGGATGGAGTTGAATCTGTTCCAGCTGAGGGTGCAGTCTGACGCTTATTTCTGGCCTTTTCAGCCTCGACAGCAGCTCGTCTGCCCCTACGGGTAAACTGGAGATTAGCGGGTCCGATAGGGTGCGAGTGTTCAGATACGTCTAGAAATGTGTTAAGGACTACAAGGCATATGCTATGTATCATCGGGAAGCAACTAACAGCACACTCGGACCTCCTCGGTGTCGTAGTATGTCTTGTAGCTGATGGACGCCTGACACCCCTGTCCCTCCAGCTTCCGCGGTAACAACACGTCAACAACACGTGTGCAGGAGAGAGGAGGGGGGAGGTTAGGGGCTTACTTTTCTGCTGGGGACCTTTCTGACGCGTTCCGGATGCTTCTTGACGTACTTTTTGCGGCCGCTGCGGGAGTGACGAGCACAAACGAGTTTGGTGTGGTCCTTGAAGCGAGGAGGGATAGCTTTGCTGCCATGCGTGTCTCCCTTTACAAACTCGACCATCTGTGTTTCCTCCTCGCGAGTTCGCCACTCCTGGAAGGCGGCGAGGTCTTGGAAGACGAGGGTGTAGCCGTCGTCGGTGTCGCCTGAGCCATAGGGCGGGCGGGTGGAGGACTGTTTGGTGATGGACGGGGCGGTCGTCTGGGTGGAGGCCGACTGGATGTTTTGTGAGAAAGCCGTGTTCTGCTGCAAATGTGGAGGCAAAGGCTGGGACATGGCCAGCTGGCCCAGCCTGAAATGCTGGAAACTCATCCTCTTTTCGTCAAAAAACCAGCGCAAAATTGGCCCGCTTCAAGGCGCAATTCAAACGTGACACCGTGTTTCCCCATCCCTGTCACGCGGTCTCTGTGTCACGCGTGTTCTCTTCCTCCCAGCTATGACTTCCTCGCTCCGGAATTCGTTGCATCGCCGCTCTCACAAGGAGCGCGGGCAGCTCGCCCACCGCGCCCGGTTCGGGCTACTCGAAAAACACAAGGACTATGTGCTCCGTGCTAGAGACTACCATGCAAAGCAGGACCATCTCAACCGTCTTCGCCAAAAGGCTGCAGACAGGAACAAAGACGAGTTCTATTTTTCCATGCACAAGGAGAGAACGGTCGAGGGCGTCCACGTTCAAGACAGGGGAAACAAATCCATACCAATGGATATGGTCAAACTCTTAAAAACCCAGGATGAGGGATATATTCGCACTATGAGAGCTGCCGGGCTCAAGGTTTGCCATCCTGTCGTATTTGATTGCATGCATCGACTCCCGCAACAGAAAATCGAGAAGCTGAAAAATCAGCTCACGTCACTGGCAAACCTGGTATCCTTTTCGGACGAAGATCTGGATGTCGGCGACGAGCCATTGGACGAGTCTGAGCTAGAGACGTTGCGCGTAGCTGGGGTGCTTCCTCCCGAGCCCAAATCCAAGGGCAAGCGAAAACGCAACGCCACACCGCGGCTTGTAGTTTTTGCAGAAGATGAAACGGATGGTAGTCCCAGTATCATTTATTACCTCTCGGATAATAACGTGTTCCTCGCACGCCAGCACAAAAATACCTGGACCTCCATCATTCAAACAGCCAGTCAGCAGATTTAGAAAACCCCGCCCCGTTGGATGAGCCAGTTGACCTAGGCTGGAAAGACACTACCTCGACGAGGGCCGGACGACGACGGACACGCCATGAAGATACCAAAGATACAGTTGGTGACGTTGACGAAGAGGAGGCAGGGAATATTGTACCAGTAGCTTTCCCGGAGTGATCATATATGCCCACTGACGACGATGTCTAGAAACACCGCAAACGTCTCCTGAAAGAACTCGCTGCCCGCCTGAATAGAGACAGTCAACTCCTGTACGCGCTACGCGAGCTAGAGATGCAGCGCCAACTTGTTGGCAAGGGCGGCCGTAGAAAGATCCGTGGAGTAGAAGAGATAGGGGATAGGTGCCGACAACGAGGATGACGACGAAGACAACGATCAGCGTACGCCAGTACGAGAATCTAATCCAAAGACCTACAAACCTCGTATATACAAGTGGCGTGTAGAAAGAAAGCGATGAGGTATAGTGCAACCAAAAAACTTCAACTGTCATGCGTTGACGCAGGTACCACGTCCTAATAGATCAAGACATTCGGTCCATAATATATGAGCGTCTGAGTACCATGTCCGTTTCTCCATCTAACATTGGCTCTGCACATGTCGATCCATCTTTTACCAAAGTATGTAGCCATTACCCAAGACGACACCAGATATGAGAAGCCCCACCGTCCCCGGTCCAAAACCAGAAAGTGGTGCACTATTGGCACTTGAATTTGATCCACCAGATCCCGAAGAGTTGGTCTGAGGTATAGGGGTGGCAATCGGTGTGGATGGGTTATACGTTACACCATTGGCGGCGGCGGCGACCTCGAAGACAGAGCCCCCACCATACTCGTAGAACTAGGGCGGAAAGTTGAGCGTGTATTCGTGACAAAGGCAAGTCCTCACTAACGTCTACCAGCATGAAATTTGGGTTCCTCCCATATTCACTAACACAGAGCTCGAGCTGAGCACCAAGTGAATTGGGACCTGAGACGGCGTTGGTCTCATTCGCTTGCCCTGGATCAGGTACGGGCTGCCCGAGGAGCATCTGATCAAGAAAATGATTTATCAGGTACATCTGTGTGGATGGATCCCCTCCAGTACGGTTGACACTGCAATCAAATGTCGTGGTAACGTCGTAAGGAGTTTCCCAGATGTTGGTGAATTCTGATCAACGACAGATGTAGCTTCCAGCGTTCAACAGGTGTACAACGTACCACTGATGATGTAAGGAACGCTGGCGAAATCCGCATTTGTATCCATAAAGGTAATGAGGCGTGTCCCAGAGTCAATGAGAGTGCCTAAGGTAGGCCACTGACTGGCGGGCATCGATGCTGATGGGGGTGAGTATGACACAGTGTCAAGCCCAGCAGACTTGTAGAGACTGTCATAGGCGGTTGGCGGGAAACCGTCGGAATTAACAACAAGAATCGAAAGCACTGGATGTAGAGGTACGCTGAATTTGGAGCCTGGTCTCCTTCGCAACGGAACTTACCATCGTTGGGGTTGGCGTCTAGCCAAGATTTCACTGCGGTGACGCGTTAGGCATGTCATTTCCGTGTGTTAACGGCCCACCTGTTTGGAGGTACGCCGAAAGTGGACCACCATCATACAAAAGCTGCGAACGGTGAGCCTTGGATGACTTGGAAACCGGTCAGACGGAATATTCACGAACACAGGAAGTGTGGCAAAGCTCGATGGTACCACTTTGATTGTGTGCCTGTACCTGGAGCATCCGAATACCATCTTTCAACTGTTGAGAAACTGGTTTCCCGCGACTTCGTGAGGATTTTACTCAAGAATTTCGAAGTCGAGCTCACTGTTATAATCCTGGTTGGCGGCCACTGTAGCTAATCAGCACGTGGCTCCTCTGAAGAATGCATGTAGCCCACTGACGGTTATTAACGCCCACGGCATAGGAGTCGTGAGTGCCGACGAAGGTGACATTCCCAAACGACCGGGCACACAAGTCTGGGCTACCGTTACAGGTCGTTGCTCGGCGAACTCCTGGCGTGTACGGAGAGGCTGCTACGAATTCGCTCAACAGTGCCAAGAACGGGACATAGCACGCAATCAGGGCGGCCAGCGCCGGTGGGAACGACAAGGAACGCATGAGAGCAAGTGGAAAGAAAGGGTGAGAAAGTGCAAGCTCAGTTAGTGACAGATGGTGTTTCTTAGCATCGCAACGAGACGTTTAGCGTTGGAACAGTCAGCGTAGCTGTGACCCGCAGCTGAAACACTCTCGGCTACCAAGTCATCGGATATGATCACACGCCCCCTATTTCGGCACGAGAGCAGTTCCCTCATACCTCCCCCTTTCGAAGACCAGCTCTTCCTCGGTTCTAACGGCGAGATGGCCGAGCGGTCTAAGGCGCCAGACTAAGGACTAGGTCATTCGATGACCGCAGCATATCTGGTCCGAAAGGGCGTGGGTTCGAATCCCACTCTCGTCACATCTTTTTGGAGAAGGCCTGTTCGTTCCCGGGTGATGTGGGTTTGTAATATAGCGTAATTTTAGCACATCGCCAGTTTATTGGTATCCATGTAACTCGGGAGAAGCACTGCCAGGCGGCCGTTGACAGACCCCAATTGTGAACCAGACTAGCATACAGACCAGGCACTTCGATATGACACGAAATATTCTCACTGACCGGAGGTTATGCCACACCAACTGCAATATATAATGCTACGAGCTCACCGCCCTTGATCTGACAACAACTTTCGGGCTCAGCAGGACGCCAGCCTATCACAAGATTGTACCTGTGGTCAATGGTGCCTTGAACATTGGAAGGATGAGGACGGGAGGCACAAGGCACATGTGTTCTCAGGTGAGCACAGCAGTGCATCCCACCGAAACGAGTCAAGTGTGTTTCTGTAGTGAAGTGAATGACAATCGTACCCAAGATCAGATAAATCCAACTCCGCAGTGAAGCATCGCTCGCCGAAGATGGGCCAGAAGATCGCTTCGTGATAGTAGTGTGTCGCACCAAATAATTAGTCACCTAGTGGTATTAAGTTGTCTACAACACCTGAGTAACGGTAAGCAGCTTCACCAGCGTTGTCAGTAGGGAAGAGAGGGCACACTCCTCTCTTCCGTGTTGCACACTTCCGACATAAGTGGGATGAGTGGGGGACGGGTAGAATGTCTAGTGTCGGCATGGAAGTAAGTTCCTTCCCAGTGATACGTTGTATCACGTTTTCGTCAGATACTGGGGTTAATTGCATCAGACATCCCATTGTTGCCTGGACAGATCAACAGAACAAGATCCAGGCACAGTCCGCCTTCATAAGCTCGGATGGAAGGACATGGCTTCTCGGTCGGCCAAGATCATTTCTTTTAGTGGCACGGTTTTCGCACTCTTCAGACCAGTTGCAAGTTTTGGCGGAACCTGAGAGGTATCTAAAGACAACATTTTACGGACTTACTTTGCACACACCCTGTGTCTAACTTTGACGGTGGGTCCGTGCCGGAGCACAGGCCCCATCTGGATGTTTAAATGATATTTGGTTATTGTAAACGTACCGGTGTGTGAATAATTGTCTGCTGTTCCGCGACTACAAGGGGCTGCAAAGTATCGCCGATGAGTCATCCGCGCGATCGTTGGAGCGCTGAACCCTTGCTTGCAGGTGTGATAATCATCACGCAACTACACCTTGTGTCTCGTCGACTCTTGCGTTGACAAGAGTCTCGAGCAAACACAAGTTAGTCATTTGCGCACTCTACCAACCTCTTACGTAAGGGTAAGTACATACCTTTGTCACGGCGTGACCAACAGTGTTATGGTCTGTTGTCCCGGACTACGGGAGCTGCACTTTTCCCGAGAGAGGCGCCTCCTGACCCCCCCCCCGGCGGCCTCAATGGGACATCTTGCAACGAAAGCAGAATGAAGAATCGGCGAGATGGCCGAGCGGTCTAAGGCGCCAGACTAAGGACTAGGTCATTCAATGACCACAGTATATCTGGTCCGAAAGGGCGTGGGTTCGAATCCCACTCTCGTCACATCTTTTTGGATCATTTTTATACATTCTCGCATGGTTCGTAATCTGATGAGACATTCCATAGCAAAAACAGCGAAGAGGATACACGTGTAAGCACTGACTACGAGGACAACTGTAAAGTAGATAGTAAATGGTCCATGGAAGATATACTACGACAAGGTTTCAGTGATGCTAAAATGTACATGATCACCCTCCCCCAATGTAAGTCGGACTGGCAGCCTTGGGTCTATGCGGACCGGAGCGCTCGTGCCTACGAAGAAGTCACCACGGGTAAAATTCCGTGTTATAGCAGCAGCCTCCTCTTCAGTCAGGTTCCGTGGCCGCTTACTCGGACGGAACGTGGAGGAGGAAGCACCAGTAAACGTGCCATTGTAATCGTAATACTGATGCTGACTGAGAGTCGGTGCTCCATGCACGTACCCTATGGTCGACTGTGCGAAAGTCGACACGCCTGGTGCTGTATACACGGGTTATGGGTGGCGTAGGGAACGAACGTTGGCAATGGACATACTAGGCTGCGATGGATTATGGTCGGGGTCGGGGTCGGGGTAGGCACATGTTGCGCCGATGCCTCTCTTGAGACAACTCTGGCACACGAGTGATCACGAGGTCGTTATAGGATTGGTACGCGGCCTCGGAAGCGACCCACCTGGCAGGGAAGTACTTCGCTGCACCTTGTCTTTCCCGCATGACAAGCAGTGCAGGCGCGCCTTACCGACGGTGCCTTGGCTAAAGGTTCCGTCTCATTAAGCTGCCTGATGACGCGGTGACAGGAGCTGACCTTTGCGTGTGGTGACCTCTCCTGCACCGTTTACGCCCTGTGGTTGTTGCTGGTGTACTTCTGAGGGGTGGGACAGCTGATGAAGTTGCTGCGTGTCAATGGCCGACGCCGCCGCCGGGTCCTGCGCCGGTGTAGATGCGTCACTGAGAGCCGACATGGGTGTTTGCGGATCGGGGGGGTTCCGGTGGCCTGTTCGGTCCAGCAGGCGTATATATGGAATTGCTTCGGAGGAGGCATGGGGTTTGTCCTTGTTTGCACTCCCGGAACGACCTGCCGTCATTCCCAAGAACGGCAGGCGGCCGACATCCCACGTTCCTGTCGGAAGCCGTCCCCGCTCGCAACGGGCTCGTTATCATCGATGATCATGTCGCGTCCAGCATCGCCGCAGCCACCGGTGCCATTCTCAGAGTTTGAGTATGCATTTGATCCAGCGCTCTCTGAACTGTTTCCTCCTCTTCCAGCACCGCTACCATCATCTGCAGACCTATTTTCCCCCTCAGAAACCACGGATCTCCTGGGGTTCCTAGATAACTTTAACTGGGACTTTGAACCTGATCTGTTGCTGCCGGACGCTCCTAATCCACCCCAACCATCTTCTACAGCTTCTATTGCCCCTCCCTCACAGCCGTTGATGGTGGCTGACTGTCCCTCTGTACTCCCCGTTCTCCCGATGACAGTCCCATCCAACACAGCGGACGACGATGTCATAGAGTACGAGGAAGACGAGTTTACTTCCGGGAAGGGCTCGCTGCGGAGTAAATCACAATCACGTACGAGGTCTGCCAGGCGGAAAGATACATCTGAATCGCGGCAGCCTGCGAGAGCCAAAGCTCTCTTGTCCACTCCCCAGAAGCGACTCAATCATATCATGTCAGAGCAAAGGCGTCGGAACGCAATACGTGATGGATATGCCCAGCTGATATCACTCATTGCTCCTGCTGGCGCACAGTCCATCGACCTGCCATCCAGAGGGAGACCTAAGGGCAGCGGGACTAACTGCAAAGGTCACACTAAAGGCAAAAGCGGGGTCCTGTTCCGCGCTGTGGAGTATTGTCGTTGGCTGGAGGAAGGGCGAGATGCCCTCAGAGAAGAGGTCTTGTGCTTGGAGGCTGCAGCTGGGATCATTGCACCGCACTGAAGGCGCAGGCACCCGGCCGGTTTGTTGTGCTCTTGACAGTCAGTCTCTTCTGAAAGTTGCGATGACTATTACATTAAATCTATTTACAGGGCGTGAATTTATTGTATTAGTATAACGTGCATATGAATTAATGTATATGTGTAGCCTATATTCGTGTAATAGCCATCGCCATCGATGGTGAACGTGCATCGTCTGAAAGAATTGGCAACCTTTAGTTTCGGCGTCGAATAGTGTTGCTATTGGTTACCATCGGTGCGCGTCCATCCAGCCCTACTGCTGGCATGGCCTCTCGATTGTACCCTTGCTACTCTCACTGATCACGTCCGATATCTTTGCCATGCCTCCACCTGCAAAGAGGCTGAATTCGCTGCCCCACTGGCACATTCCTAATTTTGTGCTGAGGGTCGAGAACCTTGACCACGAAGGTGCATCCGTTTTCTTCGACAACGTCAAACCCAAGGAAGCGCTCAAGCTCGCCGTGGAGACCTCATACACTTGGCTATATACACCACTAACAGCACCTAGGCAGTACGTGCTGAAGCTCCCCTGCCTATTTCACCCAAGAAAGCTCTCATCTTTCGTGTCTTTCAAGCGTGGAGACCATTACCCTTGTCCTCCGATCATTCGATGGCGTAGCGTACACGTCCGGCACCCATGTGGATAAGGAGATCCACTTCTCCCTCGATTACATAGCCGGCTCCGCAGCTCGAGCCAAAGACGAGATTCAAGGCGTCCTGGTCCATGAGGTCGTACACTGCTACCAGTACAACGGCCTCGATACATGTCCAGGGGGACTGATAGAGGGCATCGCAGGTCTGGCAGCAAGCGTCGTTGACAATGATCGAGTGCGTTGACGGATACTAGATTTCGTGAGGCTGAATGCAGGTTACATTCCACCTCACTGGAAACCTGCAGGTGGCGACAAATGGGATAAGGGATACGATACCACGGCGTACTTCCTCGACTGGATCGAGCAGCGATGTGGCAGAGGCACTATCCGCAAGCTCAACGCATTTTTGAAAGACAGGAAGTACGACACCAAGGTGTTCTTAGCTGTCGCAGGGGATTCGGTTGACGTCTTGTGGAACACCTACTGCCAGGATTTGAAGAAGCACGATGGGCAGAAAGGACAGGTATAACCGATGATTCCCCCCGCGTGCAAGTTCGAGTAGTGTGGTAATTACAACTGTAGAAGCTACAATGATAAGTAGTGGAGAAAACAAACAAGGCGACAATGGATCGCGAATAGATTAGTATCAAAGAACGCACTATCCCCAATCTTCCCCTAATTCTCGGGCCAGGAAATCATCCTCTTCATCTTCATCGTCCTCATCCGCTGGACTCGGAATACCTGACGAAGGCAGTGGTAGTTGAAGGCTATTGCTGCGGCTCCTTCCTCGCGTAGCCTCAGCAATCTGCTCAGCGGTGAATGCCTCCTTCAGTCTAGATGCCCCAGTCCGACTCGCTACAAGTTTCTTCCGCTTGGAAAGCGGGGACCGCAGGAGGTCTTGTTGATCAGCTGGCCCATTGCCGCTGTCTGACGGTGTGACACTGCGGAGGCGTTTACGCTTGAGCCGTGGTGAGGAATTCGTACTGCTGTGTGTGCAGTTCGTTGAGCGAAAGAATGTACTCGAGCACGAGCGCATGAACAGACCTGATCCGACTACGCGAATCATCAGTCGCCATCTCGTCATCCGTCGCCATGCCACTCTTCAGACTACCGCGCTCACTTGCTACATCGTCATCATCATCGCTTTCATTCATAGCTGCTTCCACCTCGGCGTTGACATCGTTCCAATCGATACTGTCAAGCTCGAGCGCTGGGTTTTCAGCAACCGGTACGACATCCCAGTCATCGGCGTCTGGCTCCGGATCAGACGATATCTGATTAGGGTCGAGATTGGGACTTAGACTTGCAGCTGAGGGTGTAGGAGCGTCAAGAAGATATGGTGTTTCATCTTGTCGCTGCCAAAGCGCTACCGAATCGGTAAACCAGGACAACCATACAATCTTAACACCTCCTCTTTTTCTCGCTGCATCAACCTTCGCAGTTCCGTGCTGAAAAGTATTAAACAATGAGCTAAACGATGGGAGGATTCCCAAATCTAACCTTGGCAGCAACGACATGCGTTACGCGGGGGGAAAGTTCTTGATAACACCTGGCGCCAAACATGCATGCGACTTTCCATACCTCCGTTGTGTCTGGCTGTGTATCCAGTGGTATCACACTAGAAAACAGAATGTGCACGCCTTCCAGGGTTCGCTTCGCGCATTCGAGGGATAATTTGCTACAAGAAGTCACCCTTTTAAACAGTGAAACTACTACGTTCCGGACTACTCACCGTAACATCATATGGCTTGGCGGATGAGGTTCCGGTGGGCGCCAATGTGCGCTTATTCTTGCGTTCCTCCGCAGAATAGTTATCATACGCAGTGTAGAACCATCGGTGGACACCTTCCAGCAGCTAACGAAGAAGTTACGAGGGAAGAATGTGATTAGCAATAGCTTGACTTACATCACCAACACGCTTTAATTCGACATCATCATTCTTTAGTAGTGCTTTTCGCGGTGGTACACCCTTTAAACGCTGTGACGCAGCTGTGCTTAGTGATTCTGAAGGAGCATTCTGACTGCCTGAGCTGCTGGCTTCATTAGAACTCGTCTGTAACTCCTCCTGTTTTTTTGCCAATGGTCGTTCTTCCACCTGTGCTTCCAGAGCAAGAGAATTTTGCGTCAACATGGCCTTAGATTCGCTCTCTGCTCGCTCTTTCTCTTCAGGCTCAGAAAGAGGTGATAGAGACGCTGTTGGTACGACAGATTCGCCGACGGCTGGAGGAATGGCAGTTTTGTCTGTGAAAATTATTTCAGTAACAAACTACATTAAAAGTGAAGGGAAATTTACTCTGAGAATTCTGGTCATAGCCGAGAGAATCCACTTTTGGAAGAAATGTGGAATTAATGTCCCCGATCCCGACAAAGAAATCATCTGCCAGAATGTCAATCACTAACTACATCCCAGGAACGGCACGTACAAGGTATCACTTTGATCAGGTTGGGGCTCCATTTCCATACGTCAGCTCGGTCGTCGATGACGACTACCATAGAAGTGTCGCATGGAAACAAGCGCTGAAGATTTTTCTCCGTGAGACCTGAATGCCATGAGAGAAGGCTTGAACGACATAGGGACATACTTACTTCCGCTTTCGTCTCTACTCAGGATACGGCCGCCAAATACCTTACCATCTGGATCTATGGCCGCACAGACCTCCTCGGCATATGCTCGAGTGCCCATAGTATAGACATGCATCTCGTACTTGTAAGATAGCCGTTTGAGGAAGTCCTGCCAACCTGGACTATGTGGGGTGTCGGTGGCGTCATTTAGTGTTACCCGGAAGCACGCACCGAGGTTTAATGTAGTACATACAGCCTTGGTTTTCAATATGTTTTTGTTTTCCCTCGGCCCTTGTTGGACCACTACGTCGAGGAATACCCAAAGCTTCAGGGCCGAGTCGGAACCTACGCACGTCCTTGAGTGCGTCCCAATTCGGATTACACTCGTCCTCTGCGTCATCTGTGTCAGAATCCGAGTCAATTGATGTGGAAGCTGAAGTTGTCTTCTTAGCCTGTCCAGCTTCCCAAGCCTCGCCCTCTGCAATCCACTCGCCAACTGTGGGATCCACTGTGGCATGAACGATAGTTTGGTCTAAATCGACTATTAGAGACAATTTCCGGAATTTCAGTAGACGTTCTGCAGTCTCCTGTTCGATTCTCTGTGCCTCTTCCAAGGATACGGTAGGCCCGAAGGCGGAGTGGGTCATCTGAATGGATGCACGCGACGCATCAGAGAAACCTGTGTAGTCATAACTGTATGATTGTAAGTAAGATGCCTTGGGCTGCTTGAATCGACATACACTGTCATGTCCTTCCCGCATAGCCCACATAGGCCTCCAACCTGGATCCCGTGCTTGCAGGGCTCGATGATGGTGATGACAGGCTCTTTGGCTCGCTGAAGGGTGATCACTTCCCCCACTCGAATTTTCCAAGCATCAACAATGCCTTCAAGGGAACAGTCCCATGTTCCGAAGCGAAATTCCGAGCGTGACCCGGGAGTTGTGGGTTGATATTTGAAGGAGTAGCTGAGTAGCCGTACACCACGCTGGACTGATGCGGACGGTTTGACGTCCAGTGACGAGACTTTGATGGGATACGGCAGGTCTGGAGGCAGGTAGACCTTAGTTGGGCTCGACATTAGGGAGTGCCAGATACGGTCTTCGTGCGCAGGATGGGATATGTGTCGAGCGAGCACGAATGTTACACGGCTGTCATGTATGTAACAAGTATGTAAATACGACAACTCAAACTGTCACTCCCACAGGCCCGCCCCTAGCTCTGAGCGTCAGGGGATATGCCGAGGAAGTGGCCGAAATTCAGACCCAACACAACTACATGCTTGAAACAAACTGTTATGTCGACGAGTAAAACTACATACCAAAGTTCGACGAAGTTTGAAAGTGTATGTAGAAACTGCGGACTGCAGTATATTTTGCGTATCAAGATGAGGCCGGTCCTATTACATAAGCATGTTATGGCCACTGATGGTGTGAATTAATTTCCTTTTTAGGTAAGACGACAATACGGTAGGCGAAGTGTACCAGTACTGTCAACTTGTCTCTACTGGCGATGGTTGCACCGGTATTGTTTTCGAGCATTCGAGGTCACCAGGCAAGTGTTTTACAGGGAAGCGCTTTCATATGCCATCGTCAACCTCAAACCTATCGTACCGGGCCGTACGTCTTCCCTGGACTCCCGTTATCCCTGCAAATTTATGACGAATGATAGATGTGCTTGTGATCCCGACGCGGGTCGTCCCTAGACTAGCCGACCTCTCTGGACCTGAGTTGAGCTCCCTCATCACATCCGTTCAAACCGTAGGCAACGTGATCGAGAAAGCATACGGAGGTGACGCCCTCACCGTGGCATGTCAGGTATGGAGCACACGACAACGAGACACCATTAAATAGACGCGCCTAAATGATTACTAGGACGGAAAGGCTGCGGGACAATCAATACCTCATGTCCATTTCCATATCCTGCCCCGGAAATTTAGGGGTGATTTTTTCTCGCAGCGGATGGACGATATATACCCTGCCTTAGAGAAATCTGAGGCGTCCCTACCCAGAAGTTTCCTAGAGTCAAGGGGTGCATCAGACCATCAACACGAACCACTCAGAGTCGATGCCGATGAGAGCCGACCACCACGAACTTTGGAGGAAATGGAGAAGGAAGCTACTTGGCTTAGGACTTTGTTTGCCCGACATCAACCGAACGAGTGAAACGCGTTATTGGCTACGTACTGGATAGTCCCTCTGCAGTCTAGATAGTGTCGTCCCGTATGCGAGTAGCCGTGCCGCGGCGACATCCCTATGCGGGGCCTGCGGGATATGGGACAGGGGCTGACCAGAGGGCACGTTGGGAGAGGGTCTCTATCAAAGTTTGTCTTGCCAGCCTTCGGACTTATCCTCCATGCCTTGGTGTTCTCCCGGGATTGATGCAGTCGATTGCGGATGGCATTCAATCGAGCAATACACTCCTCCTATCCCTCTTTTCTAAATGGATGTCGTCTTGCTAAACAGCAATATTGAAGGGAGAGTCCGTAGACCGGTTACTCGCAAATTAAGGAATAAAGTTGTCCATTTGATAGGTAAGTACTCTATTCGCTACAAAATTGTACAGTTGGAGAACAAGACCACCGAACTGTGAATGCAGCTGTCCAATGTCCAAATATACCAAAAGAAACTGGTACTGACACTTTCTACCCGTGTATGAAATAAGGAGACCATATTGAAGAGTGTGCGGAGGATACATGAATCACAGGGCGTAACGGCAAGCCAAGAGAATGGCGGAGACCACAGAAACGCGCCAGGGGGCGGATTCACAACATAAACTGGACTCCCGCAATGAGAACAACAGCACTTGCGAACGAGCCAACGTGACCAAACGAGACTTTGGCAGCCCCGCTATTACTCGTGTTTGTTGAATTCCCGGATGTAGCACTGGTACTGCCACTAGTCCCATTAGTCACAGAACCGTCGGAAGACCCGCTAGTGGATGGATCGCTGCTGTCGCCGCTGCCGCTCCCAGAAACTGGTCCGGCATGTATACCATCAATATCTACGATAAAAATAAGGTCGTGAATGAGCGTGCGACATTCAAAGGTGGTGCCCACTTACACTCTGCAAAGGTGGGGAGCGTGTATCCATCCTCGACGTAAGGAGTAGTGACATTGAGGGCGACGCCGACCGGGACAAGGTAAGAAAACGCAGAAGCCAACTGGTCGTAGAATTTGACGGCCTCGGACATGGTGAAATTGGTCAATTCGTGAGTAAGCATGATTGTGCCAGACTGTCCACAAAAATTAGTGCAGTATACTTTATCAGTCGGTGGCTGCTCACCATGCTGAAGGTACCATTTTGTGCGGCAGTGATAAGATTCATGTAGTTGTTATCAACCTCGGTTTCACTGCCAATTCCACGCCAATCGTCTGAGTCGTATTGCCACATGATAGTCGTTAAGTCAAGCGCATCAGCAATTGTTCGGATGCGGTCGTCGATATCACCGTAGGGAGGCTAGGCTCCTAAGCAAGATATAGTGCCAAAAAAAAGCACTTACCCTCCAGCAGGTGGGGGTCACGCCAACGACTAGTTTGATCATTTGCATCTATTTTATTATTTTCAGGAGTATTCACGCAAAAAAACTGATTCGAGCGCACGGCTAAAATGAACAACTCAGTGTAATGCCATCCTCGCAATGGAGAGTCACGCACTATACCAAAGCTCTGCAAATGCTTGTTCATTGGTGAGAGAGGTCACTGTAAATCAAGATGCATTGAAACAGTGCGCTGTGGTCCTCACGAAAATGACGAACTGTAGTGGTGAGACCAAGTATCTGAGCCAAAAGTCAACGTTTCAACACGGAACATCTGCGGATGCACAGCAAGGCTACTTACGAGCGCAAATCTCATGTCCATCTGTTAACGCACGCTGGGCTTCAAGAGGGAATTGCTGGACGTTGCTGCCGATATAAAACACAGCTACGGGATGTCGGGATGTCACTCTTACAAACCAAACGAGGAAATTGACTTACTGGCCTTCTGGTCTTTTGACAGTAAATAGTCGTAGAAAGCGTTATGGGAGCAATTTGGACCGTCGTCAAAGCCGTAACCAAGAATGTTCGGCTGTTTTCGATTGCGAAGTGAACATCAACTGCTCCAACCGTTTTCGTTAGATAGCATACTGACCTCTGGAAGTTCTGCTATATCGTTTGGAATACCCGAAACGTTGGGACTAGTACACATCGAGTACGTCCACCAACAGTCAGGGTCACTCGAATCATAGTTGACGCCTGCGAAATTGCCTGTTAAAGCACCCGGCTGCTTTCCCTTCGGGGGGATGTTTAGAATCAGACTCTCGATACTCTGGTACTTCGCTTGAGCGGCAGAGTCACCGGGTAAAATGGTAGCTACTGTCCAACTCGATGGAAAGTTGCTCTGGGCATTGTCGACCGGTGGATACTGATATGGCGAGCATTCTACGGTAGGATCTGTTTTACAACATAAGTGGACGTTCGGGAAAACCAATACTCGACTAGTGCGGCCTTAAAACGAGACGCAATACACGACATGCGAGGATTGCATTCAGCACAGAGGATGCCCGGACTTCAAGGGAACGTCGATTCATGGCAAGGGCAGGAAGAAACTCGACGCTACGACGAACTATGAGGTTCGACGGGCATACTTCTTCGGAGAAGCCCCCGCAAAGCATGTAGCCCCTCCCCCCCAACCCCACCATGGAACGCTGAACTAAAACTCACCTGAAATTTGAGCCTCTCCCTGCTCGGTAGTACGATCCTGAGCGCTCGCAGAAGGGGGAAGACTCAACGCAGAAATAACAAGGGATGTCAATCGAAAAGTAAAGAAAGACGACAAACGCATAACGTTGAGTCGAGGGAAGGAGCGTGGTGGTGTGGTGGTGTTGTGGTAGTCGGAAGACTGGACAGTATGAGAAGCAGAGATGAGACCGATCTTCTCTTGCGAGGACGACAATTCTCATTTCTACTTCTTATACCTGTTCACTCCATCCGCAGACAGTTTTGTGCGGCCCGTCACTGAGAATGCTATGATTCAGTGAGGCCCGCCGGCAATTGGCATTAGTACCTACCCCTTCTGCCACATCCGACGTTCACCCGCGACGTCGACAACTTGTTGACGACGGTCCGTGACTCCGTGCCGATATTTGTCACCCACCTGTATCCGCTTTCCGCTCTCCGTCTCTGTATGAGTGGGATCGTCGTCGTGCAGTCATTGATCAACGTCACAGCGTCACTGTGACGTCAGCACTTTTGACGCCGATCAAGGAATTCGGGGACCGGTACAACGAACTCGTTCATCTCCCGGTCACTATTAGTTCTGAGTGATGATGAGCTATTAACTCACTTTCCCGGCGACCATTCCCGACACCCAAGAGTATGTACTTTCCAGTGAAATATAGTTATATGTAGACAGTTGTCTCTAACTGTGTTTGTTTCTCGACCCACTTCCAAACTTTCGAGTTCTAGATAATCGCCGAACCTTTTATCATCCCATCCAACTGGACACTAAAAACCTCAGCTATGCCTCGTGAACTGCGTTCTAGGAAGTCTCGCCCGAGTTATGCTACGCTGGCAGGGTATCAAACAGACGGGGGTAACAATTGCGACGGCTCCTCAAGTTCAACAGCCCAGCCCCAAATCCCCGAGGAGAATAGTAGCGAATTTGCGCCCAAAAAAGTACCCACACAGCAAGGCAACGAAGATGGTGACGAATCTAGTCTGACCGACCTCATGGACGTAGACGAGGAAGAGGAGGAAGTGGCGGAACCGAGAAAAACTCGAAAGACCGGGGACGGTCGTGCAGAACCAGGACCGCCTACTAGCCAAACGTCATCCCTCGGTCCATCGAGGAGGAAGTTGAAGCAAAAGGCCCACGGGAAATCGTCGAAAACTCAAGGGGTCGTCACCCCAACACCGACGCCAGTTCCTGGTCTACCAGCAACGCGAGCAGCAAAGATGTACGCATTGCCTAACCCGAGTGCACATCATCGACACCGTGCCATCCCCATCTACCACCGCAAAGACCAAGTTGAGAGGCTGGATCGACACCCGGTCCTTTTTAATGAACCCAAAATTACATCGACGAACAGTATGACCGCTGACCCACTCCTTACAGAAAGGATAAGCAAAGCATGGGGGTATAATGTTGGCCCGGGTCCGGTATGGGAGCTCTTGGAGGATAGATCTTGTTTCAAGGAATCTGTCCGTTCGGATTCGGATCCGAGGGACGAGGCTTCTCGAAGACCTAGAGTCTATCAGGGTCTATCCGTGCGACCAGGATGGACGATTCTGGATTATCGGTATGTAATATACCCCTTCCTTGCCGCTGCTTTCGAGCACAATGGTTCAATGACTGCTAGGGACGCACTTGCGTATCTTCCCACTGACGTTGCCACGACTGACGATGGGATGTTCAAACCGCCCCCGCCAGTTGCATGTCACTTGGGTCTGTTCGGGGAGCAAACACGCGTTCTGTTCGAAATGTTCGATAGTCATGCTACATGTATGTTTTGTTCCTTTGCTTTCCCAGGTGTCTTTCAACTACCCCGAAGCCGAGTTTATTAAGGGCGGTAGCTCTTACATTTTCAACGTCGGTTCACCTGTTTGGGGCCTCGATTGGTGTCCTACTCACCCTGCGGATCGACCGTGTAAGTCTACTCTACTCCCACCATGTACGGGGCATATTCGTGTTTAAACCTCGTCTCCTCAAGTCAGACAGTTCAAGCAATACTTGGCTGTTGCTCCATTTCCATCCCGTGCCCATGCACCGAACATCGGTTTTAAGGCTCAACGCCCATCTCCAGCTTGTGTGCAAATATGGGCGTTGCGACCTCGTACAGCCAAGGATAACGTGGGGGAGTACGATGACGTCTCAGAGAAAGATCGCGAGCCTGGCGAAATACGATGCGAGATGGTTTTGTGTTTGGATGCAGGTCCTGCCCAGGATATCAAGTGGTGTCCATTACCTGCTCATGACCGTGTTGGTTGCCCGGTACTGTCATTTATCCTCATCCCTGACGCTTCCCAATGTAGTGGGACGACAGACAAAGGGTTAGCAGTCCCCGGAAGTTGGGCGTACTAGCAGGCGCATTTGAGGACGGCTCATTGTCTATATACGTTGTCCCTGATCCCGTAGATATCACCAATGCAACGCAGAGTGGCACTTCTCCACTTTTCGGTATGTCGTCGATTTTTTTTTGATAGACTGTTCTGAGCGTTGGACAGTGAAACTATCTGAACCAACTTTGAGAGTCGAGCTAGAGAACACGTCCTGCTGGTCGTTGGACTGGGCAAATAGTGAAGTTCTCGCGATAGGCTGCACAAACGGTTCGCCATTAGGCCTGTTTTTGTTCGGATTCTAACGGTGGGCAGGTTGCATCGCAATCTACGACGTAAGCGATGCACTTAATGGGGGAATCTGCAGAAGTGAGTTAGATGCTTGTGCATCACACTACGTGATGATCTCACTATACCTTTAGACATGCTCCCGACGCACTTTATATCCGTCCACCAATCCGCGGTGCGCGCCATTACTTGGATCCGGGTTCCCCCGCAGAGCGCTCGAGGAGACCCTACCACAAGCGAAGACCCAACGGTGATCGCTAGTGGCGGTTACGACGGGGTCGAATGTTTCACCGATATCCGTGAACTCCATGGACACGTCATAAACAGGACGCGGGGTACGTGTATGACCTCCGTGTCCAAATATTAATTGACGAGTGGGCCGCCATATGCAGATGTGATCACCACTGCGACTTATTCTGTCTTTGCGGCTGGTCCGATTATGATCGACCACGATAATACTGTGAAGGCTTATTCAGTTTCGCCTACCATGCTTGGGCGAGGTCACATTTTAATGGAACCAGATGGACCTGTTTGGGTTAGCACAGAGAAGCCACACTTGGCTATGCAGATGATGATTTTTCCCCCCTATTAGCACGTCCATGCTTCGGACTACCATCCACAACTTGTTGTTGGATCTGCGGACGGATCGTGTTCAACGACTAACCTGCTCAAATCTACGCGGAGGGGTGGACTAGTGGTAAGACTCCCGAGTGCTTTTGGATGGAAGATTTCATGACGCCGTCCAGCCGTTTTACATTCACAAAATATATCAACTGGATTATAGTCGTAAGACGGGAGAATTCCGTATGTTGGAGCGTTTTATCCCGCAAGTCAGTTACCCTTAACTGTCTTCACGGATCCATCTCCTAATTTCCTCCCCCCCACAGGCAATCCAAGAGAAAGGACCTAGTGCGAAGACGAAAGCAAAAGTCGGTGACGAATCATTATCAGGTTCCGTCCGCAGTACGGGCGTATGGTCGCCAGAAATCGGCGTCCACCGTGTCACTTGGAATTGTGGAAATGGACTTGGATACGCATCACTGTTAGCATCTGGGTCGGGATCAGGGCTTTGTAGGGTGGACTGGTTGCGCGGGAGGTGGTTTAAGGACAGGGTACCTTATGTGGACGTGCCTAAGATGAGAAAGGAAGTGGATGGAGGGGGGGATGATTCAATGGAGGAATAGAGGTAGCGTGGCAGGGGTTTTTGCGATTTTGGTCTTTGTTGGTCTACGTAGCATGACAAGTACTTTGAAATTCATGCTAATGTTAGAAGTACTTGTGTGTAATTCGAGTACCACTACTAGTGTCGGTTCTCAGCAGTGCACAAGGTACAGGTGGCAAAAATGTTCAACGCGCGTGTCACGAGCAATGCAACCAACAGCCGTTGGTCACCTATTCGTAATATCGAGTAGTGTCCAAACTTCAAAGAACCCCGATAGAACTCGGGCCTCTCTGCGACGGCCGCACGAAGTCACCAAGCGAATGTTGGACAGGGAAACGCTTTTAAATATATCTACCTATCGCCAACCTCCAACCTATTGTACCGCGTCTTAGACTCGCCGTGTCGCTCGTAATCCCACCAGACCAGCCGATCCGTCTACAGTCTAGATAGCGTCGTCCCATATGTGAATAGCCGCAGCATGGCCACATCCCTCCGCATGTTCGTTTGTCCCGTTGGAATCTGCGAGACACAGGACAGGGGCCATGCAGAGGACATCATAAAAGAGAGTCTCGCTTTCAATGTCTTCCAAGCCTTCAAACCCATCCCCCATGTCTTGGTCATCCGAAATGCACATTACTCTGACGCCATTCTTCCAGGATTGATACAATCGTCTGTGGATGGCATTCAATTGAGCAATACCCTCCCCCCACCCTTGCTGAAACTCCGTCCGAATGGTATGTATGTCCCTGTTGTGGGCATCGAGAGTGGTGCTGAGGGAGCAGATGGTAGGAGCAGCGGGTAAGACACGAATTTTTGGGACGCTGATGTTATGGTGAACGACGTGAACTGCCTCTCTTGGCGGAGAGTCTCGGAGGGAAATTGTAGCTGTCGCCAGACCGCGCCGTCCGGGCCTAATTCTTCTTCCTGTGCGCTGCTCGCCGATAGGCTGCTGTGAAATACCGCCTTCGCTGGTCTGCAGACGAGCTGCGTTGCTCTCCAACCAGGTCTTCAGCTTCTTCTCCCGGTCTTTAGCTGCCTTGACGGTCCCCAGCGCAACCATCTTGCCAACGGCCGCCCAATCCCCCTCGTGTGATTGCCCTTGCGCAATAGTGCAACCGTCCAAGATTAGATGTTTCAGATGGCTGAACCGAACCAGCAGCCCCTCTACATCTACAGACCGAACATGACACGTCGACAAGTCCAGGAGGGTCAAATGCCGTAGCAGTTCTGGGGGTGTTGAACAAGAAAGGTGCAACCTGCCGCGAAGGGATCCGGAGTCGAAAATTTGATGCTGACCGAAAACAGGGCGAGCACACCAGCTTCGACAATACATCGAGGTGAAAGAATACGAGGGGCTGTGCAAAGCGCTGTGCCCGAGCTATTTCAGGGTCCAAAGGATCCTGTACGATCGATAATGTAGGCAGGCTGTACGATGGCCATCGAGCGAGTGCTTGCAGAGTGGTGTCAAAATATGCACCCTAGTGTTTGGCATCAACTGGCTTCGTGATGGGTTTGGGAGAAGACTGAGACATAAGTACCTTGAGGAATTGATAATAAGTGGCTTTTTGTACGCTAGTATGGTACTGTAGTTGGCAGTTGGACGTTGGACCTTGAACTCGCAGATGGATGAGGTGGCTTACTAGGGTCGAAAGCGCAACGATAGGCAGAGCAAGTCCTCTCGCGGCTTTTTTAATATCTCCTCCAGATGTTCTGGTGCGAAGTTCGGTCCAACAAACAGCGTGATCCTGCGAAGGCAAGTGAGGACGAATACTAAGTTGACCACTATATCTGCGTCGACCGTCCAAGTCTCCAACGCGAATGACTTCACCCAACCGGCCTCCTCTGGGGAACCACGAACACGGCGGTACAACTGAAAAACACCCTCGGACGTCTTTAAGCGGATGCATTCGAATAGATGGTGCAAGGGCACCGGAGACTGCGGGATGGCTCTAGAAAGCGATAAGACTGCCTGCTGCCTCTCGTCTGGGGGAACTTGGGTCAAAATCGCTGAGTATATTTCTGATGGGAGTTCCGCAAGGTTAGAGGGCATATTGACTGGTTTGGGTAATGTGATGGCGGATGACGACGTAAGTCTATATCCTACTACTCAGACAGGAGTGGTCCTACGATGCTTTCCTGTAACGATGACACAGAGCCCGTACACCCAAGCGTAAGCATTTCTACACCCTCTTGTACTACCTTCCTGGTCTGCTCCCGACCGCCCCAACTGATGCGAGGACCCAATGTTACCAGGTGCGCGCCAATGTGACCCACAGTGACGCCTGCGAGCGCAGGATCCACTTTATTGTTGCACCGCCTGTACGTTGACAGGAAGGAGGTTATCACTGCTTCCGCAGACTCCTTGCGACGGGGATAGAATCTCGAGATGAGATACAGTTCCGCGCAGAGCTGGCCAAGATCCAACCCTGGAAGTCCCATCTTCGCTACCTCCCAGTCCACAACATACAATTTTTCCACGGCCTCTACCGTCCCGTTCGCACCTCGTCGAAGGCACACCATTATATTACCCGGCCAGAAGTCGCCATGGGTCATGACGTCCGAACCAGTCGAAGAGTGAATCTCTCTCGATCTTATCTCCACCAGCTTGGAGAAAGCCGCTAGCTTCTCGCCGGAGATCTCGAGAGGAGGGTTCGAGAGCGCGGGAATCTCGTCCTTACCAGTCAGCGTGGAGACAGTCCGACTGTATGTCATCCAAGCTGTAATCATCTTCCCGACCTCGTTGTTCGTGAATAGGCTCAGGTCGACATCGTGACACTCGCTCAATCCATGTAGGTGGCTGAGGAAATATCCGAGTGCAGTCCCCATCTCCTGGAGCAGAGCTGTCGGAAGACTCTCGTTGATCAGGATCTCCTTCAAGGTACGCGCGTCAGTTCCAGCGTCATCGACTATCATGACATGCTTTTCTTCGTCATAGAGGCGTAAGGCGGGAACCTCCACGGTGATCTCACCGCTTCGTATCGACAACTGGCGAGATAGCCGGAATGCCTCGGCTTCGAACTTCTGTTCAGCACCTACGTCAGCTTGCCGTCACAAACGCTGACGAATCTCATCAGACTTACCTGACGTTCCGCAGAAAGCAGCATCCGTGTGGCGTTCGCCTATGGATGCAGCCGCATATGAAGGCGTATATTTCAGGACAAAGGTCGATCTTCTATCGATAGGTGTACGCAGATGAATCCTGTACGTGAAGGCGGAATACCCTCCTTTCAGAAGGTCGACTGTGCGTGAGGCAAAAGCCGTGTCTTCGAGATAGGCTTGGACACCGGCAGGGGTAGCTAGTGCCTCGGGGGTATCTGACATCGTCAACGAATCACTCAGTTTGCTCACTTCTCAGATCGCCTTTATAATCCGCTTTCGGGTGCGATGATGACTAGCTAGTAGTTCGGCTGACTCAGAACATCTAGCAACCGACTCACTAGAGTCAACTTCGGATCCAATGAGTCATAGAGGCACTGGTTGTGATTCGATCTAATCCGCAACACAGCCCAGAAGATAGTACAAATGAAAATTGGTGGATGGTACTACAACACGTAAGTTCTCGATTTCGAGAACAATCCTCATTACAGCTTGTCATAGTAGTAGTCGAGCGGCGGGATATCAGGCTGTGATAAAAAGCGTAAGGCAAGGTCACATCACTGGCATCCAGCAAACACACCTTGAGACCCTTGCGTATACGGATATTCTTGACGAGTTCCTCGAGTTTGCTGCCCTTCTCAAGGGGCGCTGGGCAAAAGTAACGATGAGCACATCGTCGTCACCAAGACGATCGGTTTACGTACAGCCGTTCATAAGTTCCCAGTGGTCGAATACACTTTGGGGGAATGCCTGTCCACCGGTTTGCGAGCGGAGATCACCGTTGAAACCAAAGGACTCCATGACAGGGAGGTATGCCTTGACTGTGAACATCGGTGTTCCCGGCCTCTGCTCCTCACTGAAGACTTGACCACGACGCCTGTTCAATACACTGTAGATACCGCCGATAGCGTTCTCAGGACACTGTATTTCCACTGCACGCACGTCTTAAGTTTAAATACAAACAAACACGAAGGTTGACGCTCACCGAGGTATACAGGTTCCTGAAGACCTGGAGTTGCAAGCAAGCAAGCGGCATAGCAGACGCGACGGCACGTAGGGATGATTTGTCCTCCACCACGGTGGATGGCATCAGCATGTAGCTGGGACGGGGCACGTTGTAAAACCACTGTAATAAAAATAGAGCGCACGGCAAACATACCGTCACATCAAGGATGTTAAAGCGAACACCGCGCATCTTCTCCTCAGCGCAGACACCTTCTTTTGTCGCCCACTGGAAGGCAGCAACACAAGAATCCTTGATTTCATTCAGGTACTGGACACCCTTGGTAACATCAACCAGCAAGTTGGGGCCTGTTGTCTCAGGACCGAAGCACCAGATTTTCCTGGCGTCGGTGACATCCCAACCGTACTCATCGGCGAGGATACGTGCACGCGCCTTGAAGTCGTCACGGGCACTGATAACGCCGCCCTCGATGGCCTTGGTGAGCTCCTCGTCGAGGGGCAGAGCCTTGGCGTATATACGGTTGTGCTTGTTTTGGGATTTGGACAAGGCAACAATCGACGACTCGGCTTTCACCGTCTCACAGTAACCGACGACGGGGTCCGAAATCTTGAGCGGGACGCCAGCATGGTCTTCTTGCAAGTCCTGATTTCACGCAGGCTAAGTAGAGAATTCTGACACAAATCACGGCACACGTACCTTGAGGCAAATTTCCAAGTGGAGTTCTCCGGCACCTGCGACAATGTGCTCACCAGTATCAGCAATCCAAGCCTGGACACAGGGATCCGATTTCGAGAGACGCTTGAGACCTTCGACGAGCTTAGGAAGATCGGCCGCATTTTTGACCTCGACGGCGACTTGGACGACGGGGGAGACGGAGAACTTCATCACCCTCATGTTGTGTGCGGTTTCGGAAGTGGTGAGAGTTCCGCTTTTGAGCAGGAACTGATCGATGCCGACAAGACCGACAATGTTACCGGCCGGGCAGTCTTCTATGGGCTCCACATAACGGCCCATCATAAGAACGGTGCGCTGAACGGACTTGACAAACAAGTCATCTTTCTTTCCAGGGACGTAGTTAGGACCCTGGATACGAATCTTGGGACCAGAGCGAACAGTTCCAGAGAAGACACGACCGAATGCATAGAACCGACCCTTGTCCGATGTAGGCACCATCTTCGATACATATAGTACGAGAGGACCTTTTGGATCGCAATCACGGATACCGATAGCGGATTCATCGTCCATAGGACCCTCGTAGAGAGTCTCGACACGATAACGCTGAGCGGTTGCGGGCGAAGGAAGATGAATGACAATCATCTCCAAGAGGGAGTCACCTGCAGGCAAGAACTTGCGCATGATAGTTTTGAGAAGAGGCTTTCCCTCTTGGTCACGCTCTTCCTGAAGGAGCTTAATGTCGAGTTTCTCGCACATGGGGGCGATCTGATCCTTCTTGAAGTTCATAACGGCGTCGAAGATTTTGTAGATGGGATCAAGAACGAACATGTTGAAAGCGCGCTCGAGAGGTTTACCGTCACCGTCGACAGATTTCGTTGACCACTTGCGTGTGACAGGGTTGAAGAAGTTATCACCCCAAAGTTTGGCCATTAGCTTGTCCATTGGCACACCGAATCTCTTGGAGTAGCGACCGGCGAATTGACGGAGGGTGAAGCCCCATCCGTGTAGACCTGAGCCAAAAGCAACGGTACCCTTCTCGGGGTAGACCTGAACGTCACCAAGAGCTTCATCATGGTAAGTTGAGATGATGACGTTGACCGTTTCTATGGTACGCTGGAATGTTTGGTAGAGGTCTTCTTTTTGTACTTGAAGTTCGAGGAGAGCACGGTCGACCTTGTTGATGATGACGACGGGTTTAATACGTTCTGTAAGGGCCTGACGAAGGACGGTCTCTGTTTGAACGCAGACACCTTCGATACAGTCGACAACGACAAGGGCACCATCAGTTACACGAAGTGCTGCAGTGACTTCTGAGGAGAAGTCGACATGTCCTGGGGAGTCGATCAAGTTGATCAAGAATTCGTTTCCTGCGACGGAATATAAGGAAAAGGGGCAGAATGAACAGGAGTGATAAAAACGTGCCATCAGTTTTTTGTTTGATGACTTCGACCTCATCCTTGCCCATTTCAAAGTACATTGAAATGGCGGTGGACTTGATTGTAATACCACGCTCCTTTTCGTCCTCACGGGTGTCCGTAAAACGCACTTCACCAGTTTTTGCCGAAGCAATGATACCAGCTTTTGAGACGAGTGAATCTGTGAGAGTAGATTTGCCGTGATCGACTGTGAAGGTGAGGATGTAGATAAGATGAGTGATAGAGCGATAGGAGAGAGCATACCATGAGCGATGACACTCATGTTACGAATGTTGGTGGGCCGGTCCATCAAGACCCGGATCTGGTCTGGAGGCGAAGTTCATGGGATGATGAGGAGACGTGCGATGGATATACACACCTACTGTGAAGTTGCTGCATCGAACGGGAACTGATAAGAGTGGATTGGAACGAAAAGAGAGAGAAGAACGTACACCATCTTGAACTACAGGGCAGAGAAGATATGCAACGAGATGAGAGTCGGCTGAAAACAACGACGCGGCGGGATTGCGATTCGGATTTTTTCTGGGGGGGCCTTATCGATCTATGAGTTGAGGGCAGGCGCGTTCTTGTCTTATAGTAGTTGGGATTAGCATTGAGTCACTATTAGTACTTAGCACCGAGTCACTATTGCTACTAAGCATCGAGTCACTGCTTCTGCTAATAGATTAAGGTACTGGGATGATCCGTTATCGATCTCTCCTACCACCGCTACGCAGGATGTCCACTTACAACGGTCCTTGGCCAGCTCGCAGAGTACGACAGGAATTCTTCGATTACTTCAGGAATCGGGGCCATACATTCGTACCCTCGTCATCGACCATCCCTTACGATGACCCAACCCTCCTCTTCGCCAACGCCGGCATGAATCAGGCATGCGACACATCTCTTGACTCCCATCGACACAATCTGACTCCCTCACTCACTCGAATTAGTTCAAAACCATCTTCCTCGGAACCGTAGATGCCAATTCTGAGCGAGGAAAACTCAAACGTGCATTCAACACGCAAAAATGCATACGAGCTGGCGGCAAACATAATGGTATGTTCCTCCTTCTCCACCGACTGCCGATCTCACCCGAGTTCACCCAGATCTCGAGGATGTTGGGAAAGACTCCTACCACCATACATTCTTTGAGATGCTCGGAAATTGGTCCTTTGGTGACTACTTCAAGGTACGCCTCGGCCGCCGCAAGAGCCGAAACCACCCGCTCATGTCACATCCACGACATAGAAAGAGTCTATTACGTTCACTTTCGAGCTCCTCACTCATGTATTCAAGTTGCCCAAAGAGAGATTATATGTCACGTACTTCGCAGGCGATCCTCCAAACAACATACCTTCCGACGACGAGGCAAAACAAACTTGGCTGAGTCTTGGAATGGACCCCACACACGTTATACCCTCAAAATTTAACTTTTGGGGTGCGTGTCTTCGTTTCGGACGTCGCATACGCTAACGGCTGCCTTAGAGATGGGCTCGACCGGTCCTTGTGGACCCTGCAGGTATTCCCCTCTCCAGTCCCTCTGGAAACTAGTTAACGTATCCTAGCGAAGTACACGTCGACCGGATAGGTGGCCGTGAGGTCGCTCATCTCGTCGACGGTGACGACCCGACGGTCGTCGAGATATGGAACAACGTCTTTATCCAATTCAACCGGGAAACAGACGGCACGCTCAAACCATTACCACAAAAACACGTCGACACGGGCATGGGATTCGAACGTGTTGTGTCCGTACTTCAGGAGAAGATGTCCAACTACGACACCGATGTGTTCTCACCCATCATGGCCAGGATAGAAGAACTCACGGGTGCTCGTCCATACACCGGCAAATTCGGTGCGGAAGACGTAGACGGCATCGACACCGCCTACCGAGTCATCGCCGATCACGTCCGCACCCTGTCATTTGCCTTGAGCGACGGTGGCATGCCAAATAACGTCGGCAGGGGTTACGTCCTTCGTCGCATCTTGCGTCGGGGGTGCCGGTACGTCAGAAAGAAGTTCGGTGCACCGATCGGGACCTTCTTCTCGTCGTTGATGCTCGTCGTCGTCGAACAAATGGTCGGCTTACCCTTTGCGCGACGTTTCGTTCGTGCTAATACTGAGAGGTCGACAGGGTGATGTTTTCCCCGAACTCAAGCGGAAACAAGATGAGATCAAGGAAATCCTAGACGAGGAAGAAGAATCATTTTCTCGAACGCTTGACCGAGGCGAGAAGCTCTTTGATCAATATGCCTCCAAAGCGAAGGAGGTGGGCTCGAATGAACTCGGCGGCGCTGACGTGTGGCGATTATATGATACCTTCGGATTCCCGGTTGATTTGACGCGACTGATGGCGGAAGAGCTCGGCATGACAGTTAACGAAAAGGAGTTTGAGGCGGCGCAGGAACGGTCCAAGCTTGCTAGCAAAGGGACATTTAAGAAGGATAAGTCAGAGGCACTCAAGCTTGACGTCCATGACTTGGCAGCGCTCGAGAAGAATACTGCAATCCCAAAGACGGACGACTCGGCAAAGTTTGGTGAGCGCCCTCATAATCATTTGGCCTAGGAGGACTCTGACACGTTCTCAAGGTACCGGCAACATCAGCGCCCAGGTCAAGGGCATCTTCTATAACCGTCAGTTCCTTTCGTCGACGTCAAGTATACCTGAGGGTGCCAACTTGGGCATTTTGCTGGACCGCACGAGTTTTTATGCCGAAGCAGGCGGTCAAGAGTACGACACGGGAAACATCGTTATCGACGATGTTTGTGACTTCGAGGTTACTAATGTTCAGGCATACAGCGGATATGTTCTTCACACTGGCTACCTCAAGTATGGCCAACTGAACGTTGGTGATGAGGTCATTTCATCCTACGATGAGCTTCGGAGATGGCCATTGAGGAGCAACCACACTGCGACGCACGTCCTTAACTTCTGTCTCCGCGAAGTCTTGGGCGACCACATCGATCAGAAGGGATCACTTGTTGCACCAACGAAGCTCCGCTTTGATTTCTCGCACAAGGCGCAGATTTCGTTACCCGAGCTAGCTAAGGTTGAATCAATGAGCATTGACTGGATCACACGCAACGTCAAAGTTTATAGTAAAGACCTGGATCTGAAAACGGCTTACAAGATTCCGGGTGTACGTGCGGTGTTTGGCGAAGCATATCCTGACCCTGTCCGCGTCGTCGTGCTTGGGTATGATGTCGACGAAATCGCAAACGATGCCGAGAATCCCATGTGGCGAAACACGAGCATCGAGTTCTGCGGTGGTACCCACGTCGCTAAGACAGGAGATATCAAGGATTTTGTTATCACGGAGGAATCAGGCATTGCCAAGGGCATTCGGAGAATAACCGCAGTCACGGGACAGGAAGCCCACGAAGCTGCACGTGTTGCAGACGAGTTCAAGGCGCGGCTAGACGCACTGGAGTCGGTCTCCGGTAAGGAAAAGGATGCAGGACTGAAGACGCTTAGTGTGGTGAGTATGAAATGTTTTAGAAATGTGCCTTACCCGGTCGTAACTGCCATTTCAGGAACTTGGCCAAGCAGACATTTCTGTCTTGCGGAAGGCTGAGCTCAAGGATCGCCTTGCCGCAGTTCGGAAGGCATTCGATAAACAAATCAAGGAAAAGGAAGCTGCAGCTAATAAAGCGGTACGCCTAACTTCCATGACTTAGGGCATTTGTCTCTAAAACCTACCTACAGGCAGTAGATGCGCTCGTAGCCCACTTCCAGGAGAAGCCGGACTCCGAGGGATATTTTGCGATCTTGGAGGTGAATGGAAATGCGAAGGTGAATACGAACTTGCCGGTCATTTACAATTACTGAGTACGTTATCTAGATCCTGCAAAATGTTATTGCACAGGGCAAGAAACTCGGCAAAGCCGTGTACGTTTTTAGCGCTGATACCGAGGGGGGCAAAGTTGCACATGCCAACTACCTTCCCGAAATTGTCCGATCACAAGGCTTTGACGCCAAGATATGGGCTTCGAAGGTAACTGAGATTTTGGGCGGAAAGGTGCGTAAATTCGTCAGTGCCTATATCCAGGGATTCATTTCCGACGCAGGCTGGAGGCAAAGAGGAGGGCTCTCAGGGCGTCGGTGTCCATGTAGACAAAGTCGAGGAGGCATTGAGTGTCGCAGAAGCTGCGTACTTGAACAGGAAGTAATAACACGAGACAATACCAGATATTCTTTTCATAGTAGACACCGCATAATCACAGGGAACATCGTTACGTGCAGTACGCAATCGCGCCAACGACCACCTTACCAATGATGACCTTTGGGCGCCGGGAAGATAATCTGACTCGATCCTTGACTGGCCCGACTTGTGATGACTGACACCGATTTGCGTTTGTCTAATAAAGCTGTACGGTCAGAGGATGCGGTACGGACTAAGTACCATGACCCACAGTCAGCTATACCCTCTTGAGGTCAACCCTGCAACGGCGGAACCGTTTCTCCGTCTTCCCCAGCCCAATGAAAACATCATTATTACCCCTCCACGTCTCTCCGACGCGCAATGTTTCCCGCCGATTCTGAATGACCCGCGTGTCTGGCAGTGGCTGGAGGGGCCGCCTATCCCATACACGGATGAACATGCAGCGGAATGGATTGAAATCATTACCCAACAAAGTAAAGCTATCCTAGATGAACTGACAGCGGAGGATACGTTGAGACCAGGAGGTTATCTAAAACTCGTCGGCGGATGTCCAGTTCGACACATCCGAGAGGTCTTACCGGACGGAACGGATGTGTACCTCGGAGACATCGATATCGGGAGAGCACCGTTCGAAGAAATACTAGATCCGGAGGAGAGAAGGAAACAAGTTGAGATTAATGAAAGCAAGCCGCTCGGAGATCCCAGCATTGTTTGGACGTTCGGAGGCGAGTCCATTTATGTGCCAAGCAACTGGTCACTGACTGGTTTCCCAGATTACATTGCCCCGTCGCACCATGGCCGTGGGATCATGTCGGCGGCCATGAGGCTTGTCCTATACTCGTGGGCGATTCCGAGGATGGGGGTGCGACATATGTCGGGGTATACCTTTGTGGGAAACGCGGGGAGCCTGCGGGTGTTCGAGAAGAGCGGATTCGTGTTGAAGGGCGTTCTGGACAACGGAAAGACGGTCAGGGGAGAACGCAAGCGGTTAAATTATCTTGAATGGAAATGCGAACAGCAGTGAGGCTGAGCACTGCGGCGTAGGTGACCTGCTGGCACTGTGTTACATACTAATCAGTAGGTACAGCCACTCCCCTTGTTCGACCAGCAAATTGTGGCTTTCGGGGCTCATCAGCCTCGTTTCTGGTACATTCCCTCTCTTGTTTTTCTCCTTTTTGTCGCTGTATAAAACGTTGCCGAAGTAGTGTGCATCTTGCTCAAAGAAGATGGGGTGCATGAGACCCGCAACGCCCGGTTTCATCGTAACTTCCGTGGCGGCAATCCTGCTCGCAGTGGTATCATTCTCCGTCCCACTTATCAAGTCTGTTTACTTCCTCAAGGCATCATTAACCGTCGAGAACATCGATGGCACAATCACATTCGGAACGCTGGGCTATTGTATGACAATATCTGGTTCAACCTCGTGCTCGAGTGCCGGCGTCGGCTACGAACTGGGTGAGCTTTCAGGACGTTCTCTGGTCGCGCATGCCGACTCTCATCCCCTGCGTCCAAGATATCAACGCACTCGTAGGAGATAACTCAAGCCTACAAATTCCAACCGTCGTCGTCAAATGGCTCACCTACGCTCTGGTCCTCCACATCGTTGCATTTGGATTGGCAGGCGTGGCAGCTCTGTTCGGTCTGCTCGCCCATGTACGCGAAATGGCAATGAGCTGCTTCAGTAGCTGCATCTCTGGCTTCGGCGCTACCGTCGCACTCATCGCTTTTATCTTCGACATTGCCATCTTCTTCGTAGCGAAGTCACAAATGAATTCCGTCTCCGGAGGCTCTGCTTCCATTGGAAATGCTGTATGGCTTACTTTAGTGGCCGCACTCCTTCTCTTCTTCAGCGGATGCTTCTATGGAATAGGAAGATGCTGTATCCGAAGACGAGGGAAGGACATGTGGGGCGGACAACCAAACGACGATGCGAACGGCTTCAGAAACCGCGAACATGTACGGCTCGATGCCGTCAAGGCAGAGGCGGACCGTAAAGCACGCCTAGCACAGGGCGAAACGGGCCTACCCGCCTTCCAAGAGTTTGAGCAGTCTCAACCACTGAAGGCAAAAATGGATGGGGACGAGATTTACTTGGACGATGGACCCCAATATCGAGACAGCTACAGTCCCCGGGGCTCCCAAAGTGGGTACCCGGGGAGCGGCTATGCTCCAGCCCCTGTCGGCACTCGCGCTGTTGACGGATTTAATAACGTGCCATCTTATCCTCCCCAGCCTCGACGACGAGGCAGTACGCAAACTCAGCTTACTGCATCCAGCTATCCTTCATCATATGCGCCGTCGTCATCACACGCACGCTCCTGCAATTCCCCCGTCGATCGTTCCTGCACCCGCCCCGTCTCTTGCCCCGCTGCATGAACCCTCACCGACAAACTACTACAACCAGGACCCATATGGCATCCAACCACATCGACACGTTACAGGAGACAGTGCTTGTCAGTAATTCAATCGTTTTCAAAGGTCCCGGATGATGACCCTCTTTACAGATGCCCCCGCAGACAACTCATATTACAATCCGTACGACACACGAGCGCAGTCTCAATACGCAGAACCTTCACAAAATGTGATCACTTACAGTCCCGGGTATGCTGCCAGAACTGTCTCCCAATCACCCCCATCACGCGCTCCCTACGACGCTTATACACCTGTCGGCGGCAATCAGCCTGAACAGAGCTACGCTCTTGGTGGGGGTGCGTACGGCACCAATGCTGTGCCATCAGCACAGACGAACGACCCCTACAGACTCTATCAAAGTTCGTCTTACACAGTGCCCCAACCAACTGCCTCACCACCTACCGTTGACACCAACATCCTGCGAGCACCGTCGACGACCGCAAGCCCTGTAAGAGGCCCGAGGGACCCAAGGACGAGTATTGTATTGTCCCCTCCTTCAACCCATAACGATAATCCACCAGATTATGAAGCTGGTCTTTCAGGCATGGCTGGACAATGGGGGAGAAAAGGCTAATAAAACAATTACACGACAATTTCCTATCCTGCTCTATGTCTTATATGGCCTTTACGGACTGCCCAGATGATGACTCGTGTGCGACTCTGAGGATACCCTGACGCGTTCTCCCTTCTTGTGTATCGTATTCCAAGTGCTCATCGTCATACTTATGTTCCATCTGCGTTATATTTGCTACCAGCTCTTCGGCTACGTCGGAACTATCGAACCAGCGGCATCCAAGATTGCCGGAGTTCCCCGAGCCCCACAAGCTTACAACAGCATTATCAACTTTCATTGGAAGCGTAAGGCATTCTTCCACGACTGAACAGGGTAACTTGAACACCGAAAGAAGTGGCAGAAATGTAGGTATTGCCGGTAGTTGCAGGGCATAGAAGCTGCCAGAAGCTCCAGAAGATAGCGTTCGCTCCAGCTTCACAGCACCGTGGGGGTCATGACACCACGGTGTGAAAGACACATGTGCCGAATGTCACAGCTCATCTCTTGGCCACATTTCAGAACGGCTGGGTTGGGTTGGCGGCATTTGGAAGACGAGTAAGGACAGCAAGTCATGGACAATGTCCGCTGCTGTAGTTCCTGTTACCTCGGCTGCGACTTTCATCAGCCTACACCTACACTCATTCAGCACAAAGGAGGCACACCATGATCGTATGCTGGAGCAACTTCAACGACATCAGCGCCACTGAGAACATGGATGAATTCCAATGCATAGAATGATCTGCGAAAGGCTTACACGAAGTTCAACCCCACTAATCCTCGTATGATTCTCTTTAGTTCTCTGCTGGTCCATCCACCAGCTTCAGGGGTGCCAGCTACAACGTTCTGGCGTTCAAAGGACAAGATACCCGTCAAGGAGAAGACTCACTACCAGGTGCAAGGCCAGGATCTCAAGCGGGGCTCAGCGCCTTCTATGTCCAAGAGAATTTCTACTTACCGATGACATCAATGTCCAGACTGACCAAGTAGAACCAAATCAGTCCATTTATCACCCAACTGAAAGTGTCTCACCTTAGGTACACGGGGCTATCTCCAACTCTCTCTCTAATACGCCTGATGATCGCGGGGACGCCATGGATGTCGATGTCATCACTGGTAATGAAATGGAAGCCAACGGACTCGTCATTCTCAACATCGTCCAAACCCTTCCAATGCATACTCAGCCTAGTACTTGCGCGCTTTCGCATAACTCACGGTCAGCTTGCACCTGATACCAGCGTGGATGCTATTGTTGGAGATAAGGCCTTCTTGGCTAGCGGTGTAGAAGAACGTTCCGTGAGTGATACGGGATTGTTCTGTAACAGCTCCAGGATATCCGGACCAAGTATCCAAATGCGCGTCGAAATGTATCACAGCAATGGGACCATATATCTTGTAGAGTGCGCGCAGTATGGGAAGTACGATGGTGTGATCGCCGCCCATGCTAGGAAGTCACCTACATATGCAGCGTCTGTGCACATTAACGTGAAGACGTACAACATCATACCTGATAATTCTTGGATGCTCGCGGCCATCCTTTGCAAGAACAGCACCATGCTTCCATGCAGAAAGGGCCTTTGACGAAATCGAACGCGCCAGAAGAGTTGAGTACGCGACTTCCATTTGGTCTATTGCAAGGGCATTGTCAAACGGTGAGACGGGGACCTGGAAAGCCAGTGAGGATCAGAGCACTTTCATGCTTCTTCAGTGACACACGTCTCCGCAATCAATGATCTTAGAGCCTTGTTCGTAAGGGTTGCTACCCCATGCAAGGCTGTAGGCACGGATTTCTCTTTGCCGCCTGCTTCCTGAACGAATTGCATATGGTCCAAAGCGAGCACCTGGGCGGTACGAGGTTCCAGTATCAAATAGGTATCCCAAGGATCGCAATGTCAAAATCGATCGACTCGTCCTCCAAACATCGTGCATAAGCCAGATGCGAAAAGGTCAATGGCCCGGAGAATGGCTGATCGACTTGCTTTCCGTACTTTGATAGCCACGTTTCTTGACCGTCTCCAAAGTGATGTTGGCTGTGCCCCAGGACGCTATGGGTGATAAGGAGCAGAAATGTCGATGCTGCTGCCTTCATAGGTGTGCTTTGGAAGTACCACTACAGCCTGCCTGTGGGGCTTATCTCGAGGCCACAGGCAAAAATTGTAGATAAGCTCCATGTGAAAGAGCTCTAAAAGTACATGAACGTTGACAGGTAGTACGAGCGAAGTCACTGAAGGGTCCACTACGACGTAAATTACATTACACCCGACGTTGAGCAGGAGTAGTTCGCAGTGTTAGGATTTCCCACTGCCTCCGTTTCCTGGCATTGATTCCGTCAGGCTGAGGGTCTCCGGGATCAATGGTAAGAACGCGAAGTCTTCTCATGAGTTCTGGAGAGTCATCTGCCTCACCCTCTTCTCCTCTCTCTCGCTCCAACACTTCATCCTCAGTCAAATCGATTCCCTCGTGGAACACATCCTCTGGAGTCGCCTTGGGGCTCGTGCTTTTGCTTCCGGAAAAGAAAGATAACGGTGTTGCTACAGCACTCGATATAAAGTCGGAAGCATTGTCGGCGAGTGAACGTGGTTTCAGCATCGGGATCGCGGAAAGGATGTATGTCTTCCTTCTCCAGGCGCTCGACGTGCCATCGCGTGGTTGAGGATACGCTGGATTCTGTGCAAATGTCACCGAAATCTCTCTTGTCTTCGGATTATAAGAAAATTGCGGAATTGGGTGAGAGTATGCGTTTGGATATGGCTTGGAAATGGGTCTCCTATGTCTCAGGACGAGCCGTTCCACCCCTTAAACACCAATAAACGCATGAGCGCGCCAGCTGCACGATGGCCGATAGCTTACCTTCGACATCAATAGCATGACCTGAAGCTCTCGAGCACAGTGCACCCGAAGTATCGATAAAGAATACCTATAGATCCGTCCCGCGAGTATGTATATGTAAGACTGGGGAGTAAGCGACCGTCACGAGAGGTGCAGCAAACCTGATTGTTCGCATCTGGGTTCCTCAAACCTACCAACAGTGTGTGGGTCTCGTCATGCTATAACGAATTCAAGCTGCTTATACGCTCACTTTCGATGAGGGAGTGCTCTTTCTCTGGCCAAAGGATGACCTCTGTCCCATCTTCGACTGCATCTGCACTGACATCCCAAAGACGACCAGTCGCAAGAGATCGGATCACAAAGTATCCTGGCGGAAATCCGAACAATTGTGCGTTCGCGTTGTCCGTGGTCATCTCGGTGGTGAATTTCAGGGGTTTGCAGCAGTAAAGCTGTCAGCACTGGATGAAACTTGGCGGACGGCTTCCGTGTTCCGATAGGGAGGACACTTGCACGATTACAGTAAGGGAGATACAGCAACTCGAATCGAAGGGCGGCGCAGGACAGTACAAAAGGTAGGGCTAAGTTGATACAAACGCGTATATCTGCTACGCCTCATCTACATCAGGGGTCTCCCCATTCTGGTACCCGCGAGGTGTTTTCCTCAGCTCGCTGTTTCTCCACCCAATCTTCTAACGAATACGACATCTTAGAGAGACCTTTCCACTCGTGACGAGCGACGATGCTTCCTCCAGCTCGTGAGCCTTCCCATCCGACGCTCATCATGACGGGCTTCCTAATGGACACGTAAGCTCAGACCAGACTGATATCAGAACATATGGTACTACCGTCGAACTCCAGCTGACATCACGAACGCAGACAACTGTATGAGATCGCGGTAGCGGTTGCAATTCAGGCCCGGAAGGGTGGTAAGACATAGGTAAGGTTTCAGAGCGATCAAGGACCTTTTACGATGCGACCATCCAGCGACCATATCTACATATGTCACTCACATCAGTTTGCCCTCTGCGTCGTGACCCTGGTAATACTCACGTGGATCCTCCCATCAGCAGAACCCGAATAAATGTATTTACTTCCAGTGGTCTCAGCGGGACTGAAGTTGCAGCGAATGAGTGTGCGCAAAACAGCATGACCTCGATAGGTCATCACACTGCAATCATTAGGGTGTGCATTTCTTCTCGGTTTCGGGTAGTCCCCATATCTGGGCGGTGATTAGTTGCAAACGCAAAAAGTAGGCGTGGCTTCATTACCGATAATCATACCCAGGAGCTCCATAACGTCTATGTGGAAGCCTGTCGAACTCGGCGCTGCTCCTCATCCTTCGCAAATCCCACAGGCGAAGCGCCTGATCCTTGCCATTTGATATGACATACCTACCATCCCCTTTAGCCGATACGTTGGTTATACCTTCGGTGTGTCCCACCAAGACACCTGATGGTTTCTGTGACATCCCCAAAGAACGTCTATCCCTGTTATGGACGTCCTGAGAATGACTGAATTAGTCCCGTTTGCAACTCACCAGACTTTCAAGAATGTGTCGTCCGACGCACTAACGAGTACGTTCCCCGAGACACTGTCTGCCCAGCAGCAACTGTTAACGTCGTCATCATGCGCGTGGATCTCAACGGTTTTCCTGTCCGCAGGAAGATTATACACTACAGGCGGTCAAGAACCATCCGAGAATCTGTCAAAGGTTCCTACCCACCGAAAATGTGGCCAGAGCCACCGGCAATTACTTCGTTCCCGTCAGCAGAGAATCTGCAACTCCAGATTCCAAAACCGCCTCTGTCAGACCGGCGGTTTTGATCAGAAAACCGTATAGGTGTTTGGGCGGTCGAAGAATCCAAGGTGCTGGCCATATATACTGTGGGTGTCTACAACGATGGGTGAGTACGATGACGAATCGAGGCTAATATCTGGTTTACTATTGACGAGTAAATTATCCTACAAGGATAGGCGGCTGAGTTGGATCCGGGGGTCTTGTGTGGATAAGCTAACTTACCTTTCGTTGTCTGGACTTAGGTGAGAGTCGGTGATCGTCCAAGAACCTTGCCTGCCTTCAATAATTTTAAGAACCTTCAGGGTTGTCTCATGGTCTCGATCGTCAGTGTCCCAGTCTGATGTAATAGGTCGCCTGGCACTTCGGCGTTGCCTAATGTATTTCGACGGTGGTGCTGTCATGTCATAAACGTGAAGGCGAAAATCTAGAAAACGCGAAGTTGACACTCCATCCTTCATGGGACCTTATTCCGCACCAACCTTGACTGCATGTATAGTAGAACGAGGAATCTGAAGAAGAGATAAGGAGGACCGAAGTGATTCTTTGTAGCGACGAGTACCTTTGGAGAATTGGCCTGCATAAAGGTTTGCTCCGTGAGAGGCGACGGCAGTTCCATTACTGTTTGGTATCAGATCCTGTCAGGAAGCAATCTGTACGCAAAACTCGTGCACAGAAATACGAAGTACTTACACCCGCCAGCTCCTCCCTTGTAGGTCCAATTTGCCTCGAAGACCTATCGAGAAAGACGCGTGATATGTTCATGATGCGCTTCTTCGTAACTCGACCAAATTCACCCCCTCTCAATAGTTCTAAGCCCTCCCGTTGAGGCTCTTTATGTGGAGGAAACCACTGCTCATGCCGAGGAACTGAACCATAGCGCCTTGCAATAAAGAAATCATCATCGTAATAGTCGTCGTCGTCGTCCATCCCTTCTTCTTCTTCGTCAAAATCGAACACTGCAGATGCAAGGTCCACCGCTACTACCCGATCGCAGAAGGTCGCCAAACGAAAATATTCCGGGTTCCAGTTGTCCGTCGTCAGCATCGTTTGTCTGTGTAACTGGCCTCGAAGAATCACCGTGCTGCAGTTCAAAAAGGGCTGGACGATCTGTTGAGAACGAAAAGCATATGTAGTAGGGGCACTTACAGTGCAGCAGCTGCGATATAGTGGTAGCGCTGACGGGTGCGGTCGACATATCATCGTTGTTGATTTCCAGCTCGAGGTCGTGATCCTCACCGTCGAGATAAGCATCTGGACCCTCAAAGCCTTCGTCATCGTCGTCGTCTGAAGGCCTGTCTAAGTAGTACTGGGGTTCCATGGCGTGCACTGAGAGGCGGCACGGACTCAGGGGACTTGATATATAATCTTAGCCTGCAGACCAACCCCCTGTGAGAGGGTGACACGCTTGTTGTCATCGTCATGAGTCATTTTTGAAGTCTACCTGCTACCCGAGATCTCACAGTATCAGCATTGGAATATACTGTACAGATAGCAGTGCTTTGGGGGGCATCCTGAGTACTTTTGGTTGTGTAGTGTACACGACAGACAGGCTTTCCAACTCCGACGGAGGTCTTCCTCGCTATTAGGCTTGACTGGCAGAACGATGGCGGGCACTATGACCATTACCGCTGAGGAGGTTAATTGCCTCATCCATGCATACTTCCAGGATTCAGGTTCGCGTATCTGGTTTATTCCCCGCGCATTCTCATTCTCCAACCAGGCTTTCAGCATTCAGCATTCACTCTCCGTATGGAGGGCCGTCTAGACAACTCACACCACATCAAAAAGCACATTCCACGCGGAGAATTGGTAGAACTCCTCAGCAAAGCACTCCTCTACAGCGAAGTCGAGGCTCATTGGAAGGAAGACGGTCTTGCAAGCAACTGCAAGAATAACTTCTCTCTCCTTGAGCACCACGTATGCTCGTTTGATGCAGATGGGCAGTCACACCCGTCTACTCAGCCAAATGGGGGACTCACTTCTCTGGCAATCGTTGGAGATACGAAGAGCAAGCGGAAGTCTGTCACGCCCTCTAGTGAGGATGGGCATGTCGAGAAACGCCCCAGGAGAGAGGATGAAGATAGTGAATCTGCAATGGCTGTTGATGGTGCGTGTTCTCCATATTTCGGCCTTCTTTCTATTGAACTTCACCGCTCAGGCATGCCCAAGACAATTCCCAAGGAGGTAAAGTCTCTCGCTTGAGCTGCAACCATTGTTTACGGAGGGTGTGTTCAAAAAGCATAAGACGAAAGGAGCTACTCTGCCTAAATCAGAAGCAGTAACCGTATTGCGAGCACACAAGTCAGGAGGTAAGACTGTCACTCGAGCCCACCTTCCTTCGCCAACAAGAATATCAAGGTTTTCGTCGCTTCCTGGAATCCAACCTCTACCGGGAGCCTGATAACTGGGTATGAACACACTATATGTTAGATCGTCGCTCACCTCTATCCAGTGCAAGGGATGCTACGATTATGTATTGGGATATTCCTACCAACTCGCATGACGGCTTGGTGGTTTCTTCTTTGCAGCCCACCGCGAAGATCAGTCTTACCAATTCTGCAAAAGCGGATTTGACCTCTCTGGACTGGAACAAAGATGGTACGTTAGTAGCTATTGGGTCGCTCGACTCCGTCCTTCGAATATGCGATACATCAGGCAAGACATACATGATAGACCACCATCATAAGGTGAAAGTTAGCCACAACGAATTGGCAAATAGTTAACGCGTCCTAGGGCCCTATATTCGCTGCTAAGTTCTCACCGTCTGGTCAGTGGATCGTCACGGCAAGCTTGGACAACACCTCTTGTGTATGGGACGTGAAAGACAAGAGACTGCACCGACAATACCGAAACCATGGTGGTTACGTTCTACTCTGATTTTCAAATTTCCCATGGATTCATACGGTCTCTGCTAGATGCATGTTGCCTGGATGTGGATTGGATCGGCGATTCCATCTTCGTTAGCTCTGGGGGCGACTGCTTGGCCCACATCGTTTCTCTCAGCGGCACCAAACCATTACAGACACTCAAGGTATGTTCCATCGATGCCTACCGTACCTATGTCCTTGCTTCCTGAACTTCGCCTAGGGGTCACACGGCCGAGCTGACCATGGTCAGATGCAATCCGTCACGCACTCGTTTGATTTCTGGCTCAGACGATACTACTGCACGAGTATGGAATCTAGAAGCCATTCTCATGGATAAGATGCCGGCGCCTGTAGTTCTGAAAGGTCATACGAAATGCCTTACGTCCGTTAAATGGTGCCCGTACACCGATCCAGGAACGCACGAACTTGTTGCCACGTAAGTTTACAGGCGGACGTTTATTCTCTGGCCATCTCATCCCGTTTGCAGGGCTTCATTTGATATGACTGTGCGACTATGGGACTCCGTAACCGGAGATTGCTTGCAACTTCTTACTGACCATAGCAAACCTGTTTATTCTCTGTCCTTTAGCCCGGAGGGGTTCCAGCTGGCGACTGGAGGCGGCTGATGGCTATTTGCAGTTGTACGATGTAAAAGTGAGTCGCCTGCTTGTACCAGGACGGCGGAAGCTGATAATAATCAAGACGGGCGACAAAGTCTGGTCTTGGTCTGCTGGTATGCGATTGGGTATATTTTGAGATAGACTGGAGAAAATGGGGGGATGTCAGCCGTATTGCTCTTGCGACGGAGCACCGGGCAGTTGTCATCGTCGATCCAACGAAATTGCATGCTATTCAGAAGACCACGTGAGGCCTAGCTACTGGTGTATATTTTATACTTTGTCTATTCTTCTGTCGCAATGTAGCTGTGCTGATTACTGTACGTCGTAGGTAATTCGTTGAGAACGAGTAAAAGAATAAACTGGCTTAGTGCGCCCTCACGTTTAGTTATGCTACAGCCGTTCGCCTGCGACCGCAGAGGGCGATCCTATCGCACACTCGATTCTCAACCCAGGCAGCCACCATTAATTACTGCATACCCGTAAACAGTAACTTGGTAACCTGTGGCTCACTCGCAAATTTTGTACCAGTCGGGACAGTTCCAACTAGCCCCGCCCCTTAACTTGGGCTGCGACTGCACTGCGGTGTAGTAAGCCTTATAGAGAAACGACTGGACTGTAAATGTGACACAGCGATGCCTTCTCCATATCTCTGAGATTACCCCAAAAATCTGTTGTTTCGTGCTGTTTAAGTACTCACAATATGAGACCTAGGTTAGTGCCTATGTTCCAGCTAGTGAGCATGTATATCTAGCGCTTCAGCGTTTTTCTCTGCTGAACCAGTCATGATTTCTACTGCGGGCTGCTTACATAATATAGATCTGCTTGCCGGGTGGTGACGTGATCGCCGGAAGGTCCAAGTGACGTCGACCGTTTTAATCGTATACCTGCTGACGACAACTCTCCACTGTCGTCTCGTTCTTCCTTCACCGCAATGTTGATTCTCGGATTGTCGTCCGCCTTTAGACCAGCAGTGTGTCGCAACAGCTTTCTGTCTGCTACGTGTCCTAGGATTGCCGCGTTCTCCACTGGTCCAAGTGTAGGTCGTGGTTTGCTGGCGAACGTCGGGCAAAAGCGCTCTTTGCTGTCTGCGCCTGCAATACTTTCTCGCTCAGTCACCACAGATGCTCATGCTGTTACCGCGAATTCTTCACAAGAGGCGTGGAAGCGGTTTGGAATTACGGCCGTAGGTTCCATCTGAGTAATTCTGCCACGTTTCCACTCTAATATGATGTTCAGGCAGCTGTTGCGGGTACTATAATTGTTGCAGAAGCCTTTTTAAATAGGGACACAAGAGATGTTCTGAACCCGGTCGAACGATCATATCTTCATGATAGCTTCAAGTACACTGCAGGGGGTCTCGCCCTGACTGCTCTTTCCGCAAGGAGCATGTTCAAAGCTGGTCTCCCCTACAGGATGATGCTAGCCAATCCATGTGAGTCACGATGGACATCTAGCCAGGGTTACATCTTGAACGTGTTCTGGTCTCCTCACAGGGGCCGTGCTTGGTGTCAGTCTGCTCGGAAGCATTGGAACCATGATGGGAGTGTACTACACCCCTCCAGAGAAGTCCACACAGAAGCACCTTTTCTGGGCGGTATGAAGGCATGCATTCTAAGCGTATATACGTGCTCACAAGGACTACAGGCATTTAACGTCTGCCAAGGAGCTACCCTGAGTCCTATCTTCTTCTTCAGTCCAGCCATACTAGCTCGCGCTGCACTTTACACATGTGGTGTCGTCGGTGCTCTGTCGTATGTTGGTGCCACCGCTAAGTCCGTTTCCCTTTTTCTTTTGTTATATAGCTTTTTCTAATACCGGCAGAAACGAGAAATACCTATATATGGGCGGTCCACTCCTGGCTGGAGTGACGGTTGTGGCCCTAAGTTCAATAGCCCCTATGGCCCTCCCACTAGGCCTACGCGGCCTTGCCGTTGCCGAAGCCCTATCAATCTATGGCGGCCTGGCTGTCTTTAGCGGTTTCGTGCTTTATGAGTAAGGAAGGGCTCCCTTTGGTGATCAGGTAGTACTGATGAGCCTGTGACTAGCACTCAAAAAATCTTGCAGCACGGGCGGGCCGTGCGGATGGGTTTAATGGCACCAGACCCCATAGGGGAAGGCTATCTCCCTCGAACTGGACATGATTAACATTTTGTACGTTGGCCGTACTCTAGTGTGATAACTGCTGAGTCTCCTTAAATTCCTAGCATCCGTATGGTGCAAGTTCTCGCGATGCGCTCAGACAGGAAATAACAGGTTTTTCTCGCATCTCTCAGCGTGCTTATGGTCGCTCAATCGTCTGACTTGCCTTTTTACTACTTCGCATCACATGTATTAGTTGTGCCGATCACATTGATTACACTCCAAGCGTCCATGTGTTGAAATTCGTAGTCATGTACTTGCCTTGCCCAAAGTTCCAAGGAGACCAACGAACCCTTGTGGATCGACAATCTCAGTTCCACCGTACGTCAACCGCTTACCCGTCTTCCCGGCCCATTCTTCGAGGTTTCCGTACTCGACATAACTCGCTCCTCCCACAACGAACACCATACCTTCGGCGAAAGCCATCCGCCTGGCCCGCCCGTGTCCCGACGCACCTCCAGTAGAAGGCCCACCTGTAACAGCAGTGGCGCCCATACCTGTCTGAGCGTGTCGAGGTCCACGGGGGTCAAGAAAAACATAATCGTCTGTCTCGGTTAAGGACTGGTTGGATGCGGCAGAAGGATCCATGAGTGCTTCGGTAAGGCGTGTGACCGGAAGCAGCTTATTCGCGGGGAGGAAATTTTTTACTCCCGAGATAAGGTTTTCAAGGCCACCCTCTTTCAGCCGGTCTGTCAACTGCATGGGGGAAGGACTTAGACATCGGTGACGAGTACTAGAACAATTACTCACTCTGTTGCCGAGTGCTGTAAATCCCCGAAATAGTTCGCCCTGCCCACCGCCAAGTACCGGTGTCGACGTTCCCCCCACAACCGCACTCACCGTCATTCGGGAAACGTCCCGCATGCGACGGACATACTCAAACGCCGCAACGTCTACACCGACGCTTTTGAGCTCTTTTTCGAGTTCGGCGATGTCATCCTTGGATATGGCGTGGTCGGGCGAAGAAAGATAAAAGACCAGAACAAGACGCAGCTCGTCTTCAGGCGTGAACAGCCCGTCCGGTCTAGGCGCACGCAGTGTTTCTAAGATCGATGCAACAGTCTAGAGTAATATACGATGATTTCAGTTCTGGTTCACAGACTGCGAGTACGGAAGACGAACCTGTTTATTGATGGCTTCTTCGGTGCTGAACAGTTCGTCCAAACCACGCTTCTTGATTTGTTCAAGCAATGCCGTGGCAATGTTCATATGGGTATCTAGCGTCGCTTTGCGTGCCGTTAATTCGGGAAGTTGAGTGATTGCGGTCTTCAAGTGGGCAGCGTTCGATGTTAAATCCCTACGTTCATGATCAATATGTCAGGAACAGCGTACTCGTAGGAATACTCACAGTTGAGAAATATCGTTCACGTCACTAACACCCGTTGACCGCGTGATCTCTGCAGCGTCTTGCTTGTACTTGTTCAGCTCCGCATCAATCTCCTCCGCGACCTGAGGGAACGGATTTGCAGCGTTCCTAGCCCAGAAAAAGTCCTTTGAATCGAGATCATACACTCGCTTCTGGGGCTGCGTCACCACAACGCGGTTAAGCTTCATATCCAGACAGTCGGACACAAGCGCTTGGTACGTCCAGCCATGTGAAATCATAGGCACTAGATCGACGTTCCTATCGAGAATGAGTAATACTATAGAATTTAATTTTGCAGTAGCAGATGCGACCGACGGAACGCTTACAAGGTCGCTGTAGGCTGGAGAGCCCGGAAGAGTCTTGAGAGAATAGGGTGGTCGTTCCATGTGTGCGCGAAGAGGTGAGCAGCGCGTCTCGTATCTTCTGCTCAAGTTTCTTTGCCACCATTTCTGCCGCATTCCCTCTCGGAGCGCGGATGATGGGCACATGCCCTGAGTAAGCAAGCTAAACAATTCCACAAGATGATATTTCAAATACCGACAAACCTGCTGTGACAACCGCACTAAACAGGCCATTTGCTATGCGTTCAACTTCGTCCTCGATTTGCTGCTCAGACGAGGAGGGAGAATTGAGGAGTTGGTAAGAGTAATGGCGACTGGGTTGTGAAGACCCAGGCAGCAGGACGGGGAGCGGTGAAAGTAAGGAAAATAATGAGGGTGAAGGAGCGATGAACGAAAGATACTGATCAATAACCTATGACAGCCGCATTGAGCGAACATGACAAGTCTGCCAAAGGGGCCGCCCACCTGTTCCACTAATTCTCCGGTGCTCGCACTGGCAGCAGAAGCCGCAAGCTCTTCCAGCAGTGCTCTTGGCAAAGGCTCGACGAAGTTGAGATGGAATGACTCATACAGACATTTATCCAAGTCCTCAGCTATCCGGCGAATGTTGGCTAAGGTCGGGGAGACGAAATATACAGCAGGTACGTCGCGCAGCGGGGGACGTGTAGAATGCAGTTGACTGAAACTTTGTTATACACGATTTGAGCTCGGTTTCTGCCATGCTTACACGTGTAATGTCACGCCGACGTCTCGGAGATCCTGTACACGGAGGACAGTGGCAAATACGTCCTTCGTCTGCTGATCTAGAACTAAAACCTTCCATACAAGAGGGGCGCTCGAAGTTGAGAGTTTCGAGGTAGCTGCTGGTGTAGATTTGGTTGCGACGGGGCCAGGTGGAGCCGCGCCCTGTTCAAGCGGATTATTTAGATTGAGGAGGGAGAGCAATGCCTCCGTCTGCGCTTCTTGTAGCGTCGCAATTGTTGTTGCCTATGAGACCTGATGAGTAGATGATATCAGAGGGAGCATGCCAGCCCACATTTTTGAAAGCAGGAGTGACCATCCCAGCAGATGAATTGCAGAGCAACCAGTTCGCCGTGATAGTCGAGGCCACGTGGCCTGCAAGACATACCCAAAAACGGAAGGCCGCTGTGGAGTCTGCTGGCAGGTCCGTATGTCAGTAAAGAACAAATGACACAGGATCCTTTATCTAATTCAATCCACTGGATGGCTTGGGAACTGGCAGCTTAATGGTGTCACTGCGTGAGCATTCTTGCACATGTGCGTCCCGCAAATCGACAATCTGGTCATCCCTCCCACATGTATATAAGAGCTAGCCATCTGATCTCGTCAGAAATGGTGCCATGGTCGTGTCTCGGAATCAGACTGGGGGTGAAACGTTGCGTCCTGAGGCTATTGTACGAAACTGCCTCCGCCGAGTGGAGCAATGAATGACATACATATACATATTACAAGGGCAGTTCACTGATCCGACACGCTTAAAGACCTGTTGTCTCCTCCATTTATAACCCGCTTCCATCCCTTCTCTCATTCTCTGTTATCATGCTCTCTGAACCAGCTTCCACTGCATTCGCCATGTCTCGCGCCGACTTTAACAAAGACCCCTTCCTGTCATATTCTCGATCCCTCCACGACTATACTCTCAGGCTGTGGACGGAATCTAGGAGAGTGGCAGAGGAGAAAGCGCGCAACAAGGCAGCTCGTAGGGATGTCGAAGACGCTTCACGATGGCGGAAGCAACCCGAGTCGTGTTCGCCACAATCCCATAGATCGACTACGCACGACTGACAATCCACACCCCGCATGCCGCACGGAGCATCGTCAGGTAAGTGGCTTTGTCCTTCCCGCATGTCCTCAACGGGGAGCCCATCCTGTCAAAAGTCGGCGTAATGACGATATCAGCGACGAGCGGTTATGCGATAGATCAATCTACCACCTGGCACCTACCCTATGTCGCAGAAACAACTTTCACAAATCATGGCATGCTCCGGATTACATCCATTAATCGATGTGCGTGTTCCTCGGGTACTTGGAATGCGGCTGCTGGCTGATCCTCGTTGCCACAAGAATTTTATCGTCCAATTATGATCTGTCCTATCATGGCGAAATAATACCGAATGCTCCCATGACGGAGTTAGGAATTGATATGTATCTTCCCGCACATAGTATGATCTCTACTTTGTCAATGCAGGCCTGTCGACAGGTCGAGAGCGATGTTGCGGTCCGATGGGTCGTCAAGAAGAAGTTACCCTGTTTATGTAACCTTCAGATTTATCCCAAGATGATGAATGATTATGATGTTTGTTACTGCTGGAGAACGGAAGCATGTGCCATGTTCTTCGCCCAGATGCATGCCACGGCATGTGGTGGTAAGGATGCACGTTTGTTGTGTCTAATGATTATATATCTTCCCAGGATCTGGCAGCCCATTCAAAGAAGGACCCTGGGTGGTGGAGCCGGTGTCTCTGTTAGAACGCTATCATGGTGTATTCTGCACCCGGGTTCCACGTTGTTGCTGGGGTGGTTTGTTGCTTGTTCGGAGTCACTGCGAATGGCCAGTCAGAGTCGGCATTCACGGTGCCTGGTGCATTCCCAACCTCGCTCTACTCCAAGTACTACAACAGCCCAACTGCTACCACTGCCCAGCCCCAGCCTGTCATTTCTGATCCGGTCACAGTAAGTCGGGACTGCCATTAATAAGAGATGAACGCGCTAACCATGTGTGTGTTGTCATCAGCACGAGGTGTTTCCGCTGTCGTTGACAGACCCTGATGATATTCCTCAAGTATTGTTTTTAACTACAGTCCCCGACGTACTCTCTCATTAGCCCGGCAGAACGATACGGTCGACCCGCATCCCCTCCCTCCTATTGCCTCTCCTTCACAGATCCTGCAACAAGCAATTACGCAAATCCAATCAATAGCCGCCAATGCAGCCTTTGGAAATAGTCAGTGTGCACGCTGCCAAGCTTCTCTCGAAGTTGCGAAATTTGTTGCTTTGAGTGCTCCCGACCAAGGTCCAAGTCTCGCAGTATCCCTCTGCGAGTACTTTAATTACTCCTCCACATGTACTGCCAATTACGGTCCGCTTGCCCTCGGTCCCATTTTTACCCAAGTTGTCGCTTATGCGGATGTGGGAGGATACGATGGCCAGGTAAGTGGCGACGCATTGAAGTCGTCAGACATGCCAGTATTGACGTCGTCTTAGCTCATTTGTGCCGAATTTCTGGGACTTTGTTCGGTCCCACCCACACTGCCTCTTAACTTGACTGGTTGGTTTTCCAAACCAAAACCTAACCCACTCCCACCTCCAAAGCAACCCACCGGGGAACGCCTCAAGGTGTTACATATATCAGATCTCCACATTGATCCTCGTGAGATGTCTGCTCGAATTGCTAACTGTGTCTGTGTTCAAGCATAATGCAGGGTACGCAAACAACGCTGAGGCCAATTGCACAAGCGGACTATGCTGTCGTGAGAATTCATACAATTCTGAGAGCCCACATACCCCCATCCTACCCGCTCCCCGCTTTGGGTACTTCTTGTGGTGAGCCAAAACTCGGCACCGTTGTCATTGGTTGCTACAACACACAGACAGTGATTCGCCATACGCTTTGATCGCTGCAGTCTTGCAGGCTATTCCACCTCTAACAGGGTCTGAAACCACAGGTTTCAATTTTACTCTGTTCACTGGTGATATGCTAGCGCATGACCCAGATTACCAACAGTCTAGGTTGGAGAATTCATCGCTACTTTTTCATTTTGCTGAGCAAGTTTGATAGGGCTTACAATGAGTATTCTGAGGTAAAGAGGCCAGTCCAGTTTCATGGCAGCAGTTTCTCACCTCGAGACAAGGTTGTTCTGTTTGATCTTATCAAGCGCATGTTGGGACCGGGCCCCGTATACGTTACACTCGGAAATCATGATAGCTATCCCACTGATCAGGCAGCACCCCTATCGATGGATGGTGATCTCGGTCAACAGTTTAGTTGGTACGTCAGTTGGGCGCCGTTGCCCTTACCTCAAGTTTTAGATGTCTTCCATCAGGTTATACGACCATGTCACTGCTCTCTGGGAATACCAGGGTTGGTTGCCAGCTGCCTCAGTGGAAGACTCGCGCGCCCATTACGCAGCGTACATGGTTAAACGGGCGGATGGACTGAGGATCATCAGTTTGAATACCAATCTATGTAAGCACTTCGACGTACTTATTAGATGAAGGCGGCGGCTTACACTTTATTACCACAGGGTATCGGTGAGTTGCTACTTATCTCTGCCTCGCTCTTCCTCACGGGCGCAGTGCGAACTACCTCAATTATATCAATGCTTCTCATCCTGACACCTCTGGGATGATGAGATTCCTTACGGACGAGTTGCAAGCGGCGGAAGATGCAGGCGATCGCGGTAAGAAAGCCTAAGGGCTTGGGCATTCATGTTTTGACCTCAAGACAGCGTGGATCATTGGGCACGTTCCTAGTGGTTGGGACGGTACGAATGGACTTTATAACCCTACTGACCTATGTGAGTGTTCTTTCCACTCAAAGAAACTTACCATGACGCTCGGCGACATCTAGTCTATCAAATGTGAGTATCGTCGAGCCGTCGCTTCATGCCCTGACATAAAAAGGTAGCGTGGACCGATATACCCCACATGTAATTGCTAGTACGTGTTACAGCGTGTGTTTCAAACTAAACTCGTTAATAGAAGTCATGCAGACATCTTCTGGGGCCACATGCACGAAGACGAGTTATCAGTACGTCTTTCTTTCTTTTCCGATGTGACTAAGCGCTGCATGCTCACCGTTTCTCGATAGATCTTTTATACCAACAACGGCACGAACATCAGTGCAGAAACGGCCCAAGCCGTGTCCTGGGTATGTTAAAAGTTAGGTTTTGCCCATCTTCCGGCTCACTTTGAATAGATGGGGCCTTCTGTCACTCCTCTCACCAAGTTGAATTCTGGATTCCGAATGTACGAAGTTGACTCAGGGGTACGTGCAAACTTCCCATGTCTGGATATTTCTACATTAAATGAGTCGTCCAACAGACGTTTGAGGTGCTTGACGCCTACACGTAAGCTGAAAGTAATCTGATAAGTCTGCACATCGATACTTACTCATTGACAGTTGGAAGAGCCCCGTAGATACCTATAGCCAACTGGACTCCCAGCTACAGTACGGCCCCGCCTTTGAATTCGAATACAGCGCTCGTGATGCGTACGGCGGGAATATACCCTGGGGTGCCAATGACCCCTTAAATGCAACATGGTGGCACCTTGTGACTGAGCGTTGAGTGCCCCCCCGTGTTAACATTCTATCCCGTTTACTCACGCATGTCCACAGAAATGGAGACAAACTCATCATTAGTATCGGTACGTCAGGGTGCGCTGATATTCTACCGAGTAGTGACTTAATTATGTGCAACCGTAGGATGTGTGGAACACCTACCAAGGCAAAGGCTCTGTCTTCACACCGCCCTGCACTGGTGAGTGTGTAACTGCAAGAATCTGTTACATCCGTAGTGGCTCGTCAAGCATTGCGCAACAGAATTGCCCTCGGGGTTATGGTTCCGTGCAGTGAACCCTTTACATTAACGAACAACGGCAGACTCTAAGCATGGGTAGTAATTCCTTTAACTAGCTTTCAGGTGATTCATGTCCGTAGATATTATATTGGGTTGCATTCTTTATACCGTTGGTGTTCGAAGCCTGAGGTTGTGATAGATAGTATGTAAGTTACACTTGCTTTGCGAACCGCTATTGGTATTCTGTCTATACCACAGCTAACGCTGACGTCCACCTCCCCCACCGAGTAACACCAGTTTCTTTCCGTGCTTCTTGCGTCCGCCACTACGCTCAAGCTCGTGCCAAGCTGCGTCTAGATCCCATTCATTGAGTTCGGTGGAGGCATTCTTGTTCACTGACGCTGGCCTCGAGGCAGGAGATGAATGTAATGCAGACGCGAAACTTCTCGAACCCCACGCGCCCGACGTAGGATGGCGCTCTGCGTCAGGATGTATCTCAGCTTCGACCACGGGAAGTGGGGTGACGCTAGGTGGGGGATCGACGTGCACAGTAACAGAGGACTCGCGAGAAAACAATCTTTCCCTCTCTTTCGCCTTCTCCTCTGCACGCGCGCGCGCGCGGTCATCCCTCCTCTCTTTCTCCTTTCGCCGCGCAGTGCGTTGCTTCAACGGGCCCTCAAAATTCGTCAAACCTTCCTTGCCAACTACGCCCTCAAGATCAGCTTCGACAAATACGACATCGGCACCTTCAGGCATGTGCGCCAGATACTTGCAACGCTTGCGGAGGTCTTCATTTACCGAGCCTTCCACAGCAGATTCAACGCGGATTGTAATGCCGTCCGGGAACGAGGGGTAACTCTTGAAATGAGAATGCAGGATCTTAATGTCGAGGGGATGGAGGAACACCGGGAGGCCAGATGCAGCTTGATAGTAGTAGTAAGTTTGTGTAGTGGGGGGAGGCGGGTTCAGATTCCGCCGGAGTTTATGGGTACGGCCAAGAAGGGAGGCCTCTGGTCCCGATGTTGCAGCGTGCGAGCCAGCATTAGGTGAAGGTGATGAAGTAACAGGCGGAACGCGTTGAACAGCCAAGAAATCAACCGGAACATCAGATAGCACGCTGCCTGAGTTCTTTCGAGATTCAGTACGGTTGACTACATGGATATTGCGACGCTCAAGCTCTTCGCACTGGGCTCGAGCCTTCGCGATTGTACAAGCGAGCTGAGGAGATTCTAGGCTGGACACCTGTGAGATTTGGTGACACAATTCCTCCCTTGCGGCATCTATAAACAATAGACTGAGTTCATCCTTCATGGCAACTAAGGAAAGCCTTTCGGCAGCGAGAGCTCCTAGATCCTGTAACAAATGAGAAACCAAGTACTCTGGCGTGGCAAGCATAAACTTGGAAAAATTGTAGACATCTGGAAGGAAATGGAATGGCGCTTGATGAGGAGGAAGCAAGTCCGAAGGCCAGGTAGGCGAACGAGGAAGAGCCAACGTAGTGATATGGGGACGCCGTATGAGGCGCATACGTAGGGTCGAACCTGTCGCGGGTAAGCCTTCGATGTCATCACGAACAGATGACGGGGAAGAAGCGCCAGGAACCAGAGGCTTCTGATCTCCGGTCGGAGGCTCATGCCACTTGACGCTCTTGAGCTGTTTCTCATGGACCGAGTCGAAGCATATCGGACAGCGAGCCCAATTGGATGTCTTCGACATGCTCAAATAGTGCAGGATACAGGGAAAGCAGAACACCTGGTGTATCATCAACCTAAAGTTCACATACTGAGTTGCACTACTAACGTGACCACACTTCGTCATGCGAGGAGCAACAGGTGGGGACAGGCAAATGGGGCAGCTGGACAGCCCTTCTTCAAGCTCACGAGATTCTCCGCTTATTAGTGTGGTTAGCGCGAAGGCTGATGTGCGGGGTATGATAACCTGCAAGATATCTTGCCATTGGAAGAAGCTGAAGAGAATTAGAACGCGAGAGGGTCCAGCGCATGAAGCTTACATATCGGGATCAGCGAAGTGCGCTGTATAGTCACCGGCAGGATTCATGACAAACCGATACTGTGCGTTCACGAACCCTTGGTGTGATATCATTAGAATTAGGCTGTGATCAAGGGGAGGATGCTCACTCTCTTTATTCCATACACCATGGCCGGAAGACTTCTTTCCTCGCCTGGGAAAGCTCTGAGGTTGGGTGTGCCTGGGAGGAAGGGTGAAGTTCAAGAGGTGATTCAAGGACTGAGTCGAAGTCATCTTAGCAGGTCGTTTTGGGGTCATTTGTCCAGTTGGTTCACTAGCCATCTGAGGCGACATAGGTGGTTTTATCGTGTCAGCAAGCCACTCCCGAAGAGTATGGTGCGTCTAGGACCCTTGAGGGGTGGTTCCCTCGAAGCGGGGAGCCAACCACACAGGACCGATCCTACGTGCACTGGCCGGAGCCGCCTTATGACTCTGACGTCTCGGTCACGTGCACGGGACCTTGACAGATACAGCACACACCACCGCGTAGTGGGACTCCCAGTGAGTTTGCGCATTGTACAAGTTGGGCTCTCCTTGAACTACGACAGGTTCTTATCGGGTGATACCTCAGCCTGCACGATGGCGAAAGGAAAGAGCCAAAACCCTGCCGATGCCTATCGTGTGTCTCTCTATCTTGCATCGATGTCCTGGCATAAACGTACATTTTATAGGCAAGGCCTTGCGGAAGAAAGAGCTTAAGAAGGCATGTTTCTTCGCATGTTTCTCTGTCTTGTGTCGCTGACCGTCGCCGTACTCTTGATGTGGTAGAACAAGACAGAAAGGACTAAGGCTCGCGAGTTCGCTCTGGTCAAGAAGGACACGCATGGTATGCATTCATTGTTTTTCTCTGAATCTGCAGTTCTCAGGCTCTGCAGACCTGGAAGACGAAATCGAGAAGCTGGAAACAGCAACCGACTTTTCCGCTGCAGATAAATCCCGGTTAGCGGAACTCAAAGCCGAGCTGGCGAAGGTCGTGGCAAAGAAGGAAGAATACGTGAAAGAACATCCTGAACATCGCAAGCTAGTGTTCCGTCACAGGAGAGACAAGGGTAGCGATCAGCCGTCGGTCCCGCTCGGTGAAGAGAAGCGCAATTTGTTTGACAAACGTGGTCTTCCTCGCCATCCTGAACGCAGCATTTATTATGACCCAGTGATGAATCCTTACGGTGTTCCACCCCCTGGTATGCCTTATATTGAGAGGCGTGAGTGACATTTTGAACCCGTGTACTTCCTCCAGTTCATGTAAAAGGATTGTAGCTTTGCGGGAAGATGAAGTAGCCAGCGATGAAGATGGTAGCGTGATCAATTCCGTCCTTCCGCTGTTACTCACTTGACACGTCTCAGGCACTGATGATGATATCGTGATGCCCGCTGGTCCACCACCGGGTGTCAATAGTGATGACGACAGTGACGATGACATCCCTATGCCTGAAGGTCCGCCCCCGAGCGCCTTACAAAGTATGGACTGAATATGTTTCACAGACCCGATAAGCTGACGTAACTTAGATCAAAGTTCAACTTTACCCTCTCCACTTCCGCCACTTCCTCCCCTGCCTCCGCCACCACCATCCTTCACCTCACTCCTTCCAGTGGGCTTTGTTCCACCCCCACCACCTCCCGGATACGCGGGGAATTTCTACCCGCCTCATCCCGCCGGTACTCGTGGTACTTTCCCACCGCCACCCGGTCCAACGCCACTACCGGCCCCTCCGCCTGGGTTCTTCCCTCGTAATGCCGCCACGATGCATGACCCCCTTTCTCCTGTTTCTCATCGACCAGATCAGGTACAACACTCTAATGGAGCAGTCACAGGGTATCCGTCGTTACCACCCAAGCCCTCTACCACTGTTTCCACCTCTCTGCCTGCTCACGCAGCAGGTTCCTCTGCAACAATCTCTGCCGGGCCAGAGTTACGCGATCTGAAGAAGGAGGCGACAGCCTTCGTTCCCTCATCTCTCAAAAGAAAGAAAACTTCCGGGCCTTCGGTTGCTGGACCGAAGGTTAACGCTGCGCCATCTGTGGGTAGGGCAGGGTCTGAATCCAGGGAGCCGCCACCAACGGCTAAACCAGATCTCGTAAGTACCCTGCGCAATCAGTTCGGAGCTCCGCCACCGCCGGTTAGGGAAGCCTCTTGCCATGGACCAGCTCCCAAAACCAAGAACGATTATCAGAAGTTCCTAGAAGAAATGAGCGACATTTTGGGTAAGCCTGAATGATAAGTCCGTGCAATGGGTAGACGCGCACTGCATCGATTCATACTGATACTGCTGTTGTAATCCAATATCGCCTTGTGACACACTTAGACAACGTGGGTGGGGTAAAGTAGACGCGCAATATTAATCTCAGCATGCGTTTGGCTTAGCCAGGGCAGACCTCACTAAGCCTCGATCATGTCTTACGTTTACTTATAAATGACGTGCACGTTAAGAAGAAACCCTCCGATATTTCTCTCCAAGTGAAAGTCATGAGTGACACTCTCTTGCTGTGCCCCCGACCCTTGGCTCGTTGTGCCGGGCGACTTCTTCTCCTACCACTCCTGCCGCAAAGGCCTCCGCTGAAACCTCTGCCATCCGAGATATGGTCCGAGGTTTTCTCATTTGTCCTCTCAGAGAGTCTTGCCGCAAACCCGTTGGCGGATAGAGCTCGATTATGCATGTCCCTCGTGATGGTTTGTAGAAGTTTCAAGGCAAGTCGTTGGTTCTTGCAGTGGCGACTTCGCACCCGCACTTGTGTGGTCTTGAGCGAATTCCGTCCATCCTTCAGGACAGTGTGTTTCGAGGAGGCTACATGCTGCGTTTTTTGTGTAATATGTCCGACATGTTTGACTGACCGTCACCACCCGCTCCAGGACGTGGCACTACCTCTCATGTATGGGAGGATTAAAATCCGTACCGTCAGCTGCCTCGATAAATTGTCCACTTGTCTGTGTGCTGCCGACCAAAAATGGGACTCTATCCGCAGGATCCCCTATTCTACACCCGGTCGTTGGGTGCAGGTGCTTGACCTCTCAGAGTTGGCAGACACCGTGGATTCCCGGCTAGTCTATACAGTGGACTTGCTCCTTACCAATCTCTTCCCTCTCGTTCCCTTCCTGACAAAGCTATGCCTGACTCCGGCTGTGCCATTAAGCCGCCGGGTTTTCTCGTCGCTAACGAATAGGGATGGGAATTCCAACCTGCGGTCTCTTGGTGGCATATGCTATGATGCATCATTTCACTCGCCCGTCGCCACCGGAGGCGATCCATTCGTCCGGCTACTTCAGAGATGCTATAACCTAGAGCGCCTGGAAATTATTGGAAGGGGCTTTGACAGTGATTTTGAATCTTTTCCCGATGCTTTGTTTCAAGAACCAGCCTCAACAGTGAAATTATTCCTTCCCAAGCTTCATAGTCTAACCATTTTGTCAATGCCGACCTCTTCCTTGTTGGTTTCCCTCCTCGATACTAGGTTGCCACGCCTGAGAGCGTTGTCTATCACGCCCTACGACGATATCCCATACCCTGCATCATGCACATCGCGTTTCCTGGATGTCCACGGACAATCCATTTTCACACTCTCTTTCTTTACCCCAAAGTCCTGGCCGACACTGCTTCATCCCTCGCCCTCTACACTATTTCATACCTGCCCTAATTTGCGCCACCTCTCACTGGAGTATCCGTTACCGGAACTCGCCTTACCAGATTCAACGTTGCCTACGCTCCCCCTTCAGATCGTGTCTATCCCCAGGCCAGATATGAGGTTTTGGCGGGTCCTAGAACGGCTACTACCTTACCTACCCAGTCTCAAGGCTGTACGTATCAGGGATGTGCGTTGGCTTGACCCGGGCATGTCCAACCGTGCACAGGAAACCGGTGTGCAAGGCGAGTTACGGAACTGGCGACGTCGTCTTGGACGAAGGGGAATCCGAGTTCTCGATGCTGACTGGCAGGACATGCGTTAATGTCTACCAGCCGGTAGACCGGGGACTTTGGATCACAGAATACTTGGAAAGTAACGGCTATCGTGCTCGCGTAGGAGTAAGGAATGATAACCATTCTTCGTTAGGTGACTGGTTTAACGACGTATCGTCTCATGTATGTCATGCTTTCCTGTAGCTTTGCGGTCAATTGGATCTGCCGTCTCCCCACTCATCCGTTGGTAACTCTTGGTCTGATATCACTTTCGCCCGGAACCGGAGCCTCAAGTTCGGCGCAGGTGCTCTCCCACAGCAGCCGTTACCCGTTATGTCGGAATACGGCTATAATAACTGCGACTTCTCTTCGGCGTATTCACCCGACTAACCAAGTATTTTTCAATACTGTGGCGGGTTACTCAGACCGGTCCGATCATATAACATTACTTAAAGAAGTGACATTTAGCGAGTTCATAATCATTTTAACAGAAACGCGTTCAAAGTATGCTAAGAATCATATGTCAAGGTCAGCGGCATCAGACTTCCATCAGGAGGTTGGTATAGCACGGTAATATTACGTTGACTGGTAGTCCGGTATCCAGACTAGTCGACTGGGTATTGCGTCCATCTACTCTCTGTACGATATTTCCGTTAAGTCTTTATCCATGGGTACCGGTGCATCTTGCGTGGGCCTTGCTGACCGGGGGGCCAGGGTCGCTAGGTCCTACTAGCTCGGTCACCGTCAACGCAAAGCTCAAGTTACTACGTAAACTGTTCAACTAACATTGTGCCGTCTAGTACCCTGAGCATATCCATTGCAGTAGCTAAGTGCTCTTGAAGGTCATGACGCCAAACCGGTTCCCACAAAACTGCCAAACTACTATGGAGAGTCTCGAACTTGGTATTGTCATCGGCCTTGCATGGCAAAGACTCGTAGACTTCCCCAGCCCATGCGCTTCGGGTTAGGACCATGTTTGCCCGTGGACAGCGTACGCGGTCGTACACCCGAAGCGCCTCCTACGCATAATCCCCGTTAGCCCTGGTCGCATGACATGGTGACAATGCCTACCTGAACGTTGAACGAATCGATGCTTGGATGCCTGAGTAAACGACCGAGCAACAGAGCGTCTTCTATCCCTTGACCGAAACCAGAACCGAGATGCGGACACATGCCATGTGCAGAGTCCCCAGCCAACGCGACCTGTCCTTTCACAAAGTAATCGAGAGGAGGATCGATGGCATGGATGCACCATTTATTACACGTTTCGATCAAAGATAGTAGCTTCTTCACGTCGGGACCGCAGTCCGAAAATTTTTCTAGGACCTCCTCCTTCGAAGCTGGGGTGACCCATTCATTTGGAGGCATTTCCACGGAACCTAATAACGAACGATCGGTATAGAAAATGACAACGTTTAGCTACAAGCCAATTCTCAAACAAAACGGTTAGAGCAGAATACTGGAAAGAGCTTACTATCTTGCCGCCTTTGATGGGAACAGTAATAATATGCTGCGGGCACGAATGTACACAATGAATCACTTTGCACGATGTCGGAGATGGTGAAGAACCCGACCTTAGCCGCCCCTACGAAGCAATGGGGGTTACACGACAGGTCCGTCTGTATGCCTATGCGCCGCACGTCGTCGAGATGGAATAAAGCGCGGTACGCGACCGTCCCCGTAAACCTCACGCCCAGCCTACCAGTTTCTCCCGATATTGCTTGTCGGACCATGCTCTTGATCCCATCCGTACCAATAACAACGTCAGCTGCATATGACGTGCCATCCTTGAAGTGGATAACTGGTCGCGAACTGTTCTCCTGAGAAATGTGGGTGCATCGCTTATTAAAATGGATGGCAGATGGGTTGAGGAGTTCCGCGAGGGCTTCAAGGCATGCAGCTCTAAAGTTCTATCCCATCGAAATCTTCCTTTAATCACCGGAAGTTGCACAAACCTGTGTATACCCAATGTCTCGTCTTCTGCACTGAGTTGGTACTGTATGGGACACCGATTCAGCTAGTGCCAGTGGGCTATTGGAGAGGAACCAACGCTGTGAATGAGCTGATGTCCCTGCTCTGCAGATACGAAGGTGAACGGCGTTAGCGCTGGAACCGCTCCATCCGCATGGGCAACGATGGCATCTTTCAAACCCATCTCATCCAACGCGCGCAAGGCGTTTGGTCCTAGTGCGGTAGTCGCTTCTAGCAAGTGTGCTATTCAACGATCACATAGACTTGCCTAGCCATATACCAGCACCAACTTCTCCGAACTTGGACTGAGAGCAGATCATGAATGAGCAAAGCTCGTGACAGTAAAGCACCTACTGCAGACTCGAACACATCCACCTTGATGCCAGCCCGGACGAGGTACACCGCACACACGAGACCACACAGCCCCCCACCGACGACTGCAACATAGGAATGCCTTTCGGGTCTGCGGTTCTGTTGTGGCTTGCAGTTCAATCGTCATGACGCAGATAGAAGGGATGAATCTTCAAGCTTCAAGTATGAGTGGCATTATATACTCAGTCATCGACCAGAAGCTAAGTCAAGTTGTCCCGCTGTCTGGGAAAGAATCTGTTCCTGAATTCCTATATGAGAATATAAAGATAAGAGACCGGGAGAAGGTTGTACGCCACTGGCACTGATACCAAGAGTACCGTGTTCGGGCCATGTTTCTGCACCAGCGAGATACAAAAAAGGGGTGCTATGGGTGCAAGTTACAGTAACCTGAGCCCTTCGAATGGTCAGTTACCAAGGCGAAAGTGTGACTATAAGATGATTTGAACAAAACCCGAAGCAGTAAAACACCTACTGCCGATCCGATCATATACACATTCCAGCACTGACGAGGTAGACCGTGCGGGCATGCGAGAGCTCCATCGACAGCTGCAACGCAGGAATGTCTTACGGGTCTATAGTTCCGTTGCGGTTGGGCATGATGCAAATAGAAAAAAAAAAAAAAAACGGTGTCCAATCCCCGAGGATATGACGCTGCATCTGTAACATTAAACAAACAAAAATAAAACAGCTGATTGCGCGACTTTTTCAGCACTGCTCCTGTGCAACTTTTTATACTACCCCTGCATAATTTTTAACACAGCCACCTTGTACCACTTTGCACTAGCTAGGAGGGCAGATAAAATAGATAAATGTAGGCAGGACGTGAACACAGTTCGTCGGCACCCTCCCCAGTCATCCCGCCCAATCCACGAGGCCGTGATGCCCCACAGGGCCCGCTCGAACACTCGACCCCCTCCCCCGCCCCTCCCGCCTGGCGGCGGGATTGCTCCTTCGGGAAATTCCCACGGCATCGCCACCTGCAAATTCATGTGACCGCACTCCACGCCACAAGTCATCACTGGCCTAGCGAATTTGGGCCCGTTTCTTGGCAAAATACCCATTATTACATGGGTTATGTACAGTAGCATCGAAACGAGTCCCGAGGAACGGGCGAGGAGTGCGTGTAGTCCTGACTCACTCGCTCCCCTGTGCACGTGCCCTGCTTAGTCAGTAGCTGTGGGCACAGCCACCTGCAAATTTTCTGCGCATTACTGCAAAAGTCGCGCAATCAGCTGTTTTATTTTTGTTTGTTTAATGTTACAGATGCAGCGTCATAGCGTCATAGAGATCTCTTTGTCGTAAGCTCTACGTAAACCCCGTTAATTGCTGTCACCCCAAGCGACTATAAGCGAGAAGTTGCCCACTTTACTGATGCGGTGTACCAAAAAAGTAATACCGAGCACTCCGAACACGACATAATACATCCGAGTGTTCGAGAGCGGAGTCAAATATTGTCAGCGGGAACGAATTATGATCATGCAGGTCTGTCTACCTGACATCACGGCCACCTAATCAACCGCCCTCGCTTGCAAATTTAATTTTACATCCTTTATCCTCTAGCCGGCGTCGCAACCGAGGAAACCGCGGATCTTCCATTATCTCACTCCAGTTACCGTAGAGAACTACGTGCTGGAGGGCAGGCAACGATGGACCAGCAAGCCACCAAAAATGGCGGTCGAGATGTGCCCACAAATTATTAGATGACATCTTGCATGGGAAGGCATGGATGCCCACGCATTCCACCGAAGCTTCTACTTCCACAGCAGTGTTGAGGAGGCATGGTGAAAAAGATAAAGTAATTGAAAGTTTTGACGGAGGAAGCACCAGCACGTAAGAATGGAGTAATCTGGTCGTTGATGAGGAAGGCGACATTCCGTCCGAACTCTACTGTGGAAAGTTGCCGACCAAAGGTAGACCAGACCTGCTCGATTGCGTAGCTTTCACTTGGAAAGTCTAGGATTATATGGGCGAGAGAAGGGAGCACCCATCCACAAATTCGCAGCAGGAATGAGGCGCTCACTCGCCGCAGCCGGAGAGTCGTTAACGCTGGTAGGTGCAGAGCGTCCAGCTCCTGTGCGGTATGGAATTCCCCTCCAAGAGTAAGATACTGCAAGTGCGGAGCGTTGTGAAGTACATCAACGAGGGAGTTTATGCCGCCAGATCCAGCAACTGTGTGGCAGTGCCACCAATCCAGTCGAGTCAGGGACGACAAGGCTACGATTCCCATGGGGAACCCCAGTTGTGGCTCGGGGGACTGCCCGCGGACTTCTGGCAAATATGGTCGGACGAGAGTTTGAAGGAATGGACAGGATGATAAAATCTGGATAGCGTCGGTGCCAGAGCTGCTGTGGTCTGTCAGGGTGTAAGGCAGTTCGAGGCGTCGAACCCATCTTCCGGGCGTGGAAGGTTTGCCCTCCGAGCTGAACTGATCGCTCTCTAGAAACTTCTTCAGGGTGTCCTCCACGTCGGGCCTAACCCTCACATCCTCGTACAGAAAGACAGTGGCAAGGGTCCGCCACGTACGGCAGACCTGCACGAGTGACCTCCTTGTTCTGAGGACCACCTCCGAGACCATATCGAAACAGCCTTCGAATGGCTCATATATGGCGGTCAATTGTCCATCGTCTGGTTGTGTTGCCAAGCGAAAGATAGTTAGCCACAGCTCCGGGGGGAGTTTACAATCCGAGTTGGGTGCCATCGAGTGACGGGAGGTAAGAACTGTACGTAGTCCCCACTCGAGTACGGTACCACTGTTGTACATAGTACCGATATCGGACATGATAGGCAAATCCCGGATCATCCCAGGCCTTGTTGAATGAGTGAACTAAACTGCTCGTAGGCACCGGAAGGTAAAATTCCGTCGTGTCTTAAGTGCCATGCCATGAATGCCTTCACATCTTACAACTCGAAAAAGGGAGAGAAAGGAGCCATGCACAATTATGTGTCGTGAGGGGGTACAAGGCTTATGTTGCTAGGGTAGTATAGAGGTAGCGAATCGGCGTACTAAAAAATCGTAGTATTTCAAAGGTACCATTTCCAGCTTCTCGATACGCACTATGGATCATTTTTACCGGCGGTTACGACCTCGTCAGCCGCCGTCCCACCCCGCGCCCGCCACGCCGTACACTTCCGCTATGAGGCGGTCCGTTCGGGTGAGGAAAAAATGTGTGTACCATAATGTGAATCCACTGTCCGCACCTGTATCTACACCTCTGCGTGAAACACCAAGAGGGGTGCCTAGGTTTCCCCAGTACAAAGATGTCGCTATCGAGAACACGGCATGCAAAGGTCATGTCAGAAAATGGTATCGTCGAATTGCTAAAATAAATAGAAAAAAAAGGGCCGGGTGATGTAACAGAACCGATGTTGGTGACAGCCAAGTGACCTAGAAGACATCAAACTCGTTGGGACGCGTCGAGAATTCGTGATAAGTGCATATGGGTGATACCAGCTTGATTGATCATATGAGCTGGAGGTAGTTTGATGGGGCGACTAGAGGGGTCCGGGTTGAACGACTGTTGCGGTAGGAGGATGGGATGACTTACTTCCGATGGTACCGTCCACCTTCCTTGCTTGCCACCATTTTCCTTGCTTGTCGATGATATCGAGAACCTCGCCTTTGGTGAACGATATCTCGTTAGGGTCGTCTGGCGAGGCTGTGTCTGCAGAGCCCTGTCAATGACGCATGCCAAGGATGGACGGCGTGGGTACCTACAAGCATATAGGGCTTTGGCCTTGTACATGTACACGTCTTGTTCGGGGGTCTGTTCTGGTGCGCCTTGGCTAGAGTTACTTGGGCCACCGCCAGCTCCGACTCCTGCGGCACCTGGACCCATTAGGGGTGAACTTGCACCCAGGTTATTTTCGGGATTAGCGAGAGGGCTCGGTGCGACGTTTTGGTTGCTATGGATGCTGCCGGCGCCTGCTGCTGGGCCAAGACTCCTCGGCGCACCGCCATCATTGCTAGCACCCCCGACGAAGCTATTTTGGCTCCTGACGCCAGCAGGGCCAATACCAGGGGTTGTTTTTGTGGCCGAATCATAGGGTACATCATGAGAGCTGATGCCTCCGCCATAATTTGGGGCGTAACCATTGGTGCCCATATTGTGAACGGAAGTGCCGCGAGTTCTACGGCGGCGGGAGGGAGGGGTTAGACCGCCGGTTCCGAGAGAGTTGAGGAGATACCAAGCGAGCGAGTCTTCTTCGGAAGTGAAGTACAACACCCAAAGAATGTCGACGATAGCCAGGATAAGCCAGCCAGCGGCCATTGCATCGAGAGGGGCGCGACCGCTGAATATGCTGTCGTTTACGGCAATGACGGCGAATACGATGGCGACTGCGCCGAAGACAGATATCTGGAAGCGATGCATGGCGATAGAGTCACTTGCGAGGGTATATATGACACCGAGGATGAGGAAGAGTTGGAGGAATATTCCGAACCACGCGACGTTGACAGAACCGACTTGGGAGACGGGTTGTAAGAGGGGGGAGGGGGAAGCGACGGGGAGATGGACGACTCACTCTGGGCAGTTGCTATAGCTTGTGAGATGAACGCGATGAACCATGCGAGCTGGGCGGGATCGAGGTGGTTGGCGGGGAAGACGGGCTAGTTGGAGGGGGAATATGGACTTACCACGGCAAGGATGGTTGTAAACAGGAAGAGGTAGTGGGTGAGGATGGGAGTGAAGTCGAGGCCTTCGTTTCCTCGCGGAGGCATCGTCGGCGGCGGGATGGTCTCTGTCGTTGGCGAGGTTATGTTTGAGTCGCTGAGTCGACGAGACGACGTTGAAGACACATCCACGTGGTGTGTCAGACATTCCCACGGTGGTCCTGCACAGATAAGATAAGATAGCGATATTTCCCACGACGAGCTTAATGCCTCCGTGAAACGCGGTTGCCGTAAACCGGGAGACAGACAGAGAGAGGACTGAGCGAGGATGGCCTCAGAGGGTCTGCCATCGCCACCCCCGCCCTCAGACCCCGGAGCGACCGACTCCGCACAGATGCCCGCCAGGACACCCAAACCACCCACACCGCGTCCCCGCACCGCCGGCGACTCGTCCGACCCATACCACCCGCAAAAACCAACCGACCCCAACCGCCCACTCAACGTCACAGACGCCCTCACCTATCTCGATGCTGTCAAGATCCAGTTCCATGACAGACCAGACGTGTACAATAACTTCTTGGACATCATGAAAGACTTCAAGAGCGAAGTGTATGTTGCCCCCCTCTGCGGTTCTTCGTCTCTTTCCTCACCCCTTCCCTTCCAGCATCGACACCCCAGGCGTCATCGAACGTGTCTCCATGCTATTTCACGGCAGTCCCCCCCTCATCCAAGGATTCAATACCTTCCTCCCCCCTGGCTATCGCATCGAAATTTCCTCAGACCCGTCAGATCCCAACATGATCACCGTCACAACACCCATGGGCACCACCACTCAATCAACGTCCGAACCAGCCCGCTCCCGTGAAGCTATACTCAAGTCGTCGCTCCCAGGACTGCCCTATCCGCAATTGCCTCGGTCCACAACTCCATACCAGCTGGCCCACTTACAACTCCCCATGGATGCACTTACATCCGGTCTACAACCCCCCTCCACTACTGCAGCTGCAGCTGCGTCCTTTCTCGGAAATTTGAACAACAAGTTGGAAAACAGGCCCGCAGGTGAATTCAACCACGCAATCCAATACCTCAACAAGATAAAGGCCCGTTTTGCTGACGACCCCGACATCTACAAACAATTCCTCGAGATGCTTCAGACATACCAAAAGGAACAGCGTCAACTCCAAGACGTATGTCCTTTCTCATCGCACTCACCACAGCTCATGTCCTGTTTCTCAGTCACAGGTCTATTTGCAAGTCCAGGTTCTCTTCAAGGACGCCCCAGACCTTCTCGCCGAGTTTAAAGACTTCCTACCGGAGGCACCCATCGCCGTTTCCGCTACAAACAATGTGGTGGGCATTCAACCTCCATTTGAAGCACCGTTACTCACACTCAGTCGTCTGACAAGGATAAGCCCGGCAGAAAGCCTCCCGCAGCATCGATTCCATCGGGAAAGAAGAGGCGGAAAGCCCAAGATAAAGACACGACCCCAATACCCCCGTCTAGGTCAACCACCAACCGAGTACGCGCTTCGTTCCAATCTCCTCCGTCCAGGCTCATACAGCAGTAGACAAAGAAGATCAAGCATACCCACCGACCTGGGGAACCTGAGTCACCTCATTTCTCTCCTTACGGCTTACCCACGGCTTCCCCCCCTCATCCCAGTCACTCAGCAGCGCTTATCCACTCACATGCGTCCGCTTTTGCTCACTTGCCAATTATCCCTGGCATGCAACCCATCGTTCCCGGTGCGCATCCTTCCGTTGTGTCTCCTCCCGATGACCTCCTCTTCTTCGAACGCGCAAAGCGAACCCTCGAAAGCAAGGACACGTACGAGGAGTTTTTGAAGTTACTCAACCTCTACTCAAAAGATATTATCGACACGAAGACGCTCGTCGACCTGGCACAAGCCTTCCTTGGAGACGGAGAGTTGCTCTCTCAGTTCAAGGAAGTTGCTGGGTACGACGATTGTCAAGATAATGTCGAGCGTGGGCCACCCGGTAGCATTCGCACAGGGCCGCCAGAACCGGTCTCTGCACAACCCGCCGGCGAAGGGGAAGGACCGAGCTATCGCAGGCTCCCAGACACCGTCAGTATTGCGTTCCATGCAATTACGCGACTTGACGCCCTTATTTAGGAAATTCGACTAGCATGTTCAGGTCGTGACCAGCTGTGTCGATCCGTTCTTAATGATGTCTGGGTTTCCCATCCTACTTGGGCGTCCGAAGAGGCTGGATTCATTTCTCACAAGAAGAATGCATTCGAGGAACAATTACACAAGAGCGAGGAGGAGCGTCATGAGTATCATGTCCAGCTAGAAGCGCTCGCACGCACGATCGCACTCTTCGAGCCAGTTAATGCGCGCATTGAAGAGATGACCAGCGAAGAGCGGGCAGCATTCCGTCTAAAGGCCGATTTTGGCGGGCCCAGCAAAAGCATATATCACAGGATACTAAAGAAGGTCTACGGCCGCGACGCGGGGTCGGAGATTATCCAAGCTATCCAGGAATGCCCGAGCTTTGCTGTTCCGGTCGTCTTTACGCGGCTGAAAGCCAAGGACGAGGAATGGCGGCGCGCCCAGAGGGAGTGGAACAAGACCTGGCGCGAAGTCGATGCGAAGAACTTTTACAAGTCTCTCGATCATCAGGGGATCGTTTTTAAGACGAATGACAAGCGGTGCATTACGGCTAAACATTTCGTCGGGAATATCGAGACCATCAAGGCTGAGCAAATGCAGAAGCGTGAACGTGAGCGGCAACGACCCTCCTTTGCTGCCGGATCACCTGGGCACCAACTGGAATTCGACCTGAGTCAGACATCGGTGCTGCAAGATATTTTACGACTAGTGTACTCGTTCCTGGACCACTCTCATGCCCACTACAGTGCCCAGGAGCGACGCTTAATTGCGGGTTTCTTGCGTTCCTTTGTGCCTCTGCTGTGCACGTTCCCAACCGCGGACTTTGACGCCGTGTGCGGACTTGCCGACGGTCTTCGAGACGATGACACAGAGCACGAAGTATTGCACGCGCAACGAAGCGGTAGTAGATCGGCTGGTGGAGGCGCCCTCCAAAACTCCCCGGTCGCGGCGGGAGATCTGCGAAGACAGTTGCTGCGAGCGGCTCAAGAGAGGGCTCTTCGGACGGAAGGTTGCAATGCAATACAGTCCAGCCCAACCTCACCCAAATCTGTTCGCGATCCAGGTGACACCGAAAACAAGAGTGTATTGTTTGAAGGCGGTTCGGAGAATGTATGGATCCGCATATCGCAAACGAACACACGTGTAGGTCTTAACCAGTGGAAATGCAAACCGTTCTTTTGCAACACGACCTTCTACACGATGCTGTGCCTGCTTCAGGTATTTTCCCAGTCTGTTTCTCCAAGCGAATTGTCTCTAAAAATGGCGGGTATAGCTAATGTATTCTCGGGTCATGATTTGCAAGGAAGCAGCCCGACAGACAGCAAAAATGCTGAATCCCACGGACTGCAATCCGATCGCAGTTGATCTCGGTTTAGATGATCCTGCTGGTCCTGCTGCGGTTCTTGTTCAGGCCATGGAAGCCCTGGGAGACCGGCGACCGAACGAGACCGCAGATGTTTTCTATCTATATTTTCTGGAGGCCTGTGAGAAATTGTTCGATAATGAACTGGACCCTGGGCTATTTGAGGAACACATGCGATGGTTTTTCGGAAACAAGGTGGGTTGACCCCTATGTTTCATGCTTAGAATAAAATTGAGACATTCCCATAGGCATTCTATTTGTTTACTCTGGACAAACTGATTGCAGCATTCGTTAAACAGGTGAGCATGTGCGAGTTGTTATAGTTATTCATGGATAAGTGCATTTGCCTGACTCCTATTTCCCATCGCAGGTCCAGTTCGTGGTGTCCGATAACAAGTGTCAGGAATTATGGGCGTTGTTGAGGGATGTGCGCCGGGTTGGTGTTCTGACTAATCAAGACATGATCCGATATCGACGAGAGTCAGAGAAACATGTAGGGTCGGATGAACACCTGTATCGCGTGGAGTGGGTGAGTTGAACTAAATTTTACATGCGCATGGTATGGGACTGACGGAACGGATCAGGATCCCCACCTGAAAAAGATGTACATCCAGCTGCTTGACGCTGACGACCCGAGCGTGGGAGGAGATCGGACTGCAGTTGGGCGGTGGCAAGAATATATGGACTCGTATGTGCTGCGGCAGCCGACTGAATGGGTCCCAAGCCAAACGCGGCAGAGGAGCGATGCACTTTTCCTGCGAAAGTGAGTATCATGACGGCGGGTTTATGCGGTTGATGTGGTGATCGCTGATATAAAAATAGGCATGTACCGACCGATGAATCGCCACGGGTGTGGCCAGGGTGGAATACGATGCGAATTAGGATCAGTCCTAGGACATACAAGTTGCTTTACGAGGCAAACGCAGAAGACGTGCTGGTGCGGGAACGAAGTGAGGAGGAAGAGCGCGAGCTTCGGGAACGAGCAAGGGCACGGAACGAGGAGCGCAGTCGATCTCGTTGGCTGGTTTGGTAATAAAATATCACGTGTGCTGTAATTTGTCATAGTTCGCTATATTTGGCTGGCAATCGGGAAAGGGGTCTATTTTTAGACGCGCCCTGGTGGACAGCTCTCAAACAAATAAACTAATAAGTGGTAAAAATACAAATTTTTATTACTTAAGCGGGCCCAAAAGTTGAGACCGTCTATGGCCCGCGACTCAGACACAGATCTTCCCTGAGAGCTGCGCAGCGAGCGACGAGAACGAGGACAAGGACGAGGGGCCCCGGTGTGTCTAGGACGACGTATTGGAAACCAAGCAGGGAGCATTTCATTCGCCGGTACAAGTTTCTGAGCCAAACCAGCTCTCGGCTCAAGTTTTTTTGCGCCACACTGAGAGAACGAGACTCTCTTGGCGAGCCGTGTTCAGACTTTCCGTGGGTGCAGCTGCGATGACGGCCAAGCCTAAGCATGCCAATAGCAGAAACAGCGAAGCGGGTGGTATTGACAAGAAAGGTCGTCGTCATGATAGCTCTTATCTCCGTAGGCTCGACGACAACCACAACGACGAGCGTCTCCCATCTGCTTCGACGCCCTCCTCAGCGCCGAGCCCTTCTTCTGCGGTCTTATCTGCCCTTGCCTTTATCGCCACTTCGCAATCATCCGTCTCCGGCAGTCCACTGCCAATTCAGACCGCGCCTCCTGTCTTCCTCTGCCCTTCCATCGAACACCATTACACTCTCCCCTCCCTACCCACCATTCCTCCCGTACCACCACTCCGGTTTAACAACCGCGCTTCCACCCCAACCCCTACTTCCCAGTCTTCCTCCCGTCGTCGCCTAGCTGATAAGTACATCAAAGGCATGGACAGCCAATGGCGAAAGACGGATGAATGGACTTTGTTCGGCTCTACGGTATGGACACACATTACTTTGATCCCCCCTCTGTCCTCACACATTCCCCGTCCGTAGTGCTGTTCGAGCACATCAAACGTCAATGATGTACTAACATCGCCGTCACCAACCTCTACCTATTCCTCTGCCAGCGTGACGCCCGACGAACTCGACGCTGCTGCCCTCCCAGCCGGCTGGCAAACATCGACTAGCACCGGTGCAGAGCCAACCATCATCCTCGCTCTCTCCATAATCCTTGCCGTTTCCTTGTTCGTCTTCATCGTCGCGTGTGCCATTTGGAAAAGGAGAAAGAAGAAGAAAGCCGCGAAGCATGACCTCGAGGCCAAGTTGCGTCGTAAGCTACGATCGGACGACGAGTTTGAGCACGGGGAGCTGGAGAAGGAGGTGCGGGGAAAGATGCGGGTTTGGGCAAAGGCGACCGCTCGGTGGAAAGCAAACGTCCGGCAATCCGCTCGCCGCCGTCGGAAGAAACAGTCCACCATGTCACGAGGTGTTCGCTCTCACTCTCCTGCTCCGTCTGAGCATCATGAACCATCTGCCGCGGACCCATCTCGTTGCCCATCTCCTGCAAACGCAGAAAGTCAGGATGCTGCCGAACGGGCTTCGGTTACACCTACCGGATCCTCAGAGGCTACCAGAACAATCTCTTCCACCTGCTTACAGGCCATCGTCCCCTGCTGACTTGAATGCATCAACCTCGCGGAGGACTTCGTTTCTTTCTGACCCTGGTAGTCATTCATCTACCCCACACGCAGAGCCTGCTCCTTATACCCCACCTACTTCGGGACACATCTCTATAGACGATAAGAGGGAGCTTGGACGTCTGGGCGAACTAGCAAGTGCACCTCCAGAACCAGAGATCATCATTGCTGGGAGCTCACGTATGGCGGCCTCAGTGCCGACGTTCGACGAGGCACTGGAAGACTTAGATGCATACCCTGAGCTAGAGCCATACTCAGCAGACCCACACCCTTGTTTCCCCTCACCCCCCTCCAAAACTTCCGTGCTAAAAGGGCAGGATATTCCAATCATGGACCCAATTGATGACGGACTGCTTACTGCGAGTGCCCCACCTGATGAACGCTTTCCTGTGGAACCATCCGCGCCCTCATTGGAGGATGAGGGCAATGATCATCTATGTGACCATTCCCATCTCATTACTGACGCTCTTACCTCTCATTCGCATCCTCTAGTACCTTCCAGTACTTCGTCTTCTTGGCGACTTTCATCATCATCTGCAATGAACGCTATACCTCCCTCATATCACCCTTGACAGCTATGGGATGAGGTTTATTTTCATTCATGGGTCACTTAACGTGGTAGCATGTACAAGTATCTTAGTGCAACTGTCTTGATAATCCAAGCTTTCCATCAACTTTCACGCTCTCAGTTTTTGCGCTATAATTCCCTGATTAGGTGACTTCTGGCTACTAATAGTAAGGAAGAGGTTTGCAGTTGACCCTCTCATTACTCTTCTTGCTCTAATCGTCTAGCATGGGCAAGTCCCAGAAAAAGCGGTTGATGAGAAGACACAACCCAATGCGAGTCCCGGACTCGCATCTTCCAAAAGGTCTCGAATCTGCCGCAGAGTCCTCCGCCAAAAAAGAGGCCGTCCTGCCCATTATGCAGAAAGTATGCACATAACTCGCTCGGAGGCACGACTGAACGTGTCTATCCACGTAGATGGAAAGCCCTGATAGTTCAGAACGCAAGTGGGCGTGCGTTGCAGCGTCCAATCTCATTCAAAATGATCCATCGACACGGAGGCTGCTGCAAGGCAAAAACGTCGTTGGATCTCTGATTACTCGACTATCGGACAGCGAGGAAGAAGTTTGGATAGAAGCAGCTGGTGCTCTGCGGTGAATTACGGAGGCGTCTTTCTTCCGGAAGAGTCGTTGACCCATTAGACACAGAAATTTGTGCATTGACGGCGGGTACGACATTTGTGCCGAGATGTACAACAAAAACATACTAGCCCCCTTGAAGGCTTTCGTACCGAGGGTGGGTCTGGATCTTTGACACTGCGTGCGCGTAGCCCTGTTTACGGTCAGGGCCAGATATCCTCGGCCCTCTCACAATTCATCGATTCACCAAAATCTCTGCCTGAAAATGCTCGAAGAGTAGTGTACGAGTTTGCAGAGAACGTAATCACCATATTCTGGTGTCTGTCGTAAGTATGTCTCTCCAACTTTTCAAGCCACTCCTTTGGCCAAAACAAAATCAGGGAGACGTCGAACAAGGCTCTGAATGCGATTAATGCGATTGGCTTTGATTCCTTTCCTGATGTCATTCTTGGGAGCAAGAGATAAGCTCCCTACTGCTACTGTCACTGCAGCAGGTGAGTGTAGAGATTTTGTCTTCTGCACTTAGTAACAACGTTATCTGGTTGTTTCCGGCGGCAGCACAGAGCCTGTACGTTCTAACGGATGACAACTGGCCGGCTATCGATGCAATACGGTCTGAGGTGATACTACATTTCGTGCCTCCTGGACATCGTCCGCGTGAACGAACAAAACAACGAGACATCTGACGATCGCTTTGTGATGCTCTACGTGTTGTGTTGTGGTAGAGTTGCTTTTGTTTATCCTGGGAAACCAGGCTTTCTGATACCTTCGACAGGCATCCTGGGTAACATATCTCCGCTCCCTCCGCCCAGTTCCGCACCAAATTTTGACGTGAGCAAGGATCTCATATTTCCTCGTCTTCATCCTGTCATCTCTTCCGTATCCCTGGATGCAGCTGTGCAGCGGGTGCAAGAACTCGTCGCACGCCAGGTACCGTTAAAGACATTCTTCTATTCAGACTAAACTTCATACCTAGCATAGGCTAACGAGCCTCTGGAGATCGAGAAACTCTCCTTGAAACATGTACCCAAATCTGACCACAAATTATCAACGGAGCTCGAGCTCGAAAAGTTAGAGAACCGTCTCAGGACGGTGCAGCTTGCACTTGAGATTTTGACAGGTGTATATGCGACGCTACCGGATCCTGTCGCAGAGGCAGAACTAGGTAATGATGACAGGGAAGAATTAGAAGGTTGGTAGCTGTCTACCGAACTGCCCCTGTGCTGAACTCCCACAGATGGAGATGGAGATGGAAATATGTCAGATGCCCCAATGGAGGACGCTATGGACCTCGACCAATCTTCGCAACCAGTGGCAGGCGATCTACATACATCTCTTTCTCTTCCCTCGCTTGTACGGCCTCTGTTAACCCTGATTCAACCGACCGCACTTTCATTCCCTCCCCCATCTGCACCATCGTGCCATCCGCCCACGACGTCAGCTTTGAGTGTCCCTCCATGTCAGTGCCTTCGAGTGCCTTAATAACATATTCCTATCACTCGCTGCGCACCCACACTCAGAACGTTGCGCCGATGATTCGGCTGCCCAGACCATATGGAGTGAGATCTGGACGTCGCTATCCAAAGTTGGCGTCGATATCGCTGTTGGTCAGGAACAAAAGCAGGTGATATGGGAAATTGCTGTTGGTGTACTGTGGGGCGTAGGCAAGATTTGGAAAGGGAAACTTGTAAGACCTGCTACATTTTTGTACTGCTCCTGTCCAACCCCTCTGAACTTGCACGGTCTTTCATCAGGTTCCAACGGAGGAGCATGTACGCATTCTAATGAGTATCTGCGACGCAAGCACGGATTCTCAGGTACAGGTGAAATGCATAGGTGCACTGGAGTGCCTTGCGCAGCATCCCAACAGCCTCGATGCTAACAGGGTACGTTGGTCCATTGGTCTCCACTAACAGGGGGTTCAATGTCGAATAGGTCATCTCTTCTTATCTTCTTGACATTCTTCCAACGTCTACATCGCCGTCGCCCAAAGGCACTGAGCCTCTTATCCAAGCAGTCTCTGCGCTCATCGACATCTATTCTGACGAAAGCCTGCATTATGACGTTAACTTTCGGGAAGGGAAATTCGAAGACAGATTAGCTCAAAGTGTGGAAGGACTTAGGAAAGCAGTGCGCGCCATAAATCGGAAGACAGAAACCGACCTAAAGCTGAGAGGAGAGGAAGTGAGGGACAACCTGATAGCTTTCATTAAATATCGAAAAGAGCTTCGGTTCTAGATTCGGAAGATGTGGCACGGTCTGCTTCTCATAATTTTGTATTGAGATTTGCGCAGTCGTATGCTTTCTGCTGCGTACTTGACGTTCTGTCACAACTCGGTACCTTCTCCTGTCTGGATTATATAAGCAACATAACTTGGCACCGTGGACGTTTACCCCTTACTCGTTTGGGAACATTTCAACCATTGCAGTCTTCACCGAACTTCAAGTGTGCTGCGGGACACTGATTCTTCATGACTTTCGATGAGTATGATGAATATGACCTTTCCGAATTTACATCAGAAGAATTAACCGCCGTGGACGCCAACGTCTCTCACATGCTGCGCTCCACCCCTGAGCATCCTGCTTCGTCTGCTGGTCCAAAGATACAAATAACATTGGAGCAAAGTAACGTGGTGACTGCCTCTACGACTGCCAGCTCCACGTTTCTTTTTATATCTCCAGCGGCGGATAGTCCGTACTCCCAGTTTCGTTCTTGGAAAAAGGCGTTCTCTGTCACTGACTTGGTCGGTCCCGCCTGGTATGTCAAATCTACATCACGCCATTATATATGTTTTCCAATTTTCTTCAAGGTGTGAGCTTCAATATGAATATGGCCTCCTCGGCAAGAAAGATAAGCCGCCCCATTTGCGACCTTCTTCCTTCATGTCTAGGAGTGGCAAGCAGGTGCACGTTCAATGCGATAGAGCTACAAGAAGTGACCGCAGGCTTAAGCGAGGAAAGGTTGCAAATTTATCCTTTTTCTTGGAAGCTGCACTAATTGTTGTACAAGTCTACTCATCAAGCTCTGGAAGATGAGCTACACCCGGTGAAGGTGATCGTCGCAGCAAATACACCAGAAGAACGCTTCGGACTGCGGTAAGCATTACTCATATTTCACACATTCAAAACTAACTTCATATACAGGATCGCACAATTGATTACTGGCTTTAACGAGGTCATCGTCAGTGGAAAAACGGTGGGTCCTCGATTTTACTTGTGCGTCTGATGCTCAGTTCGATAACTAGAGAGAATTACCTGTTTTTGGAATTATTCATGGACACCCTGTTGTTGGAGTCATCGTACGTCGTCCAGAAAATTTGTCCTTGTTTCTGACTAATGCAAGAAGGATGAGGTCGTCCAAGTTCGCACAGCTTCAGAAAGCGCGGACAAATTTGGTGGGGGTGCAAAGTCACCTTCGAGCAACGGCGACCCTAGAGAACACCTGCAATTATCCAACACATCCTCGCAAGACGCTTATACACTTGGGCTCATCGATTACAAGACGCGTCGAGCAGAATACTTACCTCCCGAAGAGGATAGTCGCTCACCGAAACTACAGCTCATGCTCTACCACCGCATGCTGGCATCCCTGCTCACTCCTGGGATGGTTGATTTCCCTCTTCTCTGGAGTCTCATGGACCTCGATCCTAACAGACCTTTCTCTCGCCAGTTTGTATGCGATATAGAATTGGGGGATGCTACGTCAGGTGGAGAGCTCTCCATGGACTTGAATTCTCTGGTATCCGAATGGGTTGCAATTGTCCACAGAGAGAAAACAGAGGAGGGCCGCCTGAAGGGAGTAAATACAGAACTAGAACTGATCTACCGCCGGGCGTTGAACCTGACTGATAACCAAGGCAAGGAGCACGTGGAACTGAACGATCCGTTGCAGGCTCTTGCGCTTGAAGAGCAGCTAGTCATAGCCCGCGCTGTTGCAGAGAAGCTACCTGAATCCGGTGTGGAGGGAGAAGGTGCTAGCAACATCGCCAACACAATCGCAGAAAAGATTAAGCTTCCTTACCCTCCAGAGCATTATCCTTCCGCCTGGTCCGAGCTAATCGGTGCTAGTTCCGACCAAGAGAATGTTGCTCTTCAGTGGGCAATCCAAGATTCTCTTTTGTCTTGCGCAGAACAAGCAAGGATGACGTGGTACCACTCGAAAAATGAACTCGTTTCTCAAGGTATGTGATGATTTTTGTCTCACTGACAATCGGGAATAATTCCAGATCTCTAGGCGTCGGCTCCTCCAGTGCGCCCGTATTTACTGAAACGAAACACCAGGGTCAAGAGTCAGATGTATCCAAAATGTCACCAATTATCGGGACAAGGAAGTTCCCAATGGACGACGCCCAGCTTGACTCCCATCTTGCCGACATTCTTCAATGGTGGATGGGCAGCCGTAAACCTAGAGGGGTCACGGTTGCCCATACCTATCGATGCTTGTGAGCACAATTCCTCGTTATTTGCTTGTCCGACTCAGCCCTCTTCAGTACTTGTGAATACCAAGGGTCGTGTGAATGGAGGGAGGAAAAAGCCACCGAGGTAGCCGCTGCTGCGCTTGAACGGAGGCGACAGTAAGATGTACTTGAACGTTAAGGCAGTTTAGCTGCTGACTCGAACAAGTTGCCTAGCGATGGACACTCATTGCATGTAGCCGGGAATAATGTATTGGACTATTGGTTTAAGAGGACATTTCAATATATAGTAGCTAAATATGGAGGGTTGTTACCGACCTTGATCAGTGGCTAGGCACAGCTCGATGAACTTTCAACCGTTGCCAGTAAACTTTTCTTGCTCAGGTCTGTCACACGTCTGTGTACTTACTATCATCCTACATGGATGGATGGGTGGACTATCTCCACGTCTCCTTTTCTGGAGAACATGTTCTTTTCCATTCGCTTCGGCTGGACTCCTTTTGGACGTTTTGTTTGGGCAGCATTCTTGTCGTTGTGATATGTCTAGTTGAAAGGTGAGGTTGTTCTCTTACTGGTGTACTGGACAAGTCTGAGAATGCTACATATGTGCAGGTTTTTGACTGCGTTTTCCAACAAGATTGCCCGACCACGATGGGCATCCCGCTCGCGGCTTACCTGTGCGGGCTGGGATGCCGCGTTGTATGGACTTGTGACCCTATTTAGAGTGTGAGCGATCTGCAGAGCTACGATATTTCTCGTGTTAAGGATGTTGGGAACAGACTGTACATGCTCATAATCATGTCGTACCAAGCAGGGTAAGTGGCATTGATGACGTTTGTACTGCAAAAGCTAGCTGAAGTGATGCCAGAATAATAACTGTTGCTGTGAGATACTCAAGCTTGTTCGGTGCTACTCGATTTGAGAAAACAATCGCCAGGTCATCTCCTTGTCAATAGGCCAATTCTTCGTCGAGTATTATCTCAATTACGAGGGGATGGTGAACTCGGAGAGACTGTGAGCGATAATATCGTCTCCACCGAGTTGTTCTTTAATGGTGGCATTTTAGCGTTAGCGAGCCGCTCTTGGGGCATGCCGCAGAACCTCGTGGGACAGTTCGCACCAAGTCAAAGCCAACTGCCATGTTCATTCACCCATATGACTCAAATTTGGCCCGGGCAGATGCTGCAGCGTTCGAACTCGGCATCGCAGGCGATACCGAGTTGGTTAAGGGAAACAGACTTCTGGATGATGGAACCTGGGAGAGTGGTAATGGTAGGACTGTTGCAAGAGAGTTGTTTGGAGGGAGCAGCCATAGCTGAGATGAGTGTCTGCCATCGTGTCAATGTGTGCAGCCTTCCACTTCGGATGATGTATCTTTCAATGTTATAATCTTAGTTCGTCGAGACAGAAAGCAAGTAAATAGCAAATGAGGGTCGCAGGTTCGTATAGACGACTAACAGTCCTAAACGAGGCCGGCTCGCTTGGGAGCATATCCCCTTCGAGGCAAAGGATTGCGTGCAGAGTCAGCCTCCTCAGATTTCCTTTGCCACTGATCGATCAGTTTGCCAACACCTTGGTAAGGTTTCTCAGGTGATGGTGAGCGCCGATGTTCTTCAGAAGGTACTGTACTGTGGACAGGGGGCAGCCCATCGATTGGTCCATGACGCTCAGAAGGAGAGGGTAAAAACTTGCTGCTAGAACTACTGGGCAACCCAGTTAACAGTTCATATGAACTAGGCATGGTCGAACCACTGGGCGAAGGCCGCTTATCAGCATCTTTGTCCGGTGAGGAGTGCTCGCTAACTCGCGAAGAACTGAATCTAGAAATGGAAGGCGATCGAATGGTCTGTGTCGGTCGAGTCCCAGTGCTAGAAGAAGTGGCTGCAGGAGAAATCTTCAAACCCGACGGTTTAGGAAGGGTCAAAGGTGGTCCGTGCCCAGTAGCCTTCACGTTTGCATTGATCGCCTCATATCGTTGTACCATATCCGTAATGGATGTTCGCCGAGACCCATTCTTCCGAAACCCATCTTGCGGGACACTCAACCCAGTGGGGGTGCTAGGTGTTTCCGACTTCCCGTCAGAAACTGGTTTTGACACCGGAAATAGTAAAAGGGATTGGGGGCGTGTATGGGACAATGTAGGTGCAGGAGACGCAGTCGAGGCTGAAGTTGACATCCGCTTGACTTGTGACACGGGGGAGCGTCGGCCAGATGTTCTGCTGGGTGGACGAGGCGCATCAACCGCCCCACCATCCGACGAGCGTGCCTGTGCACACTGTGGCGTTCCGGGTGTCGTGGCCAGCGGCGCAATTATCGAGCGAGTCTTCGACGAATGTGTCACGAGATCATTACTCGGGTTGCGGACGACGGAGTCCTGGATTGCATCCTTCACCCTCTCCCTGGTCTGCACCACCCCACCACCCCAAAGGTCGACGAGATCGTGCACAGAACTTTGTCTTCCTCTCCGTTTCCGTACAGAACTTCTACCTTTCTCAGCTAGTTTGCCTGGAATCACCCCTGCAGCGTCTTCAGGGCTCTCCTCATCACTCGAAGACTTTGCTTCCTGTGCGCTCTCTAGGAACGAATATTGCCAGCTGCCACCTATTCTTTCTGGAGATGGTCGGATAGGTTCTGTGGTTGAACCCTGATAACGACCGTTATCAAATCCTGGAGCGTTGAGATGAGAGTAAACAGTAGCTACCTTGGTGCTCTCTGAAGCTGCAGTGCGGCCAATTCGGTGGCGATCCTCGGGACGCGGGGAGTGGGGGAATGTCTTGGTCGACAATTGAGGGTTCGCAGATTTAGGTAGGGGCTGTTGGCCTGTAATGCCTTCTTGCGGCGATGGGATGCAGACGGTATTTTCCTCGATGAAGGACGACCGCTTCTTCGTGAACTCGCGCAGTACTGGTGTCTCCGGTGTATCGGTATTTGCAAGCTGCGACTCCTTTACTGCGGATAGCTGACTGTCAACATCTCCAGTCAGCCAGTCTCTAGGTTCTTGAGCATTGTGCACCTCTGACAGGCTGGGCGCTGAGGAGCTTCCAATATCGAGAAGTCCGCTTGGCTGCTCTGTTTGTGTATGAGCACTTGCTGCATGCTTCCCAGGCGATGGCGACGGAGATACACCTAAGCGACTGAGACGTGTGTGCGGGGCTGCATCATTGACACCACCCAGTGTAACGTGCGATCGCAATTGGTCGGCTTTCGTGTCCCTAATTGTACCACCTGAGATTTCTTGGGAATGGGCGACGCGCTGAGGAGGATAAGGAGCTAAGCGCTGGGCCTGAAGGAATCGTGATAAAGGTGGTTCAGATAAATCGATTATATTCTCCCGAACAGATAAATCTGCCGGTGAACTAGGACGAGAAGGATTCACTGCTGCGAGGGTAGGGTCCAGTTGCTCTAATGGCGGGAATCTCGCCTCGATGGGGATATCGTGTGGTTGGAGCGCCTCTGATAATTTTGCAGAAACCAAGGGCATGGGTTTCACGGAGGGACTGGATTTTTGAGATGAGCCAGTACGAGGAAGTGGGGGACGAGGAGATGCTGCAGAAGAAGGTATCACAGGGATAACTGAGGGATTTGGTGCCACAGAGACGCGGTGCCTATAATCACCAATTGTAGCCAAGCCAGTTCTTAGCTTGCGTGCCTCACCCAACGTCGGTGGTTGAGGTACAGATGTAGGCAACCCTAACCCATCGAAGGCGTCCCTCCCCTTGGATATGACAAGCTTCGTATTTCGAGAGCCTTCGGGATGTGACGCAAGCTTTGAAGGTGTTAACCTGACTTTGGATGCAATCGGAGCAGAGCTCGTCACCACGGTGTCACTAGTACGCCACGGTTCTGTGAAGTTATCACCGAACGTCGTGAGTGCCGAGCCTGGTTCCGTGTGTTTCGGTACCGAAGGTTCATCGGCCAAGCTACTAGAAGAAACGCTCTTAGGCTTCCATGCAGACCAACCGGCATCGCCGGATCCCTGAGGTCTGTTATCCCCTGCACTCGGTGTATTACTCTTCAGGGCTCTCCATGCTTTGTCTTCGTCATCGGCCAGCCAGTCACGCTTCACAACTTTCACTGATGTTGACAATGATCCTGTTGTTGGACTCGCGGGACGAGACGTCGAGGACAACAACGACTCCTTCTGGAGGCCAGGGCGGCCCCTCCGCAGAGCAACATTGTCCAAAGCCTTCTCTTTGATTTGTACTGCAGGAATAGCATCCTTCTGTTTGGACTGTGCATTTGAAGACTTTGGGCGAATCGATGCTGCTGAATTGTCACGGGAGGTAGTAGGATGAGGGTGCACGGCGCGCGGAGAAAGTGGTTGGGGTGGTGGTATATGGTATACAAATCGGGACTTGGTACCGCGCATGCGGTGAACTTGATCAAGAAGTTCAAACACGCTAGGCCGCTGTGTTCCGTGTTCGCGCAGCATCGATGCTACAAGAAGAGAGAACCAGTCAACTCAGTTCCTTTGAAGAGGGATGACACATACCAATTAGAGCGTTGAGCTGCGGAGAATATACGGGATACGGGGGGATACGATACTGCACGTTTAGTATAGCAAGAGGGCCGTGTTCCTCGAATGGGGTTGTATAATAGCATAACTTGTAGAGCAAGACGCCTAGTGCCCATACGTCTGATTTTTCATCAACAGGGCGACGGAGGTAAGGGTCGATCATCTCTGGAGCCCGATATTGAAGCGTCGTGTGACGGTTGAGATCTGCTTCAAGGATCCGGATTTCCTGCGTTGTAGCTGGTGGTCTAGGGGACACGGGCGTTGCTGAACCGAAATCGCATAGTTTGAAGGTAGTTGAGGAAGACTGAAGAATATTTTCGACTTTCAGGTCACGGTGCAACAAAGGGGGTCGCAAGTTGTGCATCGCGGCAACTCCTTCACAGACATCAACGAAAATCTGCAGTATTTCAGCCTCTGTGAGGCGTTCGCGAAGCCGCCTGTTCATCATATCGATGATGCCCCCGCCTATCAAGGAGACGGTGAGGAAATACATGCAAAGTCGCGAGTACATACGAACCCTGACAGAATTCCATAAGGATGAAAACCTCGTATTGACCGTTGGACATCCGATGCCAGGCAGCGTCGATCAGGTATACAACGTTCGGATGGCCTTTCAGGATCCTCTAAAGTAAGATGTGAAGTCTACCGGCATGGTTCTGGATCAAAGTACGTGCCATGATATCAACTTCCTTCTTCACCTCCGCAAGCATGGTGTCACTCGCGACTGCGATGCGTTTGAGGACATGGTGGGTGGTATTGTAGATGGGAGCCGGTGTCCTCACAAGATATACATGAGAGAAGCCACCTTATACAGTATGAGCTGAAGGCTGGAAGGGGTAGGGTTCAAGCCCACCTTGGCTGAGGTACTTCTCGACTTGCACGGTATACTTGTTGACTGATATCGTCTGACCCGGGACGAGGGTTCCCTTGTTCTGATACAGTGATTGTTGCATAGTTGAAGCAAAAATCAAAAATGTACGGCCACGGAGACCCGCAGACAAGCGCAGGCTGCCACTGAGGCAGCGCTACCGTTTCTTGCTTCTCTCAGGTTTCGATACAGGTGAGCACTACTGCATCAAGTCACGTGAGAGGTAATACCGAGTAAGTACTAGCTCCTATTCAAGTATCTAGCTTTGTAATACCTGGATGCGTCGATCGATATCAGCTCGTAACTAGTAAACATCCGATTCCGATCTGGCCCTCTAGTCGGCCGTACACTCGTTTCGTTGCATCCTAATCAATCCTGATAAAGTCAAATTTTTGTCGATACGCACCCCACCACAATGTTGCCAGACGCCGTCCCATTCTCTCGCCCTCCAACTCCGGGCCCCCACCCTCTCAGAATTGGATGGTATGGTCTCGGAGCCATGGGTTATTTCATGGCCCGCAACATCGCAACATCAAAGAGACTTCACCCGGCCTCAGCGTCACCTATATTGGTCTACAATCGCACTTTAGAGAAAGCAGAGAAGCTTGTCAGCGAGGTCGGAAGTTCTGCTGCTGTCGTAGCATCAAGTCCTGCCCAGCTTGTCACGGATTGCGACGTCATATTCACTAATCTCGCCAACGACGCTGCTGTGCAGAGCGTGTATAACGACTTCAATAAGACCTTATCTGTGCGTTGATTGCTACGACCCCTCGTGGAGATGATCACGAACAAATCCCATCAGTCATCTCATCCTACTAGATCAAAGATATTCGTAGACACCAGCACGGTAAGTCGCAGCGGTGCAATTCAGTCTGTACTCTGATCACCGACGTCTCGCAGATTTACCCATCGCTGGCAGGTTAGGGTGTCTTTTATGGCACTGAACGGATAAAAACACTGAAGGACTTATCTTCCAGCTGAAATCGACAAGCTGCTGTCAAAATTTGCTTATTGTCACTTCGTTGCATCTCCCGTTTTTGGTCCCCCCGCAGTAGCCAACGCAGGAAAGCTAGTGATCGCTATGAGTGGCGACTATCGGTCCAAACAGGAGGCTGCCCATCTCATGCTTCCAGGAGTAGGTAGGAAAGTCATCGACCTTGGTGGGAACATCGAAAAGGGTCTGTGATACGGTCACATGCGATTATCGTTGTATTCTGAAACACTGCTAATAGCACCTACGCTCAAGTTGATTGGCAACGGAATGATCATGGGTGCCAACGAGCTACTGGCAGAAACTCTCACCCTGGGAGAGAAGTCGGGTATAGGCGCTCAAACGGTGCAGAATCTCGTGAAAGGTGCAAAACCAACTTTCCCTTGGTTTTCGAATTTCTCATACTGTCAATTCAGAAATCATGCCAGCACCCCTGTGCGCCATAGTCGTTTTCCTTTGGTAGTGATGACTAATGCACCGGTGTTAGTCTCATGGCTTACGCTGACAAGATGGTGAACGATCAGTTCGATGGCAGTGCTGGGTTCGCCATAGACCTCGGCATAAAGGATTCAATGTACGCCGTTCACCATCTTATCATTTGAGCACGGTCGTTACCCTCATCGTTTCGGTAGTCACGTCCGCCGTTTGGCGGCAGAAACTAACTGTCCCATACCCACTATTGACGTCGCCCACCAGCGAATGATCACTGCTCGTGCCATTCACCAACGACAAAAGCAAACAAGCTCCCAGCAGTGGGACGTTCTTGACTGGAGTGCTTTGATTGCTGGCTGCAGGGTTGCAGCGGGGCTAGACCCCTTCGATTCGAAGGTACCTGGAAGCATGAAAAAAGAAACGTATATATGTCCTGATATATGCACCTTCAGGTTGACCACGTCGTCCCCGATGATTGAGATCGGGTTTGGGGTTTGCTTCCGATCCAGGTCCAGAGCGTACTTTTTAGAAGACGGTTGGGAGTTGTCGATAAATATATGTTGATAAGGTATACCACTGTTGTGACCCCTAAGTGGTATGATGTCATATTACAGCAATGAGTCCGCTCTGACAAATGACATGATGCCTTTGCTGGAAACGAAGACAAATACTCTACGGCACAGGAGGCAGCTTGGTTGGGGGCCAAGTACTACGACCAGAACAGCCAGTTTCAAAGTCATATTACCGGGGAGAGAACGCCGTCAGGAGTGGTAATATAACTTGCTGGCTGCAGAGGAGGGTTGGTCGAAGTTCTCTTCCCTCTCTGTCATGATGATACATCATGTCAAATACCTCTTCGTCATTCTCTTATTGTGCTTCGTTTCTACCGCAGCGATTCTGAGCGACTCTGCGAATACCCATGCCGCTACCCCTTCCAGACGCTATGTTTCGTCCTTCGATACTACTGAGGTAGCCAAACGGTATGTTGATCCTTCTTCGACATTAGGGCCTTTACGGAGACCTCTCTGGAAGGTATGATGCTCGCCGTGATGCAACTCCGTCCAGACGGGTTGGGTCTCGTCAGGCAGCTCGTCCCCGCGAAGCCATTCCATCCAAACAGCACTCTCCTCGTCAGGCAGCACCATCTCGGGCACACGCCCCTCGTCAGGATGCTCCCGTACCGTCACGGGTGCACGCCCCTCGTCAGGCTGCACCATCTCGGGCACACACCCCTCGTCAGGATGCTCCCGTACCGTCCCGGGTGCACGCCCCTCGCCAGGCTGCACCATCTCGGGCGCACACCCCTCGTCAGGCTGCAGCTGCACCGTCCCGGGTGCATACGCATCGTCAAGTGGACCCTTCACCGCGGCACACACCCCGCCAGGAGGTTCCATCCGATAGGTATGCTCGCCGTTTAGTTTCCTCTGCGCACGAGACTCATCAAGCTGCACCTTCGTAACACCACCCTGGTAAACGCGATATACCGGCTGACTCTAGTCCGCATGTACCCTCGCCAAGCCAGGCGCACCACAAGCGGAGCAAGGCGGCACCCCAAATACCGATGTTCCCGAGCCCCGAATTCTGCCCCGCAGGGCTTTCTGCTTGTCCTATTCGGAATCAATTTGGGCTGCTCTCAGGCGATGAGAATGTTGAATATGAGTGCGTGGACTTTATGACGGATTTGGACCATTGTGGAGGCTGCTCGAGTCAAGATTTCGATAGGTAAGTCAACTTAATTCAGAACATATGGTCACTTGATTGGAATGAGTCAGGTTCAATTGTAGGGCTGATCCCCTCGCGCTGTCTGTCGCATGTGTCTCTGGGCGTTGTGTTACCACGTCTTGCCAACCTGGATACACTCTTCAGTCGGGTGAACAATTGTGCACCCCAACTTAAATTCGTTCGCGCTTGTTTCACTGAGGGTACAGGACTCGCTTGTTCCTTTTCAATGGACCAATGTTTGACACTCTTATTTGACACTCTTATATACAAAATGCCACTTAGACGTTTCCAAGGACCATATAGACTATTTCCGAGACTTGGACTCTACTCTACTTTAGACATTGTGATACTTGAGTTGGTAGATACTCTGGTATTACAGCGGATATTTACCTTTCACACGATATGATGTCACGGTATATGTTTCTTCGTCATTTCAAATACTATTGGCGACGTAGGATCCTGACTGCAGCAACAGTGTCTATGCCCATAAGCGCGGTCTGAACGGGTTGCAACGCAGGTGCCTAGTAAGAGAACTAGTTAACATATTACTCAGCCAAAGAAAATCAGACATGCTTCTTCAGCCTGTTTTGAACCACCGACCTCGTACCCTACACCGCCATCACCCACAAACATCGGCGCAGTAGTGATAATAATGGTGTCAATCACAGGTGGAGCACCAAAACCATCCGATTGTTGCGAGCACTTCAAGAAGCTATTGATAATGGTGGCTCCCCCTTCTACCATTAAACTCTTGATGCCTTGTATATACAGTTCCACAAGTACCTGAGGAATTGAGAGGAACCCTTCCGGGGTGTAAGGAAATATACAATTACGAGCCGCAGGTAGATCCCACCATCTTCGCACGGCACGTCGAAAATGACTGCACCAGCCTCCAAGAGAGTAGATCGTCGGCTACTCATCTCAGGGAAGTTTGAAGACGAGCAAAAGATCCAGGGCTGGAGGCCCACTCCTTGACGGAAGTTGGATAAAAGTTTGCAATCAATTGGTAGTCGCAGATGGGCGTCTAAGACAATTGGTCGAGGAAGTTTACTTGGTCGTGATGCCTCCGGAATTAAACGGGCTGTGAATCATGACCACATCCATGAAGCCAGAACTCAAGTCTGTAATGCTTACTGTTCAGTTGGGGGTTGTCATTCAGAGCCGTCCCGATGCCGACGAGGATTGCATCATGCATGGATCTCATCCTAATAGTGAAGCTGGAGCGTGAAAGAGTAATGAATTGACGCGAGGGCGAGTACCAGTGGGTCATGAGCATGCTCTCTGGGCAGCTTAGAAGGAGCTGCCTTCCGCCCTTTCCAGCTATCTTGGCATCCAAAGATTGGGCAAATGTCAACGTGACTAATGTTCTGTCAGTCTCTGCATCTTCTTTCGAACGAGATGAGAACACAGAGCGTAAGAAATCGAGGGCAGAATCGCTGAGTAGAGACATCGTTCAATGATGGTGAGACAAGTAGGATTGATCATAACTTCAAGTTAGGGGGTCCCACACCCGATTTCCGACTACATAACGAGGCATAATTAACAGCAAAGGTCAAGGTCAAGCCCACATCCACCGAAATACGGGACGCCAATAGGCCCTAATGATAACCAAATCTGAAGAGATGTCTATGGCTGCCCCAGAGAAGGAGGTGGTGGTTGGGCATTACGAAGAAGCGGATAGTGATGAAGGGGCTGTGGAAGAATCTGTGAACGTTGCAGGTATGTCTAGGCTTCATCTGACTCCTGCCACGCTGGAGGTGACCCCAATGTATGTAGGTGACACAAAGAAGAAGAAGAAAAAGAAAAAGAAACCCAAGAAGAAGCGTGTCGAACAAAGCGACCCTCCCCGTGTTGGCCTTTCCAAAATCTTCACGGACGGCGTCTACCCCGAGGGCGAAATTCAGCCATACAAGGACGAGTAGGGTTCACGTGGAATGTGTATGAAGTCGACTTGCTGACCATGTTCTAGCAATGCCTGGAGAACCACCTCTGAGGAAAAGAGATATCTGGAAAAGATGGCCGTGGAAGATCCAGAGGTCACCTATCAGAACATTCGCCGAGCTGCAGAAGTCCACCGCCAAGTACGACAATACGCTCGCAAATACATTCGCCCCGGTCAGAGTTTGACCGAAATTGCTGAATATATTGAGAATGGTACTCGAGCGCTAGTGGAAGAGAATGGTTTGGAGTGCGGTGTTGGCTTTCCTACTGGGTTAAGCTTGAATAATTGTGCTGCCCACTTTACTCCCAATGCAGGGGACACAACAAGTACGCCGACCACTGTTTATCGAGCGACACTACTCATCAAATATCAGTCCTTCAGAGTGGTGATATTCTCAAGGTTGATTTCGGAGTGCATGTCAAGGGTCGAATCCTCGATTCCGCATTCACCCTCACATGGGAACCCACGTATGATAGGCTTGTCGAGGCTGTTAAGGCCGCCACAGACACTGGCGTCAGGGTAAGCTTCGATTTTTGTAAGGATATCATCTAATTCATCCTCAACCAGGAAGCTGGAATTGACGTTAGGCTCGGCGAACTCGCAGGGTATATTCAAGAAACCATGGAATCATATGAAGTCGAGGTCAAGGGCAAGGTTCTTCGCGGTATGAACTCGAGACGACGTTGCGAGTGTCATCTGCTCATCCTGCGTTTGACAGTCAAACCGATAGAGAATCTTAGCGGCCATTCCATTGGCATGTATCAAATACATGGTGGCAAGTCGGTATTGCTTGTGAAGAACGAAGATCCAACAAAAATGGAGGAGGGCGATTATTTCGCCATTGAAACGTTCGGCTCCACGGGACGTGGCCGTGTCGTAGACAATGTAGGAACTCGTTTTACTCTCATCTTACTATTAAACAATACTCATCAGCCTCATACAGGGAGATTGCTCTCATTTTGCTAAGATTATCAATGCCCCCAGAGTTCCTATACGGTAAGTCATTTGCCTTACCTTTTTCTCCAGCGAAGAACAACTATACACACGATTTCAAGGTTGACGTCCGCGAAGTCGTTGTTGAGGACCATTTCCACCAATTTCGGTACACTTCCGTTCTGCCGCAGATACTTGGACCGAATCGGTGAAAGCAAATATCTGCTCGCGGTTAGTTTACTCTTCTTCGAGTAATAACGCGGCTAGACAGATCCTTCCAGCTCAACCACCTCGTTCAACAAGGCATAATACAAGACTATCCACCCCTTTGTGACGCTATTGGTTCAATGACGGCGCAATTTGTAAGTTATCACATGAATGATTCGGTGGTGGACGAGTGACCCGTTGCAACAAATAGGAGCACACGATCCTTCTGCGACCTACAGTGAAGGAAGTCGTCAGTCGTGGGGATGACTATTAGGCGTTTCTTCCAAGTTAGATATATTTCTCTACCTTGGAACAGTGATCTTGGTACCTGTTGCTGAGCAAGCAGTCTTTGTAAATGCGAGCCCCCGCAGTTTGGCGATGTGCGTCATCTCTGTCGGCTGATCTAGCGTGCATGTGCGCTTGTACGACGTCTCAAAAGAGAAACTCCGCTCCTGCAGCCCCTGAGTCCCTTGCTCAAGGTCAGTGTCTCCTTTCCTCTCGACTGCAACCCTTGCATGGTGTGGCTATCACCCAGCACGACATTCCGATGCTTCGCGATTCCTTACGTTTTCTATACTACGCTTCTGCCTCTCCTGCAGCATCTCCTTCGGATTGCAAATCATTGTCAACTCTACTGCGTGACTATGAAACCCCTGGTGTCTTACCTCCATCTGCACGGATCGACCGTACGCTCAAGCTTCAGAGCCGACGTCCTTGGAACTTTTGGGATATGTGGAAATACCCCGCATTCGCGGTCGGAAAAGGTTGGTGAATTTCTGAAAATTATACGGTCACGACTATTGTAGTCATCCCCTGTCCTTTAGCGGCTTGTCTCGCTCGTGATATAGTTGCCTATAGCATATGGGGTCCCCGAAGGAGGACATGGGGCATTGAAATGACTATTATCAGTAGTCTGATGAGGGATGTTTCCCGGCATTCGGCTCTTGCAGACATAGTGTGTCTCACTTGAACTTGCTGTATTACTCCGATGAACCCTTTAGCAGGCCATGGTCCGTATGGTAATGGGGCTATCCGGATTGGTCCCTCTTCCAGGCGATGCACTGGTCACCCCTGTCACCTTTCGAGTACACAAACGCAACCTCCGCGGTATTATACAGGCCCTGGACGCACAGGAAACCGGTGAACGTGAGCTTTCTGGAGAGTGGATTGTTGGGAAGAAATTGTGGCAGGCTTTGCAGTCAGACGATCGATCGACGAGACAAGTCGACGAAGAGAGTATACTGGTGCAGTCGATTAGCAGTGACGGGTCTGTTGGGCGACACCATTCGCGAGTCATGCTGTATATTCACGGCGGTCAGTCTCCTATTTTTCGACAGATCATGTCCATACGCGTTAACGTCTGCAGGTGCATATTGTTATTCTAGCGCTGCTGCGCAGAGAATGATTTCAATACCTCTGTCGAAATACACGGATGCTCGCGTGTTTGGTAAGTTCCAGTTTTCCGATTCAGCTTGATACTAAGTGCATTTACTAGCTATCAACTATCGCCTTGCACCCGAAACCCAGTTTCCTGGCCCTCTGCACGACGTGGTCAGTGCATACATGCGCTTGACTGACGACCTACAAGTTCCTTCGGGGAATATAGTTGTCGCAGGAGACAGCGCAGGCGGTGGTTTATGTCTGGCATTGTTATTGTATCTGCGAGACAATGGGTATAACATGCCTGGCGGGGCAATTCTGTTCTCGCCTTGGGTTGGTAAGTGCGCGGCCAGCAGCATTTGGTGTCTCATCCGCCCTAACAACTCGAAAGACCTCACCCTTAGCTGTCCCTCTTGGGAGACAAATGCTGCGTATGACATAGTTCCGTCACCGGGTCCTGATGCACACCTGCACCCGGTGGTGATGTATCTAGGGGATGGATTACAGCAATATCTGACACACCCATATGCTAGCCCGTTGTTTGGCAGGTTTGAAGGGCTACCTCCGTTACTTATACAATGTGGGGAGGCGGAGGTTTTGAGGGATGAAATAGGACTCCTTGCGCACAAGGCGTCGCTGGCTGGCGTTTACGTCCAACACGAAATATACGAAGACGCGGTAAATTTCTCACCTTCAACACTGTCATCTTGCATTCATACTTGTTTCATAGGTCCATGTCTTCCAATCGTTTCCTTTTCTAGGCTTGGTGAATGCTGCCTTCGCATCCTGCCATGACTTTGTCTTTTTCAAGCTTTCCGGGTTGCAAGACCCCTCGCCGAAGCTCCTTGGAGGGATCTGCGAAGCACGCCTTGAGCACGATATTGATAACGAAAATGTTCGTGTCGTACGCGGGGACGGCACGGAGACGTGTGCTGGGAGACGTGGTGTCCAGGAACACATGAATCACGAACGACACGACCCGAACGACATAGAATCGGAGTTATACAGCTGGGCTTCTACTCGCCCAAAGGGCGATCCAATCGTCAGCATTGCGGAGACGAGGGATCTTCTTCGTACTGACGTCGGCGGCGTTGAAGCACCTTCCGGGCTACGTCGTATCAAATCAACCCTCTCTGTCCTCGTCGCGGAACCGCCTCTGGTGGCAAAGATCAAAGGACCTTATCCTTATTCGCGCGCTTCCTCACGGGCGCATAGCCATTCAAGCATTACATCTTTCATGGAGCAGTTCACACTTTCTTCCAACAACTGCATTATGACACCTCAGGCGCACCTGAACCAATGATGGTAAGGTTACGTTGGGTTGGTGGCGTTGCCGGAACACTGTTCTCACTTCTTACTACGATCTACATGTCCGTTGATTGCTACTTTAGGCCACTTCCGTCCCGAGCAATACTTACTTCTGTTCGTATCCTATCCCAGCCTAATCATCCTTACAATTGTACTTATCAGGGTGGTCAAGGTTCAGTCGGTGTAACTCGGATGTTGGGGCGGCTTGTAATTCATGCGGGTAGTCCGACTTCTGATTGCTTGGCTATCGCTCGATCCGCTCGTTAACGACTGCTCACTGATTGATCATCATACCATGTTCTCGTTTCCGAGAGCACCGCTGCATTTTCTACCGTTGTCAAGCTTGTGCCTTTGGCTCGATATGTAGCAGGGAACTGCAGTAAAAGTGAAGATCTGTGTCAATTCTGTGGCTGACCTCAATCACCTTCCACACCTGTGGCACTACAAGTGGATATATAAGTGTTGGATGCCTTGTATAGGCTACTCTTGGTGCTAGACCATGAAGACAAGCATCGTGAACAGTGGTAAAACACTCATTGGCCAATAAGGAGGCTTGCTGAATTACAAAAGAGTTGTCAATGGACAGGCCTGTCAATAGCAACATGTATGCCTGTCACAACATAAAGATGGGCCCATCAGTAATATCATTTACAGCATCACAGCACATAGACAGGCCTGTCCAGTAAGATGCACCCCTGTCACAACATAAAGACTTTTGGAGGATGATGAGCTGCAGGATTGTCAAGTCTATAGAGAGGAATATACTCAGACTTCAAGTTGGTTGAAGCTAAACAATTAACTACCTATAGAGAGGAATATACTGTAGGTAGGTAAGTAAGTGTTCCAATATAATGAATGGAAGGAGTCCCACCTCAGACTTCAAGTTGGTTGAAGCTGAGGTGCAGTAAGGAAAAAATAAACTGCTAAGTGTCCGCTTTTGGATTATGTAATGCTGTGCTCAGTGAACCACAACTAAGGTAAAAGTGATAAACTCCAACATGCCCCTTCAATGAGTATAGTCAAGAAGGAATTAAAAGATAATAATACCCATAGCTTCAGAGAAATGAACATGCTTCTCCCTAGACACACCCTTAGTCAGCACATTGGCCACCTGGTCATTGGTAGACACATAGTTGACAACTACTTCTCCAGAATCCACCTTCTCTCGTATGAAGTGATGATGGATTGCAATATGTTTCATGCGGTCATGGAACATCACATTTTGAGCCAGTGAGATAGCAGATTGATTGTCAATGAGGAGTGGAGTGGGTTCATGTGACAACACAGTCTTGAGTTCGAGGACTAGGGTACGAATCCAGATAGCTTCCTTTGTGGCAGCACATGTGGCCATGTACTTGGCTTCTGTACTCAAGAGAGCAACAGATGATTGCTTTTTCGATGACCAGCTAACAGCTCCACCAGAAAGGATGAAAGTATAGCCAGTAACAGAGTGGTGGTCATTGATATCTGCTGCCCAATCTGCATCTACATACCTGATCGCGCATGCATTTGAGTCTCACTTATAGGTAAGATGGACATCAGGGGTGTGTCACAGATAGTGAAAAACATGCTTTAGTGCAGTAGAGTGTTCATGCCCAGGGCATGCAGCATGATGGCTCAAGATGCCTACAGTAAAGGCAAGGTCAGGCCTTGTTGCTAGCATTGCATACATAAGGGCTCTGAGAGTGCCCTGGTATGACTTGGTGTCAGCCTCTGGAATTTCTAGTTTTTTGAGCTTTAGGTTAGGCTCGATGGGGGTCATGATGGCTCACCCCTCACTCATTCCAAAGCACTCAAGAATACTCTTGACATATCTCTTCTGTGAGAGCTGTATGATACCTTTATCATGGTCATGCAGTATCTCCATTCCTGAAATCCAACGTGCCTCCCCCAGGTCTTTCATCTTGTACTCCTGCAAGAGCTGAGCCTTGATGCACTCAATGGTTGTGCAGCACTTTGAGAGTATTAGCTTGTCATCTACGTAGACAGCAACAACAATGAGTATGCCATTCTTGACTTTAAAGAAGAGGCTATGGTTGGCCTGGCTTCAAGTGAAACCCAGGGATTTGAAAACAGTCTAAAGATGAGAGTACCATGACTCGGGGGCCTGTTTAAGGCCATAGAGTGCTCGTAGCAGCTGCTAGACTTTGTTGCTGTCAGGAGGAAAGCCCAGAGGGGGGTGAAGGTATATTTCTTCATCTAATAGTCCATTTAGGAATGCAGATTTAACATCCATCTGATGAATTTCAAGATTATACTTAGCGGCAAGTGCCAGGAGTATGCAGATGGTTGCGAACTTGGTGACAGGTGCAAATGTCTCCATGTAGTTGATCCTGTGTACCTGTGTAAAGCCTTTGGCTACCAAACAAGCCTTGTACCTCTCAATTTCACCAGTTGGCCCTCGCTTGATCTTGTAGACCCATTTCAAGTCAATCAGTTTATGGCCAGGAGGCAGGGCAACTTCCTTGTTCAGTCCAATGGACTTAAGGGTCTGTAATTCATCAATCATTGCAGCATACCACTGATCTGCATTGGTGTGTTGCATTGCATTGTTGAACAAGTGAGGTTCATTGTCATGTGTTGTGGATGCTTTGTAAGCCACTTCCTCATTTGTCTCAGCCACCTCAGCCTCACTGTTGCCACATGCATGCTCTTGCTCTCGAGCAACTTCATCAATGGGGCTTCCCCCCTCACTCTCTGCACCTGAACCCTCTGGTGCCTCAAGCTGTTGACTAGGTAAGGTTGTCCTGTCATAGGAATTGATGAAAAAGCAATAATCATCATCTCTAGGTGGCACTTTTTGTGTTCTGGTGGACCTGCGGGTCTCTCGAGGCAGAATTGGAGTTGGATAGGGCTGCAGGGGTGTCGCTTTATGCATGGTAGGTTTCGGTGTCATCCTAGCTTGCTTTACTGATGGTTTTGAGGCCATTTCAAGCGCTTTTTTAGGACTCTGGCTGCTGCCTGGCATGTTACCCTCTGAGTGCTGTGGGGAATGATCTACCTTTGATCCTGAGTGATCAGGTGCATCATTTGACTCAATTTTGACCTCATGGATAACATCTTCACTCTCTCCCTCACTAGACTTGAGATCCCCATCATCAGACTCCATGTGAGCATGGCCTTCCATGCCTGAAGCCCTGATGGTATCCAGGTGCAATGTATTGCCCTTTTGGGCATTCCCTCTTATGTTTGCTGGTTTACTAACCATGCCTGCAGGATCTTCTTCTATCCAGATGCGATCTAGGCCTGCTGCTGTGCTTCCCTCATCAAATACTACATCCTGGGATTTGAAGACATGACCAGTGGGCTGGTGTAAGCATAGGTATGCTTTCTTGTTCTCTGCAAAGCCCAGATGAATGCATTTTAAGGACTTTGCATCTAGCTTCTTTCTTTTTTCCTCAGGTATATGTACATGTGTGGTGCAGCCAAAGGTTTGGATATGGGCCAGTGATGGCTTAATCCCTGTAAAGGCTTCATATGGTGTGACATCCTCGGAGATAGCACAGGTTGGTGATTGGTTGATTAGGTAGGCTGCATACTGGATAGCATCCCCCCAATATTTATTTGGCAGTCCAGTGTCTTTTAGCATTGCCCACACACTTTCAACAAGTGTGCGGTTCATCTGCTTGGCAATGCCATTCTCCTGTGGGGAATAGGCATTCATCTTCTCGTGGTAGACCCCTTTTGACTTGAGGTAGGCCTTGAACTCATCTGAGCCATACTCCCCACCTCCATCACTCTGAAAATAATTTGCTTTTTCACCAGTCTTGACTTCAGCTCAAGTGAGGTAGTCTTTCACTGAGGGGAAGACTTTGTCCTTGGATTTTATTAGTTTAACCACAAGGTGGTGCGAGCGAGCATCAATGAAGGTTACAAAGTAGCAGTGTCCAGTTTGGGCTGTAGTCTCCATGGGGCCACATACATCAGAGTATGTCTGGTAGAGTACTGTTGGGCTTTCAATGTTTGACCTGATGGGTATCACCTTATGGTGTTGCTTCCCTTCAAGGCAAGGTTGGCATACTGAGTTCAAGTGCTCAGTGCCAGTAAGCTCCATGCCTTCAACCATTCCTGCTTTAACCAGTTTAAGCACAGATTTTGTATTTGCATGCCCAAGTCATCGATGCCACAAGTCAAGTGTGGCTACAGACTTTGGTGCTGCAGCTGCGAGTACCATGGAAAGTAAGGGTAGGGTCAAGTAGTGGAGATGGTCCTTGTACGACAAGTGCTCCATGACTCAGAGAGTGAGTCCTTGCTGCAAGGATGTAGAGTGAGCCTTGACGATGACCCACACCTACAGTGTCTGTACTGTCAGTGATTGAGCATGTTCCACCCATGAAGGTGACCTGGACATTTCTAGTAGCAAGGCATGCCACTGAGAGGAGGTTTGCGCTGAGATCTGGAACAAAATAGACCTTCTGTAGTAGGATTCTACTGGTCTTCCCATTTGGAAGATCCATACAAAGTTCGATCTGTCCAATGGCAGTAGCAGGAATTGTGCTCCCATTTCCAATGACTACAGGCTGCAGGGGTGAGAGCATCTTTAGCAAAGTGAACCATTTCTGCTGACAGCACATATTCACAGAGGCACCAGAGTCAATGACCCAGTGCATGTGTAGATTCTTGCCATTGTCAGTGGCTATGAAGAGCTGTGGGGCACTGTCTTCAGCAGGTGAGATGTGCACAACTTTAGCAACAAGTTTGTCCTCCTTAGGCTTATCCTTTTCAGCCTGTGATGGGGACTTGGCTGCCTCATCAGCCTTCTTCTTGTAGCAGTCATCTTCAACATGGTTCATCTTCTTGCAATAGCCACAAGCCTTTTTCTTTTTCTTGTCATTGCTCTTTCCCTTTTTGTTAGGCATCTTTGTTACAAGGGCAGTTTGTGCCGAAGAGGTGCAGCAAGACTTCTCTTCTATCAAGACTTGGGAAATGACAGAGTCTGGAGTTAGTTTCTCATTGGATGACATGAGTATAGTGCAAAGGGTTGAGTATGAGGTTGGAAGGGAGATGACCATGGCTATGGCAACAAGAGAGTCTTCAAGGGGCTGTCCAAGAGACTTTAGGATTGTTGCCTTCTGCCACATGGCATTAAGCTGTGACTCCATCAAGATGTCATCTGCTAGGGTACCATGAAATAGTTCGCCAATAAGGTAGGCTATTGTTTGTTTCCCTTTGCCTTCATAGCACTTGCATAGCTTTTTCCAGACTTCTGCTGCCATCATGGCATGCAGAACACCACTAAGTGGGTTGTCCTTTAGAGTAAGCATGAT